TCAAGCGACCTGTTGCAAAGAAAGCGTAGATTTCTAGAAATCATAAAAAGTATATGAGAAAGCAGTCATGAAAAAAAGTTTACTGGTCCCTTATTCTCTCATCAGACTGATATTACGTACATCACAAACAAAATCGCAATTCGCCATCCCACAAATCTCAAAAAAATATCAAATTTTTGTCAATTTTTGGCTAACAACTTTGACTTCAACCCACTCAATTTCTGCTGACCTGAACGCCTTCACCAGCTCCTCAAGTACCCCAACCAAAAAATATTTAAACGGCCGGATGGACGTCCTGCTGGGGGTGTCAAGAAATGCTCTCGAGACTGTCAACCCTCGAGAATGTCATCCGTTACAGGACATGACGTCATGCTGAGAGTGGTTTGTAAATATTTATATTATGGCGGAGTCGATCAACTGGCTAATCGAGTGTGACAAGAGGGCCTTCAAAAGTGCGTTTATGGTGACAAAACTGTACAATTAAAATAAAACAAAAATATTGAAGTATAGGTTCCTGATTAAAATAACGTGCAAAAAGTTCAAAAATCTCAAGTTCAATAGCTCCTTTTCTTGCGACGATCCCCTTCACACCTCTCTTGCCTTGCCCTTTGATCTAATTACTGTTCCCTTTTCAATTACCGACCTTCTCGATTACGCGGTAAACTGGAATAATTACAGAGAAATAATCCAAAATAAAGGGTCTTAATCTGGGAATCCCAGCGAGGAGAGATCATGGCCATATCCGCTATTGCGCTTAATGTGTGGGAGAGAAACGATGTTACGTAAATTTAGAATGGTCTTGAGGACAAATCGAGGAGCCTTGGGAAATTGTTGGAGGGATTTTTTAGTGGGATCTACAAGTAGGGTAATATGTAAAAGGCGGAAGGTTTGATTTTGTTATAATTCAACAGTCAATAGTCCGTTTGAGGTAAACTGTATATCAAACTGACCCGCATGTCACCTATTAGGTTGATGCAAAAGGAATTGCGGATTTTTTAATTTATTCGTATTTTTTTATAGGATAGCTCAATTCAAAAATGGAAAAAGGTATATAGTAGTAAATTTTAAGAGGATTTTTTCTGTATATGTGCTATTTTTATAAAAGTTATCAAACGTTACCATAAGTTACCACTAGAGGTGGCAATCGGGCCGGGCCGGGCCGATTTTTGCGGCCCGGCCCGCGGGCCGAAGTGACCAGGCCGGCCCAGGGCTTTTTCGAATTTGCTCAGGCCCGGCCCGGCCCGGCCCGATGAAAGCCCAGGCCGGCCCGGCCCGGCCCGGGTTGGCCCGCTAATACAGAAAAGTTGGATAAAAGTCTTTGCACTTTCTACTGGAAGTTCTTATGCTTTCCAGAAGGTTTCTACGTGTGTCTGCGTGAAATTAAAAAGTCTAGTCGGATGACTGGAACATCCGTACAGGAAGCTAAAACCTAGCCAAAAAGTTGGATTGTGTTGAATTTTTTAATCCTATAGGAAGTTAGCTATATAAAAGTATGGACGTTATAAGGTACATGGTTAACCAAAAACTGTTTAAACACTTTCATTTAAATCAAGGAATCAAATTACAGCGAAATTTTTTAATTTATCATACAATTGTAAACAAATTCGAAGATTTTTGCCCGACCCTTGCATATTTGGGTGGGATTTTACATATACATAATAAGTTACATATACATAATTTTAAAAGATAGTAAAACAGCGTATATTTCAAAAAAGGTTTAATCTAATTTCCATCCATTCTACAAAGCATTTGTGCTTTATTTTGCTGGTTTAGCATTAAAAATTTTTTACTTATCTACCTTCCGGGCCGGGCCGGGCCGAAAGTGCCGGCCCGGCCCGCGGGCCGAAGCGGTCAGGCCGGCCCAGGGCTTTTTCAAATCTGCTCAGGCCCGGCCCAGCCCGATTGCCACCTCTAGTTACCACGAAGGTACCCTAAACATGTTAGTACATTTTAAACCAATTTTTTTACATATTTTTTTGCGGCTTTATCCATTTTTGAAAATATTTTGATAAAATACGTTATATTCTATCAAAAAACAAAAAAACCCCCTTTTTGGCAAAGCGTTAAAACGCTATCCCAAAAATTCAAATTTCAGCAAATTTTACAAATCGTGTCATATCTTTTTTTTAATAAGTCTAAAATAAAAAATTCTTTTTGCTTTCGATTAGTAACAACATTTTTAAGGCTTTCGTGAAAAAAAGACATCAAAATCTTGAATTTTATTTTTTGGTCAAAAAATGTCAAAAAAATAAATTTTTTTGATTTTGATGTTTTTCGTCACAAAAATCTTAAAAATGTTGTTACTAATCGAAAGCAAAAAGAATTTTGTATTTTGGACTTATTAAAAAAAGATATGACACGATTTGTAAAATTTGCTGAAATTTGAATTTTTGGGATAGCGTTTTAACGCTTTGCCAAAAATGGGGTTTTTTTTGTTTTTTGATAGAATATAACGTATTTTATCAAAATATTTTCAAAAATGGATAAAGCCGCAAAACAATATGTAAAAAAATTGGTTTAAAATATACTAACATGTTTAGGGTACTTTCGTGGTAACTTATGGTAACGTTTGATAACTTTTATAAAAATAGCACATATACAGAAAAAATCCTCTTAAAATTTACTACTATATACCTTTTTCCATTTTTGAATTGAGCTATCCTATAAAAAAATACGAATAAATTAAAAAATCCGCAATTCCTTTTGCATCAACCTAATATTTTTTCGCCGACATAACTGATAAAATTCTGAATACCCTAAATGCTTTCCAAAACCTTGAATTTTTCAAAATCTTAAAAAAATCCCAAAAAATTGAGCTAAAGAGGTGAGAAGACAAAAACAGTTTGTTTTGATTTAGAATCTGGAATTTCGTATAACGCCTTAGATCTCAAAGATTGGAGAACTTAAAAAACAAAAAATAGAGGACAAAAGATAACACTTTGTTCACAAATAATTAACCACTGGGTGTTCAGTTCTAGGCAAAACAAATTTGCCACCTTTTGATGACTTACTCTGACATCAAATCGCCTTGAAACATCGGTATTCCCAATAAAGCGCAAAACTAATGACTAAATTAGCAAAAAGTGGACAAAGATGGACGTCTTGAGATTTTTTGCGAAATGACCTACCCGGAAACGCCCGCTGAACGCCCATCTTTTCCGATGAGACATCAAAAGACGGAGTTTTATGTGGGAATGTCCCAAAAACGACGGGTATTCTTGTACGGCCACAAGTCCTAAATAAGGCCTAGGGGAGTTGCAGGCGCTGAAATTCGCTTGCAACAACTTGCAGCCCCAAAAAAGGCCACGATGACAAGGGTATGTGCCACCGTCGATGACATCTAATTAATCTTATAAGGCGTTGTTTGTGCGTTTTCGAAAATCGCCACACACGAGATGAATGGATTAAAGCGCCACAATAAAGAGGACCGTCGCCGTGTTGATGGATCGCACTTTCGACCAAATTAACGGCGGATTCAAACTGTTGCGGTGCAGCGAGTTGCGTGCATTTTCGTTTGTTGCGCAACAAGCGAAACAAACTTTTGGCTGGGATGGTTTTGCTGACGAAAAAACTGATTTGTTGAGCTGTTTGACGCAAAATTTGAAAAAAGAAACTCAAAAAATGATTAGCATAGGTGTAAAAAAGCGGAGCGCCCCATAAAAGTTAAATTTATTGGCTTCGCTCAAAGAGTCCGATGAGTTATAGTGGTCGTTTGAATTTTTGAATAGAGTTGGAGATAGTGATGATAAAGCAAGGTATTCTATTAGTAGTCAAAATAGGATATGGTATAGATTGCAGCAGAAGCATCTGGAAGACTTGTTTTGCTGATTTCTTGGGAAATCATGAATCCAAATTTACAAAAATCGTGATTTTACAATTACACAAGTCCCTATTGCTTTGAGATATAAATTTCAATGGCTATATGCCCTGAGGCATCTGAAAATGTCATTTCTTAAAGGCTTTCTCATAACTGACCGCGGTGGAAAGAAAATTGAAGATTTACAAAGTAAGGCCTGCTGTTCGACGCTCAGATTTTCTTCAAAGATCCTACAGACATCCTAGGCCATATATCAAGTCCTAAAAATTTTGACTCCCGCTTTACAGAAGCAGTCGAGATATTCAACGATCTTTGCGGCCGATACATCAGGTAAAGCCTGAATCTGTAATAAATAACAGACAAAACAGCACTGCCGTCCTACCAACCTCAATAAAACTTTGAACAGTCCCATTCATCCTCCCAATTAGTAAAAATCCAATTTCTCGATATGAGAGGAGCCCGTAAAAACGGCCTGCCCCTTTTTCAGATCTGCCGCCGATTTGAAGCGCCAGTCCCAGAGTCGTAAAAGGTGGACTTCGAAGGCGCGACCGACACAAGAAAAAACACGGTCGAGTCTGTAACGTCTCGCCTTCCAAATCGGCTCAGATTTGGCAGGAAATCCAATGCTCTAGAGAATTGATACCTTCAGTTTGATGAGAGAGGCAGAACATGATTTTCAAAAGGAGGAAAATACCGCGAGATTTTTCGTTTTGGATTTTGCCAAATGTAGTAACCGTATGTACATTTTTATCATGTAATAGGCAGCATGATAATGCATGAAATTATACACTGCTCGACAAAATTATAAATGCATCTTTAAAATCGCTGTAACTTTTGTGGTTTCCAATAAAACTGTGCCATATTTGGCTCCAATATGTATTAGTGTACTATAAATCTTGTACCAAAAAATTATTTTGGAAAGTTTCCACAATTTGGAAAAAAGTTGAAAAAACCGAGATTTTTGTGATTTTCTTTGCGACAAAATTATAAATTCGCGTAATGCTTTGCAATTTTCTTGCCCCTGGTGCTGAAACAAAAGTAAGTTATTGGGCTTGGTGGTATTCTTAGAGGTCCTTCTGTCATGCTACGAGGAAAAACGGTGGCAAAACTTGAGAAGGGCGGAATTACGACCCTGAAATGGCAAAGACCTTAAGTTTGGCAGATTTCGGCTCAGGTAGGCCATTCAGCCGGAGTTGTGAAGAACTACTCGACTCACTCGGAAGTCTTCAACACATCTAAACGTTCTGGCAAAAAAAGATTCACCACCGCGGCAGAGCGAGGCAAAGAATTCCGCCGAACTTCCATCTCCACCATCTCTGGGTCCCATAAACAGCAGGAAACAGGTCTCAATTGTTGCAGCATAGCTGTGCTGAGGGCCGTAAGACACAGCGATGTCATCACTGGACGTCATATCAAGTCGTGCCCCAAGCTGGCCTAGGTTCGGTTAGCGCGCGACCAAAATTGGCAAAGGTGACATTGACAAAACAGTTTGAGTAGTCAAGGGTCGGTTTATCATCGTTGCAGTACCGAATTCCTTCGAGATTGCATGGTCAGACGATGTCCTCGACGCTTTCACACATAGCACATATCACTGTCATTACATCAGAAGAGAACCGCGTTATTTCTCGTGCCGTAATGTTGGAGGACCTGTCTTGTCAAAGTCACCTTGGCCAATTTTGGTCGCGCGCTAACCGAACCTAGGCCAGCTTGGGGCACGACTTGATATGACGTCCAGTGATGACATCGCTGTGTCTTACGGCCCTCAGCACAGCTATGCTGCAACAATTGAGACCTGTTTCCTGCTGTTTATGGGACCCAGAGATGGTGGAGATGGAAGTTCGGCGGAATTCTTTGCCTCGCTCTGCCGCGGTGGTGAATCTTTTTTTGCCAGAACGTTTAGATGTGTTGAAGACTTCCGAGTGAGTCGAGTAGTTCTTCACAACTCCGGCTGAATGGCCTACCTGACGAGGGAATGGTCCGAACTTCCCCCAGCGTTTGGGAAAATGACTAGTACAGTTGGATAGAGCAGGTCAACTTTGGTAAAAAGAGCCATTTTCCAGCTGCGAAATGAGCCTAGCCGACGAGAAAAATCGACCGAAAGTTCCACAAAAATTTCCTCTTTCTCTTCCCTCCGAAAAGAAGAGCGGTGTCCAGTGGTTCGGTTAGCCGAGTGGATAATGCATCCGCTCGATATTCTTTTGGGGGTTGGTTCGATTCCGCGGTCTCCCGAAGGACCCGTGATAAGGCTTTGATGGGCAAGATGAAACTCCAAAAAAAAAAATATTTTGCCATTTTTATACGTTTTTATACCAAAACAATAATCGTCAAAAAAATGCATTTTTTGGGTGCTTCCGAACCTTCAAAGCGATAAAACGTCGAAGTTATACTCGTTTGGTGAGAGAAAAGGTTATCAAAAAATCCTATCTTTTTGATACGGTCTGTACCCCACTTTGTTATTGTTTAAAAATTTTTATATGTCAGCCTGTCGGGAAAATAACGGCGGATCGTTGCGCCTCCGATTCGCCCATCATCGCATTGCGACGGCGGCCAGCTGGAGATTTGGTGCGCGAGAGCGGTGAGGCGAGACACTTTGATGCGACGATCCACCGTTATTTTCCCGACAGGCTGATACCTATAAAACGTATAAAAATGGCAAAATATTTTTTGGAGTTTCATCTTGCCCATCAAAGCCTTATCACGGGTCCTTCGGGAGACCCCGGAATCGAACCAACCCCCAAAAGAATATCGAGCGGATGCATTATCCACTCGGCTAACCGAACCACTGGACACCGCTCTTCTTTTCGGAGGGAAGAGAAAGAGGAAATTTTTGTGGAACTTTCGGTCGATTTTTCTCGTCGGCTAGGCTTATTTCGCAGCTGGAAAATGGCTCTTTTTACCAAAGTTGACCTGCTCTATCCACCTGTACTAGTCATTTTCCCAAACGCTGGGGGAAGTTCAGACCATTCCCTCGTGAGCCCAAATCTGCCAAACTTAAGGTCTTTGCCATTTCAGGGTCGTAATTCCGCCCTTCTCAAGTGTTGCCACCGTTTTTCCTCGTAGCATGACAGAAGGACCTCTAAGAATACCACCAAGCCCAATAACTTACTTTTGTTTCAGCACCAGGGGCAAGAAAATTGCAAAGCATTACGCGAATTTATAATTTTGTCGCAAAGAAAATCACAAAAATCTCGGTTTTTTCAACTTTTTTTCAAATTGTGGAAACTTTCCAAAATAATTTTTTGGTACAAGATTTATAGTACACTAATACATATTGGAGCCAAATATGGCACAGTTTTATTGGCAACCACAAAAGTTACAGCGATTTTAAAGGTGCATTTATAATTTTGTCGAGCAGTGTATAGAAAGTGCTCTACGCACAACGCTTTGACTTTGACGAAAATTGGCGCAAATTCAGATAAAATTTGCTAACAGAGGAAGTACTCCAAGTGCGACGCTCAGATTTTGATGAAACTTGGCACAAATTTAGAATAATTTTTTCTAAGAAATATGCGAGAATCCTAGCTCGAAAAATCTCGGAAACAACCGAGATTTTTAGATCGAAAGTCGGCGAAAATTTGGGACTTTTTGCCGATTTTCGGCACGAAAAGTTTCATGCCTATTTCTACCGTAAAGGATAATATTTCTACAAAAAATCAAATTTTTCCCCACGAAACGCCAAAGTTATGGCCAAAAAGCGTTTTTCTCCCTGACCGCTCTCCACGTTTAGCGTGCTCTCTCGGCGGCAAAAATCGTTCGATATCTCGACGGCGCCCGCAATGCGCGAGCTAAAACTTTCAGGAATTGATATTTGGTCCATACCCGACGTTCGTGCAAATTTTAAAGAAAATCTAATGCAAGATTCCTAGCTCGCATTATGCAGAAATGAGAGGTTTTTAGGTCAAAAGGTAGGAAAGAAGTGGGATTTCTTTGCGAACTTTGGCGTGAAAAGACTCATATCTTCAGCCGTAGCGAGGAGCTCGTTTCCACAGAAGAAAAAATTGCTTCTACACGAAATCAGCAAAGAAATGACCAAAAGAGTCCTTCTCTACGACCTCTCTCCGCGCTTTACGTACTCCCTCAACAGCAAAAAACGTTCAATATTATAGTGGTGCCTGCAAAGCGCAAGCTGAAATTTTGCATTGATATGTGGTCTATGCCTGGCGTAAGGTTCATCAAGAGAAATGCAACATCATCACATGGGCTTTAACCGTTACTGTTTCTTTGCCGTGTAGAGTATGCAGCAAAATGCAAACCCTTTTTTGCTAAACTCTGGACATTCCTTACGAAGAAACATTGTATTATATTATACATAGCCTATTTTTTCTTACCGGAAAACTGGCCAAACTAGCTTCGAGCTTTTCAAAGCCAACTCAAGACTTCTTTGACCTCAGCTGGAGTCTCGGCATTCCAACAAAGCCCTTATCCCAACCCTCCTAAAGCTTTGGCATGTCCGTGAAAACAAAGGGATGAGTTGCGGATTAATTACGCAACCTATTAAAAACTGCGTCAGCGGATCTCTTTCAACTTTGACTAATGCGATAATAAAGTTTTGACGGAATGGAAAAACTTAGGTTTGTTGCGCAAGTCTGTGAATAGTATTTGCACAAAGAGATAGAACTTGTTGCTATTTATAAGTGTCACAGTATGTTATCAACAATAAAATACCTTGAGAAATTTTGCAGGCATGGTTGGAAATCAGATAAGATTTGCTTACGACAGAAAGTCCAAACGATGGATTTGACAGTAGGATATTGCACATTAAGCTTTCATTTGTATAAGTAGCTCGAATAGCTACCATGAGGTAAGCCAGGCACTTTTTAAACGTCCAGAAACTATTGTTTTTGAACAAATTACCATAACTTTGAAAGCGGTGGATGAATTAGATAGATTCCATCTGTACCATGGAGTTGCCGATGCAAAATTTCTATCACAATGCGTAGATTACGGTAGAAAAATCGTATTTCCAGTAACTGTCGAATGCCCGCAAAGCGGTTGTTCGACTCTTTTGCAAGTCTTTAAAAAACTTTAGAAGCAGCTAGCAGGTTGTATGCATTTAGCCGTGATATCATTCGTTTGCGGAGGAGTGGATCAAGTTTTTCGTCATGTTCTCCTCGAACTGCCTAAAAATATGTGTATGTTTTCGGTTCAAAGGTCAAGGATACAAATGTTGTGTTATGAGTAAAATGTTATTCCGAACTGAACAGCTGTTGGTTTGAACTTCGATTGGCGGTAATTTAAGGAAGCTGATGACTCATAGGGGATACTGTACTTGATGTCTGTTGCGATGGATTGGCAAAAAAATCTATCTTTTTTCTTGAAGTTTCCATGGCTTCTGGAAAGATCCATTGAAACCCCTCTGGCGTTTACTGCTGAAAGGCGTTGCGTACCTTTCTTTGTACGGACAAAACATTTTTTCTATGGCCGCCTTCAGCTTTTACCGTACTCTGTCGGCCCCAAATATTTATCTGTATATCTCTGCTGCCTCATCGTACAAGCTAAAACTTCGAAGAACCTGAGCCAGTTTACTATCTGAAAGTTGGCTGAGCATGGCCGATGTGGTTCGAAAAGAAAGCCAAATACATTGTAATACTTGCTGTTTGCAATTTGGGGTTTTTATTGTTATGAGACGGCCTACGCCAGAGCTACGTCTCGTTTGCCATGAAAAATTCTCAGCACTCTTTCAGATAGGAAATCAGCTCCTGTTCTGTGGCCTATGCGGTGGAAAAATTTAAAAAAAAAAGTGAGTGTTGAACTTGGGACATTTCCCTTGAAGGATCACAAGACCAGCTTCCTACATCATCCCCAGTCCATATTTCATCTCGTAACAGCTGTTTTGGCGTTCGTCATCCGAGGATCAAACCGAGAGGAGATAAAATGACTTTCGATATGGGCGTGCTTTCTGTTCACGTCGGTTTGCGAAACTTGACGAGATGCGGTTTTATGAAATGCTCGAGAAGACGCTGGCTGTGACTGGTTTTAGATCCTGTAAATCATTAGTCAATAAGAGGTTTACAAAATTTACTGTAGATAATTGTATTGTACTGAAATGACTCTTAATTTACCTCAATATTAATATTGATATATACCTTTGTATATATGTACATATTTTTTAGACTAGTAATGTTTCTTTTTTTCCATCCGTTTTGATTTTCAAAGCATCCGTCTTTCGAGATTTTTTTGCTTTTCTTGAGAGATAAGTAATCCTTTTATCGGGGTGACTCATCAGTTTTTTTTGCGTCTTGAGTGTTTACGGTTGGGTAATAAAGAAGTCAAGGGCGTTTACCTCGAAATTTCTCGTTTGAACTCCGAGGTAAGGAGAGTTATCGTAGTCTAGCGGCAATGGGTCAAAATTGGGGATGTTTGAGGGTCCAAAACCTCTGTACAGTGAATCAAAAAAAGGCTTGAGGAAATTTAAATTTATTTTTCCATGTCGGGAAAATAATGTGGATTTGCCGAGCTTTTGAATCTCCTTTCATCGCTTTGCAACAGCCAGCCGCGGCTGGAATTTTGCTGCGACAAATTCACATTATTTTCCCGACAGACTGATAGACTGGTCCACAGCACAGATGGGTATTGTAAAACAGGCGTTTTTCACTGCCTTTACTCTGTTTTCAAAGTCAATTTGAAATACTCTTAACTTTGTTTTGATTCAAAATCACCGTTCTTCTCTGTCTTTAGGTCATGAAAAGAAGGTTTCTCTCCCCCCACCCGGCGTTCCGGAGAGTTTATGCGAAAGCGACCGTCGCAAAAAGCAGGGAAAGGAAGCTCGGACGGTGAAATGAATGCGTCTAATCCGCTTCCAAATCCCCCCTGGCAGCAGTGTTAAGTCGCTCCCGGAGAAGGGGATCGGTGTTGTTCGGATCTGTCGTCTGTTTTGCGGTTTCTTCAGCCCAACATGACTTTTCTGGCTGTTTAAAGCTTGAAAAAGATGATGGTAGAGTCTTGGCTTGAAGATGGCTTTAGAAATATTTGGGAAAATGGACTTCTGAGGGGCGATTATAACGATATGCAGCTTGTTTTTGTAGGAGAAGTTGCTAGGATTGCAATTCTCAGATTTTGATAAAACTTGGCATCAATAAAGGCCAAGCCTTTGGAATACGTATCAGCGATTTTTGGCTTCCGTTTTGCAGGAGTCATAAAGGCCTTGAAGTCAAAATTTGCCGCGGATCGGACATTTTTTCTATATTTTTGAGGTACATATAGCATTAACAGTCCGGCTGGAAATGAGTTTATAATCGGTCTAAATTATTTTTCATGTTATAACTTTACAGAGATATTGCCAAACGACTTCTTTTTTTTAACCGCCTCGTCATTTTCCATACTGTCCCCCAGAAAAAATCATTAAATACCTTCGCGTTCGCTACAAAGCGTGAGCTAGAATTTTCTGGAAATAATATATATCATGTAAAAGATATCCAGGCCAAATGTGATGATAATCAAAGCTTTTGATCTTCAGCATTTACATTATCAATTTCTTGAGTCATAAATTTCTTATGGCCTTGACTTTTGTCCATTACTTTCCCATCTAGGCCAATATCTCCCATCAATACGAACCGCTGTTCACTCGGGTCCACGTGACCCCGAGGCCGCGCAATTTGCGTTCCTATATATTTTTATAAATGTAATTGCGCACCGTCTTCTCCGCCCGTCTCTAGCCTCCATTTCCTCGGGTTTCTCACCCACAACAGGTGCGCTTTTCGCTGTTTTTGGGTGGGAAGACGATTTTTTGCGCTTTTTCCCTTTCCTCGAGACTTGAGACCGTTGATATCGAATATTGTTTTGAAAATCTTGCGGATTTTTGATGACAAATAATTTTTTGAGATTATTTAGAAAGCCTTGTCATCAGATGCTATTGCGAAAGCCTTGATATTGAATGCTGTTTGAAAGGATTTGTGAAATTCGAACCGTTTTTTTCTTATTTTTTGAGCGGGTAATCGAAAGGTACTTGAGGTTTGATGCTCAACCTTGCTTCAAGCTTTGAATTTATATTTTGTCTATGCCAGACATCACTTCTCAAAAAATTTATGAGAATATTCAACAATCTTTGCGGTTGGCAGAGTACGCTAAGAGCAAAGAGCGGTCACAAAAAACACTTTTTAGTTATAGCTTTGCCAGTGCTGCGTTGAAAAAATGATTTTTTGTGGAAACATTACCCTCTGCTATAGAAATGGGCGTCAAAATTTTTCTACCAAACTTTCTAAAAACTTTCCTATTTTCGATCAAAAAATCTCGGTCGTCTTTGCAAAATACTGAGTAAAAAGTATTCTTAATTTGTGCCAAGTTCTGTTAAAACCCAAGAGTTATCTCTTGAGCAATTCTATTTGAAATGCTTTTTTCGCTTTTCCATTTTTTCAGCTCTGTCTCCATCAAATTTTGAATCAATGTACCGCGATTTGTAAAGTGAATTTTAGAGTCTATTTCTTTCACTTAAAATTTTCTTCCAAATTTCAGCGATGATTTCGAGGTTGTGGCTAGCAATTCTTCTCCTCAACCTAATACTGATCTCGGAAGCGGCGCACAAATGCGTTTGGGTGACTGGCGTTCTGAAATGCCGCAAAAATCCCAGAAACCATGCCAATGTGGAGGTCAGAGTCTATGACAAGGATGGGATCTCGATTCTGCAGGCCATCGATCCCGATGATATTATGGGGTAGGAATTTTGAAAAAAACTTTTTTCTCTGTAATTAACTAAAGAAGTGTTCAAAGTGCGACGCGCAGATTTTGATGAGATTTGGAAAAAATTTATAAAGGAAAATCCACTCTTTCCGCACAAAACTGGAAAACATATAGTAAAAACACGTTTTCCTCTCTGACCACTCTCTTCGTTTAACGCACTCTCTCGTCAAACAAGAGCGTTGAATATCTTGGCTGCCATTGCAAACCGAAACCTAAAACTTTCAGAAATTTATCTCACGCTTATGTTCTATGCGTGTGCAAAGCTTAACGGGTAAAGTATGAGCTTCGCACTTGGGACATTTTTAGCTTCGCCTATAACGAATTATTTTTTGGGGTCTTTTCTGATTCGTTCTTCATACAGTGGCGGACCCGATCCAGTGGCAAAAAACGTACCATTTTACCTCCGGGAAGTATCAAAAATGTGGCAAAATGCTTCCCTCTCCAAGTGAAAAGGCTTCGTTTTGAAGGGCGCGCATTTTTTCCCCACAAAAAGAGCAGGCGCGCTTTTGAAATCTGATTTTTTTCCACTTGGAGAGGGAGGTATTTTGCCACATTTTTTGATACTTCCCAAATGCAAAATGGTACTTTTTTGCCACTGGATCAGGTCCCCCACTGTAGCTTTAACTTCATTTTCCCAAGAGTTTTTTTGACTTTCCCCAGGCCCAAACGGTCTCTAAAATTTCATAAATTGCACTTTCAGTGTCACCTTCACCGACGAAGACGGCACCTTCAAATTGGACGGCTGTGGCGACGATTTTGACTGGCTCCCTGGAGTCCCAAACGTCCCCGAACCCTACCTCCAGATCCGGCATTTCTGTAACAGCGAGAAGGGTGAGACGATTCGACTTCCCGAGTTCGACGTCTTCGTCCCAGACACCTACGATGTGGGGATTTTGGAGCTGGACGAGACCGCCACTTCCACAACCAACCCCAAGTTCGGAAATCACGCCGACGAGCCGTTGGTGAAAATGGAAATCCCCGTGGAATTGGAGGACGATGACGGAACGGTGATCACCAAGCCCGACAAAGCCATGCATAAGGAATAATCTCAGAGAAAAATGTGAAAATTTGAATCTGTTCTTTAAGTTATGCGTATGTATATCTCATGTTTAGTTCTCCATAAAGTTGCATAATACTATAAACTTTGAGACCCAAGGAAATGAATAAAAACTTTTAAAAAATGGAAAATTAAACAGTGGGGTCCTTTGAGATGCCCATTTTGGCGTAAAAAGTTTCGTACTCATTTCTATCCTATAGGGTAATGTTTCAACAAAAAGTACATTTTCCGCATGAAACTGGCAAAGACATGGCAAGAAAGTGATTTTATCTGTGACCGCTTTTCACGTTTAGCGTGCTCTCTCGGCGGCAAAAATCGCGGCACCTATAAAGCTTGAGCTAAAATTTTCACGAAATGAAATGTGGCTATGCGAGAAATATGTGCAAAATTTTAAGAAAACCTGAGCGTTGCACTTGGGGTTCTTCCAATGAAGGCACCTACGAGAAGCCTGCGCTTTGCAGAAACGACCGATTTTTTGATTTTTAAATCAATAGTTGGCAAATTTTTTTCAATAATTGATACAGTGGGCGACTTGAGCCAGTGGAAAAAACGTGCCATTTTGAGTCCGGGAAGTATCAGAAATGTGGCAAAATACTTCCCTCTCCAAGCGAGAAAAACTCCGATTTCAAAAGCGCGGTCGCTCCTTTTGTGAGGCCCTTCAAAACGACGTTTTTTTCACTTGGAGAGGGAGGCATTTTCCCACATTTTTGATACTTCCCGGATGCAAAATGGCACGCTTTTTGCCACTGGATCAAGTCCCTCACTGTATGTGGCCCATACCAGAAATGCGTGTAAAATTTTATAAAAATCTGAGCGGGCAGTTAGAGAGTTAGAGTACTCCTCTTGCTTACCTTCGAAATAGCCAGTAATGTCTGTTATTAGTCAGTCATTTTCCTGACTGACTAATAACCCAAAAAATGTCAAATCCGTGGGGCAAAAGGTTACAAGAACGAGTCGCCGAGTCATCGGGCTCGTTTCCTAAGGTCTTCGGCCTGAAGTGGCAAGATCTTTTTTTCTGGAAATTCCCTTTGCTCTTACTCAGCCCCTTCATCCCATATGACCTAACCAAAAAAGCGCGTCCCCCCATTCGGATTGATAAAAGCGATAAAACAACGAACAGTTGGCCTCCCTCAGATTTTTCTCTGGCATGGGAAAAACACAAATCTCGGAATAGACGCGTTTATTACTCCCCTCTCAGCACCATGTTTCCGAAATTGTTGACCATTTCGCTCATTTTTGCGACATTTCCTGTTGCGTTTTCGCTGAACGAGTGTGTCAGGGCCAAGGGACGAGTGTTCTGCGATGGTGAGGCGTATCAGGGCGCGAAGGTTCGGCTCTATGATATCGATGAGGTGGAGAATTTGGGACCCATCACCAAGATTTTGAAACTCCTAAATCCCGACGATCTTATGGAGTAAGTTTTAACTTTAAACATTGTTTGCTTTGGTAGTAAATTTACAATTATTGTAGCAAGGGGAGTGTTAAAAGTGCGACGCTCAGATTTTTCTTAAATTTTGCAAATTCGTCTTTCATTGATTGCTGAAAATTTTAGCTCGCGCTTTGCAGATGCAGATGAGATATTCAACAAACCTTGCGGCCGAAGAGAGCACGTTAAACGAGCAGAGTGGTCACAGAAAAAAAAATTCGTCATATCCTTGACATCTCCGCGTGGAAAAAATTTATTTTTTGGGAAAAAATTACCCTCTATGGGGAAAATAGGCAAAAAAGTGCCACATTTTTGCCAACTTTGCTCTCACATGTAAAAATGAACTAATCTAAACTTGCGTCACATAAATTTTTTATGGGTCTATATTTTTCTCCCAGAATTAAAAATATTTTTCCCCAGAAAAGAGCATTATAGAAAAACTCCTATTTTCTCCCAGAAAAAATATATTTTCTCCCAGAAAGAAAATATTTTTCCCCAGAAAAGAGAATTATAAAAAAATGCTATTTTCTCCCAGAAAAGAAACTATTTTCTCCCAGAAAGCATAATTTTGTAAAAATAAAGCACGGAAGTAGTAAAAATTGATGAATAAGTAACTTTACAAGTAAAATAAGTTAAGTAGTAGTGCAAAATAGTATTTGTAGTAAGTTTTTGAGGAAATATTGGAAATAGGGGCAATCGACGGTGCTGATTTCGAAAATGATTCTTATTTTTTGTGATTTTTACTTTTTTGTGGTCAAAGAGTGCATTGAAGTGTACATCGACAGCCTTTCTTTGTCATCTTTTGCGCCGGGAAGAATAAGAGAAACTCATCCTTGTTTTCATTGGGAACAAAGGAGATCCAGGAATACAATAATTCATTCACATATGTTTTTGTATAAATCATTATAATTCTTGCTTCGTTTTAAACTCAATTAAGAAGTCGGCTAAAGTAATATCATCTGGAATTTGAAAATCTGGGAAAAGATTTGATAAACATGGGATTTCCAACTTTATTGTATCCATAATATTGATCTAAAGGAGAATTCCAGTAACTTCAAAGAGTTCGAGACAAAGTTGAACATTGCGTAACATAATTTCTGCTGTTACGCATACAAATCAAGATTTCAAATTTTTCTGCATAAATGGCAGAAAAAAACGACATGGTATTGATTTCATTTCCTGTATATCTCCAAGTAATTTTGCGGAGTTTGGTTTTGTTAACACGATGAATGAGTCGAGCGAACCCGAGCTTATGCAAGACAGCGACGTAGAAGTCGAAGATGTAGATGCTCCTGTTCTTGAAGAAATTGAAAGTAATGGAAACAGGTTCAACCGTTCAGCCAGGCCCCGACACGAGTATCATGAAGTCCAGCGGTTTGAGTCGGCGGAAGCGTTTCAAGAATGGTGGGTATCAACAGGGAGTGAAATTTGGGAGTCAGAAAAGAAGCACACGACTAGCGAGGGAATGCATGTCATCTACTATCGGTATGTTTTTTTTAAGTGAAGATTTCATTTTTAGATGCTTGAATAAACAGTGCCCTGGACGAGGGAAGGTGGAGTTTAGCGCGACAAGTCAGTGTGTCAGCTACTTGGAATCCAATGTTGGACACCTCTCAGGAGCCCACGCATCCTCAAACAATCTGAAAACCTTCAAGGAGGAGATCGTACGCCTAATGGAGCTAGGCTTGAAACCAAAGAAAATCCGGATGGAACTGCTGGTGAGTTTTGTAGTACTATTTATTTTCAATGCATTAGGATAGTTAAATCATCGTTTTTGCATAAATTGCACATTTTTTACAGAAATTTTGCATTTTTTTTGTTTTTTCATCGGAGCTATGACAAATGGAACGTTTTGAAGCCATGTGCAAAACTTTTGCACATGTGCAAAAGTTTTGCACATGGCCTTAATCGTTATTTTTGTACACCAGGATGATAAAAATATACATTTTCGACGTTTTTTTGCGGAAATTGCACATGTGCAAACTCCGAGCAATTCGGGGATCAACTGGTTCATCACCGTCATACGGTTTGGCCGATGCTGCGGAAGCAATTTCGCTGGCGTTTCAACGAGTCTTCCCTTCCGCTGTCAGGCTAATGTGCTGGTTCCACATGAACAAAGCCGCAGAAAAAAAGACGAAACAGTTCAACAAAGCCGTCGCCCAAAACATCAAGGACAACATCTTCATGCTCCACAATGCCCTAAATGTCAGTCAATTCAGAAACGGTAAGATTTTAACCTTTTTGTTCCATGTTTAGGTGGCTACATTAATATGCCTTTAATTGTAGTTGGATTGCTGATGTCGCAGTCTTGGTTGGACTCTGGAATAGACCCCAACTTCGTGGAGTATTTCAAAACGGAATGGCTCTACTCGGAAGTCTTTCGGTGGTTTGAAGGTGCCAGCCCTTTTCCAAGCACCAATAATGGAGTGGAATCTCAAAATAACCAGATAAAGAGTCAACATTCGTTCCGAGAAAGACTGAACTTTCATGAATTTGTCACCTGGGCTACCGATATGATTAAGCTAGACTGGTCAAAACACCATCCCGATCCTTCTCAAATCGAACAGAAGACTCCACCACACATCTATGCCTCAGCGTTTGCCATGAAGCGCAATAATAGGCCAGTTTTCATCATCCAGAATAACGAAATCTATGCGATGCCTTCATCCGAACACCTTGCTCTTGACGCCAGGACCGTAAAGCAAATCTACCGGAAGATCACAGGAGATATCTTCGAAAGTTTTGCAGACTATGCGGAAAACAGATTTAAAGTAAGTCTTTTGGATTTGGAATAATCCGAAATAATTTTAGGTTTTTATCGTCTCAAAATCTGGTATGCGCTTTACATGCACATGCCCCGAAGGTACCAAGAAGAACCGATGTAAGCATGCAGTCTTCATCGAATGCAAGCTCAACTTGGCGCAGTATCCCCCAGATGCCATGGCAAATCAACTTCAACCAAAGAAGAAGAGAGGCCGTCCACGGAAAGCAATAACGCAAAGTCAAGCTTCAAGATCCAGAGTACAACTTCAGTCCCAGTTATCAGCTTCCTCGCCAAGACGACTTCAACATGATGCACCCTCGACATCCACAGGATTTGGATTTTCCGTATTCTCCGTTGAACCCTCATGATAATACTCGTAATATTAATAATTGTACATATTATGTTGTAGTTGACCAATAGAAAATACAATAAACTTCTATCACAAATCTTCTAATATTAGTATCACGCATTTTAAAACGTGTAATATGCGTAATTCTTGCAAGTAGCGTTTTCAGTAACCCAAGCTTGACAATTTTCGGCAAAAAAATGAAAATGATACTGCTTCACCACACTCTTTGACCACAAAAAAGTAAAAATCACAAAAAATAAGAATCATTTTCGAAATCAGCGCGGTCGATTACCCCTATTTCCAATATTTCCTCAAAAACTTACTACAAATACTATTTTGCAGTACTACTTAACTTATTTTACCTGTAAAGTTACTTATTCATCAATTTTTACTACCTTCCGTGCTTTATTTTTACAAAATTATGCTTTCTGGGAGAAAATAGTTTCTTTTCTGGGAGAAAATAGCATTTTTTTCATAATTCTCTTTTCTGGGGAAAAATATTTTCTTTCTGGGAGAAAATATATTTTTTCTGGGAGAAAATAGGAGTTTTTCTACACAGGGGATTCGGATTTACTTATAAAAACTTTTATCTACTTATAAAAACTTTTATTTACTTATAGGTGCCAAAAAATTCACTTATAAGTAAAAAAAGGCGGAGCCTATTTTGCTTTACTTATAAGAAAACCTTATTTACTTATAAGAACTTTTATTTGCTTATAAGAACTTTTAGTTACTTATAATTACCAATAAGGACTCCGAAAAGAAAACAGTTGAGCGCCAAAGACGCTTTTGGCTTTTTGAACGCATGGGCGAAACTTAGAAATTCTAAGTTTTTCGGAGCAGTGCTGGTCAAAGAAGGTGCATAAGGGTATTTATACCTAGGATGGAACAAGGTAAGGTATTTTTAGTGAGTTTTTTCTTTCAGAACTGTAAAAAGTGGACAGATGAAAAATCCGGAACGTAAGAAACTTCCTGAATAGAAAGCATGTCAACATGGAAGACCTAGGAACAAGCATGCTCAACCAAGAATTCAGATGAAGAACCCCTTCATCAATTTTGGTAGGTTTTTTAAACTGATTCCATATTTCAGAAGGCCAGAAACTTTTTAAGACAAAGTTTTGTTATGTTGTACTAGGTCCAGGTGAACCGCTAGTTTTCAGATAATCACAAAATTGGTCATGGAGGAAGTAAATGGACAACGTGAACACGATGCCTGGAAAAATGGCTCCCATATGCTTCAGGTATGTTGATAATATTCGCCTGAACCTAGTACAACATGACAAACTTCATGTCTCAAAATCTCTCATTGTCAAATTTCTGATCCTCAAACTAATTTTTGGGATGGAAAAGCAGAAAAAAATCGGTTCAAGGACAGCTCATAGTAAACTATCTCCGAAAATTTTATTCAATTTTTCTTTATCTTTGAATATTTTCAGTGAATCTAGCTGCTGGAGTACCCATAGAAAACCCGCGCTGAAGCAATCCTTGCCCCGCCAGGACAAATGACACAGATGCTTACCCAGGAGCACAGAAGATGCGCTAACCACATATCTTACCGGTAATATATCAGTCAGGTTGTTTTTTCTTTGTTTGAATAAATTTATATCTATCCTGCACTGTGCATAATTTTCTGTTACCTATAAGTATTTATAATTACCTATAAGTGAATTTCCCGGGCGCCGAAAATAAAAATTACCTATAAGTGATTTCAAAATCACTTATAAGAACTTTTATTTACTTATAAGAACTTTTATTTACTTATAAAAACATCGAGTTTTTATAAGTAAATAAAGGTTCTTATAAGTAAATCCGAGTCCCCTGTGTATAATGCTCTTTTCTGGGGAAAAATATTTTTAATTCTGGGCGAAAATATTTTTCCCATTTTTTATTTTTCAATATTTTAAAAATTCTTTAAAAGACGATTTTTGGCTCGCTGCGTCAGCCGCGGACATTCAAAAAAATTTTTTTTTTTGAGTTTTTTAGCCTAAAATGTTGGTATAGGTCACTAAAACACATTCCCAAAATTTTTTTGCCCAGTGGTGCCCGGAAGGTAGAAATTTGCATACGGTTATAACCGTCCTTCTGAGCTCTGCTGTTGCCGTCGCAATAAAGACAGCTTGACGAAACCGGCACCATATAGGTTTTGGTGGATGGCAAATTCAAAAATCGCAATTTCAAGTTGGTAGGATTACAGTAACATACAGTTTTTGACCTTCGGTTGATAAAAATCGACCGTATCTCCTTCAAATCAAAAATCCCACACGATTTTATTGCAGATTTGGAATCAGCGTAAAATTCTGGTCTAGGAACATGTAATTTGCATCCTTGATTCCGTGGCAGATAAATCATGGCGCAGTGGGTTTTGACGAAAACTAGTAATCTGACGACCCTGGTTCGATACCCGCTGGAGACAAATATTGTAAAAAAGATGGAAATGACATTTATTGGAATTATGAGGGTTGTATGAGCAACGCTGAGTATTTTTAGACATCAATGGAACATGAATTTGAGGTTAAAACAGGATTTATATTATTTTAGTCTCGGAATCCGTGAAAAATAAAACTGCTTCAAACGGGCTGAAATTGATAACACTTATTCTAGGCCTAATTCTTAGAAACTTTTGCGTTAACTTTTTTTCGTTAGATTACTGTATCGTGGATTACGGTAACATAAAACCCAATTTTGTTTTTTCATGCCACAAGGCGCAGAGCCATCGGAATATCACGAAGATTGAAGGAATGGTTAAGAACGAGTGGGCTTGCGCATTAATAGTTCGTTTATGGCCGTACGTTTTGAAATACCTGAGTTATCTGACACAATATCGCCAATGGATGATGATATTAATTCACACTGAAAATGAGTTAAAATTGCATTTTAAATATGAGGCATGCCCGCTTTCTGCCGTTTGAATAATATAACCAAAAAAAATTTTAATTTTATTCGAAAATTTTGAAGCAATCGCCTTTAAGGAGGCCGAGCTTTTTGTTACCGTAATCCACGATACAGTAATCTAACAAGAAAAAGTTAACGTAAAAGTTTCTTAGAATTAGGCCTAGAATAGGTGTTATCAATTTCAGCCCGTTTGAAGCAGTTTTATTTTTTACGGATTCCGAGACTAAAATAATATAAACCCTGTTCTAACCTCAAATTCATGTTCCATTGATGTCTAAAAATAGTCAGCGTAGCTCATACAACCCTCATAGTTCCATTAAATGTCATTTCCATCTTTTTTACAATATTTGTCTCCAGCGGGGATCGAACCAGGGTCGTCAGATTACTAGCTTTCGTCAAAACCCACTGCGCCATGATTTATCTGCCACGGAATCAAGGATGCAAATTACATGTTCCTAGACCAGAATTTCACGCTGATTCCAAATCTGCAATAAAATCTTGTGGGATTTTTGATTTGAAGGAGATACGGTCGATTTTTATCGACCGGAGATCAGAAACAGTATGTTACAGTAATCCTACCAACTTGAAATGCGATTTTTGAATTCGCCGTCCCGCAAAACTTATATGGAGTCGGTTTCGTCAAGTTTTCTTTATTGCGACGGCAACAGCAGAGCTCAGAAGCACGGTAATATCCGTATGCAAATTTCCACCTTCCGGGCATTTCTGGGCAGAAAAATTTTGGGAATGTGTTTTAGTGACCTATACCAACATTTTAGGCCAAAAAACTCAAAAAAAATTTTTTTGAATGTCCGGCCCCTCGTATTGTCTGACGCAGCGAGCCAGAAATCGTCTTTTAATTACATGTTTTTTTCAGCCGAACAATCTCTCTAGCCGACGGAAGCTACGAGCTGTCGGGCTGTGCCCGCGACTTCGACTGGGTCGCCTTCAACAACCAAATTGAGCCGTTCATTTTCATCACGCACAAATGCAATGGGAAAAGTGAGACCGTTCTGGTTGAAGTGAAAGTGGATCGAACTGATGATTATATGACCCCGGAATTCGATGCTGGAATCATGGAGCTCAGTCAGGCTACCGAGTTGGAATAATCGAACAATCTTTCACTGTATTTAACACTGTCTTCGACAATAAACACATCGAAAATCGTCTAATTCTTACTCTTGTTAGAGGTTTATTAACAATAACAACAACTAGCACCTCAAAAATCGCGCTAAAAAAATAAAAAATTTTAAAAATCAAAAACTGATTACATTCAAGATTGATTTTCGGTACCCTTAATACTTCTTCCATCCAAATAGCATCAATTATTCACCGTTCTACAAAATCTGAGATCCAAATAAGTCGCCGGTTCGTTCATTTTTGACCTGTTCATTTTTGACCTTCGGCTGATGCTTCTTCCATTTCTTTCCCTTGTTTTTATTGAATTTTTCGGGTCGTGCTGGAGGGAGGGACCCAGGAATTCTTGATTGGACGATCTGCCAGACCAATGGGATGCGGACGTTGATGCCTTGGAACAATTCTGAGGGTTTTCCCAGTACTTCCCATGGGTTTGTGTCACGATTTGGGTCCAATTTCTCTTCCGAAATCGAGGTTCTTTTCGGTTCCACATCTCCGAATCTATTGGAATTGTCCATTTCCTCCACAGACTCTAAAAATTGTCAAATTAAACGGGGAAATTGACCAGAATCAATCAAAAATGAAGTCAAGTCATCAATAAATAAAGTAGAAGGTGGGTCATTCAAACCTTGAAGGTTAGTTTTGCTAATAACACATGAAATAATAGGTCCAAATTTACAAAATTATATATTTTTTGATCTACAGAGCACCTGCTTTTTCTCCACACAACTTTTTTTGTAGTATCCCTTCAAGACTTCTTTGAAATCAAGATTCTTTCTGACATAAAGATAAGCGGGTTTTGTAAAAAAAATCTTGATTTCAAACAAGTCTTAAAGGGATATTACAAAAAAAATTATGTGGGGAAAAAGCAGGTGCTCTGCAGATCCAAAAAATATAATTTTTATAAATTTGGATCCATTATTTTATGTGTTATTAACAAAAATAACCTTCTAGGTTTGAATGGCTCATCCCATTATTTATTGTAAACTTGAACTCATTTTTCATTCCCTTTGCTCATGTTTTCATTTCATTCAACACGCACCTTGCTTTACTGCCTTTTCTTCTTCCCTTTCTTCTTGTTTCACATTTCCATTTTCTTCGTCCTGAACTTCTTCATTGTCCTCTTTAATCCCGCTCTGACCTTCGTCCTGCCCTTCTTCATGTTCTCCATCGCAATTCGAGCCGTCATCCAGGTGTTTTCTCCATTTATTCTTGCGTTTCTTCGGGATTCTGAGCAATCGTTTTGCCACTTCCGCAAAAATCTTTGTGTCCGTCCAGATTTGCCTGAAAACATCGAAAATTAGCGAAATAAACCTTGGGAATAACTTGTAAGAGAACGTTCGCACGTTGAGCACTGCCTCTGTTAAAATATCCTTAATAAACCCCTTTCCCTACTTACTCTCCCTCAATTGTTTCGTCGAATACTCTCATATTTTCTCCATCCCGCATGAGCAAATAATTTCCTTCCTCCAGGCCCTTAATAAACTCCAAAAGCCGATTAAATCGCTCGCATCGATAAGACACCAGCTGTCTGGTGTGATCTTCAAATTGCGAATACATCGTGCTGGCTTTTTTGCGCTCAATCTGCAACAAGGCTCGGTTGTTGGCGTGAATTCGGAAGACCAAATGCTTTTCCGCGTCTTTCATGAGGGTTGTGAAGTAATTGGCCATTTCTTCTTCCTCATGGATCACTTCGGCGCCCAGCGATGGGATGTATTCTGGCTTGACGGAGAGCGACATCAGGTTATGATCGACGTCTCTCCCATGATTATTGGTTCTTATTAGGACCCTGCTTTGGACATCTTCGCCAATTCTGAGGACCGAATATCGATAATCAGACTTTGTGGAGACTGACCGTGGCTCGGACGTGGGGAAATCTGTAAACAATCATTGAAATCCGACTTCGATGATTTTTTCGAAGGTTCTTGGACTCAAGGGGCGATTTTATACGCCAACAAAGAGGATCAAGCCCGTCACAGCATTGGGCATGAAAACTAGACGACAGGATGTCTCCAGAATTCTGACCATTTTGAGATATCAACAATTTACTCAACACTGAAGATAAGAAAATGATTTTCCGAAGGGTCTTAGTCTCAACGGGCTATTATAAACATCAACAAAGAGGGTTCTGGGCGTCGGCGGAGAGCTTTGACTTTGGCACAGGCGATAAAGGGTATTGGAAACATAAAATGTCTGCATGTCCAGAAACACCGATAATATTAGTTTAAGAAGGTACTCTTTGATTCTTAAAATTGGGAAATTGTACCTTAAGAAACTAATTTGGAAAATATCGACGTTTCTGGACATACCGACATTTTATGTTTCCATTACCCTTGATAGCCTCTACCAAAGGCAAAGCTCTTCGCCGACGCGCATAGCCCTCTTTGTTGACGTTTATAATAGCACGTTGAGTCTAAGAACCTCCGGAAAAATCATTTTCCTATCTTCAATGTTGAGTAAATTATTGATATCTCAAAATGGTCAGAATTCTGGATCTAGTTTTCATGCCCAATGCTGTGACGGGCTTGATGCTCTTTGTTGGCGTATAAAATCGCCCCTTGAGTCCAAGAACCTTCGAAAAAATCATTTTCGTATCTTAAATATTGAGTAAATTATTGAAAGTTTCAAACTGTCATAATTCTGGAGACATCCTGAACTTCTTTTTTAACTGGTCTTGTTTCTTTACAATATTATAAATAATACTCTAATTTCAACTTGAAATTCCATCATTTACACTTCAAATCCTCTCAACTCACCATAGCTAACACCCATTGATCCTAGAATATTATCCAACAAATCTCCCCCGCCATTTTCTTCTTTGACAACTTTTTCCGGCATTTTCTCAGCTTTCACCTCGTTCCCAGTTGAATTTTGACTGTCATCTCCTTTTTCGGAAATCTTAAGCTCTTCCAAATGATCTGCTTCGATTATTTCTTCCTTAATATCAGCCTCCGTGCCCCTCGCTTTCTTCACAATCATCTTCGTTCGTTTTTGGACGGCTTGAAGAATTGTCGCTTTCAAGGACCACTTGATAAAGTCTCTTTCCACAGTGATTGGGTTCGATTTGTCCGTGAGGAAAGGCTTCGAAATGATAATAACTCGTTTGTATTGGCCTGGAATACAGTACAAATTATTTTTATGGGTTAAAAACTAACATTCTCAACAAAAACAAAGTCCAAAAAACTAACCATTGCAAATTTTTCGAACCACTTCGACTTTGAATCCAATTTTCTGCTTCCTAAAGACATATGAGTCGGTGAGAAGCGAGCGCACCGTGCATCCATCCATAATCACTTCGATGTTACTTTGGGTTGCAAAATTGATCGCATTTTGATCACTTTCAATCGTAACCTAAACAAAATCAACTAAATATGAACAGAACTTACTCTACCCAACTTCGGGTCCTCCAATTTTTCTTCAATAATCGACGGGCCCGCACTGATGAAGCATTTTCTTCTTGGATCGGGAATTTTGATCGTCGGAACCCTTCCCTCGGTTAGATTCTGGACAATTCTTGGCTTCAGAAGCTGCGCGGATTGCGTTGATGGGCGAGAAACCCAATTCAGCGTCTTAATCTCGCGGCCAAACTTCCTGTTACCGATAACTTCCAGTCGTTTCTTCTGCTTTTTCTAAAACAATAAGACAACAAAAAACGGATGAACTTACCAAAAACAACGCTCGGCATCCATTTGTCTCATAGGAATATGGGTGCTTTTCGGATTTGTCTGCCCATTCCATAGCAATCTTGTAAAAATAATTTCGCTCTTCGAATAATTGCTCGTCATAGCCCTGAAATTAAAGATTTCAAACTTCAGCGGAAACAGAGAGGCATATAAAAATCAATTTCAACATTTCATTTGGTCTGGTCTAAAGATTGAAGCAAAAACATAATCAAAACCCCACCTTCAACTCTAAATTATTATTCTGAAATCGCGCAGCGCTCTCCGGCTTCAAATTGTTCGTAATGATCGCGACGTATCTTCTATGGTCTTCCAGAGACAGTACGGAGGTTCGGAAACGGCCCTGCTCATCTTTCGGCAATGGAATATAAGGCGGGACATAGGGCATGTCCTTCGCTGCAACCTCTTCTTTACTCGTTTCTGCTGGTTTCTCCGGAGCTCCAACTTCACGACGCTTTGTCAGGAGCGCTAACGCTGCTGCAGGCCTGAAATATTCGAATGTAATAACGATTTTCCTAAATTTCGAGACAAAATAACGCAAAACACTTACTTTGACAGTCCTTCTGTCTTTTTAAGCACATGAAGAGCTTTCTTATGAGGTAATTCTAGTAAATCTGGTTCTTTCTCGATGTTTTCGCCCTTCCTCTTTCGACTTTTGAATTGTCCTTTTGGAACAGCAGGGACTACTGGTTCTAATTTAGTGCTGAGCTCTAAAACAATATAACTGAGATTTCTGTCGCATTTCCTAAATTCTCTGACAAAAATTAAAAACCAACTTACTCGGCAAGTCTTTGACCAAGCCTCCACGACAAACAGCACAGTCATTTTCGTGGTCCATCAAATCCATTGCATCCGTGATGCCAGCTCGGACTGGACATTTTACAGCGTCCATCTGTAAGAAAAAACACAATTTCAATAAGAATTCAAGTTGGGCAAAAATCGGATATTACACTAGACACTTGCTAAATATCACTCAATATTTTTAAGCAAGTTCTACCAAAAATATATTATCCTTTCGGAGAAACGGTAGTTTGGATTTTTCTGGTCACGGTTTGCCCACATAGAACAAAAAACGACAAAAAAGCGCCCGAGCCCTTCGCACTTCGCGCCCGAGTCGTGAAAAATTCCGGAATTATAGGGTAAAAGTTTGCATGTAAAAGACAGCAAACACGCCAATTTGTTTTCGTCAAAAAAGTCGTTCGCGAGGTTTTCCGAGTTGCGCCCGAGGTAATTGGAATTGCGCACCGATAGTTATACGAATATGGGTTTTACCGTTTATTATGGAATATTTAACATAAATACACATACATACACTTTTAAATATATAAAGTTATGCCATACAACTCGGTCTGGAACAATTCGGTCAGTTTTTGGACGTCTTCTGAGCAGAATCTTGCTTTAGTCGGCTAGTGCAAATTAGGGGGCGATAAGAAAGTCCTTTTAGCTACAACTAGTCAAAAAGCTTTGGAACGAATCATAGATTCTATTTTCTATCAACAGTTTAAACAAGGAGCTAGAAAATTAAGTTAAGACAGGAAATTATACTATTTTAGGTATCAAGTGTAATATAACGGCAAAACCAAGATAATTTTGAGGTAAATCACAAAGCTCTTGCTGTTATATATAACTAGAACGACCGGTTAATCCAATAGAGTCAAGCCCCTAATCATAAATCCACTTTTACTTGCTTCCGCATGATTATTACCTAAAATAGGAAAAACGTAAAACAAGTTAATTCTTCTATCCGAAATTGAAGTCGTAGTAAACACCTTACGTCTTTCCAACGTTCTGCGACGTTTTGCACGACCTTTCGGTGCCTTACTGCTTCTTTATCCTTGATTCTTCTGAAAAAAACCAAGTGTAACATCACGTAACTGACAGAATTTTTTTAATTTGATAGTAACTTTTCCCGATTTTTTTCCCAAAACATGCTCATATGTCTACTGAAGAATCCTACGCAGAAATGTCCAGCTCCATCATTATTTACAGAAGATAACTTACTTTTACTGGGACCTCCTCGTTATCATTTGATGTCGTGCGTGAACATTCAGGCTCCATATTGCCTAAAATTTACCCTAAATCAAACAGTAATACTTAAAAATAATTTTAGAAGCTAAAACATCATGAAAAACAACATGGCGCACTAAGGAATACAAAATTTTTCACTTGCACTATCTATAACAATACAATGTTTGAGAAGAATAAGCTGAACCAAATGTTAGGTCATAAAAATGCTGAAACGAAAAAAATCTACATTGAATTCCCTACAACTTCATAGGAAGAAATTAAAACATATACTTAGAAAATGAAAAGATACGAACCCATCAAACTCACCATGTACAAACCATACAAAACTTAAAACCGTCAGAACTGACTCCAAAATTGTCTCCAAGCTCCAGACAGGATATGATTCCGATCTCTATCGAAATCAGCTCCTTTTATGCAACCTTTGTGTTGATTCGGTACTTTGCTTTTTACATACGGTATGTTTTTTTACTCGGGGAAACAGTTGACCAGACGGGCTAGAGCAACACTTGGCCCGACCCTTTTTTTTGACTTTTTTTGTGTGTAAACAAATTGGCGTGCAGCAAAGACTAACAGAAAGATAGAAAATAAGAGTAAAAATGAATTCTTGCACACTTCTTCTGTCGTATTGAATGTTTCCCCATCGTCCATGTCGAAACTCTGACTTGCCGTGAGCTTTCGAAAATGTGCAATTTTAAGGCGCTTTTTAGCGGGTCATATATGGCTTCTTAGAGGTGATTTTCAAGATGTTTGATTTTTGTTAGTTACACGACTATCAGAACAGCATATCTTGAAAATTTCATGCAATTTGGTGAATTTTGAAGGGTCATTTTCTGGACCCCAATGAAGGGTCCAAAAAGTACTTGGAAATTGATGTGTAAAACAACTTTACGTCGAAAAAACCGTTACAGCCGGTCTGGTCTGAGTGTCACTAGCATTTATCAAACCTGACTTGCATTTTCCACATCTACCCATTGATTTCTGGCATAGGTGTTCGGAGTGAGGGGTGTACGGAAGAAAAAATCGCAAAAAGTAGGCATTTTACAGTACTCTATAAATACTGTAGAACACAACATTGTGAAAATTTTTTAATTCTGTTAGACGAGGGATACACTAGAGTCAAATACTGGAAAGTTTCAGAATTCTAGCCCTAAAATTTAATTCGATTTTCTGGACCCCACTGAGAGCATCACCCCTTGAGTACAATAAGTTTTGCAAATAAAATTTCATGATGGCTAGGGGATGTCGTGACGGTTCTCCTGGCCTGTACAACAAATAACTACACTGATAGATGCAATTTTTTTACTGTACCGTGGGTTTTCACAGCTTCTGTCATGACCAAAATCCCGTAGATATGGTATCAAAAACATAATGCCTTAAAAATTATTGACAAAAATGTTCGATACTGTCCTGAACTTTTAAAGATTTTGACGTGAGAAGATAAACAGCATTGAGGCAATGTTACTTATGTGGTAACTGTGGAAAGGTAATCAGAAAAAAGAGTGTCATCATGGTGAAGATGACAAAACCATTGGGAAACTGGTAGTGGTAGTAGAAAAATGATTTAATGTCCCATTATGATGATCTTTATGGAAGGGCGGTACACAGGTTTAATATTTGAAGAATGATGATTGTAGTTATATTATTGTTACATAATATAATATTAATTTTATTACGGAGAATAATTTTTCCAATTTTTCTGATGCACTGAGTATTGTGATATTTAAATTTTTTTAAGCACAGTAGGACTGACAGGGAACGAGGGTAGTCCCCAAATGAACTAGAGATGGCGAAAAATGTGTTGATAGGGTGCAAGTCGAAGTAGATGAGTGTAACCAAAAAGCGTGGTGCATGTACAATATAAAAATAGGCAAAAATATAATAAAAATTCCGGTTTAATCCAAGAATTACGCAAAAAAATTGTGTTGTTGGCTACTTGGCCTATTCGTTACTCCATTGGCCAAGATAATATTTGTCTATTAACAAGACATTTCTAGTACCGGATGATAATATTGTGTTTCTTTATGCTAATTATATCAATCACAATCTTCAGTAACGCTTAGAATGCCTTTCAAGGTGAACATCCCAGTTAGTTCTCTGAAACTTTGATCGTATAAAGTGGTTTTCGCAAAAAACAAGAAAAGTCTTTTCGGGCGTTTTTTTGTCGTTTTGGGCAAACCGTGTGGTCTTTAGCAGTTTTCGAAATGGAAGAAACAGAAAAATTGGCTTCAAATATTGACTTTTGGATCAAAATGTCACAGAAATAATTGGAACTGTTCCCGACGCCACAGATCCCTTCCATTTCTATTGGGAATGTTCCGAGTGCCACAGATCCATAGGATTTTTATTATTTTTGAGTTGGAAGTTTTTCTTCAAACTTTTGTTGTTTCTAATTTATTTTGTTGTTGTTATAGCTAAATATTCATAAGATATGTCTAAATGGGAGTATAATGCAAAACTCTTTCTTGATGTAAGTTTCCAACTGGTTTCTTGCTATCTAGACTCGAATCTTCGATGGAACTCATGCTTATTCTGTTTAGAATTACAAAACCGCTTGTGAGGTCTATGGTTCAGATGGTCTCACATGGCTGGCGGTCGGAATCCCAGCTCAGAAGAGGATAGCTGCTGTTCATTTTGTCCCCAAGGATGCTGAAGCCATCGTGGCCGCTGCTGCTATCGTCAAGTCCGTTTATCCGCCTCCAGTCGAGCTTCTTGGAGCGGAGACGGCAACAGAAGGAATTCCACAATTTTCGAGCTTGAAATTTTCTTGGTCGCTTCTGAAGGGGATTTCCGCTCAAAAGCTGGCTCAACGATTAGTTAGCGTCAAACATTCCGACACTCTCGCGGTTCCTGTTGAAGATAGTGTTTGTAGAGTCAAGATTCCAGTCAAGTTGAGTGAGCTCGATGGGAAATCAGTTGAAGACTCTGTTTCTTTGCAAATTCAACGAATTTACAAGAATTTGGATAATTTATCGCTGATACATAAGGAAACCAATAATACTCTGAAGTCAGATGGAAAAGGAAACTCTTTGAAAGCGAAGGATCAAAAGAAGGAGCAAGTGGCCTTGAGAGTTCATGAATTTAGTATTCAAGAAGATCAGTTGGCGCAGATTTCGAATGGACTTGAAGGAACAGGTAAGATTTTGACCTTTTTCTTGGTTTTTAGGCATCAAGCTGGCGTAGGGGAAGACAGACGACGAGTCCTTGAGTTTTCCTTCTTTTCAGACTTGAAATCAACATCTACTGTTGAATACGAGCTTCCAATCGTCTTACGGGTCCACAATGACATCTCCGACTCTGATTTAGTGAAACTTATCGTCGAATCAACAAAACGGCTGTTGCATCAATTGGAGAATATTATCAAGACAAAGGTAGGAGGTTGCATTTTCAAGAATTGGTGGATTTTTAGTCTTTTTACGAGATATTTCTATTAAATATATTGTTTTAGGCATCACTGATACCAATCGAAGTTCTTTACTTTAACTTGTCGGGTAGTCCTGCTTCTGTTGCCATTGTAGTCCCGAAAGAAGGGCGAGAAGGCCAAATTGAAAGGATTTCGAAGCCTTTGAACCGGCCGGCAAGAGATTTTGGTGCAACAAAAGATTTGAAACTACTTTCTCGACCTCTGGAAAACGGATTGTTGGCAAATCCACACGAATTCCTTAAAGGTGAGACTTTTTTGGATGTTTTTGAAGTTTAGAAAGGTATTTGGCATATGTTTACATATATTTTTTTCTTCAGTTTCTCCAATCGGACAGGTGGCGACAGTCTTGGGTCGGTATGATTACCATCATTATATGCAAGATAATTTCGATGACTCCGGATGGGGATGCGCTTACAGATCATTCCAGACGGTATTTTCTTGGCTAAGGCTGCAAGGATTTACTGATAAACCGGTCCCAAGTCATAAGGACATCCAAGAGGTAGGATAAGATCAGATTTTACCTAAAATAATATTAAAATTGATTTTTTCGTGTGAAATTTGAATTGAAATTATATTAATAAAGTTTGTTTCAGTGTCTAGTTGAGATTGGAGACAAGCCGGCGAGTTTTGTGGGGTCGAAAAAATGGATTGGGTCGATGGAATTGAGCTTTTGTTTGAGTCAAATGCTCGGAATTGAATCAAAAGTTTTGACGACAAACTCCGGCACAGAAATTGCCGAGCACGCCAGAACCTTGATCTTTCATTTTGAGAATCATGGAGCTCCTGTTATGATTGGTAAGGGCATTTTTTATATTATACTTGATATTAAGACTATCCCTAATTTTTTAAAATTTCTAGGCGGAGGAATGCTTGCTCATACCATTCTGGGTGTCGATTACAACACAAAAAGTGCTGAATGCAAATATCTGGTGCTAGATCCACATTACACGGGCGATGAGAACCTCCAAACAGTCCTAAATGGAGGCTGGTGCGCATGGAAAACAGCCGATTTCTGGAAGAAGGGCGATTTCTACAATCTTTTATTGCCTCAGACTGAAACAAAGTAGAATTTTAGATAATTTATTGCCTTACTAAAGATATTTTACTAACGGATGTGACTAAATAATCAAAAAAATTATATTGTTGTAGCTCATTTACATGTCGATTTTTTTTTCATTATTTCGCAATCCTTTCCCCTCATTTTTTCCCATCAGACGTCTTTAACCCATTTCCATTACAAAAGCGGGGCATTCACAGCGAAAATAGAATGACGCAGTATTAAAAAAAGAGTCGACGGAACTTTGTAAATACACAAAGTTAAAATCCCACAAAAAAAGTTTTTCGCGGACCGAAAAAAGTTTTGCTAAGCTCGTGTCAAAGTGTCATCCGATCGTGTTCGAGGCGGGCGGGTATTTTTCATTCCCAAGGTTGTGTGATTTTCACCTCATTTGGATTTTTAAATTAGGGAGAATGGAGATTTTTGGGGAAGGTTTGGGTCAGGGGTTTGTTAAAAGTGGAATATTGGGCTGATTAGGCTTTTTTGGGAAAGAAAAATTGGGAAATTTGTGGTGAAGAGGTGTTTTTTAAATGGATTTTTCCATAGCACCTCGCCGGCAAAGCTCTTTCAAAATCTCAGTATCGCCAACAAAATGTCAGCCAAAATTAAAAAAAAAAGTTGATTTTTGCTTCAGGCAGGGCATACACAAGAATTTTGAAGGTAATCCGAGCATAGATTCCCTAGGAATTCTTCTTTTTTTCAAACTTCGTTGATTTCTCAGCTTTTTGCCAAAAAAATTAATGGCCGCACAGTGCGAAAGCTTGTCGCATCCATTCAAACGGCGACAAAGCGAAATGCACTGTGCGGTTTCATTTCTGACTCTGCACAGTGCAAAAAAAGGCTTTTTGAAAAGGGCACTCACCAATTTCGTCGCGCGGTGCAACTGCACGATTTCATTTTGCATTCGCACCGTGCATTTTGTGTCGCGAAAACCCAGTTCGCGATGCCGACCGCACAGTGCAAAGTGATGTCAAAATTTTTTCGCCCGTGAGAAAAAACGGGCTCTCGATGGTTCGAGATTTCGGGCTAAACTTTTTTCCAGAGCCCTCAGCTCTTCCCACCTCTCTGAAGGCGAGCTCGAAACAATTGCCGGCTCCATTATGATCTCATTACTCATTTACGACACTTTAAAGCCTCAAAACCCATCACATTCCGCCGTTCTGCGCGCTCTCCCCGCATCACCTGATATTTCGGTGAGCGGGGTGGGGGGAAGAAATCAAAGTGGAAAGAGAGAGAGATTCCTTTCGCTTCAACCTTTGTTTCCCCCAAAAAATTTTCTTCAGCGGCGATCTTTTTTCCGTCCGCTTTTCGCTGCCCTCTCGACCCGATCTCTCGCCCCATTCCGCCCGGCCTTGCTCCGTTGAATCCCCCCAACCTAGCCCCTCACTTTCCGCCCTCCTCCGACCCCGAAATGACCACTCCCCGACCCTGAGAAGGGGCTGGATTCCGCTTAATTTTATGCAAATTTGTGGTTGAATTATGTGGTTGCGGGTTTGCTGATAGGGTGAGAGCTGTGGGGGAAATCTTCGATTTGTTTGTTGCGGTGTTTTCAACATTGGGAAATGTTTGCGAAAAACGTATAGAGAGAAAGGATATTACTTTCTAGTTTGTATCAACGAATGTTATAATCTTCACATATAATGTTACATAGCTATGTGATATAAAATACATGTAATTAAGGCCAAAAATTTTATGCCATTTTTAATTTTGAGTGAAGATTTGGCCAATAGAATCTTTAAATATGATTTTTGGATCGAAGAAATTTGTTTCCGCTCATTAGTTTTGGATTAGCATAGGTTTATGAATGATTTAACCGAAATTTGGACCGGTAATAATTGAAATGCCCAGCTGGTTTTGGTTTTTGAATAGCGAGTTTGGAAAGCGTGGGGATTTTCGAAGTGCTTCTTATGAATTTCAAATTTATTTTTCAAGTTCTTATAAGGAAAGTCTTTGAGGTTTGGCGAGCTGAACTGAACTAAAGTTGGCTCAAATTTGGAGAATATTTTTTTAATAGAATTTTAATAAGTATTGGGAAACCTCGGCCTCGGGCTTTTCGGAAACTGCCGAGATTTTTGATCGTAACTGGAAAACAATGATGCTTATTTTGCGATTTGAGGGTCAAAAAGTTTTCCTTCTCTTGCGATTTTAAGCACAAATTTTTCGAATCATTTGCTTGTCCTTCCGGAAAGTCGTTGGACTGATTTTTGGCGTTTACACTATGCGAAAAAAGTCTAGGGGCGAGCGACAGCCGAAAAAAGCTTATTGCACGGTGCAAAAAGCAAGAAATTGCACAGTGCAAAGAAAATTTTTTTTTCTCAAAGTGCGGCTGAAATCGGCGACACGCACTGTGAGAAACCGAAAGTTCACTTTGCACTGTGCAATTTCTTGCTTTTTGCACAGTGCAATAGGTTTTTTTCGGGTGTCGCTCGCACCCTGACTTTCTTCGCACTGTGCAAGCGCCAAAAATCAGTTCGGCGACTTTCCGGAAGGACAAATTTGAAATGTTTCTGTAAAAAATCATGATTGTCCGTGCGGGAGACTCTAAGAAAAAACCCTTTTTCGTCTCTCCGACTCTCCTTGTTTTCCGTGCTTTCTCGAAAAAAAGATTGTTGAATATCCGGGTTTCCCCTAAATACGATTTATTTAGTCCGTGGACAAAGTTGCTGAGGTGATTTCAGCGACATGCACTGTGAGAAAACAAATGTGCACTGTGCAATTTTTTAAAGTCGCTATTTCTCATCCGTTCCGATACGGTTTGAAGATATCAACTTTTTGATTGATAGTTGGCATAAAAGCCCTTTTCTTACAGCGCTCGCAGTTCCGTTTATAAGCGTTTGGTTTGTTTTTTATCGGAATTCTGCTCAAAAAATTTTGGAGTTTTTTCGAATTTTGGGTTCAAAACCTATTTTTTTGTTAATAATTCAACTCTAATTTGATGTGAAACGAAAGGAGAAATTTCTTGAAATTTACTTTTTTTGAATATTTATCGAAATTAACGCAAAAAAAACGTAGCTGAAAAATGTTCCAATTACGTATTCTGCATTTAGGCTGTTGCCGATTCGAATGCGTAATTGTCCAATCTCAAAGTGATTCATGGGTTTTGCTAGAAAAAAACGAAAAAAAACAGACGGGTCAAATTTCAAGGGGATTTGGGGGTGGATTTGATCAGAAAACGGGGCTTTTATTTTACTTTTTCCTACAAGAAAGATGAAAAAATTGTTTTTATTTTTACGTCATCTGTCGACAGACATATTGCCTTACGTATATAATCGCAAAAATTTTTTGGAAATTTCGTAAATGATACTGTAAATTTGTGCATTGCATCACCTTTAATTTTGAGCGCTTTCCCCGTCATTTTTTGCATCATCAATGGATCTATTGAGTTACGTCATCGAAAAAAATTTCGTCGATTTTTGACTTTTTCATATGGGTCTGTCAAAAAAATACGAACACAATGTCGCTGCGCCGATAGCGTCGCTAAAGTGCAAAGCAACTTTTTACCGCTTTCATTTTCTCGGTGACGATGACTTTCGACGCAACATTGTGTTAATTATTTTCCCGATAGACTGATAATGATAAGGTGAAAAAATATCGACAAATTTTTTTTGATGACGTAACTCAATAGATCCATCGATGACGTAAAAAATGACAAGGGAGGTGCTCAAAATTCAAGGAGATGCTATGCACAAATTTACAGTACCATTTACTTGATTTCCGAAAAATTTTTATGATTATATACGTAAGACAATATGTCGACAGATGAAGTAAAAATAAAAACAATTTTTTCGTCTTTCCTGTGGGAAAAAGTAAAATAAAAGCCCTGTTTTCTGATCAAACCCACCCCCTTGAAAAACCCTCTTGAAATTAGATTATTTAAATGCTTGTAATGCATTGTGAAAGTCTATTTACTTTTTTTAAAAGAATTTTAAACCAACTTATTTATCAAATCAATTTCAATCGCGGCACGAGCTGGACCGATCCCATTTCCATCTCCAAACCCTCGAATATCATTTCCAGATGTCCGTTTGATGGTCTTTTCGTGGCGTAGGTCAGTGTAAACCCTCTCTGAGAACACCGAATCATGACGTCCGACGAGATTGCCCAGCTGCGGGCCGAGATTGCGGACCTCACGCAGAAACTGGAAGAAGCCGATGATGCCAAGACAAAAGCGGGCCTCTTTGGACTACAATTGGTCCAGGAAAAGGAATTCTTGGAACAACAGAAACAGGAGCTCTCCAGAGACAAGGAGACACTGCAGCAGGAACTGGAGAGTTGCAAGGAGGTGAGATTTGGGTTTTTTTGTTGGATTTTAGGACCGATTTTGGCTTAAGATGCCGGTAGAAGGCGGCAACCTTGTTTGTGTCATAACTGGACAGGCAATAGACCGTTTTTTGCGAATGAGACATTTTCTGCCATAGGGGTTGATACGAAATTCGAGATTTTCAATAACAACAACCATTTCTTTTAGCTCGTTTTTTTCGATTTTTTTGTCAGCTCGTGAAGCTCTTACGGCATAGCTTATTTTAAAAATTGTAGGTCCAAAAATTATGGTCTACGGGTCAGTTTGATATATGATTTACATAAAACAATCTGCTGACTGCGGAGTTATGTCTAATAGAACCTTGAGACCCTTGACTGGCAAAAAAGTCTCAACGATTTCCGAAAAGCGCGGCTTAAAAATCACCTAAACGCCTCAAAAAAGATTACTCAAAATTTGCGCCAAATCTCATCAAAATTTGAAAGCTCTGCCTCGGGGATTTGCCTTTGGATTTTACAGCAATTAGCCAAAAAAATGAAGCTTTACAGTCATATTTCTATGCGATGATAAAAGTACTATCTGCAGGCCTTGAACAAATACCGAGATGAACACCGGAACGCCGCGATCTCCGAGCTCCACCATGAAGCCAGTTTGTACGAGGACAAAGAGAAGCTGGAAGAGGAGTTCAAAGAGTCGGTGAAGCAGTACGAAGAGCGGATCAAAGTGTTGACGCAAGAACTCGAACGGAACAAAGTCGAAATTGAACGGCTTCAAACTTCTGAGCAGGAACAGGCCAGGCGATTAGAGGAGGTTGAAGAGCAGAGGAAGCAGTTCAAAGATGAACTCAAGGATTTGAAGGTAGGTTGAGAAAAAAGGGATTTTCTTATTTTTTTGGTACAGGTTACCATATAGCAATCTTTTTTTAGTAAGTTTACGAGAATTTGGAAATATATTACGCTTCAAAAATCTAAAAAAAGTTAATTTTTGGATGCCTTCTTAACTTGTAGTGTACCTCAAGAACACTTTTCGATTTTCTTAAAATTTTGCAGACATACGTTATATAGTCCGCAGTTCAATCGCTGAAAATTTTAGCTTCCGCTTTGCCTTCGAAGCGGAGATATTGACAGTTCTTTTTCTTAGAGAGCAATCAAGATGAGGAGAGTCGGTTAGATAAAAAACGCTTTTGTCTCGTATCATTGCGAATTTTGGTCGTAAAAAAAAAGATTTGTTGGGGAGCTAATGTGCTACAAGTTTGTAATAAGACACCTATGTTTTTATTAATAATGGCAAATTTGCTGATTTTAAGTCATCTTCCAGCTGAAAATTTCCATTTATTTTTAGGACCGCGAACAAAAGCTGGTCAACGAAAACAACGACCTTGAAGAGGAGAATGTGAACTTGCAAAAGCAAGTGTCCAACCTCAAATCCGGCCAGATTGAGTACGAAAACTTGAAGGTGGATTTCACTCGTGTCCTTGAGGAGAACGAACATCTCCGGAATCAGGACGATGAGAACCGCCGCTTCCAGGAGATGTACGAAAAACAGATTGAGGAGTCGTTGGAGCAGGCCAAACATGAGCGAGAGTTGCGGCATTCCGTGCAGAAGGAGCTGGAACACATGAAAAATCAGGAGCAAATGTCCAACCTGAACAGTCTTTACATGAGCTTCAGCGCCGCCAAAGCCGACAACGACGAGGAGAGAGTGAATGAGCTGGAGCGCTCGATGATTGCGGATGCTCCGTTGGATAGTATCAAGCTGGAAAAGGGGACCGATTTGTTCTCGGAACTTCATGGGTCGGAGATTGCAAAGTTGCAGGAAGAGAATGACAATCTAAATAAACAGCTGGAGGACTTCAAGGAAAATGTGGGAAGAGCGTTGTCGCCATTGTTGCAAAAACTCCAACTGGCTGGATTGACTGGTGGGTTTTTGTCGGGAAATTTTGAAATTTGTTATACAAAGGGAGGACCTTTTGCGACGCTCAGATTTACTTTAAATTTTGCTGACATTTCTGGCATAGGTCACATGTAAATTCCTGAAAATTTTGGCTTGCGCTTTGCAAGGGCTGCCGAGATATTCAACAATCCTTGAAGCCGAGAGAGTACATGAAACGCGGAGAGCGGTCACAGAGAAAAACACTTTTTGGCCATAATTATGCCAGTTTCATGCGGAAAAAATTGATTTTTGGTGGAAACATTACTCTCTGCAGTAGAAATAGACATAGAACTTTTCATGCCAAAATTTGCAAAAAACTGTCATAACTTTTCCAACTTTTGACTAGAAAATGTCGGTTGTTTCTGCAAAGCACGAGCTAGAAGTCTCGCATATATCTCAGAGAAAATTATTCTAAATTTGTGCCCAGTGTCATCAAAATCCAATCGTCACACTTGGGTACCTCCTATTACATTTTTTATGGTCGCTAATATCTTAAAGTCGAATGTAAACAATACGATTTCTATTCAGACTCCAGCGACATCGTCAAACTAAAGGATATCATCCACGATGCCGTCGCCAAATTGGACGACAAATTCAAATCCGGCACGCCCGACAAGGCGACCGAGCGCAAGGTCGAGCAACTCAAATCCGACCTGCGCAGTGTGATTCTGGCCCTGGGAACGAAGCATGCGCAGCTGGCCGCCGCGCAAGACCGCTTCCTGCATCTCGGTGAGCACGTTGCCCAGTTGTACGGTGAGATCGCCGCGAACGGCGGGGAGGACGAGGAACGGCAGAGGAAAGTGACCGCCATTCAACAAACCATCCGCAACTTGGCTAAGAAAAATGCCGAAGTGGACGAGAACGAGGACAGTGGAGTGGAGACGCCGGAGAGCGAACGGGACACAAAATCACCCAAAACTTTGCCGTCGGTCAACGTCTCCAGGACGTTGATCTCGCAGAAGTTGGCACAAGAAGTGTCGAGCAAGTTGCAGTCGGGCGTCACGTTGAACGAGCTCCTCAACGAAGCGGATCGGCGCGAGAAATTGGCGGAAGAGCAGGAGGATTTGGTCCAGAGTTTCGACGCCTTCCAAGAAGTCATGAAAGTCCTGCGACAGGCCACCGAAAACGTGGTCCAAAGCAAAATGGCCATGGAGGACAAGGATAAGGCCGAGTTGTGTCAGCAGATCAGTAAGCTGAAGTCATTGCTGAACGTGAAACGCGAGCAAGTCAGCTCGTTGCGAACCGTTCTTCGGTCCAACAAATCGGTGAATGAAAATGCCCTCCAGTCGTTGAAGTCCAAGTTCGACACGGAGAAGAAGATCAAGGATGAGACCATTGCTCAGCTGCGCAAGGAGTTGAAGCAGTTCAAGGAGGACGCGGCAACATTCGCCTCAAATCGCGCAATGCATACGGCGAGGAATGAGGAGTTGCAGGCGCAGGTAAGAGGGCTTGTATTCTTAACAAAAAAAACAGCTCAAGTTTTTTGATTTCGATACAATGGGGGACCTGATCCAGTGGCAAAAAACGTACCATTTTGCACCCGGGGAGTATCAAAAAAATATAGAAAAATACCTCTCTCTCCAACTGAAAAAAACTCCGATTTCAAAAGCGCGCCCGCTCTTTTTGAGGGTCCTTTCAAACGAAGTTTTTCCACTTGGAGAGGTAAGAATTTTGATCCATTTTTTGATACTTCCCGGATGCAAAATGGTACGTTTTTTGCCGCTGGATTAGGTCCGTCACTGTAGCTTTGATGCCGTTATCGAAAGGGAAAACCCTCAAAAGATTTATTGATAATTTCCCTCATTTTTCAGAACGAACAACTCCGCAAGAAGTTGGATCATGTGGAAGAAGAGAAGAAGACCCTCAATCAACTTCTGCGAATGTCAATTCAGCAAAAACTCAGTGCAACGCAGCGTCTGGAAGAGTTGGAGATTGACCGAGAGCGTTCCACCTTCAAGCGCCCAATCCGTCAACCACAGGGCCCTCCGCAACCGCAACGCGAAGTCCGCGCTGTTCGCTATCCGGCTGGCGGTCAGGCCAACAACAATCAGACCTCGCCGCGGGGATCCAAGTAGTGCCGGGTGGGTCTGAACGTTAATTGGGGATGTAAATCTCAAGTTTGATTCGAGAAAAATCCCATTCTTTGCCCTCCATTCTTTTGAGTTGTATGCCCATGCGGTTAATCCTGGGAAATTCAAACTTCAAGTGGCCTTATCGTCAATCTCAACGGGTCTTTTTCGTCCTTATCAACAGACTTTTTTTTATTATTAGTCATTTCCGACGGTTCCATAGCCTATTTGAAACTTAACTTACTGTTAGTGAAATTTATTTTGCCAAAAAATGCGATCAGTATTCAAGAATTTGATTGAGAGACCGGTCAATTTTGGGGAAACTATAGCGACCACCATCGCTATGATTTTCGTTTTTGTCAGCAAAACCTACTATAATATAATATATCTCTTCCGTCGCCCATTGTTTCATCGGTTTAAATTTTTATTAATAAAAAGATTTCTGAAACAAGTCAAGGTTACCCGTACAATCTTTGCATTACTGTGAGTCGGAGGCTGAGAACAATCTTTGGTGGGAGAGAGAGAGAGAGAGCGCGCGAAGGCGGCGAGGAGATACGTCTATAACGGGACCGGTGAACATTGGCCCGACTTCTGCGTCAACGAAGTGGAATAGACAATGTTGTGGGCATTGGAGTGACGGGGATGCAGATGGGACGCCCGCGAGTCACTCATAAACACGCTCTCGTACTCCTCTCTCTTCACTTTGACCCACGGCAGCCAGCGGAAGGCGTAGCGAAAGCCCAGACGAAATCTGAAAATTTCATAATGTCAGAGATACGTGGTATTGTTGGTCAGTGCGGGGAAAACATGACTTCGGAAATTTCGACCTCAGAATACCCAAAGAAACCGCACCCCTAGCCCGGATGATTACAAAACGATCAAGAAAGAGGTACCCGAAGTGCGACGCTCAGATTCTCTTCAAATTTTGCACACAGTTTCGACATGTGCCATATATAAATTCTTGAGAATTTTAGCTTGCGCTTTTTGAGACAACCGAGATATTCAGCGATCTTGCTAACAAAACCTTTTATGCGAAAATTTGCAAAAAGTTGTCACATTTTTCCCAATTTTCGACATAAAAATCTCGTTCGTTCTGTAAAGCGCGAGCTAGGAATCTCGCAGGTCTGAGAAAAAATTATTTAAATATCAGCTTTGTATCAAGCTTCATCAAGTTCTGAGCATAGCACTTGGAGTAATTTCTCTGGCAGTACAAAGTAAATAAACACCCGGCTTTTTATTTTACCAAAAATTTCGGACCGATGACTACAAGCGAAAATACCGGCTAAATTTCTCTATGGGTCAGTTATATCAGTCTGTCGGGAAAATAATGAGCTCTGTCGCGGAAAAATTTCATAGCCACCGAGAAAATGAATTGTGTCGCGGCAAAGTTAAATTGCTTTCCACTTCAGTGACGTGGATCGGCGCAGCGATATTGCTCATAATTTTCCCGACAGATCGATACCGCGTTCAAGGTAGATCAACCTGGCCTACCGTTCGTTCATAAAGTAATAGATGATCGGGTTCAACGCGCACGATGACATTCCCAAAAAATAAATATTCAAGTAGACATATAACGTTGCTTGGAAGCTGAGGACCGTCTCCAACTCCTGCGTTAGGAACAAAAAGTAGACGTTGTAAGGCAACCACATGAGTACGAACGTAACCACCACTAAGGCCAACATATTTGCGGCTTTACGCTTGGTCCGCACACTCTCCGCGTTGCGCGTGTCGCCGATGGTGGTGTTTTGTCGAAGCACGTAGACCACGCGACCGTACGTAAAGCTGAGGATCAGGAGTGGGATGACGTATTGCATCACAATTATTGAGTGGTTGTAGCTGAAAGTAATTTAATTCAAAGGGTTAAAGTCAGTTGGTGATTGATGAGAAATCGGCGCTTGGATTTGGGGAAGTTTTGCCCAGGCCAGAGTAACATTGTCTACGGAACAAGGGAGGTTTAATAGCCCGATTTTTACAGATACAACCAAGATTTTTGGGTGAGAAAGATGCAAGCAACTGGATGCATATTTGGAGAATTGTTAGGATAAAAAATTAACATTCTGTTAGAAGCAATCAACACTTTTTTGAGAATCACAAGGTTTTGTGCAAAAGATACGACAAATCCCAGTGTCTTCTCTAACGCATAGCAAAGTTCCTTTTCTATTTTTTTTATCATAGAGGGTAAGGTTCCTACAAAGACTTAATAATCAACGAAACTAGGGAAGATACGGCCATAAGGAAGTTTTTTCGCTGCCCGCCCTCCGTGTTTTGTATAAGGCGCTAGCTGATTTTCAGACTTGAGACAGGCTTTTTGAAGGAGATAAAAGAATACATGCAACGCCTTGAGCACTACCATAAGATCGATTATGTCATAAGCCCATAGAAAAACGAAAAACTTGACAAAGCCTTATCTCATTCCTCCAAAGGCAACGACCTACAGATTGAACAGCTTGCTCGTTTTGACATCTCCATCCGGAAACTTGTCCGCCAAGCACAGACTGTCCTTTATTACCGTCTTGTCGTAATCGTTCAAGAAAATATGGTACTCCATTTTGCTGAAGAGGAACGCGGGCATGCCGAAGAGAAAGGCCAAACACCAGATCCCGCAAATTATCGTCAACGTCGCCTTCTTGCCAGGCCTCCGTTTCAGCGGATAGACGATCGCCATGTAGCGATCAATCGACATGACAATCATGCTGAACACCGACGCGCAGATTGGCGTTATCGCCATCAAGTTGTTGAACGCGCAATACCAATCGGGGAAGAACCAGTTGTAGTAGAGGTTGTAGACGCTTGAGAAGCCGGTATTAAGGATTGTGATCGTTAAGTCGGAGATGGCAAGATTGAAAAGGTAGTAGTTGGTGACTGTTCGCATTCGCTCATGTCGAAGGACGATCCTGAAAATGAAGGGAGGATGAGATTGCAAGAGGCCTATGAGTATGGTGGTTCAGATGCAAAGCGAGGGCTGCAGAAGCCCGGAAAATTGAGCTTACTACAGCGTACAGCAAAAAGAAAAAATTGCAGCACAACAAAATGGAAAAACGGTGTAAAATTTTGTTGTAACGACACCAGGGGGCATCTTGCCAACTTTGAACTAAAATGGACTTTTAACTATCCCTTTTTTATACCGAAAAAGCGCCCCAACTTTTCGGGTCAGCGATAGTTCCGGTCAACATAAAATCGATCGATACGAGGCGTAGGACAGCCGACAATATACAAAAAAAACATTGTATGAGGTTAATCGAAGGCCCGAAAAATGTTTTTTGAAACTATATATCGTCGATCCGAACTGTCGTTCCCAAATAGTCGTAGCTCCAAAAAATCGGCCTTTCCACCTCGTTAAAAAAAAGTTTTGCTCGCAGCACATAAACTCACCACGCAACAGTCAAATTGCCCCCGACCGACGCCAGCACCAAGAAACTGAAGATGAACATGTAGAAGACCTGCACGATGAACTCGTGCTTAATCGGGAAGTCCGAACACTCCGCGTACACCTTCACATCACTCAACACGTTGAAGAAACGGCTGTGCAAGCTGATCTCCTGACACGAGCAGTTCTTTTGCATTAGTTCTAGCAGTTTGTCGAGGTCCAATTCCGGGCCCATGTCACACGGATGGCCATCATTGTAGATTTTGACAGTACCAGCCATTTTTAGGCTGGACCATTCATAAAATAGATGCTAATGGAGCGGCACTATTTTCAAACGACAAATGCGGCTGGATTTTTTTGAAAATGTGCCAAAATGACGTCAGAATCTTGCCTGAAATTTATTTTTGTAATTTTTGAGTAAAATATAGTGCAGACAAAAAGCGGAAGGTAAATAAAATCCATTAAAAAAAGCATTGGACCTGGATTTAAGAAACGTTAGGCAACATGTTGAAGATGACTAATTGTTATGGAACATGCGGAAATTTGTGATTAATCTGAGACTATTGGACTTATAAATCGCAAAAAAAAGGTTAGGCATGCTTATAGACAACGTAGGCAGTTAAAACAAAGGAATCGTTGGAAATAACGTAAAATTATAGTCGGTATGAGCAGGAAAGTTCTAGAGGCGAGACCTGCAGAGTTTATACGTCAATCTTGCTTACACAAGCTGTAAAAGCCAAAAATTCATAAAAATCTTAACTTTCGCTTTTCAACGATAGTCGGGATTTTAATGTAAGTTTTAGGGTCGACAGAAGTTTGGGTTGACACAAAAAATGGCGGAGAACCAAGAAACAATTATAGGAGCTGCCTAACAAGGTGTATACTACAGTAAGTGCTGCTCAATTCTCCCTAGAACACAGATTTGACGGATAGAGGCAAAACGGAAACTGAAGGCTCAATCGCGATGATTTTTTCATTTTTCAAAAAAATCCGAATAAGTTTTTTTACAGACTAGTTTGCCTCTATATATAGTCGAAATAGAATCAACAGAAGCTTGAACCAAACTTCAAACTTTGGGCATATTTCTTGGAAAAATTAACAAAATTCCGGTGTGCCATCCCACTCAGAATAAATAAGCGCTCCAAAAAAGAGACAAAAATAATTTCAAGACGCTTGAATTCTCGCGCCTGAAAAAACAATCCATCAAGTTGTAAATTCTGGGTAACAATATCTCCCAAAGACTAGTTAAGGTTCAACCTATTGTTAGGGGTTACCGGAAGCCAGAAAAGAGGAGCTCTCAGGTGTGAGATTGTAAACAGGAAAAAATTTATTTGGAGACCTTTTGGAGATTTATGAATGGATTTTTACAGCTTTGTAGAGGTCGGCTTCGGGGTTTACAAAATCATATTACTAACGGTATAGAAGAAGGGTCGCGGGAAAATTCAATTTTTTTTGTTATGATGACCGCGCGTAGGGTCAAGTTTGCCCAGACACGCGTTTCGGCGAACGTCGCAGCTCTACCACTTTACGCGCAGCCCACATTTACCGATTACAATTACTATACCGTAATCTAGGTACTATGATCGAAATTTGGGGTCATCCACCGCTTACAAAGTTATGCGAGTTTGTTTTCAAAACATGATTCCTGAACGTTTAAAAATTCGTAGTTACTTTATGATGACTATTCAAGCCACTTATACACCTGGAAACTTAAATCGAAATATCTAGCTGTCAAAATCCATCCTGTTCCAAGCAAATGTTGCGTGTAAAGATGCCCGCAGATTCTCAATGGTTATTTTAGCAGCCCACAAAGTGGTTGCCCGCAAGTGTGGAACCGCCGTTTCGACCTGGTCCAATTTTCTGTCCTGCAACGTGCGAACCCCAATACAAAAAACCTTGTTGTGTACGGTACAGTCAAAAGAATTATTCGCATCTTGCAAAGCTCTTGTTTATTGGGGGAAAAAATTGCTATGACCGAAAAAATTTGAATCTACCCGGAACCTTTCTTATATTCACAAAAACAAATCCTCCAAACCGTAAAGTTCTAAAGTTCTTCTCTGCTTGCCAATTCCCAAAGAACAATATATATATAGTTCAACTCAAAAATTGATTTGTTTTCCCGTCTATAGTTCAGACGTTAACAGGGGAAGTACTGCAAGTGCGATGCTGGGATTTTTGATGGGCAAGACTTGGGGAACGTTTTGCCCAGCAAAAAACCCTGTAAAAGCTATGCGAAACCCCCAGATCGCGCTTTGCAGAAATCTCCCGAGGGTTTAAAATCAAAAGTTGGCAAAAATATGACACCTTTCCATATGTGTCTAATAAAAAATAATTTATTTATACACGAAACTACCAAAGAGAAGACGCTCAGATTTTAATGAAACTTGGAAAAAATTAGGTTTTTTTAAGATACATATACGAGATATGCAGTTAACAATTTCAGCCTGCCTACTCCCGCAATGAGAAATCTTTCTACTGTAAAAATTATTCTTCCTGCGCAAAATTTCCAAAAATTTGGCCATTATTTCAGCCTATAATACACGATAATATATACCATATCTTCCGTAAGAGCAAACAGCCCAAGAAAACGCGGTAAAAAGCCGGTTTTGTAAGACGACAGCAATGTAAAAACAACGTGCAGCATTTCAAAGCTCGCCAATTCAAAGTCCAGATGTTAAATCACTGTTCAGTTAGTGGAAGCAAAGGCCGGGGCCAGTGATTCAAAACATCGAAAAATGCGCTGAATAAGAAACCTTTTGGGGGAAAAGGCAATGCTCCTTTGGAATTAAGGACTCTCCGAAATTTGCATCGCAAAAACAAAAACTGATTTTTGCGTTTTGATCCGGATATTGTAGGGACTTAAGTGGTCGAAAAACCTTGATGAGAAGTCCGATATTTTCGCTCCCCTAATGTTTTGGACATAAAATCGCTCAATATTTCGACGGCAGAAGGTTCTGAAAGGAATGGCAAAATCTGAGAAAACAACACTCGACAATATTGCAAGATTACATTAAGAAAACAAAACAATGTCTGGTCTGCCTCCAAAAAAAACAAAATAGAAAGGATTCCAAGAGATTGGCAACAAAAAAAAAATCCGTATAGGACGTCTTTCACAGAATGAAAATTTCCATACTCAATGAACTAACTAGACAAGAACTTTTAGCCTGGCCGGGTTTGGAAATTTTGGGTCGGCCCGGATTACGGCCATGCTTACAGGGGAAGTACTCCACGTGCGACGCTCAGATTTTGATGAAACCTGGCACAAATTTCGAATAATTTTTTCTAAGATATATGCGTGAATCCTAGCTCGCGCTTTGCAGAAACAACTGAGATTTTTGGATCGAAAGTCGGCGAAAATTTTGGACTTTTTACCGAATTTCGGCACGAAAAGTTTCGTGCCTATTTCAACCGTAAAGGATAATGTTTATGCAAAAAACCAAATTTTTCCGCACGAAACTGCCAAAGTTATGGCCAAAAAGCGTTCTTCTCTCTGACCGCTCTCCACGTTTAGCGTGCTCTCTCGGCGGCAAAAATCGTTCGATATCTCGGCGGCGCCCGCAAAGCGCGAGCTAAAACTTTCAAGAATTGATATTTAGTCCATACCCGACGTATGTGCAAAATTTAAAGAAAATCTGAGCGTCGCACTTGGAGTACTTCCCCTGTTAGATGCGCTCCCATTTGTCATCATGATTTTTTTTAAGCCTCAAAAATCAAAAAAATATATCAAGTTTCTGCCAACTGCTGGCCTAAAAATGCTTATCGAACTTTGCCATATTTAGGGTACTCTCAAAAGTCCAAAAAAGCTCAAAGAAAAATCTAGGCAAGTTTCGTTGAAAAGTCATTCCTCAGAAACGCGTTGCAAGTTTTCGACCCAATACCCCATGCCACGCGGCGAACGGAGTAAAGGAAGGCAGGTGGCCCGCAATCTAATCAGCCATTTGTAAAATTGGAGGAAAGATTTAATAAGACTTGATTATATTATACTAGGCCCGAATGCAGCGTGGAATATCACGCTATAAAGGGAATTTCAAAACCTTAAAGTGCGATGTGTAGAAAAATGAGGGTTGTGAGGAACAGCAGAACTAAAAACTGATTAGTTGAACGGAAAGGCAAAGGTTAAAGCTCACAGGGGAAGTGGTCTAAATGCGACACCCAGATTTTAATACAATTTTGGACAATTTGAGACTATTTTTTCTTCCAGAAATTCGAGATTCTTAGCTCGCGCTGCGCAGAAACAATCGAGATCTTTGGCCCAAAAGGTTGGTAAAAATACGGTGCTTTTATGCAAATTTTGGCACCAAAAGTTTCGTACTTGTCTCTAGAGTACGGTGTATTCTTCCCACAAAAAATCAATTTTTCCGCTAGGAAATGGCAGAGATATGGACAAAAAAAGTGTTTTCTCTCTGCCCGCACTCCGCATTTTGCTCACTCTCTCGCCATGAGAGTGATTTATAGACCGTTGTTTTGAAAAGCACGAGTTAAAAAAGTACAAAATTTAAAAGCAAATCTAAGCGTCGCCCTTATACTGGTCCTTCCGGAAAGTCCGCCAGACTCAAATTGGCGACATGATTGAGATCGAAACGGGCTGCTCCTCCAAACGATTCCACAGCCGCTTCTCAAAGATAACAACGGGACAATCTCCCTTTGTATCCACACAAATAAACCCCACGAATAAAATGCCAACTATTTATCCACACAAAACCAATCACAATCAAAACCCACAAAAGCCAATGTCAAAGGTAATGTATCTGATCAATATCGGAACTCTGACGGCCAAACGCGCGCTCAGGTTCCTCCGTTCCTTCCTTCTATCCTCTTCACCTTCCAACCAACCCCTTCCCATTCTTCCTTCCGTCCACGTTGCTCTCTCACATTAGGCTGCTTGTTATCGTTGCGGGACCAATTGAGGATCCAGATGCGGCTGGCATCACACGCCCCTCCCATATGTTGACGGCGTCCTCGACGTCACGTTGAGTTGACGTTGCTCGGTGCTGATTGCCACTGGCTTGATTTGACTTGAACTGGTTTGACCGGGCTCGAACTGGCGGTAAGAAAACAAAAGCTTCCTTTGCACTGTGCAATTTTTGCTTTTTGCACCGTCCAAATGGCTTTTTAGGCCGTCGCTCGCACCGTGATTTTTACAGTGCAAGCGCCAAAAAATCAGCCCAGCGACTTTCCGAAAGGACTAGTAGCAGTTCCCTTTTCAGGCCATTTTAGAGGCCATCAACATTTTTGTAATCAAGGATGCATACACCGAAATCCGATGGAACCTCATCTGCAAAGATCACTGCATGAAAAAAATCTATATAGCGCCGCGAAACTCTTTTCACAAAAGCCAATAAAACCAAAAATTCGAAATAATCACCATAATTTTAATTTGAGTTGTTCCTCCCTTCGCCAAACCGCTTTTTGATTTTTTCTGACGTCAAAAGTCGCAAAAAGTCTCCACCTCTGGAAATCAATAACCCACTCGGCGCGAAGCCGACCCCAGTTGCACGCTCATCCGGCTCAGAGTGCAATTTTTAATAAGGCCGATGGAATTGGCGACGAAAAACATCCGGGCGCCGGCCCTGCGGCCCCATGTATAATACGCGGGGATCCGAAGGCGGTTGACGTTCAAAATAACCTGAGGGCTTTTTGGGTTAATCAAATTGCTGGGGGCTGAGAAGAAGGGAGGGCATTTATTTAATTCGCCGGGATAAGTTTATTTTTGGAGTCGATGCGGACGAGCCGTGTAATCTGCGAGGCCGTTGCTTCGTTTCCAGGGATCAGAAGACGGCGGCACACATCCTCTTCTTGGAGGCCCGTTCAGCATCGTTTGAATTGCGTTTTTTGCGGCGCGCGGAGCGAAATGTCAAAAAAAAAAGTTTTGGCTCTATCTTGGCGGAGAATGAAAAACGCGAGTTCGACTTTTCAGCAATTACTCTGTGGTCTTTACAGACGACCAGGACAAAATTTGATGAATATCTGAGCTCCTCAAGTGCCAAAATTTCGCAACGTTTTACAAGGTCTCGTTGTACGGGACGTGGTGTTTTTGGCCTAATATTAACTTTTGGTGCTATGAAATTGTTCGTCATGAACAAGCTACTTTGTATCGAAATTTATTACCTGTACTTTCAAGCCAATTGAATCCACATTTGGCGAAAATAAAGATCATTCACTCGAAAAAAACACATGCTGTTTTATGCGATATTTATTAAACTTGGACTTGGTATTACATGAGAAGTGAGAGGTATTAGAATAAAGGTTATTTATGAGATTTCAGTCAGAAAAAAATACTACTGAGTTACTTGACAAAACGGAAATTGACTGGACGAGGAGACAGAAAAACAAGAAACGCAAATCACTCAAAAAAGCAGATAAAACGTGAAAAAAACAGCGGTATTTACTGTTATCTATGAGATAAGAAGGCTGCTAAAAGTCAAAGGCATAATCAAAAGTTATAATGATAAAAACAAAAGGAATAAAATGATAAAATGACGCCTAGCGCCGATGCCTGCACCGTGCACAAGCAATTACAACTACAGAATGTGCCAACCGGACCTGCAACGTTTATTTTGCCAATAACTTGGGAAATAAAGGGCCAAAATTTATAAAAACCATATTTTTTTGGATCTACAAGATTTACAGTTTTTTTCACATAAGTTTTTATCACAAAATCCCCTCAGGGCTTCCTTGAAATCAAGATTTTTCATTAAACTTGTCAAATTTTCGTTTCAAGGTTACTTTTGAGATGATATAAACGTATTCATCTCAAAAGTAAAGTTGAAATGAGAATTTGACAAGTTTAGTGAAAAATCTTGATTTCAAAGAGGTCCAAAGGATACTTTACGATAAAAACTTATGTGAAAAAAACTGAAAATCTTGTAGATCCAAAAAATATGACTTTTTATAAATTTTGGCCCATTATTTCTCAAGTTATCACCAAAATAAACCTTGCACGTCCGCACTCTGTACTATTTTGTCCAAAGCAAATATACAATCAAATAAATCGTCGATGCAATCCCAAAATAGGACATAAACTATCTTCGAAAAAAACGCAACGCCTCAACTTGCAGATGAATCCCTCAGTTTCTAGTTTTTAAATAAATTTGTACCATTTCCCACTGATCCTCTTCTACATTTTCATCGACGATTCGACCAGGAAATTCTCTATGGTAAACCAGGAGTAGTTTTCTTTTTGGTGAGAGTTGACCGCACTGCTGCGCCATACGGGGTTTGCCGAACCTTGACCAAATGTCTGGGCCGTTGAATCGGACCCACCCCGGTGACTCGTTGAAGTTTGTGATCGCTCGAGTAGGCCGGTTGATACTTGTAGACCGACACTCTTCTCATCGGCGGGACATTTTCCGTGTCTTCCTGATAGTAGGACGGTCCCGGCTGGCGGATGTAGACTCTGGATGGGCCCGGCTGAGGGCTGGATCGGACAATAATTGAGGCTGACTGATGTTGGATGGTGCGAGAAGGGCCGGGAAGTGGCTTCTGCTCCGTTTTCGGCAAATCCTGAGGTTCTTCTTCCTTGACCTGCACGGGCTGTTCGTTTTGAGGCTCTTGCTTGATCTCTTCCTCCTGTTTCACTTCAAGTTCCACCTTTTTCTCAACTTCACTTGCTTCTTCCGGCTCATCCTTCACTTTCGTTTCGTCCTGAGTCTGAATTTGCTTTGGGAGAGCGGTTTGAATGGGCCTTGGGTTGTGCTGAACAATCGCGTCTTCCGAGGAAGTCAGACTAATATTTGATTGGTTTTGCGGCTGAGTGTATCTGGTATAGACTGGATGCGCCATTCGGAACTGGGCGTAGCTCGACGGCGCCGTTCTTGGCTGAATTCTTTCTTCAGACGTTCGAGGAGACAGAGCCTGGTCTTCCTCCTCATGTGAATTGTCCAACGGATGAGTTGTGGCCTGTTTTTTGCGCTCCAACAGGCTCTCCAAGGTCCTGGCGGCTCTTTGATGGGCTGATTGGGCTTGAACTTGCGCCGGAGAGAGGTAAGTCCCATGCGAAGTGCTCGGCTGCATGTGATACTGCGGGTCGAGGGCCGAAGTCGTCCGAATCGTGGATGGCAGTGGATCTGTTATTGTTTGGGCTGAAATCGAAGAACAATATAATCTACGAAGCAACTAAATTTTCATCTGATTTTTCAAAACTAACCTTGCGGGTCGAATGGCTCCACATTCTCCATGAAATTCATGTCCTCCGGCTCGTAATGAGCCATTTCTTCCATCGGATACTCCTGATGATAGGAAGGCTTCTCAACATAGCGATAATCGTCGGCTCGCGGAAGATCCGTCCGTATCACGACGACCTTGGGTTCGAGCAGTCGCTTCCGTGGCCGCTGCTCGGCCGGAGCGTCCGTGTATTGGATGTGCGGCGCCGGCATTCCCATCCTCCCTTCAATTATCGGCTCCAAATCGGATGGAGTAATCATGGCCAAGCCGATGGTGGAGGAACTCCGCTCTCTCCATTTCTGAATCTCGGCCTCCATTTTCTCGCCTTTGGTGGGGTTCATTCGCCAGAGACATGACTTCCGACCTTGTGCATCCGCAACCTCCACTTCCACCTTTTCGAAGCACTTGTTGAGGGAAAGATTGTGCCGAACGGAGTTCTTCCAGCCCGAGGGAGCTTCGCGGAAGAATGGGAAATGATGGCTAAAGGAGAAAACATCAAGAAAGTTCGAAAAAGTCGAAAAATTTCGAAAATTTCGAAAAATCGAATAAATCTATATTACACTTGAAAACTCACCAAAGAAAACGATAAATCTCGGAGACTGTGAGCTCCCCATCCTCGGCATTCCTCAACGCCAGCCCGATAAGGCATGAGTATGAAAAGTTGGGCTTCTTGTAGCCGTTTGCGGTCTTATACTCGTCAATCGGCCGTCTTGTCAACGGCTGCTTGATCTTTTTCTTCGGCCGCTTGACTACCTCTACTGGAACGTCGTCAAAGGAACCGTCGACCCTCGCCGCATCTTCCGAGACATCCACTCGAGCCGTATACCAATCTTTGGAGTCGACAAATTGCGCCGGCTCGTCCACATTCTCGATGTATTGATTTAGGCCGGAGAAATCGTCGTGGCCAAAAGCTTGGAATTGATCTGCGTGGTATTGGTCGAGCGAGAGGTTCTCATTCCCCAGAACGTCCTGAAAAACGTAGATTAAAGTTGATAACCAACAATTTCGAGAAGAATTTCCAAAAAAACCTCAAAATACTGTACCGAGGTAAACGGGTCCACAAGATTCAACCAGTCGTATTCCTCGGTCTCATGCTTCACCTCATGAGACTCGTCGGGGTAGAGACGCGGCAATGACAGCTGATCCGAGTCGTCCTCTTCATACTCATACCTATAATTATATTATCCATGGAGGCTCTCAACGAGTGAAAAAAATGCCAATTTTTGAAGAAAATCTGATTGATCAATGTAAAAACAAGTCAAAGAAGGTGTGTTCTACTCATTCGAAAGAAAATGAACATCAAAATTTTAAAAAATCTTAGGTAAATCGAGAATTTTCGCCAGCCAGCTATATCAAATATTCCATAAGAAAAAAACACTTACCGAATCATGTCTCCGACGAATGTAGATCACAACCTTCCTGGATTATGACCTCCCGACCTCCCCAAATTGGTCTCCAGTTTTGGCGCAAAAAAAAAATCAGTTCGAGAGAGCCCTGCAAATGCATAAAATTTGACGTTTTTTCTCCATAATCGCGCGATGTTGTAAAAAATACGGAGATTGCGGGATCGACGATTCGTTTTACGATCCCAGATGGCCAGATGAGACAATTTTCAAGGATTTATACGAGAGGAATCCGAGGAGGCGGATCAAATTATATTATACTAGACATCTGATCGAAAAGTTATTATAAAAATGTTGTGGATGAGAGTTAGTTGTGGTGGGTGTTACGCAAGCTTAGGAGAGCCAAACAAAAGATAAATTTTGAGGATTCGAATTGAAATCGTCAAGAAAAAACGTGTCGTAAAACATGATGATCATCCAGCTAGCACCTCAAATAAATCATCAAATATTTTCAAGATCTGCGATTTTTGTTCAAAAAATCAGGCTGGAAAATGTTCAACGAACCTTCTAGAGTCTCTGCATCCCCCAAGTTAATCCGCACATAGTCCCCATTACAGCGCATTAGCCCTTTTTTTAAGTCGAAAGTGAAAATGGAAGGGATTCGAACTGCGCAGTTCCCGCTCGTCACTGCGCCGGCCGCGCGAGGACACACGAAAAGTAGTCGACGGAGTAAAAGACGGACCACTGGTGCGTACAGTTCGGGTCCGATCGGCCTTGGCTCCGAGGTCGGTGCGGGGATTTTGGCGCCAAAAAACGACCCAATGGCTCGGGGTGGGCGCAGAGGGCGAGGCGAAGAAGGAGAGGAATCGCGATAAAGACAGTGGCGAGAGAGCTGGTAAGGAATCGGTAGAGAAGATGAGAAGTGCCGAGCATGTGATGGGCAGGAGAAAGGGAAGATCTCGTCAGATCCGGAGGGGATACCGTAACCTTTGGAAAAAATGATTACAAATGAAAATTTGACAAAGATCTCATAATAAGAAGCTTTTGATTTTCTTTAAATTTCGGCCATACATTCCTGATAGTCTATAAAAATACCACTGAAAATCTTGGCTAGCCATTTACAGAGTCAGCTGAGATATTTAACGATCAATGCAGTCAAGATATCTCGAGTATCTTCTATGCCAAAACTCTTGTTGAAAGGCAAAAACCGGAGGTAAAAAAAGTGATTCAGCCCAAATGACCTTTAACCCAGCGCTGCCACGGTCAGTTGAGGTAGTTCCAAGATGTTTATTAGACACACACACCGTCCGTTCGCACCTCCTTTTCTCATTATGGACGAGGGCCGACCGATTGAGTAATCGAACTGAAGAGAAGAGAGATCTGCCAGGACGAGGAGAGACATCAGAGGTGGGAGCAAATAATAGCGAACGAATGGCCTCGAGTAACGATTACGCCGATAAGGAGTCTAGTACAAAGACCCTCGAACCAGGACGAGAAGTTTTTTTTGGGCGACCTTCAAAGGATGGATGGATGATTGAAGGAAAAAAGGTTACGTAAACTTTTTTGGCACGCAGAAGGTATAACGTAGTAGGAAGTTTGAAATTGGGATCAAAATGCATAATTGAAATGAAGAATGTAAGCAAGACGTCGAGAAGAAAATATGGGCAAATAAGCAGTTTGCTCGTCAAAGATGACAGGTGTCTAATGGCTAGCTTTTCATCTACGGGCTAGCTAACAAAGCAAAACGTTGAGGAAATAAAGTTCGACAAACCATGGACCAATTGAGGCGAGCGAGGGCATATGCAAGATTTGCCACCCATTTTGCAGATACCAATGAGATTTTTAGGTTGGCTGTGGGCGGAAAATTGACGATTAATTGTGATCCAACTTTCATCTAACGCCAAGTAAAAGTTGAACAAGTTTTGGATAAAAAGATGTGTTTTTTTGGCAAATAGTGATTATTTTTGCCAAATATGGAGATATGGGAGATTACAATTGGTTTTGGAAAGAACTATCGTACAATGAAATCCGCCTATAACAAACAAACTGAGAGGTTTCAAAAGTAAATTTTTGGCCTAAACCTTTGCACAACGAAACCTTTCTACAACAAACACAGTTTTTTGATCCAATGCGATTCACTGTACAGAGGGTTGGCTGTCACAATCTTTGTAACGAGAGAAATTGCAGGAGAAAATGTGGGTGGATCACATGATAAATGCTGAAAATTTGAACTCGCGCTTTGCTTTCTCAGTAGCGATAGAGCCAAAATTATTTTTTTTACATTTCACTCCCCGAGCCATAAAATGCGCAGTTCAAAAATAGCTGAACGGGCCATCCAAGAACATATGGCTCCCGCCGTCCTCGGATCTCTGGAAACGAAGCAAAGGTCCCACAGATTACACGGCTCGTCCGCAGCGACTTCTACTACATTTCTTGAATGCTCTCGTCCGTCAAAATCAACGAATACGTTCTCCGATTTCCCATACAAGAACAAAGGTTTGATGAGAATTTTAAATTTCTTGCTTTGGAGTTCACGGCGAAAGGAAAATGCCGGCTCTTAATTTGTCTTCTCAACGACTTTCGTCCCGGATTACCTCTGGGAAAACGGCACGCAATGCCTGCGGGTGATCTACGATGACTTGCGGAAATCAAAGACATGGGAATTTCAAGTGGAGGTTGCAGGAGCAAGTGTTTTCAGTGCCGAGTAATGAATCCTTTCATGCCAAAATTTGTAAAAAAATTTAAATTTTGGTTATATATTATAATAATTTCGACCGCCCGGCTCTTCAGATCAGCGGCAGTATGGGTCAATGGAAAAAATTACTAGGTGTAGGGTAGGTGGAGAGCCAGAACAAAGTTGTGGGAGGTGCTTACGAGGCCTGGCCAGCCGTTGGAAGTCTGAACAAGAGGCTATGAGGAGACTTGGCGCGGACTTACAATACAGGGTGATTCAAAAAAAATGGACACTTTTCTTTCTTCGATTTTTCTTGGCTTTGAATGTTTCTCGGGAAAAGGTACACATGGCATGAAACTACTACGTTATGTGTACATGTTCATTCCAAAAATAGCTCACTAGCTGCAAAAGTTGCCGACATATGGTTGCTTAAAAATTGCCGGGTCAGCGCACCCATTCCCGCGGCGAAATTTAAAAAGTTTCCGTTCCTAAATGTCTTAAGGGTGTAACAGAGACGTTCTGGGCGGCCTGAGCGAAACACAGACGTCTATTCTCTAGGATATTATAAGGATTTAATCCAGTTCTTTCGGACAATCAAAAACCAGGGGCCAAAAGTTAGGCTACCAGCCAGGAAAAATCAACCCTCATTTGGGTGCTCTTTGAAAAACAATGATCTGCCGAACGTGGTCAAAGTTTTAGAACCAATTCCATTTATACCACGTTTACTGCTCTATTGTGAGTATATTAAACGCATTTTTAACAATAGCACCCTTCAGTTGGCAAAACTCCAAGCAAAATTTCGACTTTTTTGACTTTTTGATGGGTCATCGCAATGATACTTGGATTCTGAAGGCTAGGTTTGTTCAAATTAATGGAGACCAATTTAAAATTTAAGAACGGACTTATATCACTATCGTATAAATGCAGCCTGTCGTAGTTGTGCGGCTTGTTGAAGAACGCCAACAAAAAAGTAAAATTTTTCTGGTCAAAAAATATCGGCGTCTCTGGGTATAGCCGGCTAAAGTTTTATAAGCCCAGTACATGGCTAATGCAATCTACAATCAAATCAACTGCTGACCCGTGTAAAACAATGTTAGATGTCTTACAGGAATCACTTTTTGCCGTTATTAGCACAAGCCAAGCCGCCCTGCTAAGTTTTCAAGCCCGATCATCCCAAAAATCCAGAACTATGTGGATGGGTCTCTTGTGGATCACGTTGCGAATTGCTGGAGCGTTATTAATAGAATAATGTCAGCGTTTTCGCTTCTCTAGATTCCCCTTAGTATCTTAATAAACAGTCAACACGCAGTTTTTAGCTGGCTCTAAGAATTCAGGCCGTTAAAGATTTTTGGACCTACAAAATTTTTGGAAAATTTGGTCAGAATATGGGCTGACCTAGTGTTTTGGCTCGTACAAGCCGTTCAGCAAAAATATTTTAAAAATTGAAATAGGTGTCATGAAGCAGGATCGTTCACGATTGTAAGACTATTTTTCTTTCCACCGACTACGGTATTCGTGGTGGGATACACCAACTTCAAAAGTTGTCCATTTTTTTTGAATCACCCTGTACATGACCTTGTTTTCTCATTTTAGCTATTGTTAACATCCGTTTTCTTGACCTTGAGCTTAAAGCTATAAAAAAACGATGTCAAAAAGTATTGCCATCCCGAATTCCGAGTGACCCAAAAATTCGCAGCTACAAACTTAAATCTGTGCTGACAATGAGTTTTGTAGAGGTTTGAGCACTTTGATAAAGCTATATAAACTTATTTTATTGTTCTTTACACTTTTGTCATCCAAAATATAATATACATACAGTTACACAAACATTGGCTGCTCGTTGGGCCTCAGCTGACTTAACGTCGGCGCTGCGCTCAAATCACTGTCCAGACGAATATAAGGAGAACAAATTTGGCTTAGATCGCAATAAAACACCGGGACCATCTTGAGTTTGCCCGAGGAAACACACGCAACATTGGCATTTGTGGGAACTAATTGCAAGTTACTGGTTCGGGGCTGAGTATTTTGAAAGTTTTGAAAGTTAACAAATTCAAGGAGTGGCTGAGACTCCGTTGAATTGCTGGCATTACTCATGAGATCCGCGAAAGGGTTGTGAGAGCAAGAGTCTTGAGAGAAACATTCCAGGTTAGTCGTTGAAGTGGGCAAAAAGATTGGGAACTTCGCGTCGCAAAATAGCGACGTCGTTGAGGCGGTGCTGGAATTTGGGGCATACTGAAGTGAAGACTCGGCTTCTTGTCGCTCTTTTTGAAGTCGCTTCAATTTCAGACGACGAATGGTCTCGCGGATGCGCTTACGGTAGCGGTCGACAAAAAGGCACTGAAAAGAAGTTTGATTAGAAGAATCTACATGGAAAAAGAGAGTAACCGTAAAATATCAGTCTGTTGGGAAAATAATGAGCACTCTATGGCATTGAAAGTCGTGGAGAAAATGAATTGTGTCGCGGCAAAATCAAATTGCTTTTTAATTCAAAAACGCGGTTGGCGTAGCGGCATTGTGCTCATCATTTTCCCGACAGAATGATAAACAGAGTCAAGATGTTCAGCGCCTTAAGATAATACCTTTACAGGCGTCGTAGAGGCTCTATTATGTCGTTTAATTGCCACTAGTTACTATATTATCTCACAGCGACATTGGGCTCATTATTTTCCCGACAGACTGATAGTAAGAATTGAAAATTTATCCCACCTTTTTGCAAGGACACTCCATAAATGGGCAGTGATTCTGATGGTTTTTATATTGCGCTTCCACTCCGTGCTGACGACACTTTCCGCACATTTTCACAATCGGCTTCTTTGGAGACTCCATGCCGTTCATGTTGAATAAATATCAAGCAAAATCTGGCTGAAAAAAACAGAATAAACTGTGAGAATTTCAAAGGATAGGATAAACGCTGTGATATTGTTCATAACATAGGAAAGTCAGCGTTTGCAAGAGTTTTCAGCCCCAAAACCCCCCAAAAACCACCATAGCCAAGCGAAAAAACTCGCAATTAAACGCGATTAAGCGGTATGAAAACTATTAGTAACCCATGGGTCTTAAGTAGCCAGCGGCGGACAACGCCTTTCAAGCTTATCGATCTTGGAATCTTCTACGCGGCACAACTTGTGCGCAATACAAGATACCAAGACGAGATACTTAATTGAATGCAGGGGCAGCTATCGCCCCATGATCTCGCAAATAGCCAGCTGCCCGACCTCTTTAACCGATATACCCCTAAAATTTTGGAGTTGATAAATCTAATCGTCCGCCGGTTGGAGTAAAATGTAGGCTTAGGGCTGCGAATTTTGCTGGGAAGCCGGCAATCAGTTAATCGTCGGCTTCTGCTGGAATATTCCGAGTAAAGGAGTGGATAACGGGCTTTAAGAAAGTCGAAAGGGGGCTCGGCAATTTCTGAAAAAAAGATTGAGAGGATTCGATTTGGAGAAGGCGATTTAAAAGAAGTGTTCGAGGTGCGACACACAGATTTCCATTAACAAGGGAAGTACCCCAAGTGCGACGCTCAGATTTTCTTTAAATTTTGCACACACGTCGGGCATGGACTAAGTATCAATTCCTGGAAGTTTTAGCTCGCGCTTTGCAACCGCCGCCGAGATATCTAACGATCTTTGCCGCCGAGAGAGCATGCTAAACGCGGAGAGCGGACAGAGAGAAAAACACTTTTTGGCCATAACTTCGCTAGTTTCGTACGGAAAAAAATCATTTTTTGTGGAAGCATTACCCATTACAATAGAAATAGGCATGAAACTTTTCGTATCGAAATTCGGCAAAAAGTGTCAAATTTTAGCCGACTTTCGGTCTAAAAATCTCGGTTGTTTCTTCAAAGCGCGAGCTAAGATTCTCGCATATATCTTAAAAAAACTATTCTAAATTTGTGCCAAGTTTCATCGAAATCTGAGCGTCGCACTTGGGGTACTTCCCCTGTAATTTTAGCTGACATGTTTGGCCATTGAGTCAGATCAATTCCAAAAGTCTTATCAATGTTTTTTTTTCAAATGCCACATACGCCTAGCGTAGGACACGTATCAATTTATAAAAATTTAGCTCACGCTTACTATATCTCGGGGCAGCCGAGATACTATTCACGGATATTTGTGGCCGAGAGAGTACGCGAAGCTCGGAGGGTCGTCAGATTTACCCCGAATTTTGCACACCTGGTTCACACACCTTCTTGAAATTTTGGCTTGCGCTTAGCAATGCCAGCGCTGATATTCCACGGTATTTCGAGAGGCAAGAGACAGCGGGAAATGCAGAGAGCGGCTATTGCAAAAAAAACTTTTTTGACGTGGAGTTTCTTTGAAATCTATATCTTCCGCGAAAAAATTCAACAAGCAACGTGGAAATTGGAAGGTTACAAAACACAAAATTTGCAGTATCTTACGGTGATCTCTTTAAAGCACAAGATCAACGAATTTGCGGACCGGTGAAGGGCTGAGCGGTTTTAGGCAACCACGCCTTAGATTGGCGCATGATATGGCATCTAATAGAATTCGCCAAAATTTTTACAAATGATGTGAAGCGTTTCCAAGACGCATGCGGCATGCCAAAACAACCCAATATACGAAGGAATTTCAAGAAAAACACAGATATTTCAACAAAATGCGGGCGCTACGGCTTTTCAAAGATTGACCATGCTTTGGGTTGCCTCAATCTGTAATTGAGTGGATGGAGGAGGCTAGAGTAAGGCTCACTTATCATCCATTTCGTGAAACATACGATCTTCTTTTGTGGAGCAAGATTTAGAAACTTCTACATACATTGCAATGATTTTTTGATCTTTTACGACGCGGAAAAACTTCAAAACGCTGTCCATTGGTTCGTTTTATATTTTACTATAGCTGGATCAAGAAAACTATATAAAGTGGGTAATTACTAAAATAAGAAAAGGTGGAGATATTGTAACTTTCCGTTCAGCTTTTGAAGCCTCGTAGGCATATCCTACAACCTCCGCGCAAGTCCGCTTATCCTACATAGCGCTGCAGAAGCATATGAATTCCCACGTTCAGCTAAAACAAGGCCAGCTGTTTGTTGTTGAAGTCCACGTGCAAATGCACTGCTCTTATTTAGTTTGTGTTCATTTCTAAAATGACGAGGGAATTGTGCTTTCGGCTAGAAGGTTAAATTTCCTCCGCGTCGTTAATTATAATTTCATCACTCAACAGCGTCCTCCTTTCCGGGCAAATCGGTAGCGCTGAATAACTGGGCAGTAGCGCGGAATATCTTTACACAACGAGGGAAGTTCTTTGAATTTGATATACAGCCCAGGATCAGAGGGTGTGTGCAAAATTTCAAGGAGATCTGAGTGTTGCACTTTTAGCACTTCCCTGGTAAAGTTGAGACTATTTACAATTTCAGCAAAAGTTGAGGCCGAAATTATATACGTGGAAACAGTCATCACTACTCACTCCGGCTGCTACTGAATTTACTACAAGGCCAAAAAGGTTGTGATCCGATATTGTTGTCGAAATTTTGATCGAAAGCAGATTGCATACAGGATACAATGAAGAATGTACCAAAACTTAATCATCCAGACTTTACGGGGAAATGGCCAGTACTCATGCAACGCCATGGCAAAGGAAGAACGTCAAGCATTTATTGAAAGCACTTTTGGAACGGCTTGCTGTTTTGCAAAGGCATTTACTCGAGGGTTTGCCAAACTGACTCTCCAAACGGCAATTAATTTAATCCACTGACATTGAGGGTGCCTTTGTTAAAATACTCTTGGCAAAACGGCGCCGCTACGAACGGTGTATTATCATCACTTTTGAGGTATACTTTGCCAGCTGTACCGCACAGAATACACATGTATTATGTGTACAATCGGCACGATCTTTTAGACAGGCTCAGGTGTCGAAATATTCGAAAAATTACCCATTTCTCAAGAATCCAAGCGCTCATCTCAACCCAGATGTCTCTCGCAGTTGACAAAAAGGTCGACTAGTATCTGCAGATCTCCGATTTAGCGACGGCACGTCGGAGAAGGGGCGATCTTCAATTTGGCTTGTCAATTACATGATTACTTGAACCCATTTTTTCTCATGACCCTCTGACTTTTTTTTTGTGACTTTTGGTCTCCATGGATCGCTGAGACGTATCTCTTTCTCCATGTAATATGTCTTACATATGTTGTAAGACGTATTATGTGTGTAATGAGTGGCTAATCTTATGAAATCAAAATAGAAAAAGCACGTGGTAAACAGGTGAAGATCCGATGAAAGAAAGGCGCTGAAATAAGCAAGTTGGACATGTGAATTTTCCGTCGTCGTATTGCCTTGCTCTACAACCAGCCAAATTGGAAAAAGTACCGAAGAAGTGCGCTACTGTCCACCTACTTTATGTAGCGAAATGCAGTTGTATTTATAGCACATATACATATGTATATCTCTGGCCGGTCTGCGGCTCGAAGTTGGTCGGCCAAGCCGGCTTTGAATTGCTTCAGTCATGCCCGGTACCTACACATTGTATGACCAAGTTTGCTTTACCCTAACCGGTAAGGCAAACCAAAACGTAAGAATGTCAAGACTTCCTCCACAACTGAAGTACAGTAGTTAATAAACAGTAATTTTTTCACCGCTAACAATAAGTTGTCTCAACTAAGCTCTCACTAGAGCAATCTGTTTCTTCCCTGACCTAGCTTTACCAGACTGGCACGGCAACCAACTCCCTCCGTTATTCTTAGGCTCAGCACAAAAAACAACGTATATGTTGTATTTAGGTCGTAATCGGCTGTTGCACTTTTCTCTGACTGAAACGGGAGTCGCGAGAACCACGTATTGATATTACTACTCATCACTGGCGCAAAAACGGAGCAAGGCATTTCGAAAATTTTGATTTCTGATTTGAAGAAACAAAAAGAAGGAAGTGGAATACAGTGGAACCTCTGACTTTCATACAAAAAGAAACCTGTCTAGTAACAGTTTGAGGAATTCAAAGCCTTATCTGCAGATAACTATTCTATAACCTTTTCCTTGTAAAACGAACCGAGGTTTTACTCCATTTAGAATCGTTGTGGTATACGAGAGGCTTCCTCAATGACATGATCGTGAAAATTCATCCAAACTTATTTATTATCTATTTATCATAATGAAGGTAATGTACAATACAAAGGCTAACTCAAGAGATCGAAGAAATTGCACCGAGCAATTAGAAGAATAAGCGAGAGTTGATTAATCATCCTGTTTGGCCCTTTATTTTTGCTGCAGAAGGTTGGCAATCATACTGTTGTTGTTTGATTGTACGTTGCCATTGGACTGGCCTTGGAACATGGAGTTTTGGGCGTCTGAAAAAGCGGATTTAGGATAAAGAAAAGACTATAATCTTTTGGGCACAGATGGCTCATAAATGTGTGAAAATTTTAGCTTGCGCTTTGCAAAGGCAGCCGATATTCAATTACGACAAAATTACCCTCTTCAGTAGACATAAGAATGCAAGTTTCTATATCAAGATTCGCAAAAAAAATCAGATTTTTTTTGGCAAATTTAGACCTAAAAATCTCGGTCTTTTCTACAAAGTGCGAATAAAAACTTCATCAAAACATGAACGTCGCACTTCGGACAAATCCTTACTATTAATTGTAAGCACCCTCACTAAACTGATATTTATTCCTAGCCTACAAATTAACGACCATCCTGTTCAGCGCTTACTCTGTCGTTCCTTGTTGGTGTAGTCCTCAACCAACGACGAGACTCCACTGAAGCAGATCGACATGACGAAGTCGGGGTATATGGGTTTGTGAGCGACGAGTTGCAAAACGCAATACCCACTCCTCGAATCCCGCACATATTTATACACGCCGCATCCCAGACACCTTCCAGGCTCCGTGGACGATCTTGATTTACAGCGTGTGAGGGATCAGATAACCGTCGGCGGCGGCGGCTCAGAATGGTGTCGAATCCGGCACATTCTCGCCTCCAGCTTAATAAGGACGCCTGATTAAGGCGATTTCGTGCGCGATAAGCCCAACTTCATCAACAACTCGGAAATCCAGAGTTAATAAAGAGAGATCGCCTCCGGATGGATGGGCCGTTGAAAGAGCCGAATTACGCGTGGCAATAGCGCTGGCGCGACGCGCGGGAGCGTGAAGATGAAAACGAGTCTAAATGCACAATAAATCATCGAAGGGAGACTGAATATGAACTGACTGACCAACAGGGAAAGTCTCCATAGTACAACACTCAGATTTTGATGAAACTTGGCTCAAATTTACAAAATCTCTTTCCAAGGCAATGCGAGACTTCTAGCCTGCGCTTTGCGAAAACGACCGAGATTTTTAGCCCGAAAGTTGGAAAAAACATGTTCTTTGAGTGTTTGGCATACAATTTTTCATGTCTATTTATGCTGCAGGGCGTAATGTTTCCATAGAAGAACAATTTTTCCGCAAGAAACTGGCAAATAAATGGCCAAAAAGCGTTTTTTCTCTGTGGGCTCTCTCCGCTTTTCGAATACCCTATCGGCCGCAAGGACCATTAAATATCTGTCTGCCGGGAAAATTGTGAGCGCAATGTCGCATCAATAATCGCATGGTTCAATGTCACGGCCGCGCCTGCAATTGGAAATTTTTGAGGATACAAGAGATCTTAACAAAGGCTTCTACCTAGAAAACCTGATTAACTTATGTTACGGTGATACCGTGTCCTTTCTTCTTGAACATTGTCTTTGAAGGCTGTATTATGAGAGCAAGCGTGACCTTCATTCATGCTACTTGCTAACAAGGGAAGTACCCCAAGTACGACGTTCAGATTTTGATGAAACTTGGCACAAATTTGGATTATTTCTTTCTAAAAAATAAGCGAGAATCTAGCTCGCGCTTTGCAGAAACAACCGAGATTTTTTGATTGAAAGTTAACGAAAATTTAACCCTTTTTGCTGAATTTCTTCACGAAAAGTTTTGTGCCTATTTCTACCATAGAGGGTAATGTTTCCACAAAAAATCAATCTTTTCCGCACGAAGCTAGAAAAGTTATGATCAAAAGGTGTTTTTCTCTCTGACCGCTCTCCGCTTTAAGCGTACTCTCTCTCTCTCTCTCTCTGCGGCCGAGATCGTTCAATATCTTGGCGGCGCTAGCAAAGCGCGAGCTAAAACTTTCAAGAATTGATACTTAGTTCATGCCTGACGTGTGTGTAAAATTTAAAGAAAATCTGAGCGTCGCACTTGGTGTACTTCCTCTGTAAACAAATGCTTCAGTTCCACTTAGTCGGTACACATTTTACGTTCTTGAGCACAAGCCAGAGAAGGTACTATGCCGAGATTTTTTGGTCGCCTTCAGAGTACATTCGCGCCGCCAAAATTTTTGCGTCGGATTTGCCCTTTTGCTTCTAAGCCGCGATAACTCGGGCAGATCGTCGGACTCGATTACATAAAGAAGCGGCTGAGTTTTCAGCTCACCTGAGGAGTGGGAATGCGTTAACAAGAGAAATACCCAAACTTCATGCCTTATTTTTTTTTAATTTGCACGTACTTCAGGCATATGTCACATATAAATTCCTGAAAATATTAGGTTGCTCTTTGCAGGAGCGGCCGAGATATTCCATGGTGTATTCTCGGTGTATTCTCCTTCTCCGTGCAGGAATAAATAGTTGGAAGCTTTGTTCAGCACACCATTTGCGACAACGCCCCTGTGGATCTTTGCGTTGCGTTGTCTTTTGTGGAGAAGCGGGCAAGCGTTAACGTCGGCTGCAGATCTGGGCCTAATCCATTTGGTGTAAGAACTGCCCAATATAGAGAAAGCCCGTCTTGGAGAAGTGTTCGTTGCAAATGACCCAATATAACCGATGACATTGCTGTTGTATTATATGTATTCGTTGTGTCATCATAAGGTACAACAACAACAACAAGAAACCTGTACGGTTTGAAAAAAGGCTTCCAGTCAAATTTCCTTTAAGTTTTCTTACGTTTCCCTTTTTTTTCACAATGCAATTTCATATGTCAGTCAATGCATACATCTTTAACCTACTTTGAAATTACTCCACGACAAGCATTGCACCTACTCGGTCGCAATCTTCAAAGTCGGCGGGAAAAATTCCCATCCTCCAACATCCAAAGGGAATTATTTCGTTATCGAATCTCTGCGTTGCGTATTCATAGTTTGACAGGCTTATCTTCAATCAGCGCCGGATTTGCTGCGCGTAAGGGAGCAATTTGAAAAAAAACTCTCGTAGACTCCGGCAAAGCAAGAGATGATGAAACTGTTTAATTAAGAATTGCATTCTGAGAAAGACATAAAAAATCGATGAATTTGTTGTCGACCGCTGCTGCTTTCTCCATTCATGGGAATTTGGAAAGTTGCAGGCTCTAGAGTTGCAGCAGACACTTCGTGGAAGGCCCGGAAGTCATCGTCAGTCTCCATCTGCACCGCACGTCAAACTGAGATAAGCTAAAACAGTCCGGTGAATGGATTGGCAATTTGCCAAAAAAAGACGCGAAAAAAAGTTTTGTCGGGGAAGAAATGGGGAATTTTGGGGGCGAGAGAGTACGCTTTTGCGTGTCTTTTTTCTTGTGGCGTAGGATCAAATATAGATAGGGAGAGGTAATGGTAGACACAAGTTAGAATTAGGTTTATTGCAACCGCACACAGGGAAAAGAGAAATGGGATTAATTCTGATCATAATTGGTGACGAGACGTTGCTTTTATATGACTTGGTTTATGCTAATTTCTGTGGGAATTGTGGAGACGTTTGACGCTCCACAACATGTCCGGCTCTTCCTTCTGGGTCGGGTTGGCATGGGGCAGGTACCAGTTGAACTTCGCAGGGCACTTCCAGGGAACTTTGGGGCTCTTGGTAAGTTCATAATCGAGGGAAAGTTCGTGTTCCTTTGGTTTGTACTTGCATTTAATTCGACGATTCATAGGCAAATCACTTTGTGGCAGGTTACGAGGGACCATCGTACACGGGTTCGAGTGGGAAACCGAAATGTATTTGAGGTTTGGACCTCGATTAGGCTTCTGCAATAGACTATTGCCCCACGGCAATACATGCCCAACCTCCACGGCGGGTTCACAATGAGTGGAAAGCGGCAGAGAGTTCACAATAGGATCCGGTGACTTTCGAAGTGGATGACTATACGAGTTCACAACGTCAGCAGCATTTTCCACTGGAGAAATAATTTTTGGAGCCACAGATTTCTTTTTCTTTCTATTCGCAAAAAATGTGGATTTTCGAATCCGGCAAAAATCGATTGGGTAGTCTGAACACCATTCGTCCGAGTTTTCCGAGACAAGAAAATGACCAAAGCGACAAGACATGACTCGAAGTCCATCTGGGGTAACGTGGTTCGAAGATTGTATTTCCAATTTTGCGAGGCAATCTTGCCCGAGAACAATACGAATCGGCACTTGACCAGAGTCAGCCGGCTGGCCCATGAAAAACTCGTGGAGATTTTCAATTGCGAGAACACGGAATGCAACAGGTGGACCAGATTTGGGAACAATAGACACCGATGTCTTGAATGTTTGGATCGATTGGACATTTCCACCAACGGGAATCACTGTGCGGATAATCGGAGAATCGAGAGGTAATTGGAGGGAACGACAGAATCCAAGGTCAACAAAAGAAACCTGAGAGCCCGTATCGATAAAAGCTTTCACGGGATCACGAAATCCGCTCACTGTCACCATTGGGGACATAACTTCCTCATTTTGGGGCAAGGAAACCGTTCTCATCTGAACTGATGGTCCATTAGTTGGTTGAACCGCCGGAGGATTAGATGGAGGAAAGCTGGAAGCCCGAGGAGTCTCAAGATTATTCGGGAATGTCGAGGATAACGGAGGAGACGAGTGGGTCGACTGACCAAAGAAAGACCGATGGGGTTGGTTAAAGTTAAAGTTCGAAGAAGGGAAAGCCTGAGAACAAATCGAAATGTGATGATCACCTTGGCACTGACTACACATTGGAGAACGACACTGTGAGGACACATGACTTCGACAAAGACAACGAGCACATAAATTCTTCTCACGAATCACCTGTTGTCTCCTGGAATGATCTGATACTGTTCGGCAATCCTTTGAACGATGGCTTCGATCACAAAATGCACACCTCTCTCGATGAAAATTCGAAGTATTGGATAACTGTGGCGAGCGAAAGTGAGAATCCTTGTCCCGACTCAATGAGAACCTTTCACGCGAACGGATGATACTGTCAAGGTAGGATAGGATGTCATCTACAGTAGGCACAATAGCCGAATGCTCAAAATGCAGCTCAATAGATCGATGGATATCTTCAGGAAGCGACTCGAGAACATGGGAGATGAACAACTCATTCTCTGACAAGAGACCTGGAGAGTGGACATTCGAGAGAGAAGGCGAGGAAACGAGAGAATCACGCATGATCATGAGTCGATAGTACCAGTCCTTCAATTCAGCTTGAGTACGAGGAACAGAGTACTTCTTGTCTTTCAATTCCTTTAGGAGACGTTGATAATGAGCTCGTTTGTCTCCATAGCGTCTCTGAAGAGCGTTCAGAATAAGGCGCAGACTTCCTTCAACGATCGGAATCGCCTGAATCATCTCAAGAGGCTCGCCGGCCAAAAGAGACAAGACAAAGGTTATTTTGCTCATTTCCGAGTAGTGAGAGTTGCTATCTAAGGCATTCGTCAAAACGCCGAAAAACTGGGAAAATTCCTCAGGTTTACCAGAAAATTTGTTGATCCGAATCTTATGGAGATCGAGGAAAGTGGATCGAGGGGACACTGGAGACGAGGATACCGGATTCAAGTTACCTAATTGAGGAGAAGCGAGAAAACTAGATCTGGACTGACTATTCTGCAATTCAACCCTAGCACATGCTTCTTGACATCGTTGGATAGCGTCCATGGAACTCTCAATCCAATAACCGAGCATCTCACTAACCAAAGAACACGACAAAGAATCCACATAAAGTTGAGCAGTGGCGGAGGGGACCTGGTGAGAAAGTTCTAGATCCTCTAGATCATACAACGCAGTCCGGAAGTCGGTTTCAACAGTCTTTAGGGACTCCAAGATCTCACTGAACAGCTTCAGGGTAAACGATGGAATATCCGAGAGGTCGGTCAGGCGAATCAACGGATTTTCTAAACGACTGAGTATACGAGCGAAGTCGAAGGTGATCAAGGTGTAGATAGTGCGGCACACGGCTTTAATCTCTCGATATGTGGTTGGATCGTTGACAAATGTTGCGAATAAGGTCGCAATCTGCCGGTTGTTCTCGGGGGTCGGACGGAACCCGGAGATGATGGCACGATGACGAGCGTGCTCTTCTAAAGAACATCGATGGTGCAGCTGCGATATCGGCCGGGTTCAAAAGGGTAACGGTGGAAGCCGAAGACAGGTGAGAATGATTCTCAACCGCGTCCGGATGCTCAGCCATGACGAAAACGAATCTAACGACAAGAGACCAAGAGGAACACAGATAAAGGTGGGGATCTAACCCAAGATGCGGGGATTTAACCCAAAAAAAGGCGGGGATCTAACCCGAATGAAGGGGATTTAACCCAGGAAAAGGCGGGGATCTAACCCGAACGGAGGGGATTTAACCCAGGAAAAGGCGGGGATCTAACCCGAAAATATACAACACGGAGGGAACTATTGCCCTAACACAAAGAGAACACACAATTTGTACGATAATGATCGTACCGAGCCACTAAGTAGGAATCTAAAGACAGACACTGGTGTGGCTAGTATCAGTGGTAACAAAAAATGCGATTGAACAATACCTGTAATTGCTCCAATACAAACGGTTCTCCGGGATCTTCCTACACCAGCGCAGCCCCCATGTGGCGTAGGATCAAATGTAGAGATAGGTAGAGGTAATGGATAGACACACGTTAGAATTAGGTTTATTGCAACCGCACACAGGGAAAAGAGAAATGGGATTAATTCTGATCATAATTGGTGACGAGACGTTGCTTTTATATGACTTGGTTTATGCTAATTTCTGTGGGAATTGTGGAGACGTTTGACGCTCCACAACATTCTCTCTTTCTCTGGAAATCAAGACGAAATGAAAAAACCGATAGCGAAGGGTCTGTTCCGGTCACCGGATTCCTCAGTTTGACGTGCACCGCCAAAACTTGTATTCTATCTTCATGGGCTTCTAAGAAACTTGCAACGTATTTGTAAACCTGTACCATCTCATGTAACTTCCTTGAGGAATGAGGATAAGTTCTGTCATGAGGTAAATTCTTCTAAAGAAACCGCCAGTCCCCGAAGTTTCCTTTGCGGAAGGCGCTGAAGAGTTGACAGTTCTCGAAGTCGTCCAAAGCCATGGTCGTCTGGCTAAATTGGCTCTTGTGGGCGGCCGAGATGGCTTCCGGATTGCGCATAATATCCTTCTTACCCGGTTATGTACAAGTAGTAAACGGCGTCTTGGATTTAGCACGTACCGTGATGAAGGCCTCCAGACCGGCCTAAATAAATCAAACCTTCATTTGGCCGGTTAGCTGGAAGATCAGGGCAACTTTATTATTTTTTTCTTTGCTCGGTGAACTCAAGCCAAACCTCACAAACAGCGGTTACTTCGGATTGATGGTCCAGATCATAGAAGTAAATACAGGGTGTACCAAATTCGGTGCCCGATTTGAATTGGCTATAACTTCTTTAATTTTGGGCCAAATATAAAAAATTTTTTTCCCCAGAATCCCCAGACAACCCCATTTTGTCTGATACCAAATATGTTATACATAGGTAAGTGTCAGCTACAGTTATTGGATTTATTCTTGAAGTTCATTTTTTTGGTCGTTTTTCGGTTGTTTTTTCGGCCTTTCCCGGTGTGTCCGAAAATGGAGTACGGTGTGGAAAAAAAGCTTGGTCTGTGTGGTTTGGTATGGCAAATACGGTTCGCCGATAAATGTTCAAAGGGAATACCGGGTGAAATACGGACGTAAGGCCCAACCCAGATCGCAAGACAATTCGGCGTTGGTGGAATAAGTTCCTTGAGACTGGCAGCATTAACAGGAAACAAAAAAAGCAGGAAAGATGGGTACGAACGTAGTTGAAAATTGAAGAAGTTTTGTCAAACTTCCGAGAAAATTCGCATATGAGTACACGAAGTTTGGCCAGAACCGAGGGAATGCCTTCACCAAGGACCATTCGACGAACTCTGGAGGTTGATCTTCACTTTTTGTTCTTATTCTCATCGTCGATTTTCAGGAGGGGAAATTCCATCGTATTTTTCTGCCGCACCGTACTCCATTTTCGGACACACCGGGAAAGGCCGAAAAAACAACCGAAAAACGACCAAAAAAATGAACTTCAAGAATAAATCCAATAACTGTAGCTGACACTTACCTATGTATAACATATTTGGTATCAGACAAAATGGGGTTGTCTGGGGATTCTGGGGAAAAAAAATTTTTTAAATTTGGCCCAAAATTAAAGAAGTTATAGCCAATTCAAATCGGGCACCGAATTTGGTACACCCTGTATTGAAAATGCCTGGCTTTGGTACTTTTTTGGACCACAAAAAAGCAAAAATTCAAGGTCGTCTTCCTCATCTAGATAAAAAAATATGGGGCGTCTATACCGCCTGACTTCCGCATAGGAAACTGGGCTGCTGAGAAGGAAATAACAGCGCGATAGTTGAACTTTTACTCCTAAAACTCCTGTTATACCATTCATACGTTCTAGGAGTGTGATCAAATAAAAAAAGTGTTGACTGTGCATGTTATCGCTTTACGAGATGACAACAGAATGGCGGATGGCTTCGGAAAAATCTGAGCGTCACACTTTTCTTTGTAAGCTCCTTTACATCGGTTAATCGTGTTTATTGCATTTCTTGGAATAACAAAATACATCAACAGCAAAACAACATGATTGTACGGGCTACAACTACACAACCACGCTTCATCATTTGTATTTTTTCAACGAGTCTGTTAAAACGCAGGCAGAAATGTAGTAGAGACTTTGTTAGATAACAAATTGCCAACCAGGATGTAAACTCTTACTCTAAGCTCCAATCCATCTGTAAGATGTCATATTTTTCTCACAAAAGCATTGCATTTATCTTGCTTACAATTAACAATTACGACTGACGGAAATAAGCCCATTCAATTCCTAAAAGTTTCAGCTAGTGTTGGAGATCCATACTTCGCGGGTATGGATCTCCAACGATCTTTGTTTGTCGAAGAGAAAACCCCTTTTTGGCCAATCTTAGCCACTTTTTCATAGAAAAAGTGCGACGTCTTGATGGTCTAATAGAAAGCTTTCTCTTCGATATAGGCCACGCATTAATTCTTAAAGTTTTAGCTCGCGCTTTGCAAGGGCAGCCGAGATATTCTATGATCTTGCGGCCGAGTAGGCATGTTGTGGAATGTGGGCGAGATAAAAACTGCTTTTTGCTTTTACAGTTTTGCGTGGACAAAGAAAAAGGAAGCGTGACATAAGTCCTATAAGAGCTTTATTCTAAAAATGGGCCAAGTTTTACTAACAATAAAACTTGAGCATCGTAAATCCGGCACATCCCCTGCCGATCCTTCATGTCCATAGGAATGCGATCTTTATTTTTGTTTCACTTGAACTTGAATGTAAACTGACACGCATCAAGACCATTCGGACAAGCATGTGCGCTCCCAAATCTGACCTGTTTATGCGGGCGGGTGTGAGAGGTTAATGCGAATGGTGTCCAAATTCACTCGGGATCCAATTTTGTGCCTCATTAGGCACGATGAGCTTACCGTTTCTTTTCTCATTTTGTTTCGGCCGTTGTCTGATTAAGACGACAAAATAGATGAAGGTCGACCGTGACCGTATTTGGGCTTGTTTCATTTTGTCTCATTAGCTTCTGTGTCATTAGCGTTTTAGGAGCTGTTGACCATTTTTTGCCGTGCAAGAGGGAAGCGACATGGTTCTGATTTGGTCCGGGCCGTTTCAAATTTTTGTCGACCTGGCCCGCGATGGAGTAGCATGCAATTGACAGAAAGATCCTAAATTTATGAAGCTCAGAGGTGGCACAAAGCTTGTTTTTCTCTGTGACCGCTCTCTACGTTTTTTTGTACTCTATCGGCGACAAAGATTGTTGAATATCTCGGCTGCCCCTGCAAAGTGCGGGCTAAAACTTTTAAGAGTTGCTACGTGACCTATGCACAACGTGTGTACAAGATATAAAGAAAATCTGACCATAGTACTTGTAGTACTTGCCTTGTAAGTACAATAAGAACTAATTACACTTTTATCTTCTGATTATTGCATGCAACTTTTTGTATGTACCTAAACGTCCTTCAGTTTGCAAGTTTGTAGTTGCGCGCAGCATTTTCCCAATCTTTGCTGTTTAACTTGGTCTTCATTGCCATTGACGCGCATTAGATAAAAATAGATGGGGAAAAGTGATATTACCCTACAAATGCGACGATAATCTCAATTTGTTTATGCTTGGGGGCGTCCAAAAATGGAGTTTTTGTGAACAGCTTCTAGTGTGGGTACTTGGAATGGAGTGGTAAAACCTTGTCGCGTTTTTATACGAATTTCGATTATGCTTTTCTGACAATAAGCTTTAGTTGCGCTCATATGTAGAACAACTTCATAAATTCCCGTAAGCGCCGCTCAAATTTTGATGAAACTTGGCAAAAATTTAGACGAATTTTTCCTGAGGCATACCCGAGGTTCTAAGATGGCAATTTTCAGAAACGACGGAGATTTTTAAGTCGAAAGCAGGCAAAATGTGGCCCTTTTTCGCGAATTTTGGTATGAATATTTCTGCGTCTTTTTCTACCGGTGACCGTAATGCTTGTTATATGCAAAACCTTCTCGATTTTCCGAAATTAGCAGGCTTGGCAAAACGTGGTATTATCTCTGACGGCTCTCCATCTTTTGAGCACTCCCGCGACAGGAAAGATTGCTGTACACCTCGGCTCCTCCTGCATAGCGCGAGCTTCTGGCAATTGATATGTGACCTATGCCCGATGTATGCGCAGAATTTAACGAAAATCTGAGCGTCGCACTTCGGTTACTTCCCTTGTTAATAAACCCTTCAGAAGGTTGACTATAGCGACGCCGCTAATACGTGATTCAAACATTTCAGAAGCTTTGATCCACCTAAAGTGAAAAAGCCAATTATGTATCCTTTAATTTCCGATTTCCTCCGGAAAACATCTCGTAAATTAAAATAACTTGATATATTAAACTCTAAATTTAGCGGCTGACCCCAGGAAATTAAAAAAAGTATACATCTTTGAGCCGCCGATAATCCACGTTAATCCGCCGCAATTAATCGATGATTGGAAAGTGTTTTTGCGGATTCAACGCAGTTCGATGGGCCCTTTATTAATTAAAAATTTTAATTATTCCGCCATGCCGGATTGAAAATGTCGTTACCGCGCGAGCAAATATTTACATCGTCAGGTGTAGCCTTTAGATATAATGATGGAGGGATTAGCCCGATTAAGAGTTCGTCAACAAATTTTTCATCAAAGCGGAACAATTCGCTCTCGGCGTCTGTGTTTGAGGTTGTTTTGTAGTCTACGTCATATCAGATTCGATGCTGGAGACGTATACGTACAGGGTGGCACAAAATGGGAACAGGTTACTGCGGAAATTAGGGCTAGTAATAGATTGCAGTTTTCCTCTTCCAATCAGCGTGGTAAGGCAAAATGATTTCGTCAGAAGTCGACTTTTAAAAGTTTTTTTTATGTCGGAGGCCCAACGTTCAGCATGAACTTGGAGTCATGTTGAGTTCTAAAATTTTTTTGCCTTGAACTTGAGTGGGTGTACTTTGTAAAGCGGCGTTTTTGTCTGCTTTAGCGAGAATCCTTGGGCTGCTCACTGTGCCCGGCTCTTGAAGTCTTGCCTTGCCATCGGGTGCACCAACGATTCCAACAACGAGTAGTAGGATAAAATACATTTATTCCAACCCAACATTCGTGCATCCATTCGAATCCCTCTTCGATTTGCACCGAAAGCGAAGCGCTGAACGGCAAGAGAGGTGTCTGGCACGCCGCCTATTTTACAGACAACACGCAGCCACGACAACTTGAAGAACTTAAGTTCGAACACTTGTGGAGCCCTGGTTCATGTGTAGTGTTATATAGGTATCCCCCGTACAGATTTTTATGTGCATTTCTTTTATCAGAAACACGCCAGAAAAAGTGTTCATCGAATCGATGCAGAGAATATTATGAAACCGTATGACAATCCTAAAAAAACCAGGTTACCTGGGGGCCCGGCAATCTTAGGCTTTAACCCAGCCTTAGTGACGGCTAAATTATGATTGGGACCACCACATTGCTCCGAGGAGACATTTTCTATTTTTTTTGTCTTCTTCTTGCGATCAGAAGTCATCCCTTTACTCTCAATCTTCCACTTGCCTTTTCATCATGCTTGTTATCATGATTACTCCTCCTCCTCTCTCCCTATGTCTTTTTATTCCCAGAAATCTCCTATGTTTGACTTGCAGATGTCATGTGAAAGGCTTGGTAATCAGAAACATCACTCGTTTCGATCAATGTTCATGTATTTTTAGTCACCATAATGTCTCCGCAGAATCATATTCTGAATGGTTTACCCTTTAACTTTGCCCTGAAAATTGGTTAATGCTACAGGGTGGCCCAAAAAAATGGAAACTCATATTTATAGTCATATTTCAGTTAACTATCCAAATTTAGCCAAAGTAATGATTAATATCAGTAACATGGAACATTGTTAATAACATGTTCGACCATTTTCGAAATATCTGCCGTTGGCGGCGATATAGAGCGCCAAACGTGACTTTAAATTTTGGGCGGTACGCCGCAGCTTTTTTTCGGGAAATCGGTCCCGTTCTTGGCTCAGCGATTATTTAGCGGTCCCAAACTTTTGTGGCGTATAGTACAGGCGTTCGCCTCTAATTGAAAAAAAAAAATTTAGTTTGTACGATCTAGATCCGACGAATAGGCGGCAATTTTGCAGACGTAGCAAAATCAGCCGATTCCTGGCCTCGTGCGCTTTTTGCTTTCTCGGCCGGGGCTGAATCTTATGAGAACGTTAATTTTCTATCCACAAATTGCTACTGAGCCCGCGGAAGCACCACTACCGCCAGAATACCGATGGTTGACGTTTCGGTAGGTTTTGACATCTTTAACCACGAAAACCGGGGATATCTTGCCTCTGGCGCAAAATCTTGCCCCAGGCCATGACGGAAGAGGTTTTGACAGGGTTCGAAGATGGCGGGTGCTTGATGATGCTCAACAGTCTAACTCCTGTCATTCTGGTGTTTGTGGACCTGCTCAATGTTGAGCTACGTCTCATCCATGAACAGGATCTCTTCTCATCGCCGAGCAGCGGCGCGGCGCCTGAGTTTTTGACGTCTTTTGAGCCGTACTAACTTGTGGTCTTCCGCAGGGCGCTGAACTTTTTGGAGCCTGTAAGGCTTGAGCTGTTGTACATTTTAGGCCATTTGGCAGATAGCTGTTATGTTGATAACGGTCTCTCGCGCAGTATTTTTCATGGACACCATCAGATTTTGCTTCACTCGCTTTTTGATGACCTCAAGGTTGGCAGAAGCATTCAAGGTGCACTTTTTTCGACTTCCCGAACGCGTACCATTGCGGACTATTCCGTTGAGTTGTTTGGTGGCTTTTGGCATAACCGTTTTTGCTACACCGAGCAATTTATCAACCTCACACGGTCCTTTTTCTTGCCGAAACAGGTCGGAAATCGAGGTCCCTTTGTTTGACATTCATAAAAAAACATGTTAACCAAGCGATATAGGCATGAAAATAAAACACCTAGGGCTAAAAAATACGGAGAATTTAACGGTGGAAAAATTATTTGTCTGCACCTTAAGGTTTTCGCGGCAGGACCCATGGAAAAAAGTTTCCATTTTTTTGGGCCACCCTGTATAAGGCGTTTCCGCAATGACGATTAAATAATTCATCAGCAGCAAATATCAAGCAAAAATATTATAATATTTAAAATTGCCATTCAAAAACCAATGCTTATTGGAAAGTGCTGACGTCCGCAGGCAATTATGGCCACAGTAATTTTTTCGATTTTCAGCGGCTTACGGATTTGCTTAGGGAATCATAATCCAATTAGTTGAGATATGCGTCATGAAAGGTTATCCAGGGATTATAGGAGAAGTGCTCAAGTGCGACGCTCAAATTTTTATGGATCTTGGGACAAATTTAGATCAATTTTTTTGAGAGGTTTTATACGTGAGGTTTCTAGCCCGCAATTTAAAGAAACAAATTTGTTGTGAAATGTTTTACACATATTTCTACCGTAGAGAGTAATGTCTTTACAAAAGGTCATTTTTTACACAAAACTGGCAAAGAGATGGGCAAAAAATGCTTCCTCTCTAACTCTCCGCGTATCGCGTACTCTCTCAGCGATCGTTGAATATCTCGGCTGCCCTGCAAAGCGATGAGCTACAATTTTCTGGATTACGTGCCCTATGCCCAAAGTGTGTGCTTATCAGTCTGTCGGGAAAATAATGAGCACTCGGCCGCGCAGCATTTCGAATTTCTTTCGCTGCCGACTAAATGAAAAAATGAGATTCGCCTCTTACATTTTTGCCAATATCTCGCTAGCATTGGATGGTATTGTGAATCTGTGAATTGTGTTTAAGAGCTGACACATTTAAACTTTGGAATATGCTAATTTTGTAATAATACTCGTTATGTACGGCAAGGATACCGTGGCTGAAAAATAGCAAATTGCAATACTGAATGCCGGAAAAAATGTACTTTCTAGGGCCATGACAAGAATAGTATATAAGCATTTAGAATACTATAACATGTAAAATTTTCAATATTTTTTTGCCTTATATGCTTTTGCAATCTGTCTGAAGACTTTACTGTACTCGTACGAAAAAGTTTTTTTTATGTCCTCTAGCCTTGTTGCCATTCCAAAAATAACAGATCCGTAAATTAGATTTTCCCCCAATTTCCTTTATAATAAAATTAATAATTTGCAATTTGTAAATGTTAATTACCCTGTATTCCCTTTGACTATGGCTTCTCGGGATTACAGCGGATAATTACCGGTAAGCCCGGGATCCGAGATTATCCGCGCGAAATCCCCGTCTCGAAAATAACGGATCTCCCACCACAGCAGTCTGAGAATACACGTACATAATACACCCACATCCGAGGAATGTAAAGGTTAAACTTCGGGTCGAACAATGACTGTAAACAGCTTTCTCTTTGTCTAACTGTAAACAGAGGAAAGAGCTCCGGATTAAACTTGTGAATAGTGTTGGCGTGGGAAGTTTCGTGGATATTTCTATCGTACAGGGTAACTTTTCAAAAAAAAAATTTTTTTTTTCGGTACGGAACTGGCAAAGATATGGCCGAAATTTTTTTTCTCTCCGACCGCCCTCCACGTTTTGCGTACTCTCTCAGCGCCAAAGATTGTTCAATATTTCGAGTGCGTTTGCAAAGCGCCAACTAAAATTTTCAAAATTTGGTATGCGACCTATGCCCAACAAATGCGCAAAATGTAACAAAAAGTCTGCGCGTTGCGACATGTCGGCGTGAATGTCAAAGATTTCAGCGTATTCCTTCAAAACTTTCGACTTTTCAGCATACAGTGGCGGACTTGGTCCAATGGCAAAAAACGTACCATTTTGCATTCGGGAGGTATTAAAAAATATAGCAAAATACCTCCCTTTCCAAGTGAAAAAACTCCGATTTTCACTTTCCAAGTGAAAAAACTCTGATGCATTTTTTGATACTTCCCGGATGCGAAATGGTGTGTTTTTTGCCACTGGATCAGGCCCGTCAGTGTAGTATGATATTATATTATCGTGATAAGACGATTGTATAATATCATCGTAGCGCCTGATTGAGGTTAAAATATCAAGAAGTTTCCATGAGTTTTACTATAATAGCAGCCTGTCGGGAAAATAATAGGCGCAATGTCGCGACGCCGATTGCGATTTTGTCGCGACTCAATTCATTTTCCCGGCGGGGCAATTTTCGATGCGACAAGGAGCTGATTATTTTCCCGACAGACTGATGGTAAAGATAATCTGAGCATCGTCATTTCGACACATGCACTTTTGTTCACGTGCTTTTTGTCTCAAAAAACTGGGCTCCAAAGAACTCGCGGTCGGGCCGTACTGCTTAATCACTGGTTGCTGTAATCCATTTACCCTGTTTTTCCCGTGATATCATCAAATTTCGGATCTGTGGCATTTTGACCTCATTTTATTCATGTCTCATTTCCACCCGCTTCCTTGTTTTCGTGCTCAAAAGAAAGTGCTCTGCAATTTTTTCTGCACCTCCAAATCACCATCGTACAATTTGTTTTCAAGTCGTTGACATTCCGCGGAAAACCTCAAAATTTGTATCGTACGTGCGAAACGAACGAGGGGCCTTAAGTTCGATATAAAATTGGGAAATTGTGACGTCGATGAGAAGACTTTGAAGGCCACAAGATTTATCATGTGGAATATAATCAAAGAGCAACATTTTAATGGCATTTTTACTGACATTGAGCTAAGGGAGGTACCTCAAGTGGGACGCTCAGCTTTTGATGAAATTTGGCACAAATTTAGATTATTTTGTTTGTATGACGCCTGGTTAGAAAAAAAAAATTTTCTAGGTCGCGGTTTGCAGAATGACCGAGATTGTTCGGTTGAAAACTGGCGAAAATTTGACATTTCTTGGCGAAATTTGATATGAAAAGTTCCGTCCTTATTTCTGCCAAATAGGGTAGCGTCTTTTCACAAAAAATTTTTTCCTCATGAAAATGGCAAGGCTATGGCCAAAAAGTCTTTTTCTTGTGACCGCATTCCGCATTTCGCGTATTCACTAGGTCAGAAAATCGTTAAAAATCTCATATCCCTTGTATATCGCGAGCTAAAACTTTCTGACATTAAGATTTGACTTGTACCCAACGCCGCACTAGAAAACCCTCCTTTGTGAGCTAAGGTCTCTGTTGGGCTTTGCCGCTCAAAACAAAGAGCCTTGCCTTCAAATAGGTATTTCTTTTGCAACGGCAGTTAACCTATGAAAACAATTTCATGATGTTTTTCTCTGACGTTTATCAAAACAACGTGCTTCCCATGGCACATCCTTTTTTTGCTAAATTTATAGCGACCATGTGTAATTAGGATTCCAAAACGTGCGTGGCCCAGCAAGTTGTTTGCGGATGCAATTTTAATTTGTCCCTCGTCAAAATTTATCTTGCATATGGTCATCTTCAATACAATTTCAAGGAGTGGGAAAGCACTCAGAAAACGCATAAAGTATTTGATTCTGTTATACAGATGCTTGAGAAAAATTGGAAAGCAATTCTGTTTCTCCGCGACACAATTCATTTTCCCGGCCACTTTGCGATTTTAATGCAACATGATGCTCGTTATTTTCCCGTCAGCTTGATATTCAGGATGTCGGGAAAATAATGAGATATTCAGGCTGTCGGGAAAATAATGTTTTTGCCATTTTGCCCCACAATTTCCTCCGCACTGTACGAAACGATCCTTCGTACCGAAATTTGTATGATTTTAGAAACACATCCCTGCAATTTTATAATATTACATTTTTAAAGCACAGGTGAATACTGGGAAATTCAATGAATTTGTACAGCCCAACCCTGAAGATTGAATTCAATTATTCAAAGGGGTCTGTGTGGGCAACACGTTGCCGAATTTGACCCTTTTCTACAATTGGAATTGTATTAGTCATGAGGCGGGTGTAAATTTTTGAAGCCTTTTATTAGTCGGGGTTTGTTTAAAATTGAACGAATTGTAAATTGCAGTCCGTTCGCAAAGTCGATGGAGTGATTTTTGTGACATGCACCGTGAGGAAAAAGTCAGGGTGCGAGCGACAGCCATTTTCGATGCGATAGAGTGTTCATTATTTTCCCGACATGCTAATATCATGTAGTACTTCGAGCACGTTTTTTTGAAAATTTCTTACAATCAGACGAACATTAGAAGATGTAAAATGCAAGCTATTGTTTGTTATTCAACGTACGCAACAACTATATACATCAGCTTCCGTCATGCTAAGTTTTCCGAAAGCCTCATCATCCCGCTATAAAAGATTTGCTTATCCCAACAAAACCGCTTTCGTCAGCGGTTTTGATTAAAATTTTCATTTCCGTCCACACTCTTTGTGGCCCGAGGCTCCGTAATCTAGTGCTTCGTATTATTTATCTTCGTAACGTTCCTTCAAAAGGCAACTTGCAAAAAAAATGTTTTCCCGGTTACCAAAAGATCACGATTAGATGAAACACCACACTTTTTTTGTTGTAGGCTTATTGTGTACGTGCTAAGATGGCAGGAAATGATGGATGCGGAAGGTTTAAAGCCTATTAAGTTGTTTGATGGTCAAAGTCCTGTTTTAGCGACAAAAATCTCGCCGGAATTTGGTGATTACAGTAAGACAGTCAACCAACAAAGGGGGTCTTTCCGGCGGGGCATTCAGATTCTCTGAAAAGATTTTGGAGGTTTTGAAAGGAGTTCATAATCCTCTGAAATCTTTAGCAATTTTGTCGTGTCCCGACTTTTCGGATCGACCACAGTTCGGGTCAACAACGACCCTTTACCCTGAGTTATTGTAACGTGAAAGAAGGCCAAAATCTGCGGCAAAAAAGACCCATAACTTTTATCTATGTTAATATTTTTGAAGGACACGTCGCCGAAATCCCTCCAGCGACTATACGAACAGACTATTAGTCTTTCATCGAACCTCAAACGCAGTCAGTAGAATAGGCTTCCCACAAAGTAAATAATAATCCTTGTTAGAAGCCACTCATCCTCAAAAATCTATTTTGAGCTCCACTATCGTATTTTCGATTTATAACACAAAAATTGGTGCCAATCCAATTTTAGAGAGCTACAAATCCACCCTACTAAATCTTTGGCTTTGGGGAACATTAAGATACAGTGGCTGAGATCCAGTAGCAAAAAAACGTACCATTTTGCATCCGGGAAGTACGAAAAAAATGTGGCAAAACACCTCCCTTTCCAAGTGAAAAACTCCGATTTCAAAAGTTCGCCCGCTCTTTGAGGGGGAGAGGTTCGTCCAAAACGGAGTTTCGTAGTTGAAAGAGGAGGCATTTTGCTACATTTCTGATACATTCCGAATGCAAAATGTTACACTTTTTGCTACTGGATTAGGTCCGTCACTGTATCTCGATCACCGAGATCCCCCCAATCTTTCAGTTCCACAGTCGCGATTTATTCAGATTAGAAGAAGAACGGTAGGCTACACTTCATACCACCTTGAGTTTAACTCATTCCATGAAAAATAAATTTTTCTTAATTTTAATTGGTTTTCAATACGTGCTCATGTTTCATGGTATTGGTATATAAATAATACATCAAAATGAGCGTTGCCTTAATGACACACAAACATATTCCTTATTCGGTGGGTGGTGGTTAGATATGCTACATTTTGAAGGCCCCAAATGGAGAGGTTTTGCAGATTATTGTACTAGTCGCGCCATAAAGTCCTGACACATTTTGCACCGTGCGAAAGTTCGGGATTTGGACGTCGCGCCCCCAAATTCATTTTGCACCGTGCATTCTTCTTTCATTTCATCCGCACTGTGCATCTTTTCGCATTTGTCGCCGCGATTTCCCCTTTTTGCACTAGCGACTTGCAAAACCCGAACTTTCGCACCGTGCATTCTTCATTCATTTCGCATTTGTCGCCGCGATTTCCCGTTTTTGCGCTAGCGACGTGCACTTTCGCGCGCGACAAACCCGAATTTGGGGGCGCGACGTCCAAACCCCGAACTTTCACACGGTGCAAAATGTGTCAGGACTTTATGGCGCGACTAGTAGTGTAGACAGAAAATTGGGGATAAATATAAGTTAGAGTAACAAAAACAGATGAAATCTCTAAAAAAAACAGGAAATATGGCTAGTCATGGAGGCGGTTTTCGGTCGTAATTACCGGGTTCCCCTTCAGATCTTCTCTTTCTTTTCTGCTTGCTTGTTTTTTCGTGTCATAGATGGCTCGGCGCGATACTAACTGCACTAGTTTTTGGCAATATGCAAGATTCCATTTTTCGCTTCTTTCGTTATTTATTAGTCACGAAATCAGTGTTTAAACTGCAGTAGTAATAAGAAACAAAAAGAGTTTGGCAAGTTCTGAGAGCTAGGATTTTTACAACTCTACATAAAACCTGCGGTGAAAAGAGCTGGCTCCTGATCTGCTCCTTAGAAAAGGAAACAAAATCTGGGGCCTTTCTTGTTTTTGATTCTCAAAAGAGTAGACAATAATTGGGGACGAAAAGGGTTCCCAGGATGAGAAAAGGTCAGCGTTCCTTTTCAAGGCGCGGATTAAGTTAAGACCAAATCTTTTTCTGCGTTTTATACATAATAAACCTTATAGTAGTCATTGATTTCTCAAAAAAAAATCAGTTTGGCCCTCAAGGAAGCTTCCTCAAGCTATATACAATGAAGGGTCAAGGCATAAAAAAACTAGTCCGTTCGGAAACGCGCTGAAGTGTACGCATGGCTCCGGGCCTGGCTTTCAAAAACTCTACGACCCGGGTTCGGGCAGGACTTGAAAATTTACGTCCCGGGCCAAGCTGGCTCGGACTGCCGCCATGCTTATTGGAGTGATTCAACGACGTCGTGAGCATCAGGAAAACAAATGTAATTTGTTGCTTTTTGCAACGCGCCTTAGGCGGTTTTTCGGGTGTCACTCGCATCTTGGCATTTTTTGCTCCGTGCATGTCGCCGAAATCACTCCAGCAAATTTCAAAACGACCTAGTATCTATCCATTGTCCTCTAAGGACAGTTAGTAAGACAAGCTTCCAAAAAGGCAAATTATAATCCTTGTTGTAAGCCACGCATCTTTAATAATCTATTTTCTACTCCACTATTTTCTATTTATAACCCGCAAATTGGTTGCATCTTGAGAGCTACAAATCCTCCCCACTAAACCTTTGGCTTTGGGGTTAAGATACCTCGGTCTCTTAATATATTGTCGCTAATGCCACTTCTAATTGTGTAGATTTGGTGCTAATCTTTGAGGGAGTGATACCGGGAAGGCTCCGTTTTGCAAAAAACAAAACTCTGCACCGACCGCGAAAAAGGGGGCGGAGTCAAGTGTTTTCTACGGGATTTATTTAGAGAGTAATATATAAAGGTGCCAGGGGAGTTTTCTTAAGGGCGACTGCAGCTGCTCTCAAGGAGTCGAGCGAGCAAAGTTCGGTAGTTTTTTGCCTGGATTACTGTAGTTTTCTGGACCGAGTTTTTGGATATTGGTGGCAAAACTTTTTGTTGATAATACGCGATGTATTTTTTCTTACTGTAATTATCTCTTCGTTCAAAAAATAGTTTTTTTTTACTCATCTCAGCCCCGAATTTCCATACGACCCGCCTTCAACCCGTATGAATGATAAACATAATGATGTGTAGCGGCCAGACGGACCGCTTCGCCAACCCCCTTTTCCAGTCAAAACACAGATGCATTCGTTGTAAAACTATGGCCCCAATTACGTGCCCCTGTATTCTTCCGGACTCGGCTTCCGGTGAGAAGTTATAACAACCACCATATTTACTATTACTCCTTTATTACCCGAGTTTTTTCGTCTGGAAGACAACTCGAAACAGGGCCTGCTTAGGGGTCTGTAAAGAGATCATTGTATATTGAAAAGTTGGTTCAATGTAGCTACATTGAAAAGGAGTTCAACTCCCTCTAACCTTTGTCTCAACTCTTGTCTTTAATATGTAGTTTGCGTGCCGTCTCAAAGCATGTACATTCCTTAGAAAACGATATCATGTAATACCATAGCGTGTGTTGTTTCCACGGCTGATAATCTCGCATCATTTCAGCACTCGCCAAGATTGTTACTTGTTGTTTCGCCTACAAGAATTACTCGTTCGAACGATGGTAGCGGTCGGTTCGATATGCGTTTTCCTGGCGTTGGTTGCGTCGGCGGTGGAGTCGCGGATGGTCAGCAGAGAAGAGCAGCGATTGTCAAGAGGTGAGCCTAATGCGATTGTCAAGAGGTGACCGAAAAATAATGTGTTTTTGAAAGCGGCTGTCACAAAGCAAGCATAATTAGAGGATAGATTCCCAGACCTTTCGCGAATGTTCTTTTCAAAGTCTTGTAGCAAAAGTAATTCAGTTAAAATTAGCCATGCACTTTTACAATACAATCCCCATCATAATCGGGTTTTCGGGTTGCGAAAGGTGGCGAGGAATTTCGTAAATTTGATTATTGAGATTTAAAGAACGATTAAAATGGCTTTGTACTTAAAGTATAGACAAAACTACATTCCTAAAGGCAATTTAAGGATTTAAATCTTCTTTTTTTCAGGCCAAAACAACAGAAACGTCCGATCCATTCGCAAAGCCAGCCTCGCATCTCCTCGCTCTCTCAACAGCATGCTAAAACAGCCAATCTTGTCGTTCGGCTCGTGGTTCGGGCCACATCGTTCGAAGCGCGAACATGAACTACCGGTCGAGACCCCGGAGGCCGCGAACTTCGAGGAGCAAAAAGAGGAGCTTCTGGAGACAATCGACAATCTTCTACTCAATGAACTCAAAAAAGAAGTCAAAGATGACGCGGAAGTCGTTGTTGGCGACAACGCGCAACAAAACCTCGTCCGACCCAGCCGGCTGCGACGACTTTTCGGCAAAAACGCGGTCATTGTGCAACTGTAGAAGCGCTAAATCCGAGTAGCATTCGTACAACGCTCTCGATCGATCTCTCTCCTCTCGCAATTCAAGAAATCCCCGGCATTTTGTGTGCAGAATGATGAAGTTTGTGTGAAAAAACTAGAGATTAGTCTTCTCCTTTCTATTTATTCGTTATGTCTCATTCGTTGACGTCTTCAGCCGAATTACAGAGATTCTAATCCCATTACTCAGCTTCCTCAATTTGAGGTCATCCCGATTATGTTGAGGTCTCTCTCTCTCTCTCTCTCCGTTGCCCGCTCTCTCTCTCTCCGTTCAGTGCCAAAGAAAAAGACAAAGGAAATACCGTTACTCGTTTTTAATTTATTATATTTTCAATCTATTTAATAAAAAGTATTATTACATATGTGTAAAGGAAAATGTCTTGTGAAAATCTAGGAATGAAATTGTAACATAAAATGACCAAACAATGGTCTGATTTTTGCTAAATTTGGCACAGATATTGCACATGGATCACATATCAATTCCAAAAATTTTTAGCTCGCGCCTTGCAGGGGCCGCTGAGATAACCAATTTCGCGGCCGAGAGAGTACGCGAAACCCGGAGAGCGGCCACAGAGAGGAAAAAGTTACTCTAACTTTTCGCAAATTTTCATAAAAATCTAAGCGTCGCACTTGTGGCACTTCCCCTGTAAATTCTCATTTGACAAGACCAAAAAAAATATTCGGTTAAAAATAAAATTCCGCTCGCCTTGCGTATCTCTTATCAGCCCCGAAAATGGAGTGAACTCCTCAAGAGGGAACTGTTAACGGCAAAATAAATTTGGAATTTTGATTTTAATTGAATTTTGGGATGGTTTCCACCACAGAAGTCGGGGATGAAGAGCAAGAGGCGTGCAAGGTAGTGTTCGCATAGCGTTAACAAAGTGTTCAAGGTGTGCGGCGACAAACCGATCGGATTTAATTTTGGTGTGGTCAGCTGCGACTCCTGTCGCTCCTTCTTCCGGCGATGCAACGGCGCGGAAAAGGTAGGCAAAGCGACTGTTTTTATAAGCGTATCCCGACTTTTTGGGTCGACGATAGCATGAGTCAACACAAACTCGATCGATACGGGGCATAGGACAGGTGGATACCTAATTTCCTATCATTTTTAGACACTCAAATGTCCGTTTCAACGGAACTGCGTGATAAACAAAGAATCCAGAAGATGCTGTCAAGCCTGTAGACTGCAGAAATGCTACTCGGTAAGTTCAAGCAACCTTTGTTCGAACACCTTTTAGGTCGGCATGTTCTACGAGGAGAATGCGCGAAAACGACCGTATCGGAAGAGCTCCGGGAAATCATCGGTGGCCTTAAAGTCCCCAAAGAAATCACCGCTTACGCCGGTCGAAATGCCCGTCTCCCCACCGAAACATTGCCTATGCCGATGTCAATGTGGCTTCTATCCGAGTGACGCCAGATTGGTCGCAGTTTCAGACGTCGGAAAAGGTCATGGTGCAGCAGAAGTGGCTTGTTCGAAAGAGTTTTTAATGGTCGATCAGCAACTTCTAGTTAATGCAAACTCGCCGATGGGTCACGTACCCTCAAGGTGGGAAATTTTGTATGTCACTCTCTCAGGAAAATAATGTGGATTTGTCGCAGTAAAATTTCTCGCCTCGTCGCAGTAGCTTGCAAAACCTCAAGCCTCAGCTAGCTGCCTCAAAGCGATGAGGGGCGATTCCAACGCATGGGAAATCCACATTATTTTCCCGACAGACTGATGGTTTAAAAAAAGCCACTGCATTAAAAAAAAGCTCCGCAATATTTAAATTCCAGCATTGACTTCCCTCCTCAACTTCCTGGAACATCGTTTCAAACCGTCGACATTCCCAAGCCCCACATTCAAACACCATGTTATTCAAGCGACCTGCGCAAAACGTTGGAGTTGAAATATCAGCCAGTGGAGGCCGAAGCTTCAATATTGGGACTACCTCAAAATTATCCCAGTGTCATCCAGAATAGTCCGTACTTCTCCGCCCTACCGCAGATCTATGCCAATGCCGCTTGGCCGTATCAAGGAAGCGATCTTCAGCCGACGTTCAGGTACAGTGGCGGACTTGATCCAGTGGCAAAAAACGTGCCATTTTGCATCCGGGAAGTATCAAAAAATGTGGCAAAAAACCTCCCTTTCCAGGTGAAAAAACTCCGATTTCAACAGCGCGCCAGCTCCTTTTTTAAGGGAAAAGGCGCGCCCTTCAAAACGAAGTTTTTTCACTTGGAGAGGGAAGCATTTTGCCACATTTTTTGATACATTCCGGATGCAAAATGGTACGTTTTTTGCCACTGGACCACTGGATCAGTTCTCACTGTAATTCAACTTTAGCTATCCCTCTCCCGCCATTCCGCCGTCCAATTTGTTGGAGATTATTGAGGCCGAGAATGCGTTGAATGATGTTGCTCTTGACGACGAGAACCGTTCATTGATGGACGAACTCATTGATGCTAACGGTATTCTCAAAGCGCCTATGGAGCTGTCGATTCAGGAGCTGGAGAACCCAAACGAACTGTCCTTGATGACGGTGGTCAAGATCAGCGATTTGGCAATGAGAAGGATCATTGCGATGGTCAAGAAACTGAGGTTATTCCGAGATATTGAGCATGCCGATCAGATCGCGCTGCTAAAAGGTGAGCCGTTGTGAAATATTGCGAAATTAGGACTTCAGTGATTCGTAGAAATGAAAGTTAACTACAACGTATAGGTTGATAAAAACCCTTTTAGGTGGTTTATCCGAGCTCCTAATCCTGCGCGGTGTGATGGTATTTGATCCGCACAAGAACGCGTGGATCCATCATATTCACTCGGGAAGTCAGGAGATCAGCCTTCGCGTGGACGTGCTGAAGAAAAGCCCGGAGGAAGAGCACTACCGCGCACACACTCGATTCCTCACCTCCTTCGACGAGGAGTGGCGGACGAATGAGCCAGTGATGCTGATTCTGAATGGAATTATCTTGTTCTCGCCCGATCGCCCGAATCTGAGGTATGATGTGACCATTTGACTTTTGGATTAACATATACATATTTAGTATCTGTGTAATTCTCCCAAAAGCATTCAAGATAATTTATAACACTTGGCCACTTTTAGTAATTCAACTTTTGACGTAAAAATCTCGGCCGTTTCTGTAATCCGCGAGCTAGAATTCCTTCACAGGTCTTGGAAAAATTTAATCCATACTTGTGCCAATTTTCATCAAAATCTAAACGTCGCACTTCGAGAACTTACCCTGTAACGTCATTTCAGGAACCCGCAAGCCGTCACACGGACAAGAGAACGCTATCACAATCTCCTTCGCAACTATCTACGCAATTATTGCTCAAACGACGCCGCCAGCTTAGATGCCTACACCAAGCTGACCGTTAAGCTGGATGAGTTGAAAGAGCTGAACCGGTCCCTTCAACGCATCTACAGCCGATTAAATCCCGATGACTTGGAGCCTCTGCTGAAGGAACTCTTTGCCTCCACCGCTTGAGATTTTTATTTATTTTGTGCTGTGGTCAATGATAACGTTTGCTTGTAAAATAAACCGTCTCCAACTTTAATTAAAATGTTTTCAAAATTCGAAATATTCCTATTCCAAAGATCTGGCACGTTGCTACAGAAATGCCTCCTTCTTTTCAACCGCGACAAATTTTAATCGTTTTTTTGGCCGAACGCATAAATTTGGCCAGATTTTAACGAAAACAGGAGGGGCCACAAAGAAAGTCAAAGAACGGCGTTCCGTTCCCCATTTTTTGCCATATTTTTGTATTTGCTCCGTTCGCGGAAACGGCGGGTTTTCGGATCAAAATTTGAGGCATTTTGATCTACGGTACATTGATCGGTTACCAGCGAACGCTTTAGAATCTCGCTACGATATAAGTCCAGCGTCTTCAGTGTTAAGAGCGCAATCTTTTTCAGCGTCTCAAAATCGCTTGTAATAGATCTCGAAACGTCTCCCATTTCCGGTTTATGATATCTCAGCTGATCTGACAGAGATCTTTTAGAGCTAAGGACGTTCCAAATGGAAGATTTCGATATCACCTTGCTCCGTTCGATGAAACCGGGACGGCTTTCGACTCCGGTGGTCAAGAAAAGGAACGCTGGAGACTTTGTCCGGAAGTATTTCTTTCAAGGTGAGAAATTTCAAGTTTTCTGTTGCGTTTCTTTTGTCTTACTGTAGAGTAATGTAATCGAAAAATTTTCAGGTCAAAATCTCGACGAGCGCTTGCAAGCCCAGCTGGATGAGATTGAAAAGGAAAAATTGCCATTTCATGAGAGGTACCGCAAATTCTTGGCACTTTTCCTGCCTTTTCTCTTCTTCCAAGTTTGTTGGTGGACCATAGCCTTAAAGCACGACCTTTTGCCGTTGTTCTGGACAAGATACGAGATGTCCGTCACTATGATTTTTGGCTCTTTTTTGGCAGGTAAGTAGGGTAGACCAAACGTTTTAACTGGTAATTAACTTATAAGGAAACGTCCTAATTTTTGGTCCATATACCTTGAAGATAAATAACCAGAACTTGCGTCAATTTTCATTACATTTCATGTAAAATACGAGTGCCTTTCTTAGAGCACTTTCGCTGTAAAATTTGTAAGCCGAATCACCTCAAACTTCTTTTAGGAGCCACCTCTGAAGGCGGCGGTGCAGTAGCATTCCCGGTGATGACATTGCTTCTGAAGATCCCTCCAAAAATTGCAAGAGACTTTTCGCTGATGATCCAATCCTGTGGAATGTCTGCCTGCTCTTTTACCATCCTCTTCATGAAGATCAAGCTGGAATGGCACTCAATTATCTTCTGCAGTCTGGGCGCGACTCTGTCCGTGATTCTGAGCTTGGAGTTCTTGGACGATGCGGTTGACAGCAAGTTTTTACCCGGTTCTCTAAAATACGATGGCCACATTTTTCGTTGAACTATCCCATCTCCATTTACAGATCAAGAGAAGAAGATGATCTTCGTTTCCATTTGGTTTGCATTTGCGGTCGCCTTGCTGATGCTGAACCTCCAACGGAAACGACAAACCTTCGATTCCGTGCCAAACTTTGGGCCCTGGAAAGCGCTTGTTCTCGTTGTCACCGGGATGTTTGGCGGTCTTCTGAGCGCCTGGACCGGCTCCGGAATCGACATCTGCTCGTTCTCCGTTCTCACTTTGCTTTTCCGCGTTAGCGAAAAGGTTGCAACTCCAACGTCCGTGATCCTGATGTGGCTGAACACTTGGGTCGGCTTCTACTGGCGTCATCTCATCCAAGGCGACATCAGCCCCCTTGCCTGGGAATATTTCACCGTCGCCGTGCCCGTCGCTGTCACTATGGCTCCATTGGGCTCTTTGTGTGCGTCGTTCTTGCATCGACAAGTTTTGGCGTGCTCGATTTACGTCCTGGAGACCGTCGCTCTTCTCGGATTCCTCGCCACCGGCCCGGCATGGAGGCTGATCATCATTGGCGCCTTTATTATTGTTATCGCGTAAGTGGCCTTCTCTTTTTTGCCGAATATCTTCATGTTTCGAAGGAAGTAAGACCGGATTTTCAGAAGCATCTCTTTCTGGATCATCAGTCGTCTCGGCAAGAAGCTCTGCGACAGAATTGAAGCCGATCTGTCAGAGATTCGAACCCCTTCGTCCTCGGGATCTACCGCTTATACCGTGGAGAAGACACCGTGATTTTTTTCACGATATCACCCAAGATATTTTACCGCATAATGCAGCCCACATATCTCATCGTTAATTTTGCATGATTATATTTATATTATCTCTTTACCATATCTTCCTAATATTACCGTATTACCGCCTCAAAATCCTATCATGTTCACAACATATATTTGTCGATTGCTTTATTATTAGTAACACAGTACCATAAATTTATCGAAAACCGTGTACAAAACACACTTGAACCGCATTATCACAAGGCACATTTTGATTTACACAAATGGGAACATGAGCTCAGGTTAGCTTCATATGTCGCGTTCGAGGCCCAAGCAGACGCGGAGTGTCGGCTTCACCGTGACCCAGACCCAGATCCCGCAGAGAGCGGTGAGTGAGATGGGGATGGCAACGATGCCGGCGCTTACAACGCCCAGTTGAAGGGAGAAAACCGTGGCTGCGACGGCACCTGGAAAGCCGAAGATCAGTGAGATCATCAGTCTGTCGGGAAAATAACGAGCGCAACATCGCATCGAAAATCTCGTCGCTGCCGAGAAAATTAATGGTGCGACCTCAAAGTCAACCCAGCGACATTGTGCTCATTATTTTTCCAACAGGGTGATACAGTGGCGGACCTGATCCAGTAGAAAAAAACGTCTCATTTTGCATCCGGGAAGTATCAAAAAATGTAGCAAAATGCCTCCCTTTCCAAATAAAAAACTCCGTTTTGAAGGGCCTTTTCCCTTACGAAAAGAGCGGGGTTTTGAAATGTTTTTTCACTTAGAGACGGAGGTATTTTGCCACATTTTTTGATGCTTCCCGGATGCAAAATGGTAAGTTTTTTTCCACTGGACCAGGTCCGTCACTGTATAACCGGCCGAGGAGGACCGAATAGGCATTTGGAAGGTAAATTGTGGCTGGAGCAGGAGATAAGTCTGATTTTAGTATTCGAAAAATTAGGAGAAGCGTTAAAAAATAGTCTCTGACGCCGCAATTTACCCTTCTCCTCACACGCAATCATCTTATGGTCAGGGAGTGCCGAATCGCAGCTCATTTTCACTTATAAGTCGAAAGCAGCTCGGATTCACTTATAAGTCATCATCGTCCATATTTTTGTGCAACGCGTAGGCAAGGTTTAGAAGCAATCCAGCTGCTCCGGAAGCCCTTTTCCTACGTGCTGGTTTCAGCGACCGCTGCGTTGTCGTATATTTACCTGAAGCCGCCGATCCAAGGCCGAGTCCGAGAAGCGGAGAGTCGCCGCAAGCCAGCATCGCCGATGCGCAGCCCGTAACGCGCTTCTCTTCGTTTTGACGTTTGTATCGCTCCAATTCCTTCTGAAATGAAAGGTTGTAGAGATAACTCATTAAATAATTAAACAAAATATTTAGAAATTCAGGAAAACTCAAACCCACATTGATTTGATCTTGTAGTCTCGCCAGATTTCGTGAGCGAATATCTCCACTCTCGACTTTCGGGCAACGGTCGTAGATGTTGAGCGCTTTCACTCCTTGTTTGATATGTATCTCCTGAAGCTTCTTCTCCGGTATCATCCGTGAGGATTTTGTGGCCTAAACATCCAGTTATACTATACTTTCAAAAAAGTTCCTACCCTGTCCATCCCCTTGATGTAGAACTGTTTCGCTTCGGCCATGGCCTCAGTGGAAGCGAGGTAAATGTTGGCGTTGAGGAAGTCGCGGGGCGAGGGGTAGACGTGAGTGTCGAAAATCTTGGCGTATTCCTTCAAAATGGCCGGTTTATCAGCATATACATCATTAAAAAATTACATCCAAGATGAGCAAAAACAAAGCTCGCTTACCTTCACAACCTCAGCAAATCTTCTGCACGATATTTCCTTCCCATTGATGACCTTCGGCTTCAAGGCGTTCGGGTTGAGCAAGGATTGGACCATGTTTTTGACCTCATCGCGGAACGCCGGCTTGATGTCCTTGACCAGGCCCCGGAACGAGCCTCTCTCCGCCACCTTTTGTCCGGGGTACGGCAACAAAAAGCAGTTGATCTCCTCGAAACAATCGACCAGAATCTCCCGCATCTCTCGGCTCTCTTTGCCCATCTCTTCCGAGGGTTTCAGGAAGTCGTCGAGGTACTTTTCCCCGCCCCTCACCCCGAACGGATAGGATTCGTTGGTGCGGAAGTCGCGAATCAAAAAGTGAAGATTCTGAAATGGGGTCCCGAACTCCATGGCCTCGTCGAACGCCAATTTGCCGTAATCGGTGAAAAATTTGAACAACTCCAACGCCTCTTCGGTGATCATTTCGTGCAGATTGAAGCATTGGCAGCTGCTGAGCATCGTGCTGAGTGTGAAGACGGCCGTGCTGGCTGGATAGCCGGATGAGGTCTGATCGAATGTTCCTTGAGTGTCCATCTGAAGTTGATCAATTTTAAGGGTGACGCGTAAGTTTTGAAACGTTGAGCTTTGGCCGAAAACATGCTCAAATTAAAAGAGGGGATTGCTAAAAGATGCCCAGAATTTTTGGCTTTACAATAGATCTGCAGACGCAATATAGTAAACATTTTTTGACCAAACGATAGCAAAAGGATGACAGTTTTTTTGAACATATTTTTTGGCATATGCAAGACTCCTAGTTCGCGCTTTACAGAAACGATCGAGACTTTTAGGTCGAAAGTTGACGAAAAAATAACTTTTTCTACAAATTTTAACAACATGAAAATTTTGATGACGTTTCTATATTAAAAAGTCATTTTTCCACAAAAAATCTGTTTTTTTTCCGCGTGAAACTAAAAAATTTTGCGACCAAAAAGCGATTTTCTTTGACCGCTCTCCGCTTTCGCGTGCTCTCGGCCGCAAAAACCGTTGAAAATCTCGGGTTTGAGAAGAACCGAATAGTCAAACTCATCAAAATACTGCCTTAAAACCGGCGCAAAACGATGCTCACCAACAAAACGGCGTAGCGCTCTCCATTCGGCCCATCGACCAGAATCGGCTCTCCCCACAGCCAGATGCCTACGGTGTCGCGCTTCGCACCGGAGCGCCAGTGAAATCCGTCCAGAACGGTCTCATCATGCAACCATTCCATCTCCAGGTTGCTGTGCAATTCCTTCTGCGAATATTGTAGGATGTAGAGGTACTCAAGGAAAAAGTTCAACAAGAAACTTTTTCCTTTACGGAATGTGCCCGCAACGCTGATCACCACCACCTGAAAAACAATGTATTCGGTATGATTTATAGAGTTACAACCTCGAGGAATTAAAATTCAGGTGTCTTTTGGCATTACTTTGAGTATCAGTCTGTCGGGAAAATAATGTGGATTCGCCGCTCCATGGAATCGCCTAGTATAGCTTTGCGATGGCAACAGTGACGGACCTGATCCAGTGGCAAAAACCGTACCATTTTGCATCCGGGAAGTATCGAAAAATGTAGCAAAATACCCCCCTCCCCAACTGGAAAAACTCCGATTTCAAAAGCACGCCCGCTCTTTTTTTAAGGGCCTTTCAAAACGGAGTTTTTTTAGTTGGAGAGGGAGGCATTTTGCAACATTTTTTGGTACTTCCCGGTTGCAAAATGGTACGTTTCTTGCTACTGGATCAGGTCCGTCACTGCAGCCGCGGCTGGAGATTTGGTGCCAGATTACGACTAGGCATTTTTCTGCGACAAATCCACATTATTTTCCCGACAGACTGATAACATTGTACCTTTCGATTCGCCACCGACGAGTGATTGAGGACCGCATTCAGCGCGTTCTTGTTCATGCGCAGCGCATTAGGATTGGAGTTGGAGGGGACGAACAGCTGGACGGGACGGATTTTGTGCCGATGCTCCATGGGGTCGTGAACGCCGGCCTCGATCTGAAACGGTCGGGGGATTTCGGCGTCCGCCGATGTCATCGGCTTCATTTTGGCGCGAATAAAACTCGTTGGCAGCGGCAGTTTGACGGCGGTTTTAAGGGCCGTTGGAGAAGAAGAAGAAGAAGAAAGGGGGTAGAAGAGTTCGTAGAGGCACTGCACAGGTTTCCAACGCCCTTCCTCGTCGTCGATTCGATAGAGCGGTAGAAGGACAGGGATTAGGGTTTTAGTCGAACTTGAGCGGCATTGGCCATTTCATACACATGGCTTCGCGTAATCCGTCGCAACGTCCTCACGACATTGTCTTCAACAACACGTGCCGACCTTCCCGTTTAAGCCGCTTATTTGGACTCCATATCCTGTAGTTCGGAAAAAAAGAAGTGTTAATTCGAGCTTTACGGGTTAAAAGCAAATGAACGAAAAGTCAACGAAAACGGGATTCATAGCGTAGGAGAGCGGGTAGTTGATAAAACACAAGTTCAGAGAGGAAAAGAAAGCAAATGCGGTTATAAAATTGTAGGGTATTCCAAGAACGTCATCTGGATCATCGGGAAGTTTTGCCCGCGCTTGACCTATTCGACTTGCTTTTTCCGAGAGACTAGATGGCAAGGAGAAGAACATACAACTTTCGAAATTAGCCTTGGAAATTTGGATTTTCCGTTGCAATAATGCCAACCATGAAAAAAAAATCTAAATTTTCGATGGTCTTTTGATGTAAAAACCTCGCTGTCTCTTGCAAAGTGCAGGTTAAAACTTTGCAAGAGCTTTAAAACATGTCACTCTCAATTTTCGACAAATTTTGAGCAAAACCGGAGATCCACTCTTACAAGGGAAGTGCAACGCCCGGTCCGAACATTTCCTGTCTTAAACAGATTTTTTACGAAACTGTCAAATTCCAAGACCGAACCCTGACCCCGTCGAGAAATATAAAACTTGAGCCGAAACGATTCCCATGTCTGCACATGAGGACTAAGCATCGGGCAGGAAATGTGTGGAAATCCCCCCGTCCTCTTCTCGGCGCGCAAATTCGCTTATGGCGAAACGGTTTCCGTGATTTGAGTGGATTATTCAATTGCACCGCCAAATCTCATTTCGGTCGCTTTTTCCGTGTATCCGTTGCCGAAAATATGTGTGTGGGGAGGCCCCAAGAGGGGAACGCGAATATCTTCACAATGGGCATGTATGAAGATGGTAAGGGCTGGGCGGATTATGGGCAAGGCTGGAAGCCGAGGGATAAATAAGTTGGAGGGAAGGCGGGATAAAGTGGTTGTAAAGGCAGGGTGATAACAGAGTAACTGTTGACGACTAAAAGACAAAATAGAGCCACGCCTAGTCATCTTGATCGGAAGGACCGCTGAATATCTCGACTCCGTCTATCGTGTCTGTCGGGAAAATAATGAGTACAAAGTCGAGATATTCAGCGGGCCTTCCGATCAAGATCACACTTTTTGTAGGTGTGGCTCTATTATGTCTTTAGTCGTCAATAGTTACTCTATTATCACTTGTTTTCCCTACCTTTACAACCACTTTATCCTTCATTGATAAATTGCGACTCGAAACTTATAGGAAATGAAATCTGACCTATATGAGCTATTTGTGTACTTGAAAAATAGACCAGGGATGTTTTTATAATAAGTATGACGCTCAGATTTCATTTTGTTTTGCATACACGTTGGGACCATCAATTTCTCAAGCATTGCATACCGCCGAGAGACTACACTAAATGCTGAGATTCGTAAGAGAGAAAAAGCTTTTTGGTCACATCTCTGCAAACTGCGCGTGGAAAAAGTTGATTTTTAATAGAAACATTGTCAAGCCCGATAGAAGTAAAGGTGTAATGTTTCGTGAATAAAAATTGACAAAAAAAGGCAATTTTTTCCAATTTTCGTATTCTCTGTTAGTTCTGCAATGCGCGTGCTAAGAATCTCGCATATGCCATAGAAAAAACAACGTTAATTTTAGCCGCGTTTTATTGAAATCCCAGCGTCACACTTCGAGCATATGAGAAGATATGAGCACTGGATGACCAAAACCTAACTTGTCAGTCCAAAATCGCCACTTGGAATTTTCGAAAGCATTTTCGACACAAATAACTAAATATTCATTGTAGACAGACATCACTTCGTATAGCCAAAAAAATCGTCGAATTCAAACAAAAAGAAATTCGTGGTTCCTCCCAAAAAATATAGAAATTAAAAATTTTGTTTTCCAAAAGGCTGCAAGGGATTAATTAAATTGACTAATAATGCTTGCCGTTGACAAGGAAAGACTTCGGAAAAAGGAAGCTTTGGAATGACCAAAGCCAATAAACAAAGAAATAAGGGGGCGGTTCCATATGCCAAATGAAATCAACCAAACTTTGACAAGGAAGTTGTCTACTTCTGGCGCACAGATTTTGATAAAACTTTGTGCAAATCAAAAAATAAAAGCTCTGAAAGCACACCCGAGATCTTTATCACGCGTCTTGCAGAAACCATCGAGGTTTTTTCGGCGAAAGTTGGTCAAAAATAAACATATTTAAGGCGTTTAGGGCTTAAACAAGTGTGAAGCCGTCTCAGTGCAACGTTTCAAAAAAAAATGAAACTTTTCTACCGTAAGCTGAAGCTCATTCTTCTTTTCCTCCTCCGTTGAACAGAAGACGCGCTCTCTCAAAAGAGATCGGTCAAAAAATCTCGGTCGTTTCTGCAAAGCGCGAAACAGGAATCTCGAATATGATCTACAAAAACTTAATCTAAGATTGTGCCAAATTTCATCAAAATCTGAGAGTTGCGCTGCTGCAAGCATCAAAATGTAGTACCCAAAAAATCATCTAACAATTAAATTTCCATCTCTCCAGTTTTCTGTTTATCAAAACATTGCCAAAGTTCGCTACAAATCCACCATTTCGCTTGCTGCGGCAGCATGTACAAAAACGGTTTACCATCGAAAAACACACACCCCACACTCGTCTTGGCCAACTTCTGCTCCCAAATTAATCCCGTGTAAAAAGGACATTTCCATCTAACGAAGCGAAGGGAGGAAGACAATAAAGTGAGGGTGGGGGCTCAAAAAAGGGGGAACTTTGCTGATGAGAATCTTCAGCCGGTCAGTGAGCCCTCATTTTTCGTTTATGCGCCATTAAAATTGTGGACTCGTCGTAATTGCGGGAGTTGTTGCAATTGGGGGCGGAAAACGGGGGAAAATAGCTGCGGAGAGGAAAAAATTAATGGGCTGGAGCCGTTAATACGGTATGTAAATTGCGGACCCTACGACAAGGAAGCGTTGAGCATAGGGCACTATCAACATCTGAAAATAAATTTCAGTTTACGCTTTGCAAGCGAAGCCAAGACAAAAGTCCGTTCGCAAAGTCGCTGGAGTGATTTTTGCGACAGCGCTGTGCCGTTTCTTGCTTTTTGCACCGTGCAATAGGCTTTTTCGGGCTGTCGCTCGCACCCTGACTTTTTCCGCATAGTGCATGTCGCCGAAATCACTCTAGCGACTTTACGAACGGACTAGCGATCTTTTTCGCCAGCATCTTTGCCGCCGAGAGAGTACGCAAAACGCTGAGTCAGCTTCGCGGTGAAAAATTTCATTTTTGGACAAAAAAACGTACACAGAGGACATTTAAACTTTCGCAAATTTTATTTCCTGCTTTGCAGGTGCAGCTGACATATTCAACAGTGTTTGTTGGGGATTACTTCTAGACCACATAAGAGACAAGATATCAATTGATCAATCGACAGGTCCGAAAATAACCCGATCTGCTCGCAACTTTCCACCCAAAACCCTCGGTAGTTCCGGTTAACCGCCAGCTAAAGACATAGAATATCTCGAAGCGAACATGACGTTCAATTCGTACCAAATTTCGTCAAAATCTGCTTCAAGTTTTACCCTTAGCCCATAAACCCAAACGGTCCTCCAATAAATGATGTCATCTTTTGGCCCGTTCATGTTTTCGGCTAAATATTTACTCTCCAGCCCCCTTGCAGGATGTTTTTGTAAAATTTAAATCTTTTGGAGAATCCCCTCTGGCCGTTAAGGCGCGGGGCGTCTTCCTTTCTGGAAGACGAAACTAATTCATCAGCCAACAACGCCCTTCTCCTTCGCAATGATTAATTAACGAAGCTGTCGAAACATTGCATCCAATTCGTGTTGGGGCCCTTAATCAAACTATTTACGGGCCCGCGGGCAGTTTGCGGCGGATTAGAGAAAGGTGAGGACATCCCTGGGAACGCGGATTTTTGCTTCTTTATCCCACAGATTTGAAGCATTATAATGACAAAAATACAATACAAAAAACTTTCACATTAACTCTTAAGGATTAATTATCGTATATCGGTACACCGTAACTTCAATACAAATTCTATATCTCGAAAACTAGACCCTCTACGAGGATGGGACTTTCACCGCTGTGTTGTTCATGCAAAATAACGTGTTTTTGGTTGTTATACCCCATTAAAAAAATTAGTCTGAAAAGAGACATAATAAAATTTCGGGAACGTCGTCAATTGGGAAGAAAGACGATCGGGAAAAACGGCAATTGGGGAAAATAAAATCGTTTTTTTTCGCTTTTTTTGCCTAGCCAAAGCCAAACCTTGCCAGCCAATGCTTATTCTGTGAGGATGGGCTGACGAAGTATGGTCTTGGCTAGCCAAAAAAGCAAAAAAATGATGTTATTTTTCCCAATAGCCGTTTTCCCCAATCGTCGCGGTCCTAAATTTCGATATGGCTAAAGTTTACGAATTTTGGAGACTGCTTCACATTTCCGGCGGCTTTGGGCGATAACATCCGGATTATGCTATCTTATTCAAAGGCCGAAACCTTTACACGGCTTTAGGAATGAGTGTTTCGCAATATGTAATAAAAAGCGCTATGAATGGGAATTAAGAAAATTTCAAGGTTGTTTAATGCAAAGAAGACATATTAATCGTGGGGATACAACTGTAGGAATTTAGGAGATTTAGTTAGGAAATCCTACTTTCAGAGTTCCGGAAGGGATAGTGCGATTGAAATACGTGAGAAATTTAACAAATGGAGACCTCGCAAGAAATTTTTTTCTCATCTTATTCGATTATTTTTGGAGATATTAAAAATTAGGCGTTCCAAGTCCGGAACAGCACTTCTAGGCACCGCTTTTGATCTTACGAGGGAATGGTCTGAACTTCCCCCAGCGTTTTGGAAAATGACTAGTACAGGTTGATAGAGCAAGCAGGTCAACTTTGGTAAAAAGAGCCATTTTCCAGCTGCGAAATGCCGACGAGAAAAATCGACCGAAAGTTCCACAAAAATTTCTCGTCGGCTAGGCTTATTCCGCAGCTGGAAATGGCTCTTTTTACCAAAACTGACCTGCTCTATCAACCTGTACTAGTCATTTTCCCAAACGCTGGGGGAAGTTCAGACTATTCCCTACTTGCCAAACAACTCCATGATCAGCAACGGGCTTCCCGTGCGCAATATACACCGCGCGGAGAAAAGACCGGAGCAAATTCAAAATAAGCCGGGCCGATCAGAACGGTAAATGCGAGCGGCTGCCGCAAAAATCGGTCACGTCGAAGCGCCACGTCTGGGACGCGCGCGCCCCCAAACCGCATCACGGCCTCACCGAAACCCCCCGCAACCGTTTGTCTCGGCCCACAAGTAGAGCCGAGGAAACAGGCGCGGAAATTAAAAGTGAGGGTGGTGTTGAGGGACGGCTCCTCTTTCACGTTTCCGTCTCACTTTCCTCAAGCCTCAAATGTCGTTGAAATGGGAAGCCGAAAAAAGTTTTTCAAGAAAACAACGAGATATTTGGTTACGACCAAATTTATATTTTGCTCCTCGGAATGAACTTTTCGAGACCAAACACGAAGATATGCGGTAATTTTTTGCGTAATTATTGGCTTGCGAATTGGAATGAAGGGGGGAATTCGAGAGATGTATCGCGGAAAAAATCGCTGAATATCCTGGCTGTATGGTAAAGCACAAGCTACAACTTTCAAAAATTGATTTGCAGCCCATGTCCATTGCGTGTGCAAAATTTAATGAAACTCGGAGAATCGCACTTGGACAGACTTCCCTTTTTGAGTGCAAATTTACAATGACAATAAAAGGGAAGACGGTCTTCAACATTCCTTGGGGAATTTGAATTGAGACGTTCCTTAGGACGCGAATCTTTGGTCAAACTCGGGACAAAACATCGGGTGCTACACGAGCAAAGTAATCGCCGATTTCTCGGCGGAGGAGTCTCAAATTTTGCACATTGCGATTCGAAGCGCTATAATTTTATTCAGCAAAGTTTCATGGTATTAGAATGCAAAATCAGTTCATGAGAGCCGTTCCAAAATCTTTCATTTTTAGCCAAAGTCCGCAACTTTTTGTCGGCAATGGCTGAAATCATTGGCGCTTCGCCGTCTGTTATTTTCAACGATTTTAAACCGGCTCTCCTGAACTTACCTCGCATTCTAATACCATGAAACTTTGCAGAAAAAAATTATAGCGTTTCAACTCTCAATGTGCAAAATTTGAAGCTTCTCCGCCGAGAAATCGGCAATTACTTTACTCCACATTTCTTAAAGTCCGAGTCTCAAAAAGCCAGAGCGCAAGCAAGGATTGTTATCGTTGCGGGACCCGGCGCGGCTGGTCTCTCTCGCTAAAAAATAATTTTTTTTTATGTGTTGTTTGTAATGGATCATGTAAGGTGAAAGATGAATGAAGATCGCTGAAAAAGGTATGTTTTTTGTGTTTTCTGATTTAGGGCAGCTCGGCAAAAATTTTTACGACGGTTGATCCAAGATTTTTTGTGTTTTGGGCGAATGAAGGTAATTTTTGACATTCCGAAGCATGAAAATGGATGTAGCTTTTCAAAGAACCATCCAGGAGTGATGTTGATCGAGTTTTTGCCAAGTTAGAGTCAATCCCTTCAGCAAACTACCTAGTATAATATAATTTTTTCCAGGATTTTGAATTGGAATGGAGCCAGATGGCTAAATTTCACCGCAAGGACTCGCTGAAGCCAGAAGAAGAGACGATACCATTCAAATTCCATGTGGAATGGCTTTTTCCGAAGCTGATGTCAACATCGAAAAGGTGAGTTTTTCTTGGTTTTCATGTTTTAGGTCGGGAAATCCATTGCTCCTTGAGCAAGGCAATGGGTTTAGCTTCCCAAACTTCATCTTGCGCCACATCAGGCCCACTGTTGTTTCTAGTGTAATATAATTTTTACAGGTGAAAACGCTCCCCAACCGCGAAGCTTCGACGATGCGAAACGTCAGGAACAGTATATGGGCGATAAAGAAGGTCTCATCGATGGCAAACACTGACGAGAACCGAATCCATTTATTATTGTAAAAACACACCAAATGTTTTGATATTTAATCATAAAATATTATACCGTTGACCTGGATATTGCTGAACCTGTCTTTACTGAGCTCTTTAGATGAGGCTGGCGGGCATGGGAGACGAATGGGCCGGGTTTCCTGTAAAAATTATATTACACGAGAAACATGGGGTCCGATGTGGCGCAAGATCAAGCAACCGAATTCTAGATAGCATGATTGGGAGGCTGTACCCATTGCCTTGCTCAAGGAGCAATGGATTTCCCGACCTAAAACATGAAAACCAAGAAAAACTCACCTTTTCGATGTTGACATCAGCTTCGGAAAAAGCCATTCCACATGGAATTTGAATGGTATCGTCTCTTCTTCTGGCTTCAGCGAGTCCTTGCGGTGAAATTTAGCCATCTGGCTCCATTCCAATTCAAAATCCTGAAAAAAATTATATTATACTAGGTAGTTTGCTGAAGGGATTGACTCTAACTTGGCAAAAACTCGATCAACATCACTCCTGGATGGTTCTTTGAAAAGCTACATCCATTTTCATGCTTCGGAATGTCAAAAATTACCTTCATTCGCCCAAAACACAAAAAATCTTGGATCAACCGTCGTAAAAATTTTTGCCGAGCTGCCCTAAATCAGAAAACACAAAAAACATACCTTTTTCAGCGATCTTCATTCATCTTTCACCTTACATGATCCATTACAAACAACACATAAAAAAAAACACGGCGGTTTCAAAGGTCTCTTTCGTGGTGGGGAAAAAATAAAGAACGCGCAGCTTGCAGAGGAAGGTATACGATGAAACATGTTTAAGAAGAAATCGTACAGTTTCATCAGAAGTGTGATGTAATTGATACTAAAAGAATAAAAAACATTTTTCTTGATCTGTTCAGGCCAATAATTAACTCAGAATTCGCATTAAAGTTTCTAAAATCATCAAATGAGGTAACGGTTACCATGATTACTTAAATGAATATTAAAACAGTAATCAGGCCGTATTTTAATTAAACAGAGGAAGCAAACTCGTTTAAAGATGTAGAGGAAGCATTAGAACCTATGGGACCAACAAAAACCGAAACTTTTTTAAAGGCTGCTTACAGCAATATTGTACATATAGTGGCATACCAGATGAACACCAGCTGTGGTTATATGAGGCTAAAATAATTGTTAAATGTATAATTTATAAACACAGAGATGGAGGAGCACAGTCTAAGCGCAATATATAGTCTTTTAGTAGCTTAAGTCTTGATAGTTAAAGTGGATACAGTGATGGTGGGTACTGTACCACAAGTCCTCGCTAATGCAAAATCGACGTTGATTCTAAACGATTGTTGCTTACTGAGTTGTAATAGCACCCTAACCCCTCATAACCACCTTTGCATTTGTCTCACGATCAACTTTGACCTACTACAACATGACCAATGTACTTTCGGCCACAGACAAGTCTCTTCATTTGATCACCTACTTAGCCATGCTGTATACCAAAATATAGCTAAGACAAAGTAGTTTCTAAATCCCTGGTCGATTTTTGATCCGACTGTTTGTTCGAAGGATACTGTAGTTTTTCGAAATTGTCAAAAATCAGCATGTTTTTTGGGTGTCATAACTTCTCGCTCAGTCAACCTTTTTTGACGTTTTCGGTGTCTATCGACTCGGAATCATGTCTTTACATATCGACTTCTTCATATCAAGTTCCCATTTTGATTTTTGGTTTTGATACGGTATCCTCAACATAGGCAAATTTAGCGCCACAGACAATTGGTCTCCGTTTCCACTTCTGCAATGTGTTTAATACGTCATTAGATAAAAGACAAATTCTATTTTCTAAATCCCTGGTCGATTTTCGATTCGACTGTTAGTTTAAAAGTTACAGTAAAAAAACGTCATTTTTTGCCTCCGCGAGCTGCGCCCCCGCTTCAAAAAAGAACAAAACGAAGTTCCCGCTTTTCTGTTGTGTGAAACCGCCGTGAAAAAATTATTTTTTAGCGAGAGAGACCAGCCGCGCCGGGTCCCGCAACGATAACAATCCTTGCTTGCGCTCTGGCTTTTTGAGACTCGGACTTTAAAACACCCCATTTGTAAGCTTGTCCAACAAAAAACTGCTTTTTTACCGCATTTTGCGGCACCATAAAAAAATCACCCAAAAATCGCTAACTTAATAATTTTTGGTCAAGTCTAGAACCGAAACAAGCCCAAACATTGTCCTCAAGGACTTTTAGACACGTTGAAAATGGACTGCACTATCAGGAACCCCGACTAGACACGCTTTTTTCCAACTTTTCCGTCTCAAACGGCCACATCCTCACACAGTTGCGCAAACACGCTAAACTTTATCCGGAGCGGGGCCGAAGCGCAGATCGAGTGGCTGGAATGAGAGGCCTGGAGTGTGCTCTTTCATACCACTTCACGCTTATATGCGAGCTTTCTTCAATTTCGGTGGGAATTTCAAAAAAAAACTTCTTGAGATATAAATAAAAACACGCGGTAAATGTAAAGTTAGCCAAAATTCAAAACAAAAAATGCAATAAAAAAAAGAAAATGTATTCACAGATAATTTACAGTTGAATAAATCACTTTTCAAGTTTCAAAACCGCTTCTTTATTGTTAAACGAACAAAAATAAGTGAATCCAAATTGTTCTACGTCTTGTTCATCTTTTCCTTCCACTTTTTGATCAACTCGCTGGACCCTTTGGACTCCTGGAACCGCAATTTATATCAATCATTTCTCTAATAGACTAAACAAGATTAACCTCTGGAAAAAAAACTCACAAAGATCTCTTCAACCACATCGCTTTCGAAAGTAGTTCCATCGGGCTTCACGAGGATTAGAGTTGGGATGCTGAGCACGTTGTATTTCTTGTTCAACTTCTTGTAGCTGAAAACAATGTTAATCAAACCTAAAACAACTGAAATCGTTTAGAAACTATTGTGAATCATGAAATCGTTCCGATATAAAAATTTCAGACATTCACTGAGATGGCTTCTTGCTAAATACAAGTTCTTCCACACCCAGCCTCCTACGCAACAAAAAAATTTAGGTATAAATTAATTCGTCGTTCCAAACTTTTGCAAAACGTGTAAAATCTAAAATCAAATCCCAAAAATATGTTAAATGCTTACTTCTCGGTGTTCGTCTTGATGTAGAGCCACTTTCCATGCGATTCCTTCAAGTAATTCATCATCTGCTTCTCAGTGTGGTCGCGGGAAATGAAGACGATCTAGAACAATATGAAAGATTCAAAATTTTCAATTTTCGCCCATTCTAATGCTCAACGAATTTACCTCCAAGTCGGCCGAACTCCTCTCGTAGAAATCCTTCAAGACGGGCGTGAACTTGCGACACGGAGGACACCAGTGGCCGGAGAAATAGAGCCCAACGATCTTGTTCTTGAATTCGTCGGCAGACACCGCGGAGTGATTGGCATCGTTGCGAAACAGGGCGAAATCCTTCAGATATTCCGCCATTTGTCGACCAACCGATCGGTCCGAAATTCCGAAATGAACCTTCTCCATGGAAGTTCAACCTCCCGAGGATTCATTTTGAGATTTGTCGAGAATTATTGTTTCTTCTGGTCTACTAGTTCTGTAAAATTACGTCAACAACCCAAATTGGGCACAAAAAAATGTTTTTACCGCAGAACAGTAAAGTGGACGAAATGTCACATAATTATTCAAAAAAGCGCAAAATGTCACAAAAATTATTGGAAATCTATATAATAAATGTTTATCGATGAATTGACAGTAATTTTGAATTAATTAGTAGTTTTATTCAGTCTACACATGTTTTTTCCACAAATTAATAAGCTAATCTTGCTCTAGATCGAAAATCCTTTGCGAAATTGCATCATTTTAACGCCACCTCCCGTTTGTAGAATACGAATGAGTTCGGCGTTCGAGATAAACTAAGCTCACCCGCTAATCCGTCCCGAAATGTGTCTGCCGAACATATTTCGAGAAAAAGTTTCGATATGCGTCAATGCAAATGAGTTTCGGCGGAGCCTCGTTCCCTGAACACGGAGTCTACACGAACTTTCTTTTCCCACCCTCAGCCCTCGATTTGCCCTGACAAGCGACAAAATAAATATTTGAATGCAAATCGGGTGATAAAAACAATTTTCAAATCAGCTAGGTTAATTGTGAAACTATGCAAATCCGCGGGAATTTGGCTAGCGACGAGGCTAACGGTAGACTGATAGTTTGTGTCGGCCGCAGATGATGGTATAAATGGGCGAAGGAGGGATGGGAAACTTCACCACTTCGACCTCGAAGCCGAAGACCTCAACCCAAAGTTCTGTTGTGCGCTGCGTTGTTTTGTTGGAATTGTGAACGACAAACATGCAAAAACTCACTCTTGTAGTCTTGGCATTGTTGGCCATCTCGGCAGGTAAACTAATTTTATCCCAAGCTTCCTTTAGATTACTGTAGAATCACAAAAAAGCCTTGATTTTTAGTGAACGCCCAATTCACGGGAGGCAGCGACTTCTGCACCGACGAAAAGAGCCTCGAAACCAACGTCGACGTCCTTCTGGAAGGCGGTGAGAGTTCCTCCGAGTCCAGCAATGAAGGCGGCTCTGGCTCAGGATCCGGCTTGGAAGAAGGCAGCACTGTTGCCGGCGATATCCCCGGTAAATACTGTCTGCTCCTGAAATACTTGTACGGACTCGCCATCCAGTTCGAAGGAACCGCCGTCTACGAGCTGTGGCTCGAATTCATCGAAGAGCTTCACTACCAAATTGTTCTTGACGTCACGTTGACCACTCAAGAAAAGATCCAGTCTATCTGGGCGCGTTTGGATGCCTTCATCGCCGTCCACGTCGAGATCCAAGAAGCTGTCTACTACTTGTACATCTCAGAATGGGGAGGATATGTCCGTAACTTGGAGGCTGTCTCGGTCTCCTTCAGCGCCCAAATCTCCGAATCCATCATTGTTTTAGAGTCGTCCGGCAGCACCGAACTCTTCGACGCGCTTCGCAACGGAACCTCCGGCGAATTGGCTACGCTTGTGGAGACGCTCATCCAAGAGATCACCGCCATTCTTCAAGGAGGCTACTCTTATTCTTACGAACTTGTCCTTATCTACGAGAAGATCGAAGCCTTCTTGGAAGAGAACTCACAATACAGCGAAGAGTTGTTGTCCGTTGAGATTGAGGGCTACGGAGTCTTCGGCGCCTTCTATCAAGTCACCGCCTACTACTGGAGAGCCTACAACTTCCAGATCGCGATCGGCGGAGAGGCCAGTAGCACTGGATTGATCGAAGTCCTCACTGCGGCCTATCAAAACACCTCCACCGGGTCGGTCTCGCAGAGATCCCAGATCAAACAGCTCGTTGAGAAGCTGACCGCCTATTTCGAGTCCAACACTGACGTTTCCGTACGCATTCAGTACGTCTACGAGCAGCTGTACCAATTCCTCATCCTTCAACAGTGGTCGGTCAACGTCCTCTACAGTTTGCAGATTCAAGGCTACGGTGACATCTACGAACTCATCTACGCTTTCGTCTTGGTAAGGATTGGAGGGAGAAGTGACTACTCAAATTTGAAATTTCAGATATTAAATCTAACTATAATATTTTAGGAGCAAAACCTGGAAATTGACTTCTCCAACCCCGTAGTCAGCACCTCGACTGCCGCCGGAGCTGATTGCAGCGACGTCCTCCAGATCAACGCTTTCTCTTCCAACACCTCCGACCTTCTCACCTCCATCGACGTCGCTCAGGAGTCCTGGAACGCCACCGAAATCACCCGCTTCTCGGCCTACAAGAAGAGGATCTACGTCGTCACCAGCAACAGCACCGCCACTTTGCAGGAGAAATACAGCGCCATCACCACCGTCGTGAATGCCTGGACCACCAACACGTTCTACCTGAACCTCGTCAAGAGCATCCAGATCATCCAATGGGGCGGAACTGTGAGCGAAGCCATCAGCTGCAACGCGTAAGGAGTACCCAGCACATAATCACATGACGTATCATCATACAAAACAGACGATTAATAAAGTTGTTTAGTCTAGACTCACTTAATAAACTCTGGCATCACAATTACTGCGGAATCGTTTCTTTTTTATAGCTCTTGCCGCAGAATAGCTTTTTCTGCCTGCTCTCTGTACTTGGCTTACTCTCTCGGCGAGAAACCATGCTTAATATCTCGGCTGGGATTTCAAAGTACGAGTTAAATTATGGGGTATCCATAGGCTGGTCATGCAGTGTGTAAATCTTTAAAACGACATGTTAGTTGTAATTCGAACACTTTCCTTGTCATCGTTTAATGATTTCCGTCTATTCAGCTAACGAATTATCTGATCTTGAGTTTCAAGTAGCCGCGGCGACAATCCGGATCAAAGGTTGCTTTCCTCGGAATTACTGATCTTATCGAGTATGTTTCCAAGTAATTTGGCGAGAGAACGCACTTTCTGAGCAATGTCGTCGGTCATGCTAAAGCTGTCAAGCCAAAAACGCGCTGTCGCTCTGTTGGGTGGAGCCCTTGTTGTTTTTGTATTTGCATTTCCATTGTAAGCTTAGTTTTTCGGAAACAGTAAAGAGAAGGATTAAATATGTTTGTTTTGTGACTTTTTTTTGGAAACACGATTTCATTTCAGCCTCACAACCAGACAGAAGGAGGTTGTTACAACAACAAGCGCCCCGCAGACTCTCCCACAAATTAATACCACTACTTCTACGACCACCACAACCACCACAACTGAGCCTCCGCCAGCAGTTGGGGATGATGAGTTAGCTGATATCGTAAATTCGATTCTACACAATAAAAGCTGGTCAACTTTTCGTTTCCGACATGAACGACCATGGCTCAAGTTTCGGATGGAGGACGGCCAAAACCGGAGCTGTGTGGGCAATTTGGTCGCAGTCAACGCGGAGGCCAGCTTGCTGGGGCTGGAGCGGCGGAATGTTTTGCGCAAAACGTTTCAGCGGTTTTCAGTAGGTCTAGATGTCACCTAGATCATTTTTTATGCCCTTTAGATAACCGCAACATATCGCTTCTTCCTTGGAGTTTCTCCCTATCTCGTCACCGAAGAATTGCAGCGAGAAATCCGCGAAAACGACGATATTATCTTCGTTGACGTACCTGACCACAATCGCACTCTAAAACACAACGCTATAATGCATTGGCAGCAAAACTACTGCCCGAATCCGTTTCGCTTGGTCGTGCAGAGAGATGACACTGCAGTGTTGTTGAACAAGGTGATGTACTACATGTTTACGAGCATTGACTGGGATGACTATCTTCTATGCGAGCGGGCCAAAGGCAAGACGGACGAAGGAGTTTTCTTGGGCGTCTGCCGCGACAATATTATGGTTTTCATGCCAAAGGCGGTGAAGAATCGGTTCTTTGAGCTGCTCATGAACTATGACTACGGCGACGAAGATCGTGACAACGGGAAGAAAGTGGATGATTGGAATGTCAAACATTTCTATGGGTTTGGATCCACGGTATGTTTAAAAAACAACGTTTGATGCTTTGTAGCCTGAGAAACTCTGCACCAAGCCGTATCATGTCAACGACGGGCTGAGCACTATGCCGACGGAGCTGAAAAACATTCGGACGGGAAAGGAGATGGAAAAGGCCTTCGAACGCTTGCTTTTAGCCAAATGTTAGAGTGTATTATACAAGAAATTAATATTTATCAATTAAAAATCAGTTGTTTGATAGCAATTTCAGCCATTTTGTGTCATTTTCTGCCGCTGTCTTGGCGATTTCGGCCTCCTTTTGGGCGGTACTCTTCCGGAGATCTTGCAGAATCGAGTAGAGCTTTTGATCTCCGCTTGACGTAATGTCAAGAGAGGAAGAGCTGGATGCGGTGGAGAGTCGGGAGAATAACTTTAGAGGGTCTGGAGAAAAGGAGATTTTGGATGTTGGCTTTGGGAGGTCTGAAAATTGTTAACTGCTATTCGAAATGATACTTTAATTTTGCGAAATGCGCTTGACTCGACATCTTACCACCCGCTAGACACAAATTAAGCCATCAACTTACTCAGCAAGTTCTTCAAGAAAACCGGCGGCCGAAAGTCGACCGTCGACGCAATGCTGGCTCTTCTTTGAATCGGATCAATTGTTCGAGTCGTTCCCACACTGTTCACGCTGTTCGCGGTGGTCGTTCGTTGCAGAGGACGAGGCTCAAGCAGCCTGGGCGCGTTTAGCGCCCTATTCAGCTCATGAATTTCTCCGACAGTTATGTGCGGGGGTTCAGGGAGATCGTCAAGTGAGGGGAATTGAATTACATTTGAGTCGATCGACTTGAAAATAGAGTACGTGGGCATGGTAGCGGCGGGTTTTTTCAAACTTGAATCGGACACTTCGTCCATGTCCAGGCGTTTTTTGGTTTCAGCACGCTCTCTCAGAAGATCGTCCAGATTTGGGGCGTCTAATGAGTGATCAACTGACCCGACAAGCCTGAAAATGAAAGTCTTGGTTTTAATCCTTGCATTCCTTACGTATTAATCAATGGCGCCTGCTTTTTCATACTGCTGTGAAGAGCTGTCGGTACCGGTAAAGTTGTGCATGTCCTGCTTGAGCTATAGTTGTCTGTTAGACGTTCTGGCCTTGAAAAACCGTTGATCCAGGATTTGATGTGCTTCATCTGGAAAAGACAAGATTATTGCTGAATTGCCTTGAAGTTTCACTCACCTTTGGTCGATTCCAGCATGCGATAAGCCAAGCGGCCGTAGTTACTGCGCAAAGGACTACAAGAATGATGGCGATGATGTAAAATTGATGACTGGACGAACATTGACCTAAAAGTGAGGGCATAACATTAACACGGAATTAATACAAAATAGCTATTGCTATTGTGATTTTTAACTACTTCGAGATTTATCGACAATGTTTCTGCAAGGTTTACACACTCAAAAGCTCAACGGGTCATCCGACGCCACTTTACCGTACGCCAAAATGCCAGATATGGGATATACGAGAACAGTTTAACCAACCGTGCAAACAACTCGGAATACGCATCATATCAACGTGAGCTCGGAAGTCTACGCAGGATATAAACTTTTGTTCAATTACTTGAAATGGAAGGTCAAATGACGGTCGCAGTGTCAAAAGCAAGTCAAATGACGCAAATTCATGAGTGAAAAAATGGTGAATATGACATTTACTGGAACCTAAAATCGAGAAGGATGAACCCTGGGCAACCCTGACATGAGCATTTTTACGGTAAAAAATTTGTCGGTAACGGCAACGAAATTCTTTTTTTTACAATGACTTTTGCTTTTCATTCTACTCAAATATCCACAGTTCCGGGAAGCACTGCGGTTTGGGCTCCAAAACATTGAGAAAAACACTCACAGCGGTAATACGGAGAACTTATGTCTGGTGTGAATAAAGGTAAACTGGGAGCTTGCGAACATAAAAAAAATTGGAACAGACTTCATTTCTCGTTTACAAGTACACTTCGAAAACATGACTAGTTAGCATGTCTTGAGCTATAACAATACGTATTTTTCATCATCAATTGTCCTACTGCTTGTGGTGGCTGAAGTGAAAAGCAGTTTGATTTTTACTTCAGAGCGCTCATTATTTTCCCGACAGACTTAAAGTAATGCTTTCTGTTTGCCGTTCCATGTATGTAAAGGTCAAAGGAAAGCCGTGAGAGCGAGGATTTCGATTATTCGTACTACTCGGAAAATATAATTTGTGCCGGCCATTTCGATGTTTATAACAGCGTAAATTTGGGCGTTTTATAATAAGGTCATGCCGATATGTATAATAGTCGATGTGGTTAAATGATTTCCTCTGTAATTCGTAGTACTCCCTTCTGGAGTGGTTGACTTCGAATAACAGTTCTATTAATAGCATTTTTCTGGCTATGAAAGCGTGGGCTAGGAAATTTTTGCTTATAGGGTAGCAGAATTTTATTGATCCCGGTGGGAAGTCCTTACCTTCCGCACAACGCTGAACCGACGGCGCGGATATAGCTCGCTGATCGAGTCGGCAGGGAGCTGAGACCAGCCACAGGGATCGTTGATCGACGTTTTGAGTTGACGTTTCGATCCCACATTTTACCTGAAAAAGGAATCTTTAGTTGTTTACCAAATACGATGAGTTTCTGATGACATTAGTCAGACTTCTGCACAACGAATCGCCCGTTACAAAAAAATGACTTGCTATAAAGGGCTTTTGTTGAACAGAGGCAGCTTGTTTTGGCCTAAAACTGATCCTTGCCGGCAGCTTTCGTTTTACCGCAGCTCGTTGTCTTGCAAAAAAATTTAACTGTATCTAAGGCCACGTAAATCAAGCAATTTTTACAAAAACTACATTGCACTTTGACTATACTCCACAACAGCTCCACAAAAACATTTCGGTTGTAGTCTAATGCGTACACAATCTCATCGTATAGGGTTTCATTGATGACCATTCTCAAATCTTTTCATGCAATTTGAGCCGCATTTGTCGCAATTTCCTATTGCCGCTAAAGACGCGTTGGTAGGTAAATGATGTTTTCTCAGGTTAATTTTAGTTTACGCGTCTTGGCCAAAATTCAGCACATCAGAATTGGAGGGGAACACAAAAATTTTTCGTTATGTTTTTTGAAGGCCGCGCTTTGCAAAAGACCGAGGGTTTGTGGGTGGAAAGATGGAAAAGGTAGCTTAAAGTTTCACTTCTGTTTCTTTTGTGAAGGGTAAAAGTTCAATTTTTTCGACGCCATACTGTAAAAGATATAGGGCTCGGGGTCTTTACTTTTCATCGGCTCTGCGAATTTGTTTTGCAAAAAGGCGTTCAGCACGCCCTGCTGAACGCTTTTTCGCAAAATCGGTTCAGCAGTTTCTTCTGTCGAAATTTCGTGAACGGGAAATGATAAAAGCCGTTCATTTTGTGAATTTTCGTCCTGTTTTTTCTTTTTTTTGGTAGATTTCGAAACCGTCTGAATTAGTTCAGAGTCGGCTGAACTAGTGCAAAAAACCGAGGTCTTTGAACACGTTAACCTGTTAATTTTCCTTTGAAAATTTTATAACCAGTGAATTGGTTCAATGTTTTGTGAACCAATTCGAACATTGAACCCCCTTTCCAATCGGCTCTGAACGGGTTGGACACCAGTTCAAACCGTGAACGGTTTATTGCAAAAACCGTTCACGATTTGAACTGATTTTGCAAAAAGGCGTTCAGCGGAAATTCTGAACGCCTTTTTGCAAAACAAATTCGCAGAGCCGATGAAAAGTAAAGACCCCGAGCCCTATATGCCCAAAAAATGTTTTCCTCTATGGCTGCTCTCTGCCTTCCTCGTACTTTTTCGGCTTTAAAAATCGTTCCATATCTCCGCTGCTCTTGCATAACGCGAGCTAAATTTTTCAGGAATTCATATGCGGCCCAAACCTGACCGCATATGAGTGGGTGCAAGTCAGCTTAAACTCTGAACGTCGCACTTTGGATATCTCCCTGTTTGGCTTCTAATATTTATCTTGCCATAAAAAAGCAGCCATTTTTTGCAATAAAAAACTGAGCTTCGTACTTGGGACACATTTCTTTCGAGGTTTCACTGAACCTAAAAATCTTTGCTTTGCATTTTTGTCCTAAGGGCATCGCCTTTTCACCTTCCCTATATGTACGTATACAACGCATGCGGAAGTGATCTTCCACCCAAACTTTTGTTGTTTGATTTTCTTATAACAACGGAGCGCATTGAAGCCGTCTGTCTCCATTTTACTTATATTATCTTTCTCACGGCAAGACTAAAGAATTTGAAACTAGATGAACTTTACGCTTGACGTGATGAATCCTTCAATATCCTCACTATTCTTAGCTAAATTGAATCCACAAATAACACGTGTGGTTTTATTAGAAGAAGACTCACGCCGAGTTCGAGTTTTAACTGCTTAAAAGAGCGCTACCGTCTCACGAAAATTTGACCTTAAATGTTTAAGGTTTTCTTGATTTGTATTATCAACACGTCCATTTAGTATGTATAAGCTGTTCCGCGGGTTGAGTGTAGGTGGTATACAATGCAGAGAAAGAGAAAATTCAAAAGCGTATAATTTCGGATCAGATGACGACCAAGAAATGATGTATTTGGCTCAAAAACCCGGCGTCAAAACCTCGCAAACCCTACATTTTAGGTTTAAGGTGCTTTTCTTGCCACGAGGTGTATACGATGGCTCCCAAGGCAAAAAAATGGGCATCTCGGGCGGTTGTTAAAATTGTGAGTGACCAAAGAATGTGGAAGTACATTAGCAAGGGAAGTTCTTGAAGCGCTCGCTCAGATTTTCATAAAACTTTGAGCACATTTATATTAGGCTTCTGTAAAATATCTGCGAGATTTTTATGTTGCTCAGAAATTTTTTTATACCAACATCCAGAGTGGTCGTTAAAAAAATAAATTTTTCACCACAGAACCGAAAAAATTTTTCAAAGAGTATTTTTTTCCTATGGCCGCTCTTCGTGTTTCACTACTCTCACTGCAGCAAAGATCGTTCAATACATATAAGAGGGGTTCCGGGTAAATTCAAATTTCTTTCGGCCGTGAAGCTCGGACACGAGTTTACTAAATGTCGAATTTTTTGTCCTCCAACGTGAGAAGTTCAAGTCAGGATAAAACTTTTTGTGAACGGTTCAGTGGGGGTGGATTATTTGCACCTCAAAAAGTTTTGGCATATTGTGGATCTATCCGGAATCTCTCATAGATGTCTATATATCTCGGTTGCAAAGCCCAATATTTCTGCAAATTTTATGTGAAACCTACAGTGCTTATGATACCCCAGCAGTACCCTGGCTGGCTTCCAAGGTCTCGCCATAAAAAGCCAGTAATTTTCGGAAATAAAAAAGTTTAGGGATTTGGAATACCTTTTTCCAGACAGGTACCATGTTGGCTCCGTATAGGAAATTTTCAATCATATTTGTCTTGCGTTCTTATGCTTGCTGTTACAATCTATGTAAATAGATAATTTTTGTTCTAAACTACTCTAAGGATACAGTGTTTCAGCTCAAAATAACTGAACTCAAATGAAAAAAAAGAAAAATTGAAAGCTACATTACTACAGTTGATCTATTTTCGACCTCTCATCCATTGTCTTTATTGTCATTTATATACGACCATATTGTGCCCCAAAGTGACCCGACTGCTTTCGAGTTCGTATCGCGGCCATTGTAATCGCCCATTTTCTCACACTATTCTCGTAGAGCCGAATCCGGCATGGACACCATAGTCGTTGGGACTATTTACGGCTCGGCATGCCGTCATCATGAACTGGAACGCCAATTTTCACCTAGGTTGCACGTCATAATGATGCGAGTAATTTGAGCCACGCCGCTGACTGCTGACCTGAAACCCGGAAAATTGCTCTTGTTTGGTTTAGGTCATCATGTGGGCCGTTCTGCAAAGTCGAGGCACAGGTACGCGAATTACACGCTATTTGGCGGCGGCGAAAAGTCAGAATGGGAAATGAATCGGGCGGGAGCTGTGACCGATGTGACAGCTATATAAGGAATGGGTCGTTTTAGAGGCATAGCTCCAGTTGAGCAATTTTAGGACAGGCTGAGATAGATCCTCCCTTCTTCTACGACTGGAGGCTCCTTTTAGGTTATAATTTACATCCATCATACCGTATCGACCTCAGGAGCTCATGTGGTTTTTTAGAGGCTACATTAAAGAGGTCAGCGTAAGATTTTGCCATTAAAGTTTGGAGTTTGGTACACATCACTGCCATTTCTGCAGTCTTCAATTACAGCTCTGCTAATAAAGGATCCCCCAAAATTCCTTTTCTTTCCAAAATATTTTTTTCCAAAACCCCCTGTTATGGTACTATTTGCCCTTTACTTCCGCACATTGGCAACCGAATACGCAGGTTGTAGAGTAACATAAGACCGCGCCGTGCTTTGAGTTGCACGGCGGTCTGTGTGGTTCAAAGAGCGCTAGCATGTCACGAGGCCGAAGATCTGTTGATCCACTGTTTCAAATTTTTTTCTGAGATCCGACGTTATTATTTAAATTCCAGGGCCATAAAAGGTCGAAAAATCAGCGCTATTTCGAAACTTTCCTTTTTTGGGCCCCACTCATTCAGTGGATATTGTTTGGGGGAGTACGTCCATTCAGTAGCCCCATCTCCGTGTGAATTTTCCGACGCCTTTCCGCGGTCTTTAAATATAAGCTGCGATTACTTTCAGCGCTTTCAGACTATTCTTTATATCTCGAATCCTCTTTCCCGGCTATAGAAAATGCCTAAAGTTATTCTTACCCTACACAACGTTATGGGTTCATTGGATCCTCCTATATCAGTCAACCAAGGCATTCTGCTGGTTGTGCTGCGTCTAAGGCTGTTTATTATGTGCGTAGACTGAAAGTAGCTAAATATTCTTGATATTAAGTGACTATTGGACGCTGAAGTTCAGTTGATAAGCCCTAATGTTTTACCCTCTCTTGCAGTAACGCTGTTGTATTTATCAAGTAGATTTTGTCCCTGAACTACCGCTTTTTATGGCCACCACTCAATGAAACGTCTTTATTTACCCTTCCATAAGTCCTACATACGCAATAAGCGTAGTAACAATCACCTTCGCTGTTGACCGCATAGTAACCTATGACTAAGTACCCTCTCACAAGCCTATTATTATGTTAGCCGTGCTTTCGTGAAAAATGAGGTCCTTATAGTGATAGAGGGTGTACAGTATGGCATGGCAATTTACGGGCCTAATTTTGGGGTTGCGTCAGTGATACATTAAGGTCTTAACTGATCCGTACTTAATGGAGTATGGTGTGTTATGTTTGTCAAAGATCTCAACTTGAAGTCTTTATTGTGTACATATTTCGCATCGTTATCGCGAGTCGCGTTATTAATGTTTACCGTGCTTCGCGCGGGTATTAGGCGTGATTGAATCATATCCCAGTCGTATAGAGACTTGCTCAAACCGTTCGGGAATAATGCATGCAATAATCAGCTTCGCACTTTTTGCCACAATTGCCGCCGGCATGAGCGCTCAAGACATGGAATTAAATGGCGACTTTAGCCAGCATGGTAAGAAGTTTTACGCATACATTTATAAGTCAGCTGTGAACTTTCGTTGGACGAATCTAATCCGCAATCTTTCAGACTACCGCATGTTGCCAGTCCAGCGGGAAATGATGAGGGAGAATGTGGGAGAAAGTGAGTTTCATAACCTACAATTTAACACATGCTTTCATAAGATCCTTACATAAAAATTCTGTGTATTTATTAACATAAAAATTTTTTCAGCGTTGCCGACGCTCCATTTCCTACGTTCCATCCGGCGCAGTCGCGAACTGTTCGGAAAACGATCGCCCTCCGTGGTAGAAGAGAAAAGAAGGAGTCGCGAGTTGTTCGGGAAGCGCTCAGCCAAATCAGGTACGTTTTTTGATACCCACCCTTTTTATGTTTTTTGATGACAAAAACGTTACGGTATTCTCGCCGTTTCAGAGGAGGAAATCCCATTCAACAGCCAAGAGGTGCTGGCGTTGGCGACACTGCTGACCGAAAGACCGCGACGTGCCCGAGGCACCGAACTCTTCGGAAAATAAGTCTCGTCACTCTCTCATGGTCCTATTCTCTTCGCGGTGGCAATAGGTCCACCCCCATATTTACGCATAATTCGTCACCGTGTTGCGCGATGGCTACGGTTGTCTCTGTTCTCAAAAACACACTCGCGATCTTGTACGAACTCTCTCCCTCCGTTATCGTATCTAAACCAATCTCTCCCCGCTCTCAACGATCTCTCGGTTTCCCACCCATTTGTCGTCGTTCTGTGTTTATGATGGATGGCATAAAGTTTTGTTTCCCTTCCATATTGTGCTAACTTATCATATAATAGTACCTTAGCGTGTAAATAAATTATTTCTCGTGTTAGGAAATGTTGCGGCAGGATAAACTTTTCGCGGGAACTCCCACAATGCTCGGGTTTCGGATCAAAGATGCGCCGCGGTATATCCCATGGCATTTTCGCGAACGACCTACCGGCTCGCAGGCTCCGAAACATCGCTTCAGTTCGCATTGAATTGCAAAGTTCTCAAGGCCCACGCCGAACATCTCGAATTCCGTTTGCAGCGCCCAACCGAACTCGCCTCTGATCCAGTGGAAGTCCTTGGCGAAGTTGATGTTTTTCACGCACCCGTTCTAAAGACTCAATTTTGAAACCTGCAGTTCAACCATTCTTTTTTGACAAACTGTTCATGTTGCTTCAAAAAATGACGGCTTTTACTAGTCGCGGCAAAAAGTCCTTAGAATTTTTCGCGGCCCCCAAATCTCATCGCACCTCGAAATGTTGATTTGTCGCGGGAATCGCGCGCGACAATAAGGCAAAAACAAGAAAATTGCACTGTGCAAAAGCACTTTTCGGGTTCATGCACAGTGCGGAGTCGCAGAAAATTCTAAGGACTTTTTGCCGCGACTAGTATTGTCCGTGACGTCATTCGAGACCAACAAGGTCAAAACAAAATGCTTACCGTATCTGTCAGCTCGATGATCCTTTCATATTCCCCGACCGGAAATATTATGCACTGACCCATTCGCACCTGGTTTTCAACACCTGAATTCGAAAAACGTTATTGGCTAGTGGCGAAATTGGAGTCTGTAGTCGCATTACACAACATACCTTCGTTTACGGGGATTGTAATCTTGTACGCCTTGCCGACGACCATTTCCAATGGAATGCCGGCCATTTCCAAATCCAGCGGCTCGTTTTTTGGATGGATAAAAAGTTGAGCTCGGATTGGAGGGCTAAAATGGGTTTGCCATGAATTTAGAACTTGTATTCAACGGCCCAAACATCCAAGGATATCGTAATTATCATTTCAAGTCATATTATTACCTGTCAAAGCCAGGATGAACCGAAGGAGGTGGCATTACATGAACTGGACATCGAACCAAGTAGCTAACATCATTGGCAAGCACCAACGTCTTGTGGTTTCGGATCTCTAGCAATCCAACGTAGTCGTTGTTTAGCTGAAAAATTGCAGCTTGTGTTTTCGTGGGAGGCGAGTAATGGTTACCTTGTTCAGGAAGCATTGATCTGCGACTGAAGACTGGAAGGCGATTGGAAACAAAATTAGACGTTTCCCCTCGCCTCTGAGTTCGCATTCCCTGTGTGGGAGGACCGTAATGCGACCGTTGAACTTGCTTTCGAACGTCATTGTGAGTTGCATGAGATCAGGTGTGCAGGTGAGGGAGACTAATGAAAAAATAACGCATTAGTGTATGAGTTGAAAAGCAGCAGAGAAAAAAATTTTAGCCATATCTTTGGAAGTTTTGTGTGGAAAAAATTATTTTTGGGGGAATAGGCATGAAAATTTTTCTGTCAAAATTCAAAAAAAGCGCCACATTTTTTTTCGACTTTTCAGTGTTATAGAATCAGTGTTATAGGTTGAAAAAATGCTAAATCTAAGTGTCTCATTTCTTCCGTTGAACGCGCAGAGCACAAACAGAAAATTTACTGTCGGAATAACAAAGAAAAGCCAAAAAAGTTCATTTTATTCACTGCTCATAATTGTGAGTCGCTGCAGAATTACTGAATCTTGGGTACGACTGTAAACCGCACCGAAGGATGAAGGAAAAAGTTTTGCAATTATGTAAAATACGATTACAGTACGAGAATTATTTCAAAATACACGAAAGTACGAGCGTTGAATCTCAAGGACATACGCAGTTTTAAAACCAAAAAAAACGGTTACAATAAAAACGCCAAAAACTGCCGTCCACAACCTATCCCACTTACCTGTTCGTTCAGCCGTTGCGCAACAGAAACATAGAGCAAGTCCGACGACAATTCGCGGAGCAACCGTCGAATTCAACATAACTATTATAATATAAATGCGTTGACAACTCCTCTACATTAGCAGCAAAATTCAAGTTGTCTTTGTCTCATAATTCTCAACACAAAAAGGTAAGGCGAAAAAAGTTAATTTTTCAGGCGACTTCCTCCGTCGTTTTTTTCGAGTTTGGAACTCCGCTGAGATCCGATCCAAAAAAAGGTATTCCCTGTGTAATTATCGACGATTGGGTCATCCCATTCCGACTTTTATTATTATTCCCTTGCAGCCGAAAGGAAGTTTCTTGAAGTTGGAAAAATTCAGAGTGGGCATGCAAAAAGTTCAAATTTGGATTTACGGGGTAACAAAGGGATCGTTTTTTCCGAATGAGGCATCAAAATTATCCCTGAGGCGCCGTTTTCTTTGCCATATCGAATTCGAAATTTTTAAGCTCCAAGGGGTAATGCGACAATAGCAGATTTTAATTAGACGCAACAACGGGGCTATTTGGTGGAGCCTTCAGAATCCACTGGTTCTAAGAGGTTTGACGGGCACCAAAATCGTTAAACTTGCGATTGTTGGTGCTGATATGGGCCCCACTCCGCTGTTTTATTTCTAACCGCTCTTTTGGTTCAACTCTTTGCCATTTTTTGTTGGCTCTTGAGGAATTCAGGTTTTCAGAAAGCCCTAGAGGCATTGCTAGTTTTAATAGTCATACAGGTGAAAATGGTTTCCTTAATGATCAGTTTGATATATGATTTACATCAAACTAGAAACTGACTGCTCAGTTATCACTAAAACAAACTTGCCACTTTTTGTAGATGGTCAACCGGAAATGCATGCAAAACAATGGAAGAAAATTTTTATTCAACAATTATTATTCTTATTAAAGCCTAAAAACCGTAAATTTACTCGTTGTTTTATGATTTTGATGAGTCAAATTAAATAAACGCTTCTATCCCATTGGGCCATCGCCGCGATAGTCGGACTTGGAATGGCTGCGGTTGCGCGGTCATGCCGAGGACCTTCTTTGTTGTTGGAGGACTTGCTTCGTCCATGGGATGAACGACGAACTGGTTGAACATATTGCTGATGAACAGGAACAACTCCATTCGGGCGATATTCTCGCCGAGACATTGGCGCTTCCCCAAGGAGAATGGAATCAGCTCGACGAAGCGTTTCAGAGACCCGTCTTCGGCCAAAAATCGATCCGGTTTGAACTCGAAAGGGTCGGGAAACACCTGCAAACAGTCTCTAAAGTAACCTCTGAGTAATTACGAAAATTTGCAACTTTTAAACCGTACCTTTTCGTCAAACATTACGCAAGCAATTTGCGGCAAAATGCAACTTCCGGCCGGAATTTTATGACCCGCGATCGTAACATCACTCAAGTTCCGTTGAAACAAGTTGATTGGTATTAAATTCGCCAGGCGTTGGCCTTCGCATATAACAGCGTTGAGATATGTTAGATTCTGTCGATCCAGGTTGGTTACCCGTCGGCCAGAGCCAATCGTTCGGTCCAGCTCCTCATGAATTCTTCGTTGTGTTTGGGGCGAGTTGAGAATGTACAGAAGGATGAAGGCGATGGTATGAGATGTTGTGTCCTGACCGGCAGAGAAGAGATCAAACATCATGTTGACTAGCATTTTGCGGCTAAAATGGGCTTATATCGTTAGAAACTAAACCGAGAACTTACTTATACACAGCTGGATTAACATCGTTCTTAATTTTGAACAGAAACGCATCAATCAGACACTTGTACTCCTCGTTGTTGTTCAAATTCTCGAACTCATTCTCGTGCTGATCCACCTTGGCATTCATGAACGCGAACAGTTTATTCCGCGTGCGCTCTATTCGTTTGTAGCGTTCTCGGAACGGCGGAAAGACGGTGAAATTGAATCGATGATTTGCCACACTCAACGCCAGCGGGTCCGAAATGTAGACCAGGAACTGGTTAATGGTTTCCTTCAGGTACAAAAATTCTGAAACTTGGTCCTATAACGAAATCGTATTCACCAAGACGCACGTACTTTTTCATACCTGGTTCCGAAGATGAGACTCGAAATGATGGAGCCCACCGAGCGATCGATTAAGGGCACAAATTCGATGGATTGTCGGTTATCACATGCGACATCAAGCTCTTGAATGAACTGGCTAACCTCGAAGAAGATCCGGTCTTCCAACTTTGCCCCGTCAGCCGTCAAAGAACGTATGAAATTTGTGAAAAATCGCCGTTGCTCTTGGTAAATTTCGGGCCGGCCTTCATCCAGCAGTCCAACATTTTCGTGACCTACAATTTCTACCGTAATCATTGAGATGAATGGGGCCATTTTACTCACCTCCCCGGACCAGCTCTGTCATTCGGCCGTAGGCGAACCGACTCCCAAAAACGTCGCCATTCTTGATTAGCGCCTCCGTGAGGACCTCGTAGTCGGTGAAACAGACTGCTGGAATATTGCCGAACCAGCACGTGAACACCGGCCCGTATTGCTTTTTCCAGTGTAGAAAAGCTTTGTAAGTGTCTGCCGGATCGATGCAATGCAGATTGCCGATGATGGGCAGCGGCGCCGGGCCCGGCGGCAGATTCTGACGTTTGAAGTGGAAATTATTCAACAAATAGATGGCGCTGATAACAACAACAACAATTAAGAACAAGGCCATCTAAAATATAAACCGTTCACTTCTTGCCGAAGGCCACCGCGCAAAGACGTTGTGTGATCTCTAAACGACCAAAAAGATAACAAGAACGGTAACGAGTTATGGCTTAAAAGCACTGATCTTTTCCTCTTTGCAATAACACCCAAAATGAGACAATAACACAATGATGTCATTTTCCGACTAGTGCCGTTATCTTGTTTACGGACGACGCTGTGACCACGCCCTCGCTGCAAGGGAGAGTTGCGATCTTTGTGCCCGATAAACACGACAAAAAACATAGTCGCCGGACAGTCTACTGTTAAGATCGAAACCACAATAAGAACGGAAGCTAGAATTGTAGCAAAATTGTCACTGGACAAACACATGGCTCTCAGCGTAGCGTCTGATTCGTTACTCTTTACACATACTGTTCAAAGGGCATCCAAATGTTATGATTTGGGAAAAAGATGACAAATAAAGCTCTGCGTGTAAACCTTCGAAAGTGCATGGTTCATTGCCGGCAGGACAGTGACAGTTATGATAATAAAACTTGGCGTAAAGTGCGTTTGGACCCCGGAAAATCTAAAAGCAGTCTCCAAGGCAAGAGCCAAAAGATTCCTTCGAAAAATAATCAATTACTTATAACAAGCCGCACGCTCATTAAACCAACGATTCTTTAGCGGGAGCCACCAAAATTCCGACCATTACACGTGACCCAGATAGCGCGAGAAGTAGGTAGAGGAGGTACAGTAAACGCGTGAACAGACCGCAAGGCCGTTACACAAATCAGTCGCAGGTCTCATCTATTTTCCGTTACTTTTTCTTGTTTTCCCCCCATCATCGCCCCAAAAACAACACTGCTTTGATTCCTTGCACTCAACAAGGAGAAGGTTTCCTAATCCCGACGCTACAACGCCTAGACAGGGCGTGTGGGTTGCGGAATTGATAAACACAAAACCAAAGTTCAGTCGGCTTTCGTCGACGAAGTCGTGCAAATTAATGTGATTCTTTTTGCAAAAAATCCTCCGTCTCGAGTCCTACCGTAAATTCGAAGAGCGTTTCTTCGGTGTATGGTAGGAAAAAGTGTCCGCAATTCATTTCCGTGGATAGGCGGGCGTTTCCCAAAGCGCTGACCACTTTTCCGCCACCAAGACTACAGTTTGACCTCATATCGATGCCCACGCAGGAGTTAAAAGGCAAGAACAAACAAACTTGTCAAAAAAACAGTAGCCTGCATCAAGTGCATGAGTAATTGTCAACCCACCCCCACCTAAGACAACAAAATTGCACGGCAAACGCGGGCAGCCGTTCCACTTGGTCCGTGAGGGAGGGCTGCGCGCGAACCCGCGGTCAATGCTCGATCCACTAAACGAGTTTCGCGCCGCGAAATCACTCCGACCGTTTTGCTGCGACGTTCACGTCGTCGTAGAGTTCAAAGTCAACACGGTTGTTTGTCAAGGAAGATAATCAATCAGCAGGCGGCCGCCTTTTTGAGTGTGCTTGGTCCTGTGGTGGTCTATGTTGCGTTCCAGTCATGGTTCGGGATCGGTCCCCGAAGAAGGCGACAAAATGTGGAGTTGACCAAGTGCGACGCTCAGATTTTCTTGAGATTTTGCACGTACTCAGGGTACGGGATACGTATCGTTTCCTGAGGGGTTTAGCTCGAAATTCGCTGGGGTAATCAAGGTATTCAGCGATCTTTCAGGTCGAGAGAGTACGTGAAATGAAGAGAGAGGTCAGAGTTCGAAACAAATTCCGTTCTTTGCCAGTTTTGTGAAAAATTAGGCAACACGGTAGAAATAAGTATGACCAAAAGTTGAAAGAAATTTCAATTTAAAAATCACCGCCGCTTCTGCAAAGCGCAAGCCTCGAAAAATCGCTTTAGATTAGTACCAAGTTCAGTTGAAATCAGAGCGTCACGCTCCACGCACTTCACCGGTAAATTCACAAAATCATCGAACAGTTCGTCAAAAAGCGATGAACTGCGTGACTGTTGCGAAATCTTCAAATCGTTTCGGTGGCTTCCATAAAGTGGTCATAAATTCTCCGAATGAACAATGTTTTTGGTGAATGCCACAAGAGACAGGCTTGAAGATAAAGAAAACAATGTTTTCCTGCAAAAGAATCTCTCTTGACGTTCATTAATCATAATCATGTTTTTCTGCTTTCTCCCTGAACAAAATACAACTCATAAATTTCGTCATACCACTATTTAAATTTTATTGCTTCCGGCGCTACTCCCCCAAGCTGTTTTGCATAAGCCGATCAAAAAAATTATCTTACATTTATTCACATCGACAACTAATATCAAGTGGTTTTATGCCACGACAAGTTCCAAATTCGTACATTTGAAAATCAAGATTTTACCCACAACTAAAGAAAAAACAATAAGTGATCTACCCGCACCATGAAACACGTGAAATGACACAACAAAGAACGAGTTCAACACGCTGTGAGCGTTGTTCCGAGACACCAGTAATTTCGCATTAGCGCACCCTTGGCGGATGTTATTAATTGAACCGGGAATTTCGTCAAAGGTGGGAGGAAGGGGAAGCCGAGGGCTTCGCGTCGTGACGCAGCTCAACGATTAACAAAGAGCGATGGGGGCGACTGAAAGAAGCGACTGCTGAACGAGCTGCCGCTGTTGTAAGAGGCATTCGTCATCGGCAACTGGTCAAATAAATAGGAGTAGTCGGGGTTGTTGGGGTCTTTCTGGCCCACCGGATACAGCAAGCACTCTTGGCCCTTGGAGGTGATCGGTTTAGTCTGAAACAGAAAGGATTTTGCATATTATGTGTATATACTCCCCGCCAAAAGTTTTGACCCCCCTTCTAACTCGGTCCAAAGTGTACCAATTTGGACCAAATTTGGTACGTAGTCTACCGACAGCCTAGTAATAAAAAATATCATAGTAGGACAACCCATATAGCTGTATTTCAAAATCCAGAGACAATTTTCAAAAATCACCTCAAAAAAATGGGACAAAAGTTTTGACCCCCCTGCAAAAAAATTAAATATCGCCACCGTATGTAGCCCGAACCTTTTACAATCGATGCCCCATACCTGAATACAGATTAATAAATGCTGTTTCGTTGAATGCTTCGTTGCATTTGAGGATGCAACGCGTTAAACTGATTTTGATGTAGAGCTGCCCAAAATGGTAAAAATCTTGTACTGGCGCTTTCTAAAAGTTCTAAATTATGTTCACATCATGTGATCTTGACGTGTTATAACCTGCATTAACCTTTTCCTTTCGAAAAAAGTCCATGATGGCCTAGCGGTATCGATTCGGCCGATATCCAGTTGTCATGGTCAGCCTTGGTGAGCCATTTGCTCTTTCACTAAAGGGCTAGATGTGGTCGCTATGTCCTCAATCTAATCCTGAGACTAATATCAACTCTTAAACCAAGAATAAACTCCCGCTGACACGATCTCATATGGTTTGCAGATGCAACTTTGCCGATCTGCACCTTAATGAAAACCCCGCTTTTTTCAAATGGATTTTTTGCGACCAAAAATGGCTTTCATTTGATGGGCCAGGTAATTTAGGACGCTACAGCACCCGCCATACTTATTTGAGACGTATGGAACGACACATGGGCGGTGGGGATGGCATCGTACTCAGGGGCATCTACAGTAACGGCAAACTTAAGATTAAGGTGAATGAAACCCATTCCAAAACGCGTAAAATCGAAACTTTTTACCCTGCTGAGATTAAATAGGAGTCTCAGGATTAGATTGAGACCTAGCGACCACATCTAGACCTTTAGTCAAAGAGCAAATGGCTCACCAAGGCTGACCATGACAACTGGACATCGGCCGAATCGATTCTGCTAGGCCATCATGGACTTTTTTCGAAAGGAAAAGATTAATGCAGGTTATAACACGTCAAGATCACATGATGTGAACATAATTTAGAACTTTTAGAAAGCGCCAGTACAAGATTTTTACCATTTTGGGCAGCTCTACATCAAAATCAGTTTAACGCGTTGCATCCTCAAATGCAACGAAGCATTCAACGAAACAGCATTTATTAATCTGTATTCAGGTATGGGGCATCGATTGTAAAAGGTTCGGGCTACATACGGTGGCGATATTTAATTTTTTTGCAGGGGGGTCAAAACTTTTGTCCCATTTTTTTGAGGTGATTTTTGAAAATTGTCTCTGGATTTTGAAATACAGCTATATGGGTTGTCCTACTATGATATTTTTTATTACTAGGCTGTCGGTAGACTACGTACCAAATTTGGTCCAAATTGGTACACTTTGGACCGAGTTAGAAGGGGGGTCAAAACTTTTGGCGGGGAGTATACATGTTTAGCAGAGAAGTTATGATGATCCTTGTGTTTGCTACTCTCAGCAAAGGTTGTTCGAAATCTCAACTTCCAATGCAAAGCGTTAGCTCAGACTGTAAAGAATTGACCCTTGGCCTATACTCGAAAGATCGGCAAAATTTCTAAAAAATCTAAGCGTCGCACTGGAGGTCCTTGTAAGGCCTTTTTTGACTGCTCTGGTTCCGTTCTTCGACTACAAACTCATCAACTCACCTCATGATAGTCCACCAAGTCCTGAAGTGTCTTATGGACCACTTGATTCGTCCCCAAGAACTGATAGCCCTCGGGAATCCGCTCCACCAAGAAGTGCTTCAAGTCCGCGCCCGCCACCACATAGCTTATCGTATATCCCCAAATTCTCTCCGAGATTCGCACAATAAACGCGCCTGGCGGTTGATTTGCTAGCAAACCGTCCGCTTCGGCGCGAGATAGTATGCCGTGGAACCAAACAAAGGGTCGTTTCGTCCACGGATCGAGGCCAACTCCTTGTGGCTGTTCCTTTTTCTTGAACCATTCGATAATTTCGGCTCGATCCTTTGGCTTCGGAGGGCGAGGCATGTTTCGACTAAAAATAAAAAATATTGCATTGTACATAATGTCATTTTGGGGTCGTGGTGGATGCACGAACTTACACTGCATCTCGAATACTCTGGCTTTTGAGATCTTCGCTGTTGGTTTTGTGCAGCATTGGTAGCAAAGTCGTTGAGGTCCTTATGTTTCTTTCGTGCTGTTCGCGGGCTTTCTGCGCTATTGCACGAATCTGTGCCTCGGCCTCGCGCGCTCTACGCTCTGAAAAGATGTTGAGGTCAATTTGAAAACATTGCAACCAACAGTCGGCAAATTGATTATGTATACTTACTTTGCTCCTCATACGCAATTCTCTCACGTTCCGCCTCTTTCTCGGCCTCCTCTTTCAAGCGCTGATGCTCTTCCATCAACTTTTCGAGTATCAGAGACTGCCGTTTCTCCAACTCGTCCTGTGTGGGCAACAGCTCTTCCAGCCGTTGCTGTGCTTGCCGAAGTCGAAGCATCTCCGGCGATACGGTGTCCGAGCTTTCTTTCGATGATGACGAGGATGCGGATCCTTCAGGTTCTCTTGTTGGTTTTGTTGGTGTTGTCTTGAGGACCGGTTCTTCGGGTGGTCTAGGTGCTACAGCTTTTTGAAGTCCTGAACTCGGCGAGGTCACCTGTTGTGGGGTGAAGGTAGTAGTGGGATTGTGACCGGGCGTGTAGGACCGTATGGACTGAAAAAAGACGGGGAAATGCCTTACATATTGCAAAAAAGTATATTAAAATTTCGATAAAACCTTGCCTACCTGTACAAATTGGCCATCCCCGTTCTCCACAACGCTCGCTTTCGGCTTCTTCGCCAAGAACGACGGCTTTTGTGGAACCGGCGGAGGTGTGCCATTCTCAAGCTTCTTTTCCGCACTACCTGCTAGTTCGTGCACATTGCCATTGACCCGTAGTTTATCACCGTTCGACCGCGCAGGCTCCGAAACAACCTCTTGTTTCAAACCTTCTTTTGGAGAACCGCCATCCCTGACTGGCGTATTCTCATCACTGGCGTAGTAGTTGTCGTCCGAGCTTCGCCGTAGCCTTGGAATACAACCTTTGTTGTCCAAGAATCTTCGAGCTTTTGGCTTTGCCTCTTTTCCCTCGTCTCTCTGCTTGGGTTTTGTTTTGGCCTCTTTTTGAGGTTCAGGTGAGTTCAGCACCTCTTCTCGAAGGCTCTTGGTCGGTGATCGCGCTTGTCGTGAGTTGAATGAGCCAACCAAGAAAGAGCCGGCCTTCTTGTCCAGATCCGACGCTGTCTCGAGACTGTTTTGTCGCGGGGTCGAAGCTGGCGAAGCGGTTTTGGACGTGCTAACGGAGTCATTCCTGTTTCGCAGCGGCGATGTCGAGTTTACGGGACTTTTATCCCTGCTTGCCCTCCTTTTTGGGTCGTGCTCGTCGAGGAAGCGCTGTACAAAGTTGCTTCCAATCCCGCTGCCTGTCCGCGATCGTCTCTCCTCGGATGTCGGCTTTGGCGTCTTTTCCCGGCGTTCACGAGCTTCGCCATTCTTCGTGGGGCTTCCCCTCGAAGGCTCATGATCAAAGCTCGATGGCTTTTGCCGTAAAATTTCGCTTCGTTTCTCAAAAGGACTGCCATTGAACTGCTCTCGAACAGTATTCTCTAAATCTTCAACGGATGGTCTGAGATATAATCGGCGTCCATCTTCCAGCTCGATCCCGTCTGGCGGCGATCGTCGTAACTGCGCGTAATATGGAGCCGACCCGTTTGATTTTTGATCTTCCTCCCGACGATAGTCATCGTCTCGCGATGCGTTTGACGGTTTTCGAAATCCGTCGTCACTTGAGCTCGCCTTCGACGATTCCTCGAAGGAACTGGATGATGTGCCACCTAACCTCATGTTTCGCAGCTCCTGCTTCAGTTGTTCTTCCCGGGCGGACGCGGAAGGATGAAGAGATTGCGGGGGATATGGGCCAACAGCGCCGGAAGTAATGTTTCTGTCGTTGGCTAGCTCGACTTCAGCCAAATGTCGCGCTTTTCGACGAGCCTCGTCTTCAATGATATCGTCGATTGAAGGATCATTGGGATGGTCACCCATCACCCACACCCAGACTTCGCCGTCACGGCCTTTTAGCCATCTAAAATTAGCCGAATATTGGGTTGAAAGGAGGAAATGATATTGCAAAAACTGTTGCAGAACTTACTGTATTCTTCGGCTATCCTTCTTTTTTGGAGCGCTGTTTCTTTCCTGTTCCTCCAGCTCGGCCTCGCGTTGATTCCATCGCCGGATCTGTTCTTCTCGCATTTTTATGAACAAAATTTGCTTTTGCTCATCGTCCAGCTGGTTCAGTAGCTCATCCTCCACGTACATCTGAAAAATCAACTTATAATTTCCCGAAATTCTTTCCAAAATACTCAATCTTAATTTAAAAATACCTGCTATGTCCCTAAAAGGGGTTTTACTAGGTCATATTAGCCTAATATTACCGAAATACCCACCTTCTCCAAGATGTCCCGTAGTGCGCTCATTTTGCAACAGGAGGTTGGTTAGCGCAGCCGACCGTCGATTTAATGTGTCAAGATCGCCGGAGGGAACATGAACAGCAAAATTGATTCTTCCGGGTTATTATTGTGAGAAGTGGATTTGGGAGGCAAGAAGAGTAGCAACTTTCAACGTGACTAAAGTGAGCGAATGTAGAGAATTCGATGAAACAAGGCGCATCCTCGTCATCTCGGCAAAGAAACAACAAAAAATCGCGCATTTGGACTGAAGCGTACGCGAAAAAAAGGTAATTGAGCGGTAAACAAGAGATAGATTTTGATGAGAATTGGTACAATTCAGACTACTGATTAGATCAGGTTCTTTGCAGGGTCAAGTTTTCCCCGAGCCGTTCTGGAAACGCCAAAGAAATAATGTTTGCAAAAACCCGATCAGTCGGAGAACGACCAACTCCGAGAAAACCCCTCGAAAAACAACGACGAAATAACAAGAAGATTGACTAAAAAAAGCAATCATAAGCAAACCAAAATCCACAAAGAAAAAAATAAGCGCTAATCACAAGAAACTCCTTTCAAAAGAGTTATTTACATATGTATACACAATAAAAATATGTCATCAAAATACAGGGTGGTCCAGAAAAAAGTAGCAAATAGCTATGACTTGACAGCAAAGACAGCAAGCGGTGTGTTTTTTTGTATTATTGAAAATTCATCCTTGGAGCTCCATTTTTCAGCAAAATAAGGAAATTTTTAAGCCATAAAGGATGATAATAATTCCAGATTTTCGATAAAAAAAAACAATGGTGTTTTCGACCTCCGACTAGTCTTTGGTCCATTTCTTTAGAATTTCTTGTTCCTTACAAGTTTTTTGATAAGGACATAATGACGATCTATGATTTACATCAAACTGCCCATAGACTGTAAATTTTTTGCCGACTTTCGATCTAAAAGTCTCGGCTGTTTCTGCAAAGCGCGAGTGAGGATTCTCGCATATATCCTGGAAAAAATCATTCTAAATCTGTGCCAATTTTCTCATAAAAGTCTGTGCGTCGCACTTGGGGTACTTCCCCTGTAAGTCAAAGTTCCTACAACTCTTTACAGTCTCTCCATGCAGATAAGAGAGAAAAAATAGCCAAAAAAGCGCTCAAAATTTGAATGCAACCCACTGAAGGATCCGGCTCCAGAAATCCCCTTTAATTCGCACTAATATATGGAGTGGGAAACGAAAAGAAAATCAGAACGAAGGATTTGGGAGACGCAAGAGCCATGTGAAAGTTTTGAGCGGTAAATCCAAACCTTTTCGAATCCGCAAACCTCCACCGACGTAACATAATGAATCGCGCGAAATGAAACAGCCACTGATTCCGCTGCCTTCGATCCAAAAACGACGTAATTCACCCAAAGACATGACATTTAATGGGATGGATGTGAAGAAAAAAACCAGCATTTCCCCCAAACAGTTTCCTAATTTGGCGGAAAACCCGCACTGATAAAGGAAACGTTAAAGGGCCTGTACAGCTACTTTGAAAAGCGATTTTCTCGGCTTGGGGTGGCTTTCTGATATATCGTTTGTTTTCGTGGCGGGACGCACTGACAAACTCGGTGCGATTTTTTTGGATCCAAGATGAAGAATATTAGGTGTATAACATACATTGTTCAGCGTAATATGGCGCCAATTTGTTGTTTTTGTGTGGAGAATGGGTAAGTTGTTGTTTTGAAAAATTTTTGAGCTGATTTTTAGGCATTTTTTATGTTGGGGATGCTTTTCGAAGACTTTGGGATAAATTATAAGGTAAAATAGGTTTTATGAAGTGGAAGAAGGGTAAACTTGTCCTAGAAGGTTTTGCTTCTGAGTGGGTGAAGTTATTTTGAAATACTCTACATTCTTTTTGACAGATTCATGGATTTGTGATATTATTTTAGGTAAAACTGGTTGTTGCGGAAGTGAAGAAGCCACCAAAGCGCACTCTTGGTTAGTGGAAGGCTGAACAACACAGACCAAGCAGGAGTTTAACACACGCCGGGCCAACGAGGGCGCTAACCAGAAAAGTGTTCAAAAACTCTTTCCCTTGAAGCCCTTGAAGAAAGACAACGAGGAAGGTGGAATATTAGCCGAAAAACGCATCACTTCCATTGTAAGTTCATTTTACATTTTTTTTTGGCTTTTAGGAACTTCGTGATAAGTTTGAAGAAGCACATAACCGTTTTGATGTAAACTTATATTACACATGTCGTTTCAGAAGTGCCAATTCTACTTCTAACCACCCCGACTGCCGTGATAACCACAAGGAACACCGCTTCATAACAGTTGATTGATCTCGTTATTATCCCACATTAAACTTGAATAATTTATGACTAAATTCTTGAAAAAGGTCAACATAATAGAAAAAAGTGAATCTCGTCAATCCAAGATGCAAGAGGTCAAACAAGGCATCATCTGAAGTTCATGATTCAGGTTCGGTGGTTCAACTTTGCTGGAAACACAGGGGTTCTGAACCATTTAACATCTTGCCTTCTTCTTTAGGAGACGATTGACTTCTGGCAACTGGAATTTCTGGAAAACAAGGACAATCATGAACAATGAAATGCAAAAATTAAAAACTGAAAGAACTAAAAACAGCAAATAAAAGTCTCGAGTAACTTTGCCAGCCTATAAAATGATCTAATTGTGAACGGAAAGGCATATACGCAACATTACGACGCATTTTCCACTTATTTCTACCTAAAATAATATCAAAAATCCATGAATCTGTCAAAAAGAATGTAGAGTATTTCAAAATAACTTCACCCACTCAGAAACAAAACCTTCTAGGACAAGTTTACCCTTCTTCCACTTCATAAAACCTATTTTACCTTATAATTTATCCCAAAGTCTTCGAAAAGCATCCCCAACATAAAAAATGCCTAAAAATCAACTTAAAAATTTTTCAAAACAACAACTTACCCATTCTCCACACAAAAACAACAAATTGGCGCCATATTACGCTGAACAATGTACGTTATACACCTAATATTCTTCATCTTGGATCCAAAAAAATCGCACCGAGTTTGTCAGTGCGTCCCGTCACGAAAACAAACGATATATCAGAAAGCCACCCCAAGCCGAGAAAATCGCTTTTCAAAGTAGCTGTACAGGCCCTTTAACGCGGTCCAAAAAACAAAGAATTAAAAGTTTTTGGGAGAAGTTCGAACTTATTGATAAACATTTCCAGGCTCCGTGAACCTCGCGTTTTTCGCCGGCAGACTACAATATCAATAACAGTTTGAGGGCCCTCGAACGCGGGGAACCATGTCCTTAACGCTTCGCTTTTGACGCCTCGGCCCCACACCAGCTTCCTCTCCTGCCCACAAGAACGCGCGCGACGTGATCGAGACAAAGGGGTCTTGCAGGGAGCGGGGAAAAAAGTGGAAAAGAGATTTGTGCTCGCTGTCATCTTCACCTTCTTCTCTTTCCATTCCCTAACCCATTTTTCGATCGGGAAAAAAGTTTGCGCTTACAAGAATCGGGAACAGCGCGAAGAGAGTTCATTACAAGCGGAGAGGGCGATTATTAGTGGGAGAGAAGGGGCGAGCAGGCGCTGGAATTGGACATTCAAGGGTAGCAGATTTTCCTGTATAAATTTATTGTCTGTTTAGTATCTTCAACATTAACACGGGATGTGCTCGAGTTCGATTTTAAAATTTTGACGTCGAAACTGGCACAGATATGGCCAAAAAGATTTTTTTCTCTGACCGGTTTCCCTATTTCACGTAATCCCTCTCTCAAAGATTGCTGAATATCTCGGCTTCGTCTGAAAAGTGCGAGCTAAAATTTTGGGAAATTGATTTATAGCCTATGCCCGACGGGCGTTTAAAATTTCAAGAAAATCTGAAAGTATCTCCTTATAACACTTCCCTTGTAACGAGCACGCCATAGTTTTCTAAAAAATACTCATTTTTTCCAAGCCGCAATTTAAAAAGCCGAAAAGAAAAGCTACAGAATTCCCGTTGCCTCAAAAATTCTCCTTCGAAGAAAGCTGAAGAGAATTATTGGAAATAGTTCGGTCGATAAACTCCTTGATCCCCCCGCACGCGTCTATGTACAGTCAGAAGGGGGATGTCTTTCCATGCGTCTTTTCAGTCGTGTGCGGCGGGTCTCTAAACATGACTGCAGACTTTTTGCAGACGTCGTCAGTCATTGAGTATACAAAATGCGGTTCATAAATCTCCATGCGGTTTTTGGCGGAGCGTTCTGCTCACCGAAATGTCGACAGAGGCTGAGTGCTAAGAGGAGCGGTAAAAATAGCTGTAGTATCCGAAATGAAACCAAAAAAACTTTGCTTGAATACCCACTTTTGTCTCATAACCAAAGGAATAAAACCGAAAAAAAGTTAATTAACACTTTTTCAAGGTCAATGGCGTTGCGCGCTTTAAAGCAAAGTATTTTTTGGGTGACGGACATCCGAGTAATTTTCAATGATGACCAATATAAGCCTTATATCAAATTGGGGAAAAAATGGTTACAAATTCACAATTTTTTTAATTACAGTTAAACGTATCTCGCAACGGCCAAGAAAACTTCGAAATAATAGCTTTTACAGAGGGTGTAACTGTACGGAACCTCATTTTTATCAAAAAAAAAGAAAAAAACGAAATTTGGCGCCTCTCAAGTTGTCCGTTATATGCAGATTTCGATGTATGGGAGTCGGTTATACAGAGGTTAAACTGTCAAGTGTCAAAGTCAAAAGATAAAAACCGAGTTTTTACGGGCCTGTCAGCTCGTAAAGAGCGAAAAAGACGCTTTCCGACAAGAAGATCTGTGAAAATTTCTGTGACAAAGCCGCCACCGATTTTACGTAAATAAGTCTGACGAGTTAAAATACAGCCTTAAAAAACATTTATAAAACAGTAAATAAATTTCAAAATGGCGTTAAGATAACGCCTAAAAAGCTAAAACGTAAACAAATTTGCACCATCGACCTGCCTTTATAAAACGACGATACCCATTCCGCAGAAACAGAAAGATTCCCCTTCAACCTTTCAGACTAATCGTTCGTTCCGTTCCCGGCGCTTTCCGGTTTTTCTTCCCATTTACAATTTTTCGGCTGTAAATTGGAGCGTGATAGCTGAAATAGGCAGTCTCAAATCACTCGAAATCGAGTGTTCCGTTCGAAACCAATCCAGAAGCAAATTTAGACGTTAAAATGGTTAAAGAAAATTGACAATGTCAAGCGAATATTTGGCCACAATTAAAACGGAAGGGCTCGTTTCGACGCCGAGTGGTTTTTAGACAGTTGTTACGGGTTTTTGAGCGGATTAACGGGGTCAACAAGCCGTATTAAAGTCAATAAATTGGGGGTGTTTACGGACCAACGTGCTGTTGCAACAGCCATTAGTCAGAGATCGAAACAAACCGAAATCTCAACCCAGCCGAAATTCGAAACAGTCAAAAAAAATCGGAGCGTTTATGGGGGGTTCTGGACAGCGCTCGGAATTGGCGCCTGTTTTCGAAGGCGCTCTTTGACACTGAACGCTCTGCTGTTTTTCGCAATATTTTCCCCGCGTTTAAGCGCCCGCAAAGCGAGCTTCTTTCAGCCGTACTGACATCAAATGTCAGTTGAATCGCTCGCTGACAAGTGACAAAATGACACAACGACTCTAACCAATTATTATTAGAAAGGGCAGAACGGGAGGATGGAGATGAAAGACACAACGTTGTTTATTTGATGACGCTTTTAAAAAGCCGATTTATGATGACCCAAAGAGAAAAAGCGGATAATAAAGCTGGCAGGGAATTCATTCGCCATGTACGACGCTCACATTTCAACAGAAGATGAAAAAAAAACATAATAATGTTTACTACTGGGTTTCTAAAGTGCAGACTTTTTGTCGCGGCGCACAAAAATGAAGATTTTCCTCTTTTCATTTCTTGCACGGTCAATTTTTACTGTGGAAAGCAAAGTTTCCACAAGAAACCAGAATTTTCTGTGTGAAATTGACAGCAGAGAAGTTTTTTTTCAACCGGCCTCCGTTTCTCACGGACCCGTCCATCAAGCGCGCTCCGTGGACTGTTTAGACGTTCCGTTCACACATTACAGTGACGGATATGATCCAGTGGCAAAAAACGTAGAGTTTTGCATCCAGGAAATGTCAAAAAATATGGAAAAATGCCTCCCTCTCTGAATAAAAAAATTCCATTTTGAAGGGCGCGCCCTTTCCCTCACAAAAAGAGCGGGCGCACTTTTGAAATCGGAGTTTTTTCACTTGGAGAGGGAGGTATTTTGCTACATTTTTTGATACTTCCCGGATGCAAAATGGCACGTTTTTTGCCACTGGATCAAGTCTGCCACTGTATCGATTGACCAGAAGATTTAACACATCAAAATTCTCTCTGAAGAATTATTGGGGAATAAAATTGGTCTAAAAAAACAAGACAGATTTAGAAGGTTATTTCCTGACCAGAAAGCAAGGTTTTGTCCCGGTTAGCTAAGGAAAAATAGCCGAAGATTTTTTTGCAAACTTCGATTTGTGACAAGAGGCCATATTGATTAAATCTTGGTCAGGACATGGCTTCAACTACGCTGGATCGACGTGCCTTGCGTCATAATTAAAGACTCAAAAGTTGAAATCGTAAAAAAATAGATAACGAGGCTTTTATATGTTTAACATGTTGCTCATAAAACACAAACAACGACAACAAAGATTTTAACAGCAATAATTTCCGATTTCGCTTTCAATGATTGGATTGACATGCCTGGAGATGTATGTAAGTATTGCCTTCCAAATTAAAATTGGTTTCTCATACTCATTGCAAAGATCCTCATTCTCTGTATGCCTTTACAACCCGAACTTTAAATTGCTAAAAACCTGATTTCCTCAATTTTCAGCGCCAGTATCTTCGATTACAAACGGTTTAATCTACCTTTATGGAACTCAACCTCAACCCACCAACGATCATTGTAAATCGATTACATGGAAATTAAAGAGAATTTCAACAATGCGGTTTTATTGAATCTTTACGATTTTGATTAGTAGCAATTATTTTCGACTCCGTCGAGGTAAAACGTTTCGGTTGTGGGGGTTGCTCACGGAAGGTTGAGGGAGCGTCTTGGTGGTTGGACTCAATCTCCGCGGATTTACCTGTGCTTGGCTGTTCTGGGAGCTGCCTCGATTTTGCTTTTTACATGCTAATAAAGGAAGTGTTCGACGAGGCTCAGATTTTCTTTAAACTTTGCATACATATCAGATGTGAGCCAGATATAAATTTATGAAAATTTTAGCTAGCGCTGAGACTGCTAGCGCTTTGCAGGTGATGTCAAGATATTAGATGATCAATTTCCTACCAAAAAAAATTACTTTTGGTTTATATTTTTATATTACGTCACTCTCGGCGGTAGAAATAATTATGGTACTTTCCATTCCAAGACAAAAACGCGTCACCTTTCTCCGATTTTCGACCTAAAAGCCTAGAATTTTTTTCAAATTTGTGCCAAGTTTCATCATACCCCTGCTCTGAGCGTTGCACTTTTAAATCACCTGTTTTTGCCGTTGAATAATTCAGATTGGGAGACGGTGCGTAATACTTGTATTTATGACACGTAGGCCTAAATTTTGGGCCAAGGCAATGAAAAGCAGAGAAAAAGCTTTTTTATGCAGTATAATACTTACAGTCTTTGCTTGTTGGTCCTAAAGCTACATTTTCTGTGTAGTTTACCCCTTATTTTTAATAGGCAGTCAGTTTACCATCAGCAGCCCAGTGATCTAATATCCGAGATTTCATCTACAGAATTTCTGTGAATTGTTTTATAACCACAGTTTTTCCTTCTTTGGTCTCATACATTTCATGCTAAAGAGTTTTAAATGAAGTTTACTCATCTTTCCAGGCCTTGACTCTCTACGTAGTTACTTTACTTTTGTTTTTGCGGCGGCAGTGACCTACGAGCAAGCCGGGTAAAAATCCATAAGCGGATTCCAGTTTCACCTTCGGAAGTGGCGGTTGATTCGCTCGATTCGGAAAATTATGAAATCAAGTCAAATTTCAACCCAAATTTTGAAGAGAGCGCCGCTAAAACAATGAGTGAGCTTAATATTTTGAGGCTTTTCTAACTCGTAATTTATGATTTGTGAGTTAAACGTTAAAATTTCTGTGAATTGTGTATAAATTAGTATAATTGAAGCTTCCATAGGAATTTGTGATATCGTCTGTTTATGTATGTCATGTACTTATAAATACTGTCTGCGTCGTAGAATTTGATGTCCTCTTTTGTGGGCGTCCCGGAGACTAAAAGCTAAATTGCTTGAGGCAACAATATGCATCGTGACTCTAACGTGTCTATGTCCCAAAAAACCGGAATAAATGTCATCGCGGAATACAGAAATGCAGATTTACATCGGGGCCGGGATTTTGGGATTGGTTAGCCTTAACCAATCTGGACCATTAAGGTTGGAACCATTTTACAATAGCTTTGCCATTTTTACAATAGCTTTCCAACTTTTAAAATTTTGGGCCATCGATACGCCTGGGGTCAATGCGTCACCTCAAAGTCACTTAAGAATGATAGGGCGTAGCTCGGGAAGTCGTGAAACAATTTCGCCGGGGCAGCTCAGAAAACCTGAGACGTAGCTCGGCGAGCTGAGGTGACGCAGTGGCCCCCAGGTTTAATCGATGACCCAAAATTTTCATGTTATAAAAATGGCAAGTTTCAATGGCTTGTTTTCCATGCTGGGATCTTGCATTTTTAGCAAGCTTTAAGACAGCGTATTGGCCCCAGGCGTATCGTCGACACAAAGTTTTCTAGGTTTTCAAGATAAAAATAGCAAGTCTCAACATTCTTTCTCAGTCTTGGAGCTCCGGCATAGCAGAAATTGGAAGAAAGTTATTGCGCGTTAGATGAACTTCTCCTTGAAAAATCTCCCCTCAGAATTATATTCCTATTTTTATTTACTATTTATACTGTTTTTTAAATTGTCTTCCCGACGCCGAAACGCTGCAATTTCTTGCCCTTTGTGCGGGTAAATGGACGTTGCGTTTTCGGTGACGGTTTCAGTGCGCCGGCGACTCCGGATTGGAATAATTATTGTGGCGGGTAACCTGGGTTTCGGCGCTTTCCTTTTTTCGAATTCAACTTTTTAATTTTTGTGTTTTTTTCGAAAAAGCCTCATACCGGACCTCGCGGAATCCACGCGGAGTATTGGGGAGAAAGCTGGAAAAAACAAAGGAGACTAATGAGATTAACCGTTGAAGTTAAGACTCAGCCATTCGGGGGGTTTTTGGGAGATTCCGAAGCGCTGAACACAATCCTTATTTGTTTATTTATCTCTCAGTCTGTCGGGGAAATAATGTGGATTTGTCGCAATATCGCTTTGTCGCGGCCGTGGACCAAATCTACAGCCGTGGCAAGCCGTCGCATAGCGATCATGGGCGGCGCGAGGAATCCACATTGTTTTCCCGACAGACTGATGTTCCATTTCCATTTAATGTCACAGACATTTTGCATTCGTAAATGATGTCATTTCAAGTGTTAGCACTCTTCATTTCCTCGAGACAAGTGTCAAATTCCCGTTTTTTTGCGGTCAGGAAGGTTCAGATCTGAAAAGATTTCTTCTTCGAACATTAGGTGCAAAAAAGCAAAAGTTTTTGTCATTTTTTATATTGGCCTCCCTTTATTATCCTCTTAGCCTGCAATGTTTGTATACGGTTACTTGGAGATTTAGTGGAAGAGTTAGGAACGTCTCAGTTTTCTTCTGTGAGCCGGCAAACAGATTTGTTTGTTCTTTTACTTTTTTTGGATCCCTAGGAGTGTTAATGTAACTTTTCGGACTTGTCGGTCACCTTTTGACACCTTTTTTTGCCTCTATAAATAGTTGCTGGTAAGAGAAGTGTCACAAATGCGATGCTCAGATTTCGTCTGGATTTGGCAGGCTCAAGAGAACATAGGCCCGTATAACTTTTTAAAAATATAAGTTTGTGCCTTGCACGGGTAGCCAAGACCTTTAACAATTCTTTTTGCTGATGGAGTACGCGAAAAATATGATTTTTTTCTGTAAGCATAGCGTTCCGGGCTTTGTTTGGCCACGGATAGGTCCCAATTTTCGCTCAAAGGACACTGTTCTGTACGATATAAAATGGTACAAAACCTCGGCCACATGCGATAACAGTCTCACAGATGTTTTAAAGCTTATGGCCCAAATTTGTACCAAGTTTGTCAAAATATGAAAGTCTTTGAGCACTTCTTTTATAAGCTTATGACGATTCTCCTGATCACATTTATGATACAATAGATCAATTCCAGACCTCAGCCACATCAGGCATGCTAAGGCTGGGTTTGTATTAACTCTCCGTTACCTGACGCCTAAAAGAGATGCCATGCGTTTTGTCTCTGCCTACCTGGTCATCTGGTATATTGCCTGGTACATTGCAACCTGTTGTGGGTGAGGCTTCAAACTTTTACAATCTGCCAAAGCAATTTTATTCCTAATCCCTTGCAATATTCAGGTTAAACGCGGAGGAGCGGAGTGAGCTTGCCCGAAAATTCAAATACTACCATGCCTCTGTCCGACCCGCCGACAGGTACAACATGATCGAGACCGTGAACGGCACATTCTTCGGTCTTCATTCGGAGATTGCGTTGATGGCGGCGACACCCGCGAAGAATATTCTTGATCTCGAGCTGGTGCTGGCGATGCACTACAGCGATGAGCGGTTGATTATCAGGGAAATTGTGAATACGCTTGTCTTGCCGGAGGAGTTTGTGGCCTGGAGCCCGGAAATTGAGTACGAGCCGGCCGTAGAAGAAAGCAAAAAAATCTATTTGGATCCGAAGACTGGGCAACTCAATATGGTAATAAAGTAAGTAAAATACTTTATGTTTTTTGTACATATGTACACACGTACCTACGTTTATGGCTAAAGGGCTGAATGGACGTAAGGGTCGCAAATTAAGTACTATTAGGCTTTTTTAGAATAAAAGCGTCGATAGAATGCGACAGCGAAGAGTGGACGTCCCCATTCAGCACTTACATGTGCAGTGTGACAATCAAAACAAACCCGGGTAAGAAACACAAAAGAAATAGAAGAAATCTACCAGCATTTAGAGAACTAACGTACTAACATATTTTCCCTTCAGATGAACGGATCTTCATTCGCCACACCCGCGACTTTCGCTCAGACTTTGAGGTCCAAAAAGTCTTCTGCTCAATCGACGAATGGCCAGAATTTTCGTTGCAGTGCAAAATGAAGGCAGAATGGACGGCTGTCGTGTTCAGGTCGTATTTCCCGTCTTTTCTGATTTTTGTCGCCGTTGTTTTTTCGCAATGGAAGCGAAGAAAGGTCCAAGTGATGCTGGCCGTTGGCGGGATTGTCATTGTCCTTATGATGGTAAGAAAATTGCATTTATAAGAGAAATACTCCAAGTTCGACGCTCAGATTTTCTTTAAATTTTGCACATACGTCCTGCAATCTTCGTTTTAGCAAAATACCCGCCCTGTCACGGAGAGCCTCACCCTGTACGACCTGTGGTTTGTTGGGACGTTTTTGCATCTTATCTCAGTGCTATTTATTGATCTCATCCTTCCGACCCGTCGTATTGTCCGCAGCACCTATGAGACTGAGAAGCCCCATATTGAGGCCGGTTCTCCGTTACTTAAGAGCACTGCCTCCAGAGGAACATTGGTCACTGCTTACACGACAACAAACAAAGATGCGCAACAACGATTGTATAGGCCGACTATGGGAAGTAGAAGCTGGGAGGAGAAGATCGGATATATTGATCACCCGCCATCCGGCCGATATGAGTACGAAGTTGGCGAGGAAAACGGTAATTTTAAGGCTTAAAGCAGGCTTGAATTCAATTTTTAGTTGACGACGAAGATGAAGACCATGAAAACATGAGGACCACCTATGTTCATGTGGAAACGATACCTTCGCACACGATTTCTACGCCTGTGACAAAGCCACGCAACTTCTCCACCCTCTCCACGTCCTATATGCACTCTTCTGTGTCGCCATTGGCCCGCAGATCCAACCCGTTGATGACGTCGTCGATGAGCTCCTCAACAAAGCCGCAGGAAAGGCGGACGGTCACAACAATGGGGCTGGGCAAAAAGAAGAAGCTCTGCCTTCTCTGCATTGTCAGTTGTTATGTGACTTTCTGTTGTGCCTACTTTTGCCTGGTTTTATACGCTCTGGGATGAAGACAGTGCCTTAACTAAACCATCGTCTCTTTAAACTTTCCACTGCCAAATTCAAGCAATAAATATTGAAAATACAAGAAGCTGATAAGTATTTCAAAACACGACCAAATTCTTTCCGCTTCTGAAGTGAATTGTCAGTCATTTTGTTTGCAATGGCCGTTATTCACCGATGTGTCATCCATAAATTGAATTTTCATATTAACACGTCCCTCTTCGGCCCCGCATTCCCTCCGTCCGCTAGGACAATGACTGTGACCTATAGTTTCGACGCGGTCACTAACACTTGGCTCGGCGGTATTCGCATACTCTTGCGATGGAAGGGAAGTATTTGGAAGATCATCTTCAAAGAGATGACTTTTTGGGTGCTACTGTACATGATGATCAATGTCACAATCAACCTCTGCACCACATACCATCAGGATATGTTTCGGATTGTCAGAGATTCAATAAAACGTGGATCACCCGGCCTACCGCATATTTTTATTCTCGGATTCTTTATGAATGTGGTCTTCAACAGATGGGTCGGGATTTTTCCGAAGATGGGATTTGTAGACCAGTAAGCCGGCTTCAATATTGTTTGTGATTCCCATAACGCTGTAAATGGGATTGCGTCTTGTTTTTAGTTTTGGTTTGGTTCTGGTATCGGCGATTAAAGGCAGTGACGCCGAATCACGGCTTCTCCGACGAACCATCATCCGCTACACTGTGCTGGCACAAGCTCTTGTCTTCCGCGACATCTCCATTCCGGTCCGAAAAAGATTTCCCAACCTGGCTTCGCTTGTGGACGCTGGCTTAATGACTGACGATGAGTTGTGCGTTTTTGAGGCGAAGGAGACAGAGAACGTGAACTATTGGATGCCTTATCAATGGGGAATCCGGCTGATTGATAAAGCGTTTGAGGACGGCATAATCACAAACCAGATTATTGCTTGGAATGTTGCAACTGTAAGAGTTTCCATTAACAGGTCTAAATTTAGAGGGTTTAGAAAATGCGAGAATTCAGAGACACGCTAGCCAGCATCATGTGTTATGATTGGGTTCCGGTCCCGATTGCGTATCCGCAAATCGTCTTCATTGGAGTTAGAGTGTACCTACTGGCATTGGTCATACAACGACAACAGCTTGCCGAGGATGTGGTAAGAAATGGCTGAGCGAAACGTGATATTTTTTAGGAACTCCCAGTTGAAGGGGGCTATCTGGCCTGGCTCTTTCACTTCCCGATCATGACTTTTGTGGAGACGTTGCTCCTCGTTGGCTGGACAAAGGTGGCGGAGAGTATGTTGAACCCATTCGGAAGCGGAGACGACGACTACGAATGCTCGTATATCTTGGACCGGAATCTGAGCGTACGCGTCATTTACCCAACATAGTATTTATGGCTTACTAAATTACAGGTTGGCTATACGATCGTGGACAACCCGGTCTACCCAAGGCCCGACGAGCCCGATCCTTTCTGGCATATGGCAATACCAAAACCCTTTGACGTCTTTGATCCAAAATCGACCCTAAAACAGCAGCCTTATCATGGCAGCGTTGCGGACCTGCACCTCCGAAGCCGAGAGAATCCATCGTTCGGTGGGACCCTTCGACGGCGTTCGCAGATGAGCCGAATTAGCGTAAAATCGGGGAATCCTGAAAATACTGTTGCCGGCAATATGAGTATGGATGGGGTCAAAAAGTAAGCGGACGATTTGCTTTTAGGTGAGATACATGTCACTCTGTTATAAAAAAATTTAAGCTGGCAAAGGCTGAGTAACTGAAATGCATGACCTTTGCCGGTAAGAGAATACGTAAGTTGCGGAGAGCGGACAAAGAGAAAAAACACACGTTTTTGCCACTGGATCCGGTCCTTCACTGTATTGAAATATCGCACTTTCAGTATTTTAGTATACAACCTTTTAATCGAAAAACTATTTTTACTTCTCCATTTTTCAGCGGACCACCCACCCCGAGCACCCACCGGACGCGTTTGGCCAGCTTCACGAATGATGCAATCCACAACGTTCGGATGAATCGGCTGGACAGTGTCACTGAGGAACATTCAAACGGCCCAAAACAAGACAAAACCCCATGATCAACCGGTCAAGCAAAAAGCTTTATATTCTTTATTCATATCCTTGAACTGGTACATATACTCGTATGATAGATAGACCTGCACGCTGAGATCGCAATTGACGGCGGGTTGGCTCGAAAAAATGAGCAGACATTCTTAATGATTAAAAGATTGCATGATTGCGTATCACATGTAATTGCAATTTACATCCATATTCAGTTTCTCACTGCTACTGGTCATCCCCCAAATGGATTGTAGGGTCTGAAAGTGAAGTCGGGTATCGTAGATGGCGTCGGTGAGCTTCACATCATCCATGGAGGCATAGATTGCGGATCGGCGTTTGGGCCGCCATGCGCAGAAGTCGGCCTTGGTTTGTTTACGGAGACTGGGCAGGAATTTGATGAGCACGAGGGCTGTTAAAATTGCTATCGTCTGGTTGATAAATTGGACAGTCTAAAAATAGTTGAAGTCAGCTTTGTTGCGATATCGGTCGAATATGGCAGTCGGAAAAATAATGTGGTTTTGTCGAGTTTTAAAATCGCCTAACATCGCTTTGCGACGACTAGCCGTGGTTCCAGTTTTGATGCACGACTGCGGCAAGGTGAGACATTTTTTAGCAACAAATCCGCGCTATTTTCCCGACTGAATGATGTTGAATGTCTTACAGAGCTAAGTAGCCGCTCGAGCCGCTCGTTCCGTATGCTACTCTGCGAAATTGAACAACGGATCAAAGCAAAAGGAAGCGCGAAGGCAGCCGAGAACACAGCGAGCATAAAGACCAGTTTGAGGGCTCGACTTGTCACCATATTCTCCCTGGACTGATAGCGAGCACCAAGCGACGCCAACTCGGCAAATCCATGCGACTCAAATCGCCGAGCCTTCAACGTTGTGAGGAACTAAAATTATGATATTTTAACACAAAATCTAGCGGGTATTTTTACATTAATTACGCATTCAATACGCATTTAACCTACGAGTAATGAGACCGCCGAAGCCAACAACTTTGTGATGTCAGCATAGAAAATAATGTCATAATTGAATTTGTTAACCAGTGTGGCGTGCGGGCCTTTGTTTTCCAGGACCTCCGAAATAGCTCCGTACTTGGAAAGTGTCGAAAAGGCCAAACCCGTGCACAGTATGACCTGTAATTACATTTGAACAGTAGTCGACTTGGCTTACGTTCAACGCCGAAATCGCAAAGCCGATCCTCCCACTCATTGCTTCATAGTGATGGAGGAAAAGGTACGCACACCCCCTTTCAAGACATATCCCAATCGTGATAAAGGAAAGTGATAGCTCGGCGATTGTTTGCAGGAAGATCGGGATTGGGGCTTCGTCGAAACACTGCGGCAAAAGACGGCAAATTGCAATCGAGGTGTATGCGAGAAACATGGACACCTGAAAAAAGCCCATACAGTTTATCAGTCGACAAAAATGCACTCACAAGGGATCGGCAAATAGTTGCAACCTTTAATCTTGACGAAACATATATCATTTGAAAGAGCATTAAAAATAGTGCACAACGCAAGAAAAATTAGCTGCCTAATTTATGTTTGGACAAAGTTATGGCCGTTTTATGAAAGTGGTTATATGCGGCCAAAACGCCAGTTTTGTATGTTACAGTAATCCTGGCGGCTTGATATCGTCTCCATTGATTTTCTAGTATCTAAAAACGTCCATCACGGTCGTTTTATGGCTCTACCAATCCTCGGTTATGAGTTATTAGACATTACTGCTAGTTCCAAAAAATTGTAAATAAAACTAGGTTAATGAGAAAATTGGAGCAAAAAGCGTTGGAAATACATTTATATGACCGTCATGGTCGTTCACAAACTAAAATCTCAAAATTAAAAATTTCTTATGTCCTAGCCCTACCAACGGTTGGTCCACTGTGTCAGCTATAGTCTTTTGCCCAATTATAATACAATTTTCTCCTCGTATTCTTTCGAAAAAATGTATATTTACAGGTCCTTGTAAATTTAATCAGGCTACTGGAATGACACCCTTGTAATTATATGATAGTGGCGTCCCCACTCTCATCACCATCAAATTTGTGGTCGTTTCAAAAAACCCCAGAATTTCAGAAAAATCCCGTAAAAACAAATTTTGTCTGCGAAAAAAAACAAAAATTGTTTGAAAACATTTACATACCATGGTTTTGTGGCATATGAGATACGAAATGCAAAAAATTTGCTGAGGCCGGGTTCGAAACCAGGTCTTGTTGCGCCGGAAGCGCCGTCACTACCACTCGGCCAACTGGACACAACTTCGTTGCGGTTCCAAGTGCTTATAAAGTGGCGCATGAAATTAGGCTAAAATCCGTATTTTGGCCATAACTTTGTCCAAACATAAATTAGGCAGCTAATTTTTTCTTCCTTATACACAACTTTCCACGCTCTTTCAAATGATATATGTTTCGTTAAGATTAAAGGTTGCAACTATTTGCCGATCCCTTGTCAATATTATTTCCAAGGGACCTGTCTCAAGTAAAAGTGAGAGCTAGAAATATCCCGTATTTTTTGTTGTTAGAAAAATCGTAATCTGTTATAAATTTGCGCCGAGTTGCATCAGAATCTCTCTTGTAGCATTTCCAGCACTTCCCCTGTTCGAAAAAATGCTTACCAATAAAATTCTGAGATTGGAATGTATCATTGAAGTCCGTGGGATCCTGACAGCCAAGTACAGCGCCAATAGGCAGAGCAAGAGGCTTGAGAGGAACTCGAGGACGCCCGCAAGGGCTGTGAGTGGTTCAAGGTCGATGCCCTCGGACAACTGTAGAAATTCGGAGCCTATTTTGGGAAGCCATGACATCTGAAGGGAAATTCGTTAGAGAAAATCGTCTAGACGGGTTTTCAGATATGGAAGCTCGCACAAACGGCATATATTCAATTCACATTTTTCACCGATACCTTCTCCAAACCCGTCCCAACTGTTTGGTCTAATCTTTTCGACGCGTTGGGGCCATGAAGAAGAGGGGGATTAGATGAGCAAACTCACACAAACATAAACTCTCACATCCGGCAGAAACCGCGAAAATTGGCGGGTTGCAGATTTACTAGGCCGGTAATTACGACCTGTTTCTACAATCTCAAAGTTTGTTGGATACGGATGCCCAGAATAGCAATTAAAACCGAGGTCTTTGTGCCCAAACATTGTGCCTAGCCTGCGTGCATGCAGAAGCTTCAGAGAGGAGCGGATAAATGAATCCCATGGAACCAAAAAAATTGATAAAGGAGGGGCTCATTGTACAGGCTCTTCAAACGAAATATGATGTACAAGGATTCCGTTACATCAGGGGCTGGGCTAACCATTGAATGCAAGTAAACAAAAAAGGAAGTTCCACGGTAACTTGCGTTTGAAATTAACGGCCGTTAAAAGCACTTGGACCCAAAAACTCTATCTTAAAAAAACCTGTTGCATTTTCGATGGCGTGGGCTTTGTCTCTGGTATTTCCAAATTCCACAAAGCGTGTGTTCGTTGTGACGTGAAATGCGCGCTGTGGTTTGTACGCTAAGTCCACATAGTGTTGGCATTATGGTAGTTTAATTTTGCTGCGGCTTCACAATTTTTTATAAACTACAAGGTTTTACAAACTCTTCAAATTCAATGAATTGGACGCCCACGGCATTGGAGATAAAGTGTTAAAATAATTTGCGGGCACAATGTCTGCGGGCAGAAAGAACATATCGCGCAAGTGCGACTAGACGACGCTGTAACGAAAAGGACATGCTGAGCAGGTAGCTCGTGAATGGAAATACAGAAGTAAATTGCCAACGACAATCATTTATCACGCAGAACAATTTTTTTGATCCATGCGCTTCTAATTATTTTTATAGTGGGTAATATAGACGGTAACGAAGACAATGACAAACGGATAAGAATCCTGAATACGAATTATACTCATAAGATCATCAGAAACTTTATATGTTAAGAAACAAGAATGCTTGAGATTCTAGGGAAGAAAACTTACTGCCATTTTGCATCCGGGAACTATCAAAAATGTGGCAAACTGCTTCCCTCTCCAAGTGAAAAAAAACTTCGTTTTGAAGCGCGCGCCCTTTCCCTCACAAAATGAGCGGGCGCGCTTTTGAAACCGGAGTTATTTCACTTAGAGAGGGAAGCATTTTGCCAGATTTTTGATACTTCCCAGATGCAAAATGGTACGTTTTTCGTCACTGGATCAGGTCCCCCACGTGTACGAACCTGCCTATGACAAGAAATGCCAGAAGGTCACAAGAGCTAAGCACTTATTCCTAGGCCTAAATGAGCCTTCTGGAACGAATCCCTTCTATAACAAATAATTTTTTCGGCTCATTCAGTCTTATTATCAAGACATACGTTTTTTAAATTAAAACACTGACATATAAGTAAGGTTGTCACGAGTCGCTGAATGTGTGAAAATGATCTAAAACAACTCAAACCGAATGTAATTTAATGAAGGTAATGAACATGACCATAAAAACCACGCCGAACCCTTCCCGTTTCCAGGCAGCACGCCTTTCCGTGCGTGGACTGGGACAATAAAAATGTGCGTAAATAAATAAATTCTCGCACGTTTTTGCCTTTCCACGTAAGCGAGCTACCGTAAATCGTGCGTTCCCATGAACTTGGCCGGTTATTTGCAGCTGTGGGTTTTGGGGAGAACGGCCAGTTCAATGGGAATAAACAACGGATCAAGGAGTTAAGAGCCCTATTTTTGCCAACTTTCGACCGAAAAAATTCAGTTTGTTTTGCAAAGCGTGAGCTAGGAACCAAGGCCATTGAAAAAACATTGTAAATGTGTGCAAAATCCGAGCGTTGCACTTGGAGTACTCCCCCCGGTTAGTGTGTTGACAAACTCGGGTCAAAATAAACATGTTATGCCCTGTACCTTTCGTGCCGTTTAAATACGTTAGCCAACGTCATGCGAAGCACGGAATGGCCAAAAAAACGTTATCAATGAGAACTCCCCAAGGGCTTATTTGGAATTCATCATGCTGTCATTGGCAAGAGTTTAATGGGCTAAAAGTAATGGCAAAGAGATGATAACGGAAGCTATCCATATAAAAAGCTCAGTGTAGATTCCTTTGTATTGCTACAATCTGCCAAAAAAATTATTTTCCGAATTTTTCATATGTATCAAAACAAAAACTAATCACATTTTTTACGGTAAAAACGAGAGTTGCAGATCGTAACAATCAATGTGTGGTCCTTTTGTAAAGCTCTAAAAATTATCAAGGCGAACTTTTTGAACTCTTACACTATCAGTTGTGATTTTTGAGACCTACTTTTTGCTGGAGAAAATTTTTTAATTTTACAACTGCATACTCAAAATAAAACACTCGCATTTCGACGAAAATTGTCGCAAATTTTAATTAAGCTTTTTTATGATAATACGTACGTATACGAAACGCAAGGCAAAATGCGGAGAGTTGACAGAGAGAAATACGCTTTTGGCCTTATTTTTGGCAATGCCCGGAAACCAAATGTCGAACAAAAATGTCTCCCGCCGACTTGAGCTTTATCCAAACGAAGGTCGCAATTTACAAAAAATAAAGAAATCCAGAAAAATATTTTCTTTTTCGGTCGGAAAAACCTGCGAAAAATTTATTTTTGACATTTCGTTTGAATTCAAACGATACTAGGCGAAGTGTCGAAAAAAGCGAGAGATTCCATGTTGCCGTGCAGTGTCGCATGGAAAAAAATGATTTCTTACGAAAACATCGCCCTTATTAGAAGAAATGTATTTTTTTTTGATGTTAAAGCTTTCAAAAAAAGTGTTCAATTTTTGCCAACTTTCTGCATTTTCTGAATTTTTCATCTTACAGGGGAAGTACCCCAAGTGCGACGCTCAGATTTTGATAAAACTTGGCACAAATTTAGAATAATCTTTTCTAAGACATATGGGAGAATCTTAGCTCGCGCTTCGCAGAAGCAATCGAGATTTTTAGATCGAAAGTCGGCGAAAATTTAGGACTTTTTGCCGAATTTCGGCACGAAAAGTTTCATGTCTATTTCTACTGTAAAGGATAATGTTTCTACAAAAAATCAAATTTTTCCGCACGAAACTGCCAAAGTTATGGCCGAAAAGCGCTTTTTCCTCTGACCGCTCTCCACGTTTAGCGTGCTCTCTCTCGGCGGCAAAAATGGTTCAATATCTCGACGGCGCCTGCAAAGCGCGAGCTAAAACTTTCAGGAATTGATATTTGGTCTATTCCCGACGTGTGTGCAAAATTTAAAGAAAATCTGAGCGTCGCACTTGGGGTATTTCCCTTGTTAATAGTTTGCAAAAGTGGCGCCGAAGTTTCGCTTGTCATAAAAAGGTTTTATCGAAATTTGTGCCAAATGCCGTCAAAATCTGAGCGTCGCTTTTCGAGTAATTCCCCTGAAGGTTAAGAAAGCAACAATCTTGACATGCTTTGCCACTGCCTCGACACTGTGTTTCTCTCCATATTACAACACTTTTTTCGGCAGACACAAACTGAAGACCAATCGCAACATCTTCGCCAACTTTCGGCTTAAAAATCTTGGTCGCTGCAACAAAACGCAAGTTAAAAATGCCCTATATGTCGTAAAAAAAGTCCAATCAAAGCTTGTATCAAGTTTCACAAAATCTGACCGTCGGACTTCCTCAATAAATAAAGTTCATCATCAAATTGTGCCTTTCATTACAGCTATTTTTGTTCGGAAGCACATAACATTAATTTAACATCACAATTGCGACACAACAGGGAGTAATAACAAGAAAAAAAGACGGTGATAAAAATCGTCTGACCGAAAATCGCTCAAACCATACGCTGAAAAAATGGCGTTTATAAGTGCATGTCTGTCGGAAGGGCGCGGGTTTTTATCTGTGTAATTTGTTTCGTTTTCTGCGGAAAGCTGAGTTGAAGCCCTATCATTCAGTATATCCACCTTTTTTTTAGTTTTTTTTCTGCTGAAACTTTTAGGAATTGCCGTGTGGCCAGTTTAGGACACGCATGCAAAATTTGAGGAAAATATGAACATTCAATGAACAAAAAATAAAAAAAATATAACTATAAAGGAAACTGTGATAAAAATCTGCGGTACGTTTTTGTCAAACTATCGTATCTACTTTAAGATGCTCACCGACCGGACCACACACAGATTTGTTTCCATCCGAAACTTTTTTGTTTCCTTTTTTCAAACCCCGTTCCATTGATTGATGAGCTGCATTTCAATGTATCTATAAATTTGGGGGACTCGAGAAATGTTACCATTTTGTAACGTCCTAAACCCGAGTTTTTCCTCGTCAACAAAACCTGATAAGCGAGAAAAAAAGTTTTTTTTGTTTTTTATTAGTTGTAAAAACAGTTGCAATCAGCTTTTTCACAATTCAAGCACCTGAAAAAATCCGTTTTTCCCAATACCGTGACTTTACAATCAACCCTCAATTGCTTTTGCAAAAACCGCTTGTCTTAACGACTTTTTATAGGCCGTTGAGCAGCTTTTTTCACACAAACCGGATTGTCTGCAAACTCTTGTTTCAATTGTGCCCTCGCTGATAATGATAGTAACGGTAGGTGAGTACGCCCTCGAAATAGCTGTTTGTTATTCAGAAAAACCGGCAGGAGGAGCGTGGTGGGAAGGAGATGAGCCTCGGGAAAGTCATCAATTCCAGGGCGATAAAATTCTTCTCCATCGGAAATCCGAGAAAGGTAAGGAAGTGTGGCTAAAGATTTGGCGTGTTAGGCAATTCCACATTATTTTCCCGGCAGACTAACCTATATTTTGCATGCCTATAGAGGGTGCATGCTAACGACCGACAAGCGTTTTGCAAACGTAGTCGAGATATTGACGGCTTTTGGCCGAGATAAGTGAACCATTTCCAGGCACAGAGTAGATGACTTTTAGTCATGCGTAGCTCTTCGAAAAAAGGCATTTTTCAAGTAATACATGCGCTCCAACCAGCAGAAGAACGTCAGATCTTCGTGGCTTTCATAATAAGACACACTAATTTTTATGCAGCATATAGCATCAAAAATCTCAGTTTTTCCTTTGCAACAGTTTAGATTTTCCAACAAACTTTTTTCAGAGCTTGAAATTGGTGACTGAACAAATCGACACAAGCCTGAAGTCGGGCGAAATTCTCACACGATGGATAGCCAGTCCAGTTCATCCGGCCGATATCAACATTGCCAACGGGGTCTACTTCTACAAACGAGAGCCACCATCTTGCCTGGGAATCGACGCTTTTGGCATTGTGGAGAAAGTAGGTCATGGTGACTACATATATTAAATACTATATGTATTATAATCTTTATGATGGAAATTTAACCTTTTCAATTCAAATACTCAAATTTGCAGGTCGCGACGGACGTGAAATACGTGCAGCCAAGCGACCACATCATACCGATTGTTCCGCAAACTCAAGGTGGATTCTGGAGGGAATTCCAAGTCCTCAAAGCCGATGAAGTCTTCAAAATCAAAAAGGAGCTTCCACTAGAGGCAAAAGTAATCCTAGCGGCGAACGCGACAAGCGCTTATCTCGTCCTAACACAGTTTGTTAAGCTGGAAAAAGGCGATTATGTGCTGCAAAACGCGGCCAATTCACAATTTGGGAGGATGGTGACGCAGACGGCCAAAGGTAGGTCAGATACTCTCGATTTCTCAGCTTCAGCACCTTTTCAGCACTCGGTTTCAAAAGCATCAACGTCATGCGGGAACGCGCCGATTATGACGCCGTAAAAGACGATCTCTTGAAGCACGGTGCGGACTACGTTTTTACGGAAGAGGAGTTCAAAAAGACGGGCAGAGACTTTGTCAAATCGCTGGATCGACCGCTAAAATTGTCGATAAATGGGGTCGGCGGGAAGTGTTCGATTTTAATGTCGGCCAACTTGACCAAATTTGGAACAATGGTGGTCTACGGGGGGATGAGTCTGAAGCCGCATGAGGTTTTGACTTCTTCGCTTGTTTTTAACAGCATCAGAGTGATTGGATTTCTGCTGTATGACTTCATCAACCAGGAGAATGTGGAGTTCACAAGGAAGATTTACGGAGAAGTTCAGGTAAGGGCAAAGGTGTAAAGTATCAATGAAATGTGATAATTTGTTTTGTTTTAACCAGCATACGATCTGTTGTAAATCATATATCAAACTGATCTGTAAGTCTCCTATTTTCCACGATTTTAATAAAGCAAATGACACTGTCTGCTGCCATACATACAATGACTATTGCATATCATACAATTAGAGAAGATAAACTATAATATCGATGTTTTCAGGACCTCTTCCTCAGCGGAAAGATCTCTGCCCCTCCAATGGACAAAGTGCAATTCGAAGACTTTATGGTAGCCATTGAAAGGACATTGGCCGGAGGGCAAAGGAAACAGCTTCTAATGATTGGAAAAGAAGACCGCCCACAGCTCTAACTTTTGGATTTTGAGTTTTGTAATATAAAAAATAAATATGTAATTATTATGTTATTAATATTGTTTTAAGTTTGGTTGAATGCCCTGAGCCATCAATCGTCTTTGCCGCTGAGATAAACGAAAAAATACACGAAAAACGAAGAGCGATCAGATGGAAAATCAACTTTTGCTATATTTTTTGCCAGCTTCGCTTTGAGACATATTCATTCAATAGAAAAAAAAACAAAAGAGGGTTCTGATTTACGTTAATAATTCACTTGGCGCTACGTTCATCGACGTCAACCGGAACTTGATCGTCCACCTTCTGTGCCAGATGAGTGGCAATCTCACCCACGGTGGATTCAAATTGCTCCCTTCCATGTGCTGGCATTCCTTCGTTCTCCGCGTTGGCTATAGCATGATCGTACTGCTGAGGATGGTCGTGCTGATTAGGATGCTCGAACTCCACATGTAGCCCTTTCGTCAACGGTTTTGTGTAGATGTCGTGAATTCTCTGCTGAGCGCTATCAAAGCTCTCGGACTGGCGTTTCTCGGCTTGCGTGGCGTCCATTATTGCTTCTTTGACTTCTGAAAATGGCATAATTTTTATGTAGTATTACTGAAAGTTGCAAAAAAATTAGAAGCTTTGCAGCCGAGAGAGTATGGGAATGCGGAGAGCGGCCAGAGAGAGAAAAATTTGCTGGACAAATCTTCGCCAACTTCGCGTAACCTTGGGTCAAAATAAAAGTGTTTAGAGCCATATGTGATATCTTTACGTTCTGTTTCGCAAATATTACGGTAACCAACGTCACGTCAAACACGAACTGGCCAAGAAAGAATACTATCTTTGCCAGTTGCGTGGAAAAAACCGAAAATATTACTCTTTTTGTCCTTTACAACGACACAGATAGGTATGTAAAACACGTTTCACAAAAACCGTAAAAAAATGCCAATTTTTTCGAAATTTGGACACAAAAACCTCGGTAGTGCCTTTAGATAAGGCTCTCGCATATGTCTCAAAAAATAGCCTAAAATTGCGCCAATTTTTTATACATGTAAAATCTGAGGGTATCACTTCCAGCACTTCCACTGACAGTACGACCCAAAAAAATCGTTCAAATGCCGGTTTCTTTGTTGGGGTCTCGCTTATAACGGCTTGAAAAGTGATTTCGAAAAAGAAGAAGCGATTCCACAAACAAAAACAAGGGTAATGAAACTAGTGTTACTGTTCAAGGAACAAACAAGTGATTAGAGATTGCCGTACAAGATACGCAGCAAACCTTGCTGTTTATTAAAAACAAGCTTTGTTTGACTTCTTACTTGTTTTTGAGTCAGATCTGAATGATTTTTGTAGAAAATTTTGAGTTTTAGGAAGGTACTAGGGCACCAAGTACAATATCTTAAAAATTCGGCGACAGTTCGAGGAAGCACAAAATCGATCGATCCGAAGCGTAGGAAGTGCCAGTGAGGACTGGAAAAGCCGTCGGATGGTCGGCATACTCTCGGCAAAGACTTGGCGAAGACTTGACGAAGACATGATATGTCCAATTTTTTTTAATTTACAAGGGAAGTACCCCAAGTGCGACGCTCAGATTTTCTTTAAATTTTGCACACGCTTCGGGAATAGACTAAATATCAATTCCTGAAAGTTTTAGCTCGCGCTTTGCAGGCGCCGCCGAGATATCGGACAATTTATGCCGCCGAGAGAGCACGCTAAACGTGGAGAGCGGTCAGAGAGAAAAACGCTTTTTGGCCATAACTTTGGCAGTTTCGCGCGGAAAAATTTGATTTTTTGTAGAAACATTACCCTTTACGGTAGAAATAGGCATGAAACTTTTCGTGCTGAAATTCGGCAAAAAGTCCTAAATTTTCGCCGACTTTCGATCTAAACATCTCGGTTGTTTCTGCAAAGCGCGAGCTAGGATTCTCGCATATATCTTAAAAAAAATCATTCTAAATTTGTGCCAAGTTTCATCAAAATCTGAGCGTCGCACTTGGGGTACTTCCCCTGTTAGCTATTATATTCTTTATTATTTCAACACATAAAGTATCAAAGGCAAAAAACGGAGATCTGAAGGTTTTTTATAGATATTGTTAGTGTGAGAATATGTAAAATACCTCAAAGTAGGCGATAAGCTGTCCTAATGCCTAATCGATCTTATTATCTCATCGGCAACCCTAACTGTCGCTGACCCGAAAAGTCGTAGCCTCGCGATGAACTTTGCTTAAAGGACCGAGGTTTTCATGTTGACGGTTGCAAAAAAAGCGATAATTTTTTGCGGCTTTTGGCATGAAAATATCATTCTGTTTCTACTATGATTTTTATGTCTTCAACTTGACGCCTCAGCTATGCTCTCAAATTCCTGTCATTCTCTTCATGTCACTTGTTCTGTCATTTTGATTTTCAAATCATAACTTTTTTGCAATGTTTTTGAAATGACCGATAAAGTAAGCAGTATTTACGGTTCCGTCTAGCTGAGATTAATATTATTTTATTACGAGACAGGAATTAAAGCAAATACAGTTGAGAATAAATATGATTGTTGACAAAATTTCAGCGTAGGAATTCTACCAGAAGTCTACGAAAAAGCGCCGTTACTTTGCTGACGCCGTGTGCTGCTGCTGATACACCTCCTCGTCGGCGCGGATTCTGGACGAGTTTGGCCCTCGTTTCAGTTCTTGGCGAAGCGCAGTCATGAGCGGCGTGTTGAAAGGCAGAATGTTGAGGAGGCTGAGGTGGTTGTGGGATTCGTGTGGAGCGTCCATTGCGTAGGTATATAGAGTTCTGAAACGAAGAAAAAATAATATGAAAAGTTGTCATGGCCCACAGAAATGTGTTCTTAGTCGCGAATTCATTACAATTGTCAGAATATGTCAGAAAAAAATCCAAATTTTTTAACTTTCGGTCTAAAAACGATACTTCTAAAATCCTCAAAATATTTTTTCGCTTACTGTTCATTACAAAAAACTCCGAAAAACTAGGAACTTCATTTTTCAACTTGGCCAAAAATATGTTTCTCAATTCCCCTCGTGCCAAAGAGGAACCCCTCGCACCGTGGAAAACATGTTTATACTTTCTGGCCCACTCCGCGTTCCCTTTTATACCCTCTCTTTCCGAACGCATTTCGAAAAGAAAACAGATATACCGAAAGAAACGTGCGAATGAAAACCTCAATTTGAACTTGGCCGAAAATTTATTACCCTATTCCCCTCGAGGCCAAAAATGAACTCTGAGCGCCGAAAAAACATGTTGACTACGAAAATTTTTAAAAGTGCGTTGAGGACTTTTTTGAGGGCGGACGTGGGGCTCATCCTAATTTCCGAGCTGCCCCAGACTAGACCTCATTTCTTGGCTGTGCTGCGGATTTGAAATTGAAAATTTTACGCAAATTTTCCATCCTGAAACGAAAACTTGGGATGCAAAATTTGGATCTTGGCATTATGCAACAAGGCTCTATAAGACTCGTAATACATTTCTTACTGCTCAAAATGTTGCTGGCAACCAAGAAACACCCTAAAAACTAGCCGAAAACACAATGCCAAAATGGCCGGAAAATTGTCATTCAAAAGTATTTTTAAAATTTTCAAAGGCCCAGCCTCCCCAGCCTTGCCAGGAACTGGCCCTTGAGCTGGGATATGCCAAAAAATCCCCGACCTCTAGCCCTGTCTAATGCGCACTTTTTAGAATGCGTAGTATGTGTATGCACATATAGGAGTTCCCGCGTTCGCTTTTATACCATTTTTTTCCGAGCGGATTTCGAAAAGAAAAACAGAGATAGCGAACGAAACGTGCAAAGGGACGTTCTTCCCGAAGAATCCTTTTTGCAATTTGTTTCAAGGGGGTTTGCGGAATGATGCGGTCAAGAAAAAATGTGCGATAAAGTCACGGATCGCGGCGGAATGAAGAGGACATAAAACAAATGTCGGAATTTAATCTCTAATAAATTAAAGGGCACGTCAAAGTACGTGGGGAGACAGTGCTGAGGGAGAGGTAGTTCCAAAGAAACGTGTGTTTTAGCGAGTCTGCGGAGGAAGTTTTTTTTGGAATGCCACGCTGATGTTTTGATATAATTTGGCACACAGTGGACGTGCTCCAAGAAACGCTGCTGGGGACCAATTTAGACTAGATTTTTCAGGATGTATAACAGATTATTAGCTTGCGCTTTGCAGAAATCGCGATGATTTTTAGGTTGAACGTCGAAGAAAATATGGTACATTTAGCCAATTTTTGCGTTAAACGTTGTACACCTTTTTAGAGCAATGTTTACACAAAAAATCAAATTTTTCAATACGGAACTAACAACGATATGGCCAGAGTATTTTTCTCTCCGGCCGTTCCCCTTATTTTGTATACTCTGCCGACCGCAAAAATTGTCGAATATTTTGAAAACCCTTATAAAGCGCTAGCTGTAGTTATCAATAATTGCTATGAGGACTAGGCCCAGCGTGTGCAAGCTATAAAAAGAGAAACTCGACGTTCTTGAAATACCTCTTTTGTTATGAACAATAAAAAAATTTTTAGGTTGATTTCTAGCTCACGAAATATTTTATTGGATGTGAAGTCTTGCATCGAGCAATTATTTCAGAGCAACCAAAGTTATAATCCTCCAGAAGTTTTAACTTGAGCTAGCCGGTGACCTCTTCAGCCTTCTTCTTTGCGAGAGAAAAGAAACGACTGTGGCCATGCCGAAAAATTCTTTCCTGACTTGCTTTATTTTGGTTTCAACATAGCCGACTTCTTTCGTACCAAAATCGTATAAGCAAACTGTTTTTTAGCATTCTCAAAATGGTTGTGTCGACTCGTGTTTTATTACTACTTACTCTCGAAAAAGCCTCAAATTTCGCGAACTCTATTTTTTGTGATTTGTGACGTTTGACCGTAAACATCATTTGATTGCGAAGCTTGCAAAATCAAGTCAACAAAATTTATCTTTCCTTGACACATGTGGAAGTATGAAGTAAACAACATGCGACCTTGTTATTTTTACTTTACAGAAAAGATAAATATAAAGGTTTGGACTGCTTATTACTATAATAGAAATTTCAAGTCTTATGCGTTACAATCTCGGTCTCCAAACACGATTGTTTTTGATTTGAGTCCCAAACAAACATCTACTGCTTCGAGGAACGGAATTCCCAAAATCCAGCGGTCCTCGCCCTCGGCCAATGGTCGAATTCTCAGTGCGCAAATCTTGGGGTTAATCGGATCGCGCATTGTGTAATACAGCGCTTTCAACGAGACTCTTCCACCATTCACGAAGAATAAGATGTCTTTGCCGAGCACCCGTTGGTTGCAATCTACAATGTAATCACCACTTTTTGACTCCTCCACTGATTTCATATTTGCACTGATGAATTCGATAAACTCCAATGGGGCGTGGATGTAGGGCGAAGTTGACGACAAAACCGCTTCGAACGAACGGTAGTGATCATTAATATCGAACAAACCGTACCCCACATAATGCACTTGGAATTGCCAATAGTTGTCTTTATTGGGTGTGACGTCAGCAATAGCGTGGACTTGGCCGAGTATATGTCCTTCACGCATTGGAAAAATGTCGCCACTGACAAATTGGCGGAGGCCCGTACTGAAATTATTTACAGTGGGGGACCTGGTCCAGTGGCAAAAAATGTACCATTTTGCATCCGAGAAGGATCACAAATGTGGCAAAATGCTTACCTCTCCAAGTGAAAAAACTTCGTTTTGAAGGGCGCGCCCTTCCCATCACAAAAAGAGCAGGCGCGCTTTTGAAATCGGAGTTTTTTTTCACTTGGAGAGGGAAGGATTTTGCCACAGTTTTCATACTTCTCGGATGCAAAATGGTACATTTTTGCCACTGGATCAGGCCCCCACTGTGACATCTTTTGTTGAGATTCTATCAATACATTCCCTGACTTACTTCTCATCAGAATCAAACTCTGCTGAACTGCAAATGTACTCATAATTAAGATAAATGCTTTTGAGCTTCATTCTGTTGCTAAAATCTGAATTTAACCCGATTCGAGCACTGGAAGGCTCTCCGGCCGCATTCCACGTGGCGGACACGGAACTGATCTCATCGACTACCGGAATTTCAAAAGGACCGCCTTGAATCTGAAAAAAGATGCGTGCTAGGCATGCAGAATTCTTTACCGGATCCAGCTTCCAAATTCTCCCGGAAACCTTGCCATTTGCCACTTCTCCAAAGCTTCCGTAAGTCACCGAAAAATTCCTCCAAGACGCCGCAAATCTAGGGTCCGTTGTATTTGTAAATCCTGTTATATTACAGTTCACACAGCCTTTCACGGAGATAAACCAATCGTCATTTGACATCAAGTCCACCCATGGGGTAAAGACGATGCCTTCAATGATTTCCGTCCGACAAAAAATCACCGGTCGGTGTTGTTGTACCAAGTAGTCGGGCAACTCAAGTTTTACAGCCAAAACAGCTACAATTCCGGCGGTAATAAAAAACCGAAGAACCATTTTTGAACAAGGCATACACAACTTGATTCATTTATTCAAGCGTTTTTAGAAAGGAAGTTTCAGTATAATCTCGCTATCAGCAGCGCTAAGACGGGTGTTAGAGAACAGAGCCGTCATAGGGCAGGCAGTAATGACGTCACAATCTGCAGTTTGTAATTTAATTGTAGTTTAGTGGACGTGTGTGTAGTTTCACGCAAGCTGGCACAGTCGAATACGGTACGCCTGATTAAACATGGTTCCGTGTCGGGAATGAAGCGGATTTGGAACCGGCGGCCCGCTGGCAGGCCCAACAAAAAACACGTATAACCCTGTGTTTTGATACAGGAATACGCGGAAAATCACGAAATGCACTTTTTTGGTAATTTATAGCAGCTTGATGAGCAATGTTTAAGGCAATTCGATTACGGAGATTTTTTTATTTTGATAGTTTTTAATCTTTTTGCGACAGTCGAATAAATTAAATATCATTCTGTCGGGAAAATAATGTGGATTTCTCGCAGCAAAATGCCTCAGCTCTTCGCAGTCGCCCATCAAATCTCCAGCTAACCGTCGCAAAGCGATAATGGACGATTTCAAGGCGCGAAAAGTACACATTATTTTCCCGGTAGACTGACATACTAAAGAATAAACAATTCATGTTTACAGGGCCCAAGCCCGTCTTGTATCACAGATCAAATCATTTCATGTTTTTAGAGCACAAAAAACACAAGCGTGTCCCGCAAGCTGAATAAAGCAATTTTTTTAAAAAAGACCTGAGCCTCCGTCATTCCACCAACAATCGCAATGTTCCGCCGGAACCAGAGAGTCGTCTGAACGTCTGCACTTACATGTATGTGAATTTGGAGCCATATCGCTGCGCAAACAACAACTTCAGCTTTGCGTTCCGATGTTTCAAAGCGTTCCAAACACAAATCGATGGGTCGTTATTAGACTACAAGCGGTTAGAGAAGGAACGGTCCTCAACCCGCTCTCGTCCGCGTGGCCGGTTTGGTGAAGGTGAAAGGCCAGACGTCCGTGGCTTTTTTCTAAATTCCTTTTTAATATATCACAGCAACTTTTTCTTTCAGATCATCGTCATCCTCTTGAATCAATGGACCAGTACCTTTTATTTACCACCCCACTTGTTATGTTCATCCTATTTCACATTGCATATTCCCTGGACAACTGCGTCGACCACGCGGACGCTCATTGTGACACACCGCGGGTGAAAGCAATGTGCAAGAGTCACGCCTACAAGAGGATAATGGCGCGGTTGTGTAGGAAATCCTGCAATCTCTGTCAGCCCGGCACATGCATGGATGTAGTGAGTGAGTGTAAAAAGCCGAAGAATAAAGCGTTGTGCACCAATCGTGTTTACAAACGGCTAATGAAAAGCAAATGCCCGCAGACTTGCGGCGAATGTGGTAAGGATGGTGGAGATGGTGGAAGTGGCAACGGCGCAGACGGCGGATCATCAAGAAAGGAGGAGAGCAAAAGCAGTAAAACGGAGACATCGTCGAGAATTGAGATGCTGAGTCTGCTTAATGTGTTATATTGAGAGAATATGTGTTCATGAAATTGGACAGATGATTTCTATGGGTAAATTAATAATGCGTTGCTTCATAAATGTTTATCGAGGTTAAAATCTTTTTTTAAGTTTATGTAGAATGCTGGGCTTGCTCCGCATCTGTTCCTGTAAATTGGAGATTGCTGGTAAATCAGTAAACTTTCATCATCCATTCTTGTTGTTCAAGTGGAAAATTTTGACGAAATCTTGTAAATTTTACAAGTTTGCGTCATAAAAAGTAGTCAGTAGTTGATAGGATAGAATTACTTATACTCCGGAGCCCCGTAAGTGTCCACCCTGCACATTCTCAACCCGTAAGTTCAAACCAGGTAATGACGACCCCGTAACGGCCCACCACGTAGACGTCTTCTCCAGAAAAATCAATAAATAGTCTCTTTATTACTATTTTTACAAATAAATATCTGAGGAAAACATGAGAAGGCACCGATTCTTTGGGAATGTTTGTGTGTTGGCACAATAAATACATACAAATTATATACGAAACATGGCAGCAGTTCAAAGCACCGACGAGCTGGGCGAATGCGAGGAGTCCGGAGGTACGTCGGTCACCGTGGACGATGGGGTTGTGTTGCGGTTGTCGTAGACAACGCCCGCCGACGCGATCATCGCCGAACGGGCTTCGGGACTAAAAAGGGTCGGGTTAGATTTATTGACAGCTTTTTTTCGTCTGTTCTGGCAAACCCTGGTCTGCGGCTTCGCCGCAGACCAAACTTTATGCACTAAAAAAAACTTACGTCATTGTGTTCTCTTCTATTGCCTCCGGCAATGGATGTCTTGCCAAGACGTCTTGTGCCTTCCTGCTCGAGATCAGCCCAACGTTCAAGGGCTGCGGGCCTGGCGATTCCGCTGTCACCATGTAATCCATATCTGTTTTGGTCACATGAATGCTTCGGCTGAAAAGATGTAATTAGAAGCCATGATAATAATAAAAATCGGAAACATCTAGTACCTTAGAATGAATAAGACTGAAAATAGGAATCTAGAGCATTCTTGGAAACTTTAAGCTTCGACTACTTACTGCTTCATACACCGCAGACACCAGATCAGCGCCAAACAGGCAGCCAAGATTGCGATCACAAATACAGCAAGAATAATCGCTTCCGTCCATGAGAAAATGAGACGACTAGCAACGACCGGCAACTGAATACTCATCACTTTGAGATCTGTGTCTTCCAACTTGTCCTTGGACTTGTCCAGAAGACTGAAACAAAGCGTTAAAAATTTATAAACCTCGTTTCTTTGCAGTGGGATTAGTGAAGGGGAAAGCCTTGCCTTTTTAACAGTGCCGCATCGATTGGAGTCTTTGTCGCCTTGTCCAATGCATACACGAACAAGTGGGTCTTGTTCAGGATAGCCTGCCCTTCTTCGTTGATGAATATCTGCTTCACCAGAACTATCGCGTCTTTTCCGGTGAGGACGGACAGCTTTTTCGCCACAACTTGCTCATCCACCTCGCCTTCCGGCTTCTCCACGCCCAAGAATACAATATTCGTTCCGGGCGCTAATTTGTACACTGTTAACGACGCCGACACTTCATGCGCACCATCGTGAACCGTGACTCGCATTTTGAAGCGGTCTTCGTAGCTGTTTAGCAACGATTTGGTCAAATAGACAAGTCCGTTCGTTGAGTTCACGCTGAAATATTCGTTCTGCTCGATGGAGTAGCTGAGACGATTCTTCTCGTCGGCGTCTGTTGCAACAAGTCGCACAACCGGCTGCAGAAGTGGGGCTTGCCAATCAATGATGGCAACGAGCTCTCCTTGCGAGTTCTTGTTCGCAAACACCGGCTCGTTGTCGTTTTCGTCGAGAACTTTGACGGAGACCAGCGCCTGGTCTTCGGAGAGCTTCTTCTTGGCGTCTGGAGAGGGATTTTTAGAATATAATGATAGACCTGATCCAGTGACAAGAAACGTACCATTTTGCATCGGGAAAGTATTGAAAAATGTGGCAAAATGCCTCCATATCCAACTAAAGAACTCCGTTTTGAAAGGCGGGCCCTTTCCCTGTCAAAAACAGCGGACGCGCTTTTGAAATATAATAGGAGCTTTTTCACTTGGAGAGGGAGGTGTTTTGATACATTTTTCGATACTTTCCGGATGCAAAAGGCTACTTTTTTGCCACTGGTTCAGCCCAGCTACTGTATAAAGTACAGTTAACCCTGGTGAGGCAAAATTCGGCTATTGCCCAAAAAAACTTACAATCAACCACGGGGTTGTTCGTTTGCCTTGACGGCCTCGTGATCTCGGTTACATTCAGCACGATAAAATGCATTCCTTTCTGTTCTCTGTCCAAAGCGCCATTCACAAACACCTCGCCAGTCTTCGGATCAACTGAGAACACATCGTTAGCTTGATGAATGCTGAATGCCACATCTCTCCCTTGCTTCTGACAATCAGAAGAAACTGTGACCAGTTTATTCTTGCCTGGCAAATTCTCTCTTATCTCCGCGTTGTAGATTTTCTGCGCGAATCTGCATTTTTGATTCTCGGCAGGTGGAGGTACTGTCACCACAATTGGCTCGCCTTCGAGGAACACGTTGAGAGTGGTGTGGGCGGTCTTGCCTTGATCACTGATTGCGCTCACGTTGAGAATATGGTAGCGGTTTTGGTCATCGGGTTGGGGATCTTTGGCAAGTCTGATGAGACCGTTGCTTTGGTCGATGGAGAAGAGATCGGAGCCACCGTCTGTAAGAAAAAAAATGTTGCTAGTTATGTACGTCAATTTTACTCGGTATTCAACAGTCTACACAGTAGAGGTCGGATGTATTTAACCCTTTTTTATAACGTTTTATTATATCCATCAAAACCTCAGCCCTCCCTCGAACACCCTTACCTTTGATTTCATACGTATACGGCGACAACCCGGCGATAACTTGATACACATATTCTCCGGCTTTGGCGTCTTTCCCCAGATTCACATTATATTCGGGTTTTTTGAACGCTGGTGCATCAGACTCTTCGAAGACTTCGATTCTCACAGTCTGCGGAGTCTTTAATGCCGGCCTTCCTCCATCAAGCGCTGTGACTTCAATCTCCGTGTCGTCCGGAGGCAGCGCTGTGATCTTCGTGGTCAACGACAACTCTCCTTTCGAGTTAATGTCGAATAAGCCATTGTAATTTTTTGTGATTCGGTATTTCACTTTTCCCGCCGGACCTTCGTCCTCATCGGTCGCCTTGAACACCGCTATCGTTTTTGTTGGAAGCTCGTTGATGTTGACTCCAATCACATATGGCGCATTCTCAAATACTGGGTAGTTATCGTTGACGTCCAATATGGTGATGGTAACTTCGGCGGTGTCTTTGACTTCCGGCGAAGACAGCGACTTCACTAAGACATTAAATTTGTAGAGCGACTTTTGCTCGCGGTCGATATTTGCGAAAGCTATAAGGTCGCCGGTTTCGTTGCGGACATAGAACGGAAGCGACGGCTCATCGGAGTCGATTTCAAACACAGCATCAGCCACAGTATCTGCGATATTATCCTTCAGCGAGCTTGGTCTCAGATTCACAACCGCTCCTCTGTTTCCGTATCTCCCTTCGGGCAAGATGGCTGTGAACTTGTGCTGCCGTAGGACTCCAACGTTACTGGAAATTGCTGTAGACTCTTCACGATGTCTTGTTTCTTCAGTGGCTACTGTAACACTCTCAAAGTCGGGGGTGTTCTCGAAGATCTCCGTAGTAGCCCCATCAGTCGTCTCTGGCTCTGATGACGTCACAATCGGCTGACTAGTCACATGGACTACCACTGGCGTTACTGTAACTCTTTGGACTTCAACTACCGTCGTAAGGGTTGTAGCTTCAGTATCAATCGAGAAATCGACCGTTGGAGAAGTGGGTTCCTCTTCCACTTCATCCTCTGGGTGGACCAGCTCGTCGGCTTTTCCAAGGACCAGATCCACCTTAACCGGAACCTCAGCTCTCACTCTGGAGTTCCTGGCGTCTTGTGCGATCACTGTAAACTCTGCGCGTTGTCGACCTTCCAGTTCTTGAGGAACGTCTCTCATGTACAAGGTGTGGCTGGACGGATCAACCCCAAACCACTGCTTGAATTGTTCAGGGACAATATTCATCTTTACTGGGCCTTTGCTGGCGATGTCGAGTTTGCCGACAACATCATTCGGCTTCGGATTGAGGATTTCAAACTTGTATTTGGGTTTGCCGAAGGACAAAGTTGAGGAACTCGCAGAAGAAGCTAATGACGGAGAAATTGAAACCACTGAGAACGTTGTTAACGTGGTTTCAGGAGCCGCAGCGATCTTTGTTGTAGCCTGGGTTGTCGTCGGTTTGACCGTCGTAGGAGATGGCTTTGTTGTCGAAGAAATGGTGGTTTCTGGTCTCCGAGTGGTCCTTTCAGTCGTAGTAACCATCCTCTGAGTTGTAGTCGCCCTTGTAGTGCTTTCCGTTGTTGTATATTCAATTTTCTTCGTGATCTCTTCGTTTTTCACACTGTGTCCTTCTGAGTCTTCCTGTTCCATCGACTCAACCAGATTCTCATCGATCTTGCCGACGGTGCTGAACTGGAACGGCTCTGGACTCGCTGTTGGCACGCTGACTATCACAGTGAACACTTTACTGGCCTTTTGTCTTCCCGAGCTAACCGTCACAAGCAGTTCGTGTTCACCATTTTCGAGCTGGTCAATCGGATGGTTGAGATAAACATCACCGTATTCTGAGTCAATTTTGAACAGGCTCTCTGGTCCTCCGGGGATCGAAAACTTGACGTCACCACCTCCTTTAACTTTGGCTCGGAAAATAGGCGAGTTAGGCTGAGCCGTTGCGGCATTTACAAGCACCTCGTCCAATTGGTTTGGCTCGAACTCTAGCTTTTGCGCCGGCTTCAACGCTTTCAAATCAACCGTTAAATCGGTCTCCACTTTCTCGAAGGGGTCGTCAAGGTTGGTGGCTTCAATTAGTAAGTGGTCTCGCGTTTTTTTCAACATGTTCTGGTTCATTATCGCAAGTTTTGCGGTAGTCTTGTTCATCTTCTTGATCATGTAGCCGTTGTTTTCATTTCCCTCTAGAATTTTGAAGTCCCAATTGCCTTTTGGCATAGCGTCGATCATCATGCCATCATCAACAGACTCCGGGGACCAGGCTTCGGACTTGTGCATAATGTGGCTCTTCTCACTCATCGGGGAGATTACACTTGAGTCCTCGGTGACGTCGAAAAGGATGATCGTTTCGGTCTGTAAAAATGTCAATTGAAAAAACGTTCAGCTGGAAATAACGTAGAGATCTGGACACCTAATCACTCTCGTATGTAGTAAAATACGACATCATAATCTTTGAGAATGCAACACTCACCTGCTTTCCTTTGGAATCGCTGGCAGTAATGATCAAATTATAGTGAGATCCCGGTTCGAATGGCTCACTGTCCGACTTGAAGATCTTCCCATCGCTTCGCACATCAACCAAGCCAACCGCGGAACCTAAAATCTCATAATTAGTGCTTTGCGCTTTTAGCTGCCACTTCACAACTTCAGAGTTACATTATCCACGGCAGTCAACACCGTGTTAGAAAAAGGACGTCAAAATACTCACCAATTTTGGCCTTATAAATCACTTTTCCTTGATCTGAGAAGTCCTTGTCGTAGGCCACAACTTGACCGATTTGTGTGCCCGGGCGCACCGCCGAATCCACAGTAAAGCTGTATTTGGCTTGCTCGAACTTGGGAGCGTACTCGTTTTCATCTTCAACTTTGATTTGAACTTGGGTCTCAGCCTTCTTGGAACCGTCTTGTGCGGTGACCTGAAATGGACTTGCATAGAGTTGTTTCATGTAATTTTTGTGAGGTTTTCAAGTGGCATGAATCAGATTTGCTGCTTAAGAAATCAAGCCTCTGTACGAGCCGCAATGGACAAAAAAATTTTTTTTGAAATTTCGTCTTAAGGAGGTTCATTTTGGCGTAGAAATGATGCTTGAAACCTCTGAAATGTTTTGTTATAGCCAGGTTTTTTGTATGTGACGTTATTTTACAGAAGTTACACACCAAATTGACGTTATTTTTTCCCCATAAAGAATTCACTTTGTTCATAGATCCCTCCTAAAAAGCCCATTTTGTTTCCCTTACCGTCAATTCCACAACTCCATTCCACTCCTTGGGCAGTCCCTCCAAATCGACCTGCTTTTTCAACAGCACCTCTCCTTTCTCCGTGATGTCAAACCATTCGTTTGGACTCATCGAAAACGACAATTTCGGATGCAAGTTGGGCTGTTGCACTCCAATCTTCACACTGTTAATGATACTGCCCACACTAGCGCCCTCTCTGACAATCAATCGATACAATTTGGACGTAAAGATCAGCTCGTTGACTGGACGCTTCAACGACAGTGTAACGCCAACGTCCGAGTAGAACTCGGGATCTTGCTCGTTAATCGCTCGCACCACCAAAAACGCCTCGTTCCGGGCCAACTCTCGCTCCATATAAGTGGTGAACTCCTCGAAGACGGTGAGTTCTCCGGTGATCTCGTCGATCTTAACGCCCTTTGGCAGGTCAACGCCGTTGGCGCTGTAGAGAGTGTATTGGATTCGGCCCGATCTAAGAGAGACTGGGAATGCAGGGAGCTTGACGGGGAAGGAGGAATCGGCGGGAACCTGAAATGGGATTTTTAGAAATTTGGTAGCAGAAAAATTGATTTATTAACGAAACCTCTCATAACAAACAATCTCAGAGGTCTCAGGAGCCAAATTTTTGTTCAAATTTCAGCGACCTCTAGGGTCAATTTCAGGCCAAAATGGACCTCTGCTCAACCAAAAATTTTCATAACAAATAGATTCCTTGGTCTCCTGTGATTCGTTTCACAGTCCCAGCTTTATTTTACAACATCTCATTAATTCCTATGACTCTTGAGAGAAAAATTATCCTACCTTCAGCTCATATCCCAGCCGCTCAAAGACCGGATATTTGTCCCTATCCGTCATCACCACCATTTTCAGCGAATGAACAGTGCTCTGGTTGTTTTTGGGGTTGAACGCGCGGATACTGATCTTGTAGACGCCCTGCTTGAGTCGAAGCAGAACAATCAAGTAGTCGTCGATCATGCCGAACAGTTGATTGCGAGGATCTTGGTCGACCATGAACTTTACGTTTTTCGAGTCTCCATTCTTCAGGCCAACTCTGGAAAAAGAGAAGAGGATCATAGACGGTTTAAATGAACCTTTTAAACTCACTTGAAAATATTGGATCCAACCGGCTTCGAACTGGAGATGTACACGGTCTTCGGCATCGGCAGGAATGCTAAGGGCTCTTCTGATTCGACCAAGTGGATCATAAAGATTGAAGGAGTCTTTCTCGGGAACTTCGGAGCACTGTCGTGGGCCTCGACGGTCAGCTGAATCAGATCGCCGTCCGCAACCGAAATTGGAGCCGTTGTTTTGATCTCGCCGGTCTGAAAAAGATTCTTTGTTGACAGATGAGGAGGGGGCACCAAAGGAAGGTTTAGATTTGGAAGAAACTTGACGAGGCATTTGCTATATGAGAATCGAAAAAAATGCGATTTGCAGAAAAAATCTTTTTAGTCGAGAATTAGCAAAAATCAGCAACTTTTTTTTGCAAATTTCGGCACGAAAACCCTCGTACCTACTTCTATCGGGCAGAGCAACGTATAAACAAAAAATTAAGTTTTTTCAACATGAAACTTTCAAAGAAATGGCAAAGTGTTTTTCTCTTTGACCGCTCTTCGTGTTTCGCGTACTCCCTCGGTAAAAAAAGATGGCTGAATATTTCGCAGTCACTGCAAGTTATAAAGCGAATTTTAACCCACCTCTCTGTTGATGGTGAACTTTCGGGACAAGTGGTCTTCCACTAGACTGTACCAAACCTTTCCGTCAAGCCCTGGATCTTTGTCGGACGCCTTGACCCTTCCAATTGTGGCGCCGGCTGGGATTGGAGCACGGAACGAGACCTCGTAACGGAACTAAAAATTCGAAATTATAAGTCTGTGGCATGGGCTAGAAAAAAATATAGTTTGAGGTTTAGAACAGCAAACCCAAAAAAAATTAATTTTCAAAAAATCCGTCATCATGACAAAAAAATTTGGCACCATGGCCTACAATTTTTTTGAGACATTGTAGCATGTTGTACGACCTAAAACAACAAAAAATCAAAGAATGAAGAGCAACTGGGGATGTCATCATGACGGATTTTTTGGAAATTTTGCAGAGCTTTGGCAACAAGCGAAAAAATTTTATTTTCTCGCTTACGTCATCAAATTCCGGCGCATTAACGTTCGAGAATCCGGTGTTCAACACCGTAATCTGCACTTGAGCTCTTCCCATCATCGGAGGTTCGGCCGAGTCCTTGGCCGTTACGTAAAATGACATTTCGGTGACCTCAGGACCCAACGGCTTCGCCAAACGAACCTGCCCGGTTTCCTCGTCCACGGTGAACATGTGCGCGTAGATTCCGGACTCGGAGGAGATGAAGTACCGTAATTTTGCGTTTAAACCCGAATCCTTGTCGGTTGCTTGGACCTGCACCACTTCGGAGCCAACTGAAAGGTCCGATGGGATCTCGACTTGATAGTGAGTCTTTTCGAAGACGGGTTCATTGTCGTTGAGGTCTTTTACAACGACAATTGCATCGGCATGTCCACATTTTTTGGTGTTACTTTCGAGGCACCCGTTGATCTGAAAAGAAGAGGGTCCGGGTTAGATATGGGTACTACAAGTGTTAGATATGGGCCTCAGTCTGTGCCAAGCCAAAAGCCGCGGCATGTCAAGCTAACCGAATGGGTCTGGCCTTATCTTTTTTTGCTAAATAAAAGCTATAAATCATGAACTGTACAAACAACTTTAACGGCATGAGAATCCTCTCACTGCTCGCTGTTTTATTGCGCACTTCTGTGGCTTACTCACCCGTAAATCGTAGGTTTTCTTTTCCTCAAAATCCAAGGGCTTCTTCGAAGCCAACCAGCCAGTTTCGGGGTCGATTTTGAAGAGTTTGGCTTCATTTGTTCGGTCCAAGGTGTACCAGATCTTGTCCTTGCCCAGCTCAACCGAACGGTGATGAGCCTGAGATAATAAAAAAAGTTATTTTTTCGAGGAAAAACTTGCAAATTTCGCAGATAATAAATATCTTCAGATAAGTTTGTAAAAAATATTTTGTTTTTGTAAAATACGATGTTCAATTTCGATGATTTACCTCAATTTGAGCCAAACTTTGTTCCGGCTGATTTTCTTCGATCTCAAACCGATAGATTGCCTGTTCAAACAGCGGATTCAACGAGTATTCTGGTGCCTTCTCGTCAATGTAGATTGTGACCAAAGTTGTTGCCTATAAATATTTTACAAAATTTGGATACTACCATCTTGAGCTACCGTATTAGTACTATTTTTTCAAAAAACAGAAAAAACGTCATCATTCATAAAAAACTATTTTTTCTTTATACATTTGTACGTGTACGATAGCTCGCTCAAAGAAGTTACAGGACAACAATTATTACATATTCTCTTACTACTTAATCTACCGTAAGCCCGCTAATTATAGGCTTATATTCCCCGAAATATCGAACAAAACTCGTCACTAAACCCTCTAATTACCACCCTCTTTCGACACAACACACAACCGGAAAGGACAGCGCAAAAACTTGCTTGAAAAAGCACCTGTGCCAGCAGGAATGCCCAGGAATGGGGTAGCATTCATTCGGCGTGCGCAGCGATTAATTCCATTTAGTGACCAGGAAAATAAAAAATAAAAACGAAATGGTCAAGTTCCTTCGGCCACTCGCGGTTCCCGTTGCCAAGGCGCCCGGGGATTTCGCCGAGATTCGCCTTAAAACGCCCTCAAGCATTTTTCCGAATCGTTATGGCATTTCGTTTTTCGGCAGCGCTTAAACGGCCCGTTGGCGCTGGGAAAACGGCGGCTAATGCGTTGGGATCTACCCTTCGTGTCATGACGGAAACGGATTTCAAGACATGGGAATTTAAGAGGGGATTAATATTCGAGAAAGCGGGTTTTAATTTGTTTTAAGGCGGAAAATCATGGGCTTTATTACTGTAGCACTTAAAAGGCTTTTAGCGAGGCCATTGCAGAGAAATACGTGCTAATATTATTCGTAATGAAGAGAATTGGCCATAAAAACGTGGTGCTATGTCGAAAAAAGAAACTTCAAGAGCTTGAAAAGTACGGCTTTATAACTCTTCTACATCGCTTATTTATAAAGTGGAGCTTGCTTTTGGTTTGTGAAGCTAAAAAAAATTTCTTATTTCCCGTGAGAAGCGGCTTTTTGTAAGCCGCACAAAACCGCGTAAACAAAGTGGGAATTAACTTCTCAAAAATTACTTTTATATATAAAAATGACAGTTTTTTGTTCACAGATAATTTTTGGCTTTTTTTAGAACAATCAAATCTTTGTACAACGACTAGAAAATTCTCAAAAAAATTGCTCATTGTACAAAGTTTTTGTTGTTCGGATGACCGTGATAGTTTAAAATTGACTCTTTAGCTTTTTAAATCGTTTTCTATGTATTGATTTAGCCGTATGAGGCTTCGTTTTCCAGGGGTTTGACTGTAAAAAACTTTTGGCCCTTTCCCAAAAGGCAGCAACAATACTGCTCCTCACTACAGATATCCATCCATTTAGAGTCCTTTATAAGTTCACCTCCCCTTCACTCACCAAAGTCTCGCCTCGACGGCTTTTAGCCATTGCCGCAAATCTGATTTGCTCATACTCATCTTCCAGCAGCTTCTGCCCAACCCTCAACGTCCCATAGCGTGAGTCCAAATTCACAAATCCTCTGATCCCATCCTCCAGCTCGTAATCGACGTCCTCTTTTTCTTCGGCAAGTCGAATGGTCCCGATATATTCTCCGATATCCAACTTGCCGGTCAGGTTGAAATTGTAGACTTCTGCGCCAAATTCCAGTTTATTCGCGGTGGAACGGCGTTCGTCAAGGGTGGCGGCGCCAAACGATTTGAATTGCGAGGTGGTCTTGTCAAGCTTATGAGGAGAAGGGTCTCGGCTTTCCGCAGTCTTGGCGATGTCCAGAGGTTCGACTTGTTCGGCGGTTTTCTCGCCAAGGTAGACGTGAACAGTGACTCGGGAGGTCCTGAAATTGAGAAGAGGTTACAGCGACACCTTTGAACAACAAACGACAAGGTCTGTGTACAACAAACGCCTATGACAGACCATATTCAGTGGCAAAAAACGCATCATTTTTCTTCCGGGGAGTATCAAAAAATGCAGCAAAATGCCTACCTCTCCAAAAAAAACGTTTTTCCTTTTCCTCACAAAAAGAGCGGGCGCGCTTTTGAAATCGGAGTTCTTTACTTGGAGAGGGAAGTATTTTGCAACATTTTTTGACACTTTTCGGAAGCAAGATAGTACGTTTTTTGTTACTGGATCAGATCCGCCAATGTAATTACCGTGGATAAACATCGGCATCGTATGCCTCCACGGTGAAAGAGTAGCTCTTCTCCGGAGAGAAGGCCCCATTCTTCGTCACATAGTAGATCGTCGCAACGCCGTCGGATTGAAACAATATGAATGGAAGAGTATCGTCCAAGAACCGATATTTGACCTTGCCAAAGGGACCTTTGTCCTCATCAGTCGCGGTAATCGACCCAACCTCCGTATTGTTGTACGGGTTCTCCTCGATGTAGAAGGTGTAGGTATTCTGTTCGAACTTGGGGCTATGGTCGTTGGCGTCTTCGATGGTGATGTCGACAGTAGCCAGCTGACAAAGCTCGAGGGATTTGGGATGGAGAGGCGTTGAGGACTGAAAAATGAAATCGATTTTAGACCTTTGTAAGTTTATTTTCACCGAGTTACTGCAAGATTGTAGCCTTTGGAAAACAAAAAATTGCGATAAAAATCTCCTACCCTTAGCCGAGCCATGACAATCACTCTGTCCGTCTCTTCACGATCCAACAAACGGTTGTCCTTCACCGTCATAACTCCATCGGAACTAACCTCAAATGTCTCTGTGCCATTTAGCAAGTCGATCCCATCGATCTGCAATATTAATTTTTATGTAATCCCTCCATAAAAAGCCACTACATCCCTTGCAAAGATAAGCGTAATATGTAGTAAAAAAGTCTCAAATAAACTTACATCTCCCTTGACTAGAAACTGTGCAACCCGACTGTTCACGGGCGGGTTCTCTTCTAAATGGACATTGTAACGACACTGTGAGAAGTAGGTCAACTTGACCTCACTGGCATCAGTCAAGATCACTTTTGAGGTCACAGAAACAGATGGGTCGGCTTCGAGATAGGCCTAAAAGTTGTACATTATTCATAGAAAAGCCGCTCCAAATGTGCCGCTCAGATAAATCAAAAAAACCACAATATTTAGGTCGAAATTTAACGAAAATTTTTTGAATTTTACCGTTAAAAATTTCGTCCTTATTTCTACAGTTAAGCATAATGTTTCCACAAAAAATAATTTTTTCCCTACGAAACTGGCAAAGATATGGCCAAGAACTGTTTTTTTCCGTGACTGCTCCGCGTTTCGCCTGTTCTCTCGGCAGCAAGGATCATTAAAAATCTCGGCTCCCTTTGCAAAGCGCAAGCTAAAGTTCTCATTTGAAAGCCAAACGTGTGCAAAATTTTCAAACAAATGTGAGCGTCACCTCTAAACTCTTTCTTTATCAAAAAGCTGAATAAAAAAGCTTACCCTAACACCCAGCTCAATAGTATCCGGGATTTGAATATGTCTGGGGATGTTCAAAAACAATCTCGCTGAGTCTTTGTCCAGTCGGAAGTAGGTGCTCCAATCGGACCGCTGGAGCTCATACTTGGGCTCGTAGCTGGGCAAGTTCATTCCTCGGTCAGGGAAGAGCGCTATGATTGGCTGTGTAAGGATGATTTCGGACTCGGAATATTGGCTCTGAAAATAAAGAAGAAATGATTGCGGAGCCCTCATAGGTTGAGTAAAAAACGTAACAGTAAGAAAACGATCTTACCCTTGTAAAATTGCCGTAATAGATTTGTTGGGTGAAATGCGGAACCGCCTCTCTTGGATCTCCGACGACGACCTTGAACAGAGTGTTGGCCGTCTTCTCCGGCGATTGGTTGTCCTGCAAAGAGGGTGTGAATTGCTTAAAATACGCTGTCAAAAGCTTAATGGTAAAACGGCCTTGATTTTGAAGACCGTAGGAAGATATTTTGCAAAGTTTACATTGCAAAATGTAAATTTTCAACTTCTAAAACTCACACTGGCTGTCACGTTGAAATAATAAACTTGTCGTTGCAGCGCCCCCAACACTTTCAATTTCATCTTGTTTGGGATTTGCTTTTTGGCATATCGTTTCAAAGCATATTGACTTGGCAAGGTTTTCAGCTCGATTCGCTCTTCGGAGGCGTATAAATCGAGTTCCGGGTAGTGGCTGTCAACCTTATAAGTTACCGTGTAAGATTCACTTGGATCTTTGTCGAATGCCACAATTGGAGTCTCGATTTCGGTACCGATTAATGCGTCCTGAAGGCAGACAGTAAACATCACAACAAAAAAACAAAAAAAAAATACAAAAAAAATGAAAATTGATATCCCATTTCAAACTCACATTAGCCACAAAAATTTCGTACGGCGAATTCAAGAATTCCGGAGAGAAGGTGTTGAAATTTTTTATCCGAATGGTTATCAATGGATACGGCTTTCCGTTACATTCCACTGTCAGGTACAACATTGTCTGATTGATGGAGGATGGATACGGCGGTAAGGACATTCCTTCCTTGGCAACAATGAGGAACTGGCCATTTCTTCGGTGGTCTAGTTCAAGTTTTGAAGAGAGATCGGTCTGGAAAATTGTTTGATTTATAAATACTTAGTATACATGCGTTACGAAAGTCGTATTTTAATCCAGAAATAAGAAAAAAAGTAATTTCCCCGGAAAATCAAAAAATCGATAATAAGTAGGCGATATGTCAAAAAATTTTTTTGTTGTTTTGCGTCGAATTTAACAAACAAAAAATTTTGATTTATAAATCGGTTAATCACGTTATAAAGTACATAATCATTTGCTCACCTTGATATTATTCGACTTGACCGACAAAATCTTCAAATCCGCATCCGCCGGCTCGACCACGGTGTCCACCAATATCGAATTCGCCGGAGTGTCGGCGCTGATGTCGAAAAAGAAATTTGTCGCCGACTGTTCGGGAAAAACACAGTTTTCCTGCCCATCCGCAAGTTTTGTGACGAACAACGAGGCCAGAAAAAGGCCAAATGTATTCAATTTCCACCTCATTTACTGATTCTCATTCGGGCCAGATCTAAACGAATTTGCCGGGATTAGAGGTCAATTATGTATGGTCGGGGCGAAAGGTGCGATATGGCGTGACAGTTGCGCGTTATAAGGAGAAGAGAGGAAATCTGGAAGATATAGAGTTCGCCTGCAAAGTCGCTGGAGTGATTTTTGCGACACTGTGCAAAAAAATGCCCGAAAAAATCCTTGCAATAAGCCCAAAAAAGCTTACTGCAAAGTGCAAAAAGCTTCAAATTGCACAGTGCAAAGTGGAATTTTTTTCGCACAATGTATGTCGCAGAAATTAAATATTCCAGCGACTAGTCCTTCCAAAAAGTCGCCGGACTGATTTTGGCTTTTGCACTGTGCGAAAAAAGTCAGGGCTACACCCGAGAAAACTGTGTTCCACGGGGGGAAAAAGCAAAAAATTGCAGTAGCCGATTTCATTGTCAGTCCGGCGACCGTCCAGAAAGGCTAGTATCGGACGGACAATTATATTATATTATAATACAAGGAAAGCTGTGAAACAGTGAGAAGTTTCATTTTACCAAAAATGTGGTCGGTTGAGGGAAAATGAAAATTGGGGGTTAGAGATTTGGCATGCCCTTAGGGCTTTTCAGAAACCGGAGTTTTTGAAAATCCAACGAAAAATCCCAAAAAATTTATACAAAAAGTTAAGAGCACGGTTGTTTTTACTAAAAGTCAAGAATTTCCTATCACCCTTAGGGCTCAAAAATTTGAAAACTCGCATGGCAAAAAATGGAAACCTCAGTAATCAACTCGATATTTCATTCACAAAAATCGGCTCATTGGTAGTTCACATATGGCTAAGAAAAGTTCCAGTCTTTGCTGGTCCACCCCAATGTGAAAAAAAAATGTAAATATGTATACTATATACATATATGAAAACGAAATGTAAAACGAAAATCACGCCATATTCGCTCTAATAATCGATTCGAAAATCAGCGAAACCACCCAAACTAAAGTAACATGACGAGTGAGAATTCTGAATTACTCCTTCTTCTTCTTCATCCAGTTAAGGGGGAAACGGCGAAAGTCGATGGATTAACCGTTAAACCGAATTTTCGGTTCACTTATAACCTGGAGATGAAACGGGATCAAATGGGGATGGAGAAAATGCTTTCGCTTATGTTTTCTTCCGTATGTGGGGGGAATATGCTAATTGGAAAGCAATTGTCAAGTGGGAAATGGAGAAATATAAAACGGATACTCAGTGGACGTTAATGAGATTGAAAATTATGTTTTTGAATATCTGAAGGAAGGGGATCGTACAGATTGAGAGGAAGATGAGAGAGCAACTGGTCAGTGGCTAATATTCCAAAGTTCTTTATTATTATGCCCCTATAAGGGCTGTTTTCGCTGCAGGACCAAAGAATTTCTGTTTTTTGGGGACAAATGTCAAAGAAGAGCGTCTCGACGCAAAAACAATCCTTTTCTGGACACAGCAACAAAAATCTTCGGACTTTAAGACATCATGAATGCACGGCATACGATAAGACCACGCCTAATTCAAGAAATAGCCAGAGAATAATGTCTATATGCCAGATCTTTGCCAGTGGGGCAGAAATCGGAAAAATTAGGGGAATGTGTTTTCAAAATGTACCAAATGGCGGTAAAATTAAAGCTGGTGTAAGCTCGCCGTTGTCTCTGCTGTTATTTAATTTTTTTTTTGAGTTTTTAGTAAGCAGCTACTGGTTATTTTTATATCTCTAAAAGTATACTAGCCAAAAAAAGATTTTTTTGTCCATAAAGATGTTTGGTCGAATCCAGACACCAGTCCATTTCCGCCGAAAACACGTTACATCAACGTCTTCCCCGAAACCCCCTCCCCTCACCACATTCATCATCCCCATCACCTCCAAAGTCCGTAAAAACAAACGACTGTCCATTGCAGGGGATTAGGAGCTAATAAAATTAAGGGAACGGCATTATGTAATCAAATAAACTCGAAACCGGTTACAGCCGACTCCGATGGGAAAGGAGGCGGTGTTCGAAAATGCATCGTTAATTTTTGAGGTTCCGTGTCGATAAACAGAACGGTTTAGTAGACGGGAAAACGAACATGGGAAATTTCAATGACTTAGAGGATTTCAATTCACAAAAAATTTGGTGATTTCTGAAAAAGTAAGGCTAGGAAGGTGATATAAGATTTCTAAAATTACGCTTTAAATTTGAGCTTTGCAAGAACAGAAAGACATTCAAAAAGCATTGCGGATGAAAGACGATGCGAAGCGCGGAGAGCAATCACAGAGAAAAACAGTTTTTGGCCTTATCTTTGCCAGTTTCGCGTGGAAAAAATTAATTTTCAGAGGAAACATTATTCTCTACGGTAGAAAGAAGTATGAAACATTTCATGACAAAACATGCAAAAAATTTTAAATTTTTTCCAACTTTCGTTCCTAAAATTTTGACGGCTTCTGCAAAGCGCAGCTAGAAATATGTTGCCTCGCATATGGCGTATAATATAAAGAAATGTTTCTAAATTTGTACCAAGCTTTATCAAAATCTAATAACTTCGAGTACTTCCCTTATTTTATTTATTTTTACTGTCCTTCAATCATGAGCTACAATTTACAGAGATTAATAAGTTATTCGATCAAAAATAATTAAAATTACCCACCTTGGTTCATAAAAAAATTCTCAACTCAAAATACCCGCCAAAATATTTGTTATAAAACCCCACGCAATTTTCGACTTGCTGCAAAAATTGCGCAATTATAACCGCCGCACGAACGAAAAAAACAACAGTTTGCCGCAAAGTGCGAGTTCGAAAAGTTGGTTATGAGAAATGGTTCCGTCCTTCACCTTGCCGATTACAATACTACTTTATTCGGGCGGCTGGGAATGTAGGTGCGAAGACTTCGGTCCGTTTAATTCCGACCTGAATGAGGTCAGAAACTCTATAAAAGGCAAGGTTTTTGTTCAACGGATTGCATAACGCCTCATGCAATTTGGGGATATGCGTTGTTAGCGGGAGGAGGATCTAAAGCCCCATAATTAGGATTTTTCTAAGCCTCTTGACCTTGACAGTGCGATGCCTAAGGCGATTGGGGTATAGACAAAAGCAGAGGGCAATAAAACAGATGCCGGAGGCATAAGAATGGTTATCGCATTTATGGGATTTATTTTTAGGAGCGATGGGTGTTGGTGTGTCATAAAAAGGAGAAATTTTGATGAGCAAAGGTCAGAATCATTAGAAAAAATCAAATAGATGGATAATCTGTCAAATGAAAGACATTTTATTCAATAGAAATACTATGCTTTCACACTGCTCTACGCTTGCTAAAATAATTGCTAGAAGAATCTACAGGGCATCTTCGACATTATGGTTTCAACTTTGCTGGCGGGGTTTAAACATTAAAGTCTTAGAAAGTGGAAGCAGACCAGTAAGACGGTAAAACGTGATGATTGAATATTTAAATAAGACATGACGCTATGGAGAGTTTCTCGGCATTTTTCGGTGCAAGAATTCCGGATGTACTTTAGGAAGTATATATTTTAATATCAGTATAGCATCATCACAACCTCAGAATATCTATGTTTTTGTACAGTGGGCCGTAATACAAGTACGATGATTGTCTATAACGTCAAACGCCTGTCTACGACAACCGCTTCTAGAGACGCCAAGTGTCAATTTAAGGCAAAAAGAATCAATTTACAACGAAACGCGTCAATAGTGAATAAATTCTCTAGCTCCACGCAACTCGTTGTGCCGGAGGTTCGACAGCAAACTGTTGCTCTTTTATTATTCAGTTCTTGCAAGGTTTAAGACCACCTTTCTTTAAAATCTTTCAGTTTTGATGACAAACCGACACTGTTTTCTACAGTAACCCTACCCCGAAAAAAAATACCAACCCCGGTTTCCTCGCTAGAAATGGTCTCATGCTGATCTCAAAGACAGATTATTTACTCCTCAATAAGTCAGCACCATAATAGTCCCCATCGGAGAAGCCCCAGCGAAGCAAAGGGATCGCAAAAAACAATAGAGCAATGCGACAGGAAAGAGAAAGGATTAATTGGGTCAGTTCGAAAAAATTCTCTAATCGACTGAAAGTAAATCTCGGAATCGGCGGGCGAAAACGATAAAACACTTGGGAGGGGGGCTTAAAGAAAACCGCAACGCCGCCGGAAAGGTCGGCTTCCAGTCCGGGATTGGGTCAAGAACTTCAGGTGCGATCCCGATCAGGTATCCCGAATTCTCGAGAGAGAAACGTGAGCAAACCCCACCCGAACTATGCATATGACCCGATTGGCGAGTGAAAACAGACAGAGTAAATACAGTAAACGGGATTTTTGCGAACAAGTGCGTTTTTGGTAGCGAGTAAACATGAAAGATCGAGGTTTGATTTTGAGGAAGAAAAAAAAACATGAAATGCAATACATTGAAGTTTCGGTACAACAAACTGCCGTGCAACAAAACCTGTAGACAACGGACATTTTCGTAGATATCAAAAGCCAGCTAAAAGTAAAACGAACCTCCATATAACAAAGCCCTTCAATAACAAGTAAACTTTTTTAGCGCCTCGATTTTTAAAATCCAATTGCCTCCGCCGGTAAAAAAAGTCTCCGCAGAGCCTTTGCCAATGTGTGCAACATCCGCCAAGCTACCGAAACTAACAAACTACATCTTATTGGATGTGGGAAACCTAATTTTATCCGTAGTCAAGATGTCTGGGCTTTGTAGCGAGTTGTAATTTTCAAGAAAGACCTCGAAATGTCTCCGCCGAAAAATGGTCTCTCCCCCGACTGTCATCAGCACAAAGATATTTGAAACATTATACTGCCTTGTCAGGCATAAAAGTCTCAGGCTCACTTCTTCTCGGCAAACTATTCTTCCTACTATATCAAACAAGTTCACAACATGCCCTCAAGCTTCCATCAAAAAATTGCTCATACTAAAAAACGAAATCTGCCCTTAACGAAAGGAAAATCAATTCTCGCCGGAGCGCGACTCCACATCCATCACGATCAGTTTTTATCAGGAAGGCGAAGATGAAGCGGCTGGAAGAAGATATCCGAAAGAATTGGATCATCTCTGACTTGAAGCCATTCCTGATAACTGGAATCAAAGTGGGGCTTGGTCATCGACAGCTTACGGAAATGATAAATTGGGTGATAAACGGCTTAGTGAAAGCTACCGCTTTGTTTATGATTGAAGGAAGATAAACAGAAAGAAATGATGACTATGTAATTGCAAGGTGGGTGAATGGGCAGTGCTGCCAAATCGAGCGTTAAATTCAAGGTGATCGAGGGAAAAACAAAAACAATAAAGCAAATAATGGAAGAACAAAAAGTTTTTAGGACATTCGGTTTATTCTATCATATCTTTAAACAACTATTGCTTTGCAGATATTCAACGATCCATGCAGCCGATAAACTGATCACCTGGGAAGATCAGTTTCTTGCCATAACTCTGCCAATTTAACGAGTTAAATTGGTTTTATGGAAAAGTGACTTTTTTGTAGAAACGCTGCCCTCTTCTCAACGATAAGACCAAAAGTAAGGTTTTTGATGAATACACGCGCCAAAAATCTCAATTTTTCACCAATTTGTCGACGAATAACCTCTGTGGTTTCTACAAGGAACTTGCTAGGTGATTTGACAAAAAAATAATCCAAAATTTGTTTCGAGTTTCCAAAAAATATCAGTCTGTGGGGAAAATAATGTGGATTTTTCGGAGCAAAATATATCGCTTCGTCGCGCACCAAATTTTTGGTCGCGGCTAGTTGCTGCAAAGGGATGATGGGTGGCTCTAACACGCGAAAAATCAACATTATTTTCCCGACAGGCTGATATGACCGCCTTATTTTAAGAACCTCTACTTTACAATCAGGATATTGCGGTTTAAGAATATTTTTTCGGAATAGAGAAACAAATTAAATCTTCCAAAAAATCTCTAAAATCCCAAACAAAATATCTAATTTACCTAAAATTCAAAAACCTCTCCAGCTGCTATTCAAATTTCTAATTGACTTTCCCAAAAAATGATCTGCCCCTCCCGAATCTTCCTTCTTCCATTGCAAAAATCTCGAAACGACTTCCCCTTTACAATTGCCGATTCGCCCATAAAAAACGCAAATTCGAGCCGCGTTTTACCGCGCTGTAATCGCTACTGAGCAGATGGTCGTCTTCACCTTTCCATAACGTCACAAAGTCGAGGGATTTGGGGCGAAATAAAGGCCCATTTTTTGCGGTCCCCCTTTTCGGATCGCCGCCCCCGCAGCGACGACGGGCAACAGATGCCAAATGAGGGTGGCGGAATACCTGGAAAAAACATGTGGAAGGTTCAGGATGGCCATGGAAGAGATTGGGGATGGTGACGGATAAATTTTACAGCTCGAGATTTTATTGACCATATTGATTTGAATAGGCTCAAAAATTTGCAAAAAAAATTAATGACATTCCGAAATCTGCGTAAATTTCCAAAATTTGCATGAATTTCCAAAATTTACATAAATTTAAAAAATTTGCATATATTTCCAGGATTTCTGAAAATGTCAAAAATTTCCATGAATTTCCAAAATTTGCGCGAAGTTTCAAAATTCAAAAAATGACAAAATTTGCCTAAAATCGAGAAAATTGATAAAAATTCAGATGTAAAAAACTCTAATTGGTCTGTGAAGATCGAGAAATCAGCATAAAATGAACTAAATTTCGTCTTTTATTTTTTTTGTTTTTTCAAATACTCATTTTTCAAGAAATTCCATTTCTTCAAAAGATCTTGCGTCACCTTTTGCATTGATTATGAGTTTTCTGTTTTCACCGTCTAAACCGCCGACGTATTCCGGTTCACAATCCGAACAATGATGTCCATTTTTAGCCGGGAACAGTGTCCGGATAAAGCGCCTAAGGCTGTGCAAATAGTTAGAAATTAAATTTAGTCGCGCTTTTCATTGTTTTGGGCTATCCATTGTGGTGTGAAGGCCAAACAAATGACCTCGCTATATATTTGACAAGGAAAGTACTTTTATGGGGGCTCCTACTTTTTGACGGGACATATCTCAAAAAATCAGAAAAAATGTGCTGATCAAGGATATATAAATCTTAGCTGCCCATTTTAGGTTTTTAGGGGTGAAAACACCCAAAAACTGGCTTAATTTCGATACAAAAGGCGCAGGCATTCGAAACGATAAAAAGCGCAGTCGGTCTCTTCCTTCGGAAGAGAGCGGTGTGGCCGAGTGGTTAGTGCCGTAGTCCGGGAATCAAGAGGCGGGACGCCGCACGGGTTCGATTTCCCTTTTGGGCTGAATCAACTTTTTTTGAAGTTGAAGGTCGGAAAAATAAATTTTTGGGCCAAGACCGTCTTATTACGTCTTAGAAACTCAATAAACATCATTTTAAGCCAAAATAAAAATTGTAAACCTGTGAAAAATTAAGCGAAAAGGGGTTCATATAGGACTTTAAGTCAACTTCCGATTGAGTTTTCACCCCTAAAAACCTAAAATGGGCAGCTAAGATTTATATATCCTTGATCAGCACATTTTTTCTGATTTTTTGAGATATGTCCCGTCAAAAAGTAGGAGCCCCCATAAAAGTACTTTCCTTGTGAAACACTCAAAATCGAGACACCACATCTTAAATTTTTCAATTTTTTAGAATAGTTTTGGTATTAATATTACTATTTTCTACTATTTAAGGGGCTTCAATTTTATTTTGAGTTTTACAAAAATGCAAAAACTGGAGCTTCCCATACTTCTGATGTTTATTTATTTGTCTACTGCGTACTGTCAATGTGAAGACAAAGTTGGAAGCAGTGGAACTTCAGACTGCCCAAGGTTGCAGGAGCTTTGCAATAACTCCACTTATTACTCGCTGATGACTCAAGAATGCCCAAAGACCTGTGGAAGATGCGGGCAGAGCAGCAATGTGCAGTACTCCAATTCAAATACTAATGCGATTATGAATACAAATATCAATGTTAATACGAATACGGGTGAGCGAGTGTTGTTTGAAAATATTCTGATTGCGCAAGGTACCTTGTTAAAATTGAAAGCCATTTCCTCCAAGGCGAGTGTCCCACGAACGACACTCAGTTTTTGTTAAAATTTTGCGGGCGCAATGTACATTTATGGTATGTTTCATCAAAATCTGAGCGTCGCACTTCAAGCACTTCCCTTATTCATTGAGAAAGCATCTAGCACATACCCTTTTTTATGTCGCTATGTCGTAGCTCTCAACTGCTTTTCATATCACGACATTTGTTTAGGTAACACGAACTGTGAAGACAAAACCGGAAGCAGTGGAACATCCGACTGTCCAAAATTAAAAGAGCTTTGCAATAACTCCACGTATTACTCGCTGATGACGCAGGAATGCCCAAAAACTTGTGGGAGATGTGGCTCTACGGGAAACGCAAATATTCAATATTCGAATTCAAATACTAACACCGCCATAAACACCAATGCCAACACGAACAATGCTGTTTATCCTGGTAAGCTGGTTAGGTTGTATAACGATTCCTTTCCAGCTAATACCGGGACATGTGTTGATAAGGCCGGTTCCAATGGGCAATCAGACTGCCCTCAACTCACCAGGCTATGCAATAACACGCTGTACAAGCCGCTGATGCAAGAGCAATGTGCGCAGAGTTGTGGCTTTTGTAGCGGCGGAGGAGCTGCGCAGAATAATGCGGCGTGTAAGTGATTGTCGTATATGCCACATTTTGAGACTTTTTTTGAAATCAGAAATTTCACGTAAGAATTCTCTTTCTAGTGCCACCTCCGGTCATAACCGGGGCATGCGTGGACAAGGCGACAAACTGCAATGACTTTGCGGCGTATTGCAACAATGCCACCTACCAATTACTCCTCGCCGAACAATGCCCATTGACTTGCAGGTTCTGCACTGCCGGAAAGAAGAAGTAATACAAAGAGGTTAATAAGTAATCAAAGTAATTATGGAAAGTACATACATTTTGCAATAAATTTTTAATAATCAAACGACGAGACTTGATGCCTTGTGTTTATTAAAACTATTCTAAAATCTGGAAAAGTACCATGATTATTATGTGATTATTATGTTATTAGTAGTTCAACCCATATTGTTATTTCATCAACACTTTTGGAGTCTCATTGAGCATTAACCGAGCTCTGACAGTCGACAGCCTGCTTGACGGTGCCTCCCCATTGGATGATATTGATATCATAAACCAGGTTCAAATAGAAGGTGTTGGTGGTCCATTTCGTCAACACCAGCACAATACTGTTGTATTTCTCTTCTAGGGTGGCAGTGGTGTTGGAAGATACGACGTAGATTCGTTTCTTATAGGCCAAGAAGTTACTGATCTCAGAAGAATTCCAAGAAGCCTGAGCTGTGACAATCGAGGTCAGTAAGTCGGTAGTGTTGGACGAAAATTCGTTGATCTGAGTGACTTCAGAACATTGAGCGACGGGTTTCTTAGTGGCGGTTGTAGTTGGGATCGTGGTCTCTTCAGTTGTAGTTGGGAGTGTGAAGTCGAAGCCAATCTCCAAATCCTGAATATATTTTAATATAGAAAATCAATCTTCTGATTATAGCTAAGATGTTGCTAGGAAACTTACCAGGACATAAGCATAGATAAGCTGATACAAATCTCCATACCCTTGGATCTCCAGACTGTAGATAATATTGACGGTCCACTCGTTGAGAATGTAGAACTGATACAGCTGCGCGTAGAAGTATTGGACGCGAAGAGTGACATCAGTAGTGGTCTCATAGTAAGCGGAAATCTTTTCGGTCAGTTGTTTGATTTGGGATCGCACGGAAACCGAGCCTGTTGATGTGTTTTGATAAGAAGCTGTGAGGACTTGAATCAACTGGGAGCTGGATCCTCCAACAGCAAGGTCAAAGTTGTAGACTCTCCAGTAGTACGCAGTGAGCTCGTAGAATGAGTAGAAGGTGCCGTATGTTCCAAATTCAATCTGCAATAGTTGTTCCTCGGCACCGGAATTGGCTTGGAAGAAGGCTTGGATCTTTTCGTAGATCAGGACGAGCTTATAAGCGTAAGAGTAATCTCCTTCGAGGATGACGGTAATCTCGGAGATCAAGGTTTCAACCTGAGTTTCCCATTCGGCTGATGTTCCGTTTCTCAGGTATTCAAAGAGTTCACAGTCTCCACTTTCATCAAGCTCAACCAATTTCTCGCTCTTTGAAATTCTGAAGGCGACCGTGACAGCCTCAATATTTCTGACATATCCTCCCCATTCTTCGATGTAGATAAAGTAAATTGTCTCTTGGATTTCAGTGTGAACTGAGAGGAAGGCCTGGAGGCTGGCCCAGATCTCGATGAGTTTCTCCTTTATGGTGAGCTCAGTGTTGTAGCTAATGGTCACATTAACCTCATCGATCCATTCCAGCCACAGCTCGTAGACCTCTTGGCCCTGAAAGTTGGTGGATGATTAGTCAAACCCATGCTAAATTACTAATTCTTTACTCAACTTACTTCGAATTCAACGGAGATGTTGTAGAAGTACTGTAGGAGCAGGCAATAGTCACCACTTCCACTTCCGCCACCGCTGTTTGATCCAGAGCCAGAGGCAGAACCAGAGCCCGATCCAGAGCCAGAGCCAGAGCCAGAGCCAGAGCCAGAGCCAGAGCCAGAGCCAGAGCCAGAGCCAGAGCCAGAGCCAGAGCCAGAGCCCGAGCCCGAGCCAGAGCCAGAGCCAGAGCCAGAGCCAGAGCCAGAGCCAGAGCCAGAGCCAGAGCCAGAGCCAGAGCCAGAGCCTGAGTCGGAGCCAGAGCCAGAGTCCGAGTCAGAGCCGGAACCAGAGCCCGAGTCAGAGCCAGAACCAGAATCGGATCCTGAACCGGAGTCGGAATCACCTCCAGATTCAGAGCTAGAGCTGTGATCGGAACCCGAGTCGGAGGAAGAGCTAGAGTCAGAACTGGAGCTGGAGTCAGAGGAAGAGCTAGAGTCTGAGCTAGAACTAGAGTCGGAGGAGGAGCTCGAGTCTGAGCTGGAAGATGAATCCGAGCTAGAACTGGAGTCGGAAGAGGAATCAGAAGACGATGAAGAGCTGCTGGAATCATCGTGATGATGATGGTGATGATGTTTGAGAAGACGTTTGTAATGCTTTTCCAAGTGCTTTTGGTCAGAACCGAAATCGCTGCCAGATTTGAAGGAGTGCACTGAAATTTTTGGTTAAGAAGATCTCAAAGGTTCAATTTTTTCTGAAAGGTAGAGACTTACCCGCAATTGCTGCAAGAAGCACCAAGAGAGCCAAGAGAAGTTTGTTCATAGTTTTGAGTGGCAAACGGCTTTACCGTTTGACGACAACAAATGTTTGGGGAACTTTGTCGACGAGGACGAAGTGATGAGGATATCTCCAACTGTATCATCTTTTTATACTTCCTGAATTGACTCGGGCCTCCATTTTGTTCGCGGGTTCCACCCTCCGGATTAACATCGATTTCAATATTTGATGGAGTCTTTTCGGGTCGATCAATGGAGTCCCTACGACCCGTTGAAGCGGACCTTTGCGGAATTCGGGTATTCTGCACGGCGCACGGACGTCATCAACGTATATTGTAGTTTAAGAGTATAAACTGTTGGGTCTACATTGAGAGGAATCTAACCGTAAACAACGAATTTGACTCTGACATCAATCGAGGGCCTACTTTCGGAGAAACCAGGGATTAGCGTTGTTCTTTTTTGAAACTTGTGTTGCAGCGGTGCTGATACGGTGTTTACGAAAAGGAATGAAAGGTTGAGGTTGCCTTCACAATCGTTTGAAGGCCAACAACGTCTATGCAATAATTGGCATAACAAAAATCTTAAACCGGGTCACTTTGCCAATGATGACCTTTACAACTGCGTACTCGTGATACGAATGTTTCGTTTTTAGTGTGTTTCTGACTTAGATTACCTAAGACCAGTGAGACTACACCTTAAAAAATCTTGTCCACACGTGGGCACTGGTAATTCCTTCATCAGTGCCACCGAGAACAGCCGATGCTTCCGCCGAGAACAAACTTAATCCGGATGATGTCATCACCATGATTTCAGAAGCAAATTTTGTAGTAAAACACACACAGACTCAGGACCTAATCATATGCAAAGAGCAAAACTGACAGAAACATATTGTAATTCCTAAACTACATTTCTTTGATGACGTCCGAACCGTGCAAATTCAACGGGTCGCTTCAACTTTTTTGATCTGCCCGTTGAGGCTACATGATACACGAAAATTTCCGATTAACAATGCTAAATAGGAAGGTAGATGCGCTGAAAGAATTAAAAACCAGCGTCATTTAAACAAGTATAAAACGACGGTACAATAGGAGATATCCTCATCACTTCGTCCTCGTCGACAAAGTTCCCCATATCTTCCCAGCGTTGACGACTTCAAACGGGAAAGCCGTTTGCTGTGCCAAACCATGAACAAGCTTCTCTTAGGTCTCTTGGTGCTTCTTGCCGCAATTGCGGGTAAGTCTTTGCCTTTCAACGGCTGCAAAAGTTGAACCTTTGCGAATTTTTTAAGCGAAGAATTTCAGTGCACTCCTTCAAATCTGGCAGCGATTTCGGTTCTGACCAAAAGCACTTGGAAAAGCATTACAAACGTCTTCTCAAACATCATCACCATCATCATCACGATGATTCCAGCAGCTCTTCATCGTCTTCTGATTCCTCTTCCGACTCCAGTTCTAGCTCGGATTCATCTTCCAGCTCAGACTCGAGCTCCTCCTCCGACTCTAGTTCTAGCTCAGACTCTAGCTCTTCCTCTGACTCCAGCTCCAGTTCTGACTCTAGCTCTTCCTCCGACTCGGGTTCTGATCACAGCTCTAGCTCTGAATCTGGAGGTGATTCCGACTCCGGTTCAGGATCCGATTCTGGTTCTGGTTCTGGCTCTGACTCGGGCTCTGGTTCCGGCTCCGGCTCCGGCTCCGGCTCCGGCTCCGGCTCCGGCTCCGGCTCCGGCCCCGGCTCCGGCTCCGGCTCCGGCTCCGGCTCTGGCTCCGGCTCTGGCTCTGGCTCTGGCTCCGGCTCTAGCTCTGGATCGGGCTCTGGATCGGGCTCTGGCTCTGGATCGGGCTCTGGCTCTGCCGCTGGCTCTGGATCAAACAGCGGTGGCGGAAGTGGAAGCGGTGACTACTGCCTGCTCCTACAGTACTTCTACAACATCTCCGTTGAATTTGAAGTAAGTTGAGTGAAGAGTTAGTAATTCAGCATGGCTTTAACTAATCGTCCACCAACTTTCAGGGCCAAGAGGTCTACGAACTCTGGCTGGAATGGATCGATGAGGTTAATGTGACCATTAGCTACAACACTGAGCTCACCATAAAGGAGAAACTCATCGAGATCTGGGCCAGCCTCCAGGCCTTCCTCTCAGTTCACACTGAAATCCAAGAGACAATTTACTTTATCTACATCGAAGAATGGGGAGGATATGTCAGAAATATTGAGGCTGTCACGGTCGCCTTCAGAATTTCAAAGAGCGAGAAATTGGTTGAGCTTGATGAAAGTGGAGACTGTGAACTCTTTGAATACCTGAGAAACGGAACATCAGCCGAATGGGAAACTCAGGTTGAAACCTTGATCTCCGAGATTACCGTCATCCTCGAAGGAGATTACTCTTACGCTTATAAGCTCGTCCTGATCTACGAAAAGATCCAAGCCTTCTTCCAAGCCAATTCCGGTGCCGAGGAACAACTATTGCAGATTGAATTTGGAACATACGGCACCTTCTATTCATTCTACGAGCTCACTGCGTACTACTGGAGAGTCTACAACTTTGACCTTGCTGTTGGAGGATCCAGCTCCCAGTTGATTCAAGTCCTCACAGCTTCTTATCAAAACACATCAACAGGCTCGGTTTCCGTGCGATCCCAAATCAAACAACTGACCGAAAAGATTTCCGCTTACTATGAGACCACTACTGATGTCACTCTTCGCGTCCAATACTTCTACGCGCAGCTGTATCAGTTCTACATTCTCAACGAGTGGACCGTCAATATTATCTACAGTCTGGAGATCCAAGGCTATGGAGATTTGTATCAGCTTATCTATGCTTATGTCCTGGTAAGTTTCCTAGCAACATCTTAGCTATAATCAGAAGATTGATTTTCTATATTTTAATATATTCAGGATTTGGAGATTGGCTTCGACTTCACACTCCCAACTACAACTGAAGAGACCACGATCCCAACTACAACCACCACTAAGAAACCCGTCGCTCAATGTTCTGAAGTCACTCAGATCAACGAATTTTCGTCCAACACTACCGACTTACTGACCTCCATTGTCACAGCTCAGGCTTCTTGGAATTCTTCTGAGATCAGTAACTTCTTGGCCTATAAGAAACGAATCTACGTCGTATCTTCCAATACCACCGCCACCCTAGAAGAGAAATACAACAGTATTGTGCTGGTGTTGACGAAATGGACCACCAACACCTTCTATTTGAACTTGGTGTACCAAATTAATATCATCCAATGGGGAGGTACTGTCAAACAGGCCATCAATTGTCAGAGCGCGGTTGATGTTCAATGAGACCACAAAAGTCTTGATGGATAATAGCACGAGATGAACTACTAATAACATAATAAATGCATATTAATCATTGTACTTTTCCGAGATGTAGAATAGTGTTATATAATAATTTAATAATAAACTCAAGGCATTCAGTTTAATGGCTAATTTATTCAAGACGCATTCATTATACTATGTATGTGCTATAGCCATTGTTTTTGTTTTCACTAAGTCGTTTAAATTAACTTCTTCTTCCCTACAGTGCAGAAGTTTGACTTCAGTAAGTATTGTTATGCGAGACGTAATTGATAGGTGGGTTTGTTGCAATACTCCGTAGCGGTTGATTATATTAATGAAAAGGTCGAATAACATATCATTCTGCTACCGTACAACCCTGAGTTCTTTCTGTGTCGTTGCCTCCTCCGTAATTCAATTAAACCCATTACATTGTCCCGACTAAAACCACAATTAAAATTATTATACAATTATGTCTAATCCCAACAATTTGCAAGCCTTTACAAACATACCAGAAATTCTCCATTAATAACCTTAATTATCTACGTTCTGCAGGCATTTAAACATAATGGCCTCATTGACGTAGCAGTAATTATGCCGTTACGTTCGAGCTGGGACAATGGGGATTAATTTCTTTAATAACTTGACCGTTGCAAACAACGAAAAATGAAGTGGGGTGTTATAACGACGAGCTTGCTGACGCTGCAACGTATTTGTGAGACTAATCCTGCTCGATTCTTGTCAATGGTACTCTCAGCCTGGCGGGAGAATAATGAACGCAATTTCGTTGCGCCGATCGTGACGCTGAAGTGAAAAGCAATTTGATCTTTTCAACGGCAAATTTATTTTTTCAGCGACCATGCAATTTTTAATGGGACTTTTTACTCATTATTTTCCCGACGAAATAAAAAAGTCTTCACGTGTTTTCGCACTGTGAGACTATGGTCTATTTAGGATTGCGAGTTTTCCTAACGTCAACTGGCGCTTAACAAGACAAAATAAAATTAAGCACCTGATCTATGCATTACCCCATAATTAAATTTTTCATTTCCGCTACTTCTATTTTTACTTCTAAATTCATTATCAGGTCTCATGTTTTACATACTTATGTACAGTCTTGGATGGAATCAAACGCATTCACATCGGAAGTGCTCCAGCTCGAATGTGCTCCGAGCTTTGCAGAGACTACCGAGAGTTTTAGATCAAAAGTTGGAAACAAGTGGAATTTTGGTATGCAAAATTCCGTACCAATCTACCAGTAGATGATGAAGTTCCACAAAAATTCATTTTTTGCACGAAAGAACCAAAGATACGGCCAAAAGTTTTATTTTCTTGCGACCACTTTCCGCTTTTCGAAGCTATATCGTAGATCTTTGGATAAGAATATGACGTTCTATGTCATTATCTCTTCATATCGATAAATTCCGGTTTATCCGCGACGAAGGGACCAAACATTTTTAATCGTTTTGTCATCCCTTTGTTAATACAATTGTTCTTCCTCATTACCTTTGTCTTCGAATTGAATTGCCTGTGTGGGAACCAAAAATATCGCCTATTCTCGGAGAGATTATCCAGTTTGCCGCAGTTTATCCGGAATTTGTAATACGGTGTTCTCATTGTGCTGTGGTGTAACAATAAGACTTCCTGTTGGTATTTACACACATAGTATTTGAGTTTGTCAAAAGTTTCTCTGTGTTGTGTCGAGAATTGGTCACTTCATTCCGAGCGCGTGATTAGTCATCGTTCTGAATACTGTAGCTTGACAAAAGCTTATGTTTTTTCAAATACCCGGGAGTCTAGGGTGTGATGTCAAAAAAATAATAAGAAAAACAGCTAAAGAGCAGTTGTTTTTATCTATATTTTTATTTTTTTTTTCTTCTGCTGGCTTATCTTCGTGAGTCATCCAAAATGGTCGTCAAAAACGGTTCGCACGGTTGCAAAGTTGGAGCTAGATTTTAGAACTGGCTATTATAAACTTTGAAAAACATAGTCTTCGAATTTACAGCTTGTTTTCCCCCAAATGGTCCCTCGTAAGCTCAAGCCATACATCAAACTCTCGTAGGCCAAGCCTATTACCTTCCAATTATTTTGTTTCTTTTCCTTCCGCCCACCGCCACATTTTCGATCGTAATCAAGCTGATCTCAAGCCTCAAGTCCAAATCAGAACGTAGTCAAAAGTCTCAAAAGATGATTAAGAAATCAAGAAATTGGGAGGATGCGGCGGAGACGCGGGAAATGCCCGCATATTCCAATACAGATACGTCCAGATGGCGAGACGTTTATAAATGATTGGATCCGTTTGATGGCCCGCCCAATAACGTAATTAAACCGAGGCTTCTCGGAAAACCTTGGCCATATTTTGAGGAGGACGAGGTTGATTTTTGATGAGATCTCGTGGTGCTAGAACTGTGAATATCGAAAAATAAGTAATATCTGGTCTTCCAACGTACGCCTTATTATGATCCAAAGCCCATTGTAAAACGGCTTAAGTCATGATGCTAAGGCATAAAATCTCCTTGTTTGCCGTCGTTTTATATTTGGAATAACTCGGGCTCTCATCATAAAGCCCTCCATCGTGTTAACGGCACTAAAACTTTTATTTTATTATACTGTTATATCCAAACAGATGTCGTTTTGATGTGTTCAGACGTTGCGTCGCCGAGTTTCCGGATTATAGACCAAGCGGGCTGGGAAACACGCGTTTTGATCACAAGAGAAAATCGGCTTTTTTTGGTCCTTTAGAAGTGTTCTTTCGAGAATCTTCATGAGCCCAGGCCGTTGTTGACATTACAGTATCCCCACTTTCTTCTTTGTATTCAATATTACTTTATTCATGCAATAAACTTTAGTCCCTTTAATCTGCGTGCTAATGTATGCAAATCGGCGCTCATAACTTCCGCCGGCCTTTACTTCCTTAGACTATACGACCATGGGCATTGTCTTCGAACGTCTTGGGGGAGCTGTCATTGGGAAGCGTTCCAATAAACCCGAACTCGGTTTTAATTATCCCTGTGGGAATTGGGACCACATCGCTCGAAAGCACCGTTTTCTTCGCTTTCTATTTACATTTTAGAAACGTCTACAGTAATGGCCCCCATGGCATTTTGATGATAAAGCACTTGGGACACATGTCTCGCTTGTAGGATTGGAATTTTTACTGGCAGAATATAATAAGCAGTTCAAGACGTCTGGAGCGTTTCTTGTGGCGATGATAGTTCCAACACGAATAACTGAAGCAAAAGGGATCATAACTTCGAAATATTTTGTATGCATTCCGCGACAAGGCTATATATTGGTTTTTGAGGACCTTATTTATATCGCGTGCTAGAATCGTAGCCGATACTTAGAGGCTTTCCGGGCCAAAGTATTATATTGAAAATATAGAGACAGGGCTAAAGTAAAAAAATGTGAAGATCGTGAGCTTGGAGACGCACTATGCTATGCAGACACGGGATGCTTTCTATGCAAGATAAAATCGCTTGTGCTTGTTGACATGAGTCTTACGAATACATACTGCTTCTACTGAATTTGTTCTAAAAATTTTGTGGGTTTTCAATCTGCTTGTAATAGAAAAATCGCACGCGCAAACGCACTGATTTTCTTTGAATTTTATGTACATATAGCTTGTTAGTCGTCAAAGCTTTCATATCTGAAGTTATGCCAAGTTTCATCAAAATACGAGCGTCGCACTTCGAACGTTTCCTTTTCAACCTGACGTTTCTCAAAATAAAATTCTGTCATTCCGAAAGTTTGCTTTACAATTTACACAAATAAACATCATTCATTACTCATTGTTTCTACGCAGCAGCCTCTTATATTATCCACCCACATCCCAGCGCATCCTCGGTTTGAATTCGGATTGCGTTTCACGTCTTAAATGTCATCACATTGTTTTTCTCATGCCCACATAGTCTGTGGTAAGATTTTATGATTCAGGCGCTGACACGCAATGGTTATTGTACTTGGCTCGAAGGAAGTGCAAAAACCGACTTCATACGTAAATAAGGCAGAGAATTTTAAGGTTTTAGTTGTTTCTATGAGGGTAGTTTTAAAGTCGTTGTCTATTTTTTATCCATGGAAGTACTTTATCGCAATGAAAGACGTGTAGACAAGGGACCAAAAAATTTATTTGTAAAAGAAGGCCCTATTGTACTTTTTGGGGCTTCCGAAATTGTTCGCCGCAGACAGTTTCATTGATCTTTGTGCGATGTCCATGAACTGACCGGAGAGGAGTTTAACAGGCCGTTTCAATTTTTCGTCATTTAATTTTATCTTTTCCTCGTAGTTATCACTATACAGTACTTTTTATTTTCCTTGTAGTCATCATTATACAGACTTTTATTCCTTCGAGCATTTACTGGCGACCTCCGAGAATACCTAGAATCTTTATATAGGCTTAATCCTCAACTTCCGTGGAAGATTCTCACCTCTTCCGAAATTCAAATCCACTCGTAATCGTTAATTGAGGGTGGCTGACATAATCGTATTAATTCATCATGTAGTAGAAGCTTTATGAGTTTTAATGAAATTGCGGCGAATGTTTTAAGCTCAAGTTTTTGATACTGCTTTTTTGTTCTAAAATGTTGGAAACCAAATTAATGAAAAAGTTCTTTCAAGTGTCTACATAATTCATTTTCTACATAGCTCATTTCCATTTCCTGGTCTCCCAAATAATTGTTCTGGACCCTTCCGCACATTAGAATGCATTAGTTCCAAAATGCAAATAGTAAATTTCAAATTGGCCGAGTTTTAAGTTTCGGCCGACATTTTCTTCCAGGAAATGCCAGAAGCGAAATGGAGCGGGGATAACTTGAGAAGGTCAAAACGCAACGTGATATATTAATTTATGCGGTTCTGTAGTTTCTGGAGGGCTGTCGAAATTTCCTGGTCTTTAACATGTACTATTAGGCCGTTTATGAAGTTGTTGGAGTGATCTAATTTTTTAGCGACTTGCACTATGCAGAAAAATTCAGGGTGGCCTATTGCACGGTGCAAAAAGGATTGAG